TGTGGAACATCAAGGAATCTTTTATCTGTTTTATTTACACAACTTCCAACACGCATTTGAAAAGTAAACTTCCTTTTATCATCAACAACCCACCACAGGGCACAAACCATCAAACCCCCACAACACACAACCCCCCTGTGTTAATCAACTAATTAAACCTCCAGATCATTGGATGGCCTCCATGAACCAACACAAACAAGTACAGACCAACACAATATGATAAATCTTCCAACAGTATATTGTAATGTCCACAATCCACACCAGCACCAAACATATTCACACAGCACGAGTTAAATTCAAACCTGATTCATTTCAGAGATAAGCTGGTTCAAGATCTTTAAACCTATGGCATAATGACCTGGTGTTGCCTGGATTATAAAAAAAAAAATGTGAGCAGTAAGAAGAAAGTTGTGCAAGGCAACAATTTCACTTCGGAAATTTTCAGTTAACCTAATATGATTTTTTTTAAAACAGTTGCAGAAACCAAAGTTACTACTAAATGTGGTAAAATTAATAGGTCACAACACATAGAATAATAGCTTATTTACAAAATCAATATACATAGAAGAAGGTGAAGAAATCAGAAGTGGGACACATGGTTACTAAATAAAGAAAACTAAGACAAGCCTTTTTCAAGTTCTGGAGACATAGGCATACAATTGAGGCGAGGAAGAGAACAAATTATACTGCCAAATATACAAAACTGCCATAATATTTTTTTCTTTTTCTTGAACAGCCACGATAAGATGTGACTGTAATGCAATGCAAACATACACACTTATGCCTTTGTTCTATTTCAGTCCAGGAAATAAGCTTTCGATTTTCATACAAAGTAAATAATCACTTTACACAACCTGACTCAAGAAGTTCGTGGATTCTTTGACCAGGTCCCGGAATCTGTCATCATCAAACCATCCAAATTTGGTAACCCGACACAAAAGTTGGATCAAAGAAGCAGTGACAAAGGGCTGTAACTCGGGTCCTCTAGTGGCAAGATAGTTGATGAGGTATGTCCCTAACATGCATAAAAGAAAAGTTGCATGAATTGCAGCATTTTGCGTCACCGAAGAAGAAGGTCAAAAAAGAAAAGAAAGATTACATATATCAAGCCGAAGCTTCAAAGCAAGGCTCTGTTCGGTGACCTGTTTCAACAAACTGGAACTGGCAAGCATCAATGCATAGGGAGTTAACGCATGATCGAGAATGTATTGGCATTGGGAAATATATTCAGTGTTCATGGAGAAGCATTTCAGTGTGTTCTCCGCATGAGCCCGTTCCACAGAGTCCTGTGAATTGTAAAGCCTCTCACATAATGCTTCTAGTTGTGCCAACTCCATCGCTCATCAAGATTCGCGCGCCCGCAATCTCAGATTTTCCGGCAAAACAAATAACCGATGATGATTTGGGTAGCGATGCCAAGAATAGGCGGCGACGACGGCGACGACGACGACGACGAGAGAGATGCCGCCGGCAACCGCAAAGAATATTAACGAATCCAAAGATGAGAGGGGGTTTGGTTCTACGAAACGACGATCACATCGCATTGACGAGACCGGAGAAATTCTTGTTCTCGATCCATCTAGGTTTTCTGAATGCTTTCTTGATTTTGTTTCTCGGTTGGGAGTAGTTTTTCGATTTTGTTTTTCACTAGTTTATGTCATGCGTCAAAAGGACAAAAAACTGTTTAAATAAATACTGTCCGTTTTTTGTTCTTGCACCGACTCCGTTTTCATTTTTTTTTTAAGACTGCTTATATTATTTTTTACCCGAGATAATTTTATTGAAGTTGTTTTCTTCTCAGTAATTACAATTTTTTATGGTTAATTTAAATTGTGACTGATTCGCTTCTTCTTTTTTAAATAATTTAATTTTGTTTAAATCTTTATTTTTAATATAAATATTTGAGAGTTATTATAAATTTGAGATGTTAAATAATTTTACAAATTTAATAAAATTTAAAAATATTTTTAAATTTTTAATTTATTTTATTTTTATATTTTTGTCATGGGGTATTTCTTTATTTTTGCAGTATTGTATGTTCCTAAGTTAAAAAAATATTTAAAATAATGTAAAAAATCTATTATACAAATATGTAATAATTTTGTGCCCTTTTTTTGTAATTTAAGATGCTTAATTGAAATATCTGATATTTGTTTTCAAAATTATTTAAAATTATTTAAAAATAAATACTTTCAAAAATCTAACAAAAAAATGGTAGAATTAAGTACAATAATGTTACAAGTTTAAATTTTTATTTATTTAAAATCAGGGAACAAATTATACAATACTCTATACAATCTAAATTGATATATCATTTAGTTTTTCTAAAATTTAAATGAATAATATATTTTTTTCATAATTTTAATATTACAATATCATTTTGAAGCACACAAATTTTAATTAAATTAAGAAAATAAATTATAAAAAAAATTATGAAAATAAAATTCAAATAATATCCATGTATTTTGCATGAGAGACTTAATTAAAATAAATTATATTTTATTGTATTTCAAATATTTATATTTTGTATTAAATATTTTTCAACTCAGTTCTCAATGAAATAGTCAATTAAATAAATAAAATTTTAAGTATCATAATATTTTTTTTTCAAAAGACATTGTTATTATTATATAATCATTTGTGCTTTGAAAATTTAAAAATATTATCTGAGAAAATTTATTTGCAAAGAAGAAAAGATAAAAAAATAAAATTAAAAGATAAATCGTAAAGTATGCAAATGTTTGGAATTAAAAGTCCATAAACTTTTTTAAAAAATCATCTTAAAAGTGAAAGAAATTTTTAGTCAAAAATATCGAACGAGCTTATTTATATGTCTACTACTAAATTAATCTTATAAGTAATATGATATATAAGTATATAAAAAAATTAAATGAAATAATTAATATTTTATAGAATATAACACGATTTAAGATGAACTAATATTTAAAATAAAGTTCAGTTTTTCAATTCAATACAAAAAGTAGACTTAGTACCATAAGAAAAAATAAATATTACTTATCTCTATAATCTCATATAATACCACCATACTTCATATAATTTATCATATAACTACTATCTATATTAATTTTATATTGTTTAAAAAAAAGTTAGATCCTAACACACATTCTAAAAAGAAGTAAATTTGAAAGTTGATTTAATTAAAATTAGTAAAAGAAAAAATCTTAGGTTGACTAACAAAAATACAAAACATGGTAGCTGCTTTATTTTTAATTTTTTTTTAAATATATTATTCTTTTAACACTAAAACCATAAAAAGTTAGATAAATAAGAAACACAATATTTGTGACGAACTAAAATAGTAATATAGGTAGTAGCAAGATAATGACAATTACAGTTAAAAAATAACATTCCAAAATTAACTAAAATTATTTAAAATAAAGAAAATTCAGAGACAATTGTCAACATCTTTGAACTAATAAAAACACTTATAACAAGAGTTTGTGTAAGCAAACTCGCTGATAACCTAAATTAATAGTTGGCAAAATTATATAACAAATAAGTTAAACAAAAAAATTAACTTGACTTATTATTGGTCAATTTTAAAGCCAACTAATAATTAAAATTAATGGTCAATTTTCAATTTGTGAAGTTAATCATAAACTGTCTTTATAAAATAAGTATTTTTTTAACCTATTCAATATATCAGACTTTAAATTTTCTATTTGCTAACTTATGAAATTTATGTATATATATATATATATATTTTAATGTGTTGTGAAATAAATGTGATGAACTAGTCAAATTTTCAAACATTATAAACAATCAATCTATTAACCTTAAAGTTTGTACATAATATATGAATAAATCAATTAAGTTAACAATTGAGTCAAATATAATACGAGTGAAATATCATGCTAAAAAACAACTAAAATTTAACTAAAAAACTAAAAATTTATATCTCAAAATGCTATATGATTTCAATCTAAATTTTGAATTTTTTTACACAACATCGAACATTAATTTATCTATAAAAAATACACTAATAATTTATATATCACAAACACTTAAATCACTCAATTTCTAAACTCACATGAGATCAAATTAATTAAATTGTTTTTTCAATTAAATACTATATTTTTTTCAAACTTTAATACTAGAGTTCACATAAAAGATGCTAACAATGACAAACCATAAAAGCATATAGAATAAAACTCCAAATAATAAAGATAGAATTATAAGATTATGACTTAAAATAATGAAGGATGAATATTGATTTTACATGTTAAGAATAACTTAACAAATATCAGTGGATTAATGCATTTTTAAAAGAGCACTCGAAACAGGAAATAATATAAACAAAATACTAAGTTTATTGTCCTTTACAAAAGTCAATATAATATATCCATGTACTTTATGGTATTAATATGATAATTATCATAAGAAACATTATTAATACAGGTTAATTGTATTTTTAAAATAAATCGGGTATTAAGTTAAAAAAAAAAAAAGATTGTTATCTACGGCCTTAGAGACGAAGGTAAGAATTAATGATGTTTTTCATGTTTGGTAAGAATAATACGTGAGATATTTCCATTAATTATTTCATTAATTAATAATTAATTATTATTAATTATATTTTACATTTGAAAATATCTTTTAGTATGCCATTCCGTTTCTGTTTTTTTGTCACCCTTGTTTTGGTTTTTTTCAAGTTTTTGTAAGGTTTATAAATCATATTTCTTTAATATACTATTATTTAATATATTAAAATATTTATTATTAATAATTATTTTAAAATATTAATTTTAAAAAATAATAAATTTCTTTCTTATTTTTAAATTAAAATAAAAAAATTTTAAATAATGCGTTTTTCTCAACTATAATGTTCGAAACTTACTGGTTAGTAGATATTTTTTGGGGGGTGGTTGATCCAAAACAGTGAGTATGAAGGTCCGAGGCAAGAAAACAAAAAAGTCTTTGAGTCGTTGGGCCAGTCTAAAGAAACGAAGCCCATTAGCGAGCCCAGACACAACCCTAAAAAGTCCCTCATCCGACTAGAAGCTTTCCCTTCACCCTCTCTGAAGTGCCTCGGCTGCGCGTTACTACTGATTTGCAATGGTACGTATCTCATATGCACAAGCTTCAATTTGTATGCACTCCTCCATTTGCGTGTTTTGATTTGATTTCGTTGTTCTTTCCTAAAATCTATATCATGCAATGCATCTATGTTGATTTCAGTGCCTAGTATATGCTTTTAAGACGAGCACTAACAACATTTGTTCATGGATACAGGCATATGTTAAGGCTCAGAAAACAAAGGCCTACTTCAAGAGATATCAAGTGAAGTTTAAGAGAAGAAGAGGTGTTTGACTTGTTTCGCATTGTCCCTCTCTATTTTCGTTTTTATTATATTCAAACTCACTTTGCTTCTGTTAAAAAAATCTTCAGAGGGAAAGACTGATTACCGAGCCAGGATTCGCTTGATTAACCAGGACAAAAACAAGTATAACACTCCGAAATACCGATTTGTTGTTCGATTTGTATCCTTCAGTGGTTTATTTACTTTGTAGTTATTAATTGTGATGCTACTTGCACAGTATCTGAACAGTATCGTTTAATCTAAACTCAATTTATTTGTTAATATTTTATCCCTTTGAGTGCCTTTACCATATTATTAGACTAACAAAGACATCACTGCTCAAATAGCTTCTGCTAGCATTGCTGGTGACATTGTTCTTGCTGCAGCATATTCACACGAGCTGCCACGCTATGGTCTTGAAACAGGCCTTACAAACTATGCTGCAGGTACTTCGAAAATGAGATTTCTTTCTCACCTTCGCTCTAGGCATCGAATTTGTAAGCGTGTTTGTCATCCGTTTTTTTACATCAAAATGAATCCTTGGGATTAAAATTTACAAAACTTGAACAGCCTATTGCACTGGACTCCTGTTGGCTCGCAGAGTTCTTAAAATGCTTGAAATGGATGAAGAGTACGAGGGCAATGTAGAGGTATCTGTGGTTGTGCCATGAGATTTATCTATCTATCCATCTGCTTCTTTCTGTGTACGTTGATTGGTGGTATCATATTCAGGCAACTGGAGAAGATTTTTCTGTTGAACCTGCTGAGACCCGGAGGCCATTCCGAGCTCTACTCGATGTTGGTCTCATTAAAACTACCACTGGCAACCGTGTCTTTGGTGCCCTCAAGGTATTTGATATTATCGGTTAAGATTATCATCATTCTTTATTCTTTTCATGCTATTGGTATTAAAAAGTTGTGATGGATTATAGGGAGCTTTGGATGGAGGTCTGGATATCCCACACAGTGACAAAAGGTTTGCTGGTTTTGACAAGGAGAAGAAAGAACTTGATGCAGATGTTCACCGGAAATATATCTTTGGTGGACATGTTTCTGCCTACATGAAGGCATGTGCAAAGATTTTATTTTGGTGCCTTTCAATGTGAATGTTAGTGCATTCATCGTAAGGATCTTCCAGAAATTTGTGACAATATTTATAATACTATTTGTAGACTTTGATTGAAGATGAACCAGAGAAATACCAGTCACACTTCAGTGAATATATTAAGCGTGGACTAGAGGCTGACGGACTTGAGGGGCTATACAAAAAGGTTCATGCTGCCATTCGTGCAGACCCTGCAGTGAAGAAGTCTGAGAAGCAGCCACCAAAGGAGCACAAGAGGTAAATAATTATGTTTCCAAATAGGGTAAAGCATGTCTGTTCACTAATCTGATGTATAGTATAGCAAATTGACTGTTGTGTTGACAGATGACCAGTATTTCAGCTATCTTATGACTATATAGTTTGTTAAAAATGTTTTTTATTGACAATGATTGAATGATTGTTGTTGGTAAGTTTGGTCATAGTACTTACTGAGTGTGGAACCTGTTCCTAAAGATGTATTGTTTGGTATTTTGAGTAGGTACAACCTGAAGAAGCTCACTTACGAGGAGAGAAAGGCAAAGTTGATTTCACGCTTGCAGGCTCTTAATTCTGCAGCTGGAGATGCTGAAGATGAAGATGACGATGAGTGAATTTGCATTATGAATGCAGCCCAAATGCTGCATATGTTGAATTTATAGCGTAAATTTCATTCATTTTCTTGAAAATTTTGTTGCTTTTGTTGTTTAATTTATAGGTTACCAATTTTGGATCTTTTGAATTAACCTGGATTGATGTGCTTCAATTTACGTGGTTGGTTTTTACAAGATAATTTCTTACCATGAGATCAACTAGCTATTATATATTTTCAATTTACGGTTGGTTTGAAATTATGCATCAATATTCAATAACGAGGAAACTATCTCACTTCAATTTTTAACATGGATTTATTATGTTTAACCTTTGTATTATTTAATAGACAGATTTAATTTTTACGAGAACAATAAGCATATATTTTTTTTCGCTAAATCAATGCTGAAACTTTGGGGATGTTTGATTATTGTTTTTTCGAAAATAAATTGTAACAAAAATAACTCAAAAGATGTTGTCAACACACAATCTCTTGGTCATAGTTAAGTTATATTAAGATTTACGCAATAATGAATTTTTACTATTTATTTACTGTGTTACTTGTAAAATTATGGTTCTAATGAATTTTATTTAGCACAATACGGAAGTGTGTTAATGTTGGCTCTCCACTTTTATAGAACTATGGAAATAAACTTTATGACTTATAAGTATTTTTATTTAATAAAAAATATTAAATACTTTTTTTTTTAACCAAGTAAAAGGAAAGACATCTTTCCCTTCTCTTACCCTCCCCCTTCTCTCTCTCTCTCTCTCTCTTTAAATGTCATGTGAGCTTGTACTATCAATTGCACAGCGGTTTGGTTGACGGGGAAATTTTTTTTTTTTTTAAAGCTTATGCCCTACTCTTTCCTTTGCCACACTCTCACCCTTACCCGCAACCCTCTCTCCCCGTCTCCGAATTAAGTGCTTTAGATTTTGGCATGGTGTGTGAAATCACAAGATTCAGCGAGTCCTCTAATCAAACCCCAACAGTAGCAAAATTCGTAATTCGTTTTTGTGTCCAGTTCATCGTTAAGAATGACAATGAGTAATGTATAGATAGAATACTCAGTCGCATAAGTAGCATTTTTAATTTCTGTATTATACCTTTTGGGTACTCGTATACCTATACCTGTATTTGTTTAAGAAAAAAATACTTATAAAAAATATGTTTATATAATTTTATTGAACAAAATTCAATTATAAATAGAAAATAAATATTTAAAGATCATATGTGTTAAGTATATTTTAATACATTATTTTTATTAACTAAAGTACTTAAAAATCATAAGTAAAATTGTACACAATTTTAAGATCTAAAATAATTAACTTATAAACTTGAGTCACGTATTATCACTATGCAAGACCTACAAAAAAAATAGTTAATTATTTATTGTAAAGTCAAAATAATATATATAATTAGGTAATTTTACCTCGTTTACATATTACTTTGGTCCAACAATACCAATAGAGACTAAAACATACAAGTACATAATAAAAAAATTAATAATTAAGATATCAAATTAAAATTAACAAAAATATTTAATTAAATAAATATATTAATAGAGTATTCAGTACTTTTATTTTCATGTTTTAGCCAATTTTGTACACACATGAGTGCATCCAAAGCATACACATGAAGTCGAGAACGATGAGTACTCAACAATCTACTTTCTGTGCTAAAAGCAGAGTCTGAAGTAACAGTTAAAATTGGAATGGCCAAAATATCTTTGACAATTTTTTGCAATATTTGATATTTGATCCAATTTGATTTCTACCACCGAAGGATATCAAAACTAGCACTTCTAGGCAATACCTTCTCTTCCAAGTAGATATCCAATTCAGACTTCAATTGCATATCATTTGTATTATTAACAAACAAATCATAACCATTTAAAACATTGTTAACATTAAGCATATCTAAATTCATTTCTATCTTATACCAACCATATAATAATTAAATTATTTTAGTCTAGTTAAATGATATAAAATAGTAAATAATTTTTTTATTAAAATATGAAAAAAATTATTTTAATGGTTTACTTTATTGGTAAATATATTTTTATATTAATCTTATAAAAAATTTAATTAGATAAATTTTTATATCTTTAAATATGTATTTTTTTTATTTGAATAACATAGATATTTATATTAAATTTCTCAACCTTTTATTTTGTATAGAAATTTTTTTGAAAACATGGCATTATAAAATAAAACAAAGATAACTTATAAAAGAACTTTGAACTGAGTAAAAAACATAAGACATGAAATTATTTAAAATAAATAGTAAAATTTTTATCTTGACTAAATCTTTACAAAAGCATCTATAAAAACTTTCTAAAAAATAAAAGTAGTTTAGGATCTTATTTTCTTAAATCCTTAGTTGCTCCATTATAAGTAAAGAAATATTCAAATAAGATTATATGAAATTAGAAAAATAAAGATAATTAGAAATACTAATAATAATTATAATAGAGTTTTAGGCTTACTTGTTGAAGACTTACGTTTGTATGAAAGTTCTTGTATTTAACCTCTGAATTCTATAAGAAAAGACATATTAGATTTTTTTTTTGTAAGTCACACTCCTAAAACACAACTCTCAATAGAACAAATTATATGATTATATCATTGTCAATAATTATAGAAAATACCTAACAAAATATATAAAGTATTAATTCTAATTTCCTCTTATTATGAAAATAATAATAATAATATATGCAGGTTTGGAGCAGAATGAGTACTTGGATACTCATATCTACGCCCATCTCTACTGAAATTTGCTAATATTTTTCTATATTATGTACCTATTTAGCAAATAAATACCATATCCATTGAGAGTAAGTCCAGAAACTTAGGATTTGAAATCAATAAATTCATGGAAAGCTAAGAGAAATTCACCGAAGGGGTTCATAAATCCCGTCTTGTGCTAATGGATGTCAGAAATCGCCACGCAAAAAGGCTATTTTCTGGAATTTTCGGGGACGATGGGGAATTGCAGTTCATGAAGCAAGTGTGCATAGGCCTTAACAATGTAGTAAAAAAGAAAAACCAATTAAAGTTTGGAGCACATTCTCAGTCCAACGACAAGGGTAAGAAGATTTTGTCACAACCAAATGAGAAACAGAAATACCCGTTTCAATGTGCCTTTTTGCGGTGATACTTTGCTCTCGTCTCAGAACTGTGAAAACGAGGAGCAGAATCCGTTGGGCGTTGAAAAATTTGCATCTGATCGTGCCATTGAAAGTGATGATAGCAATATCGAATCAGTGGAAAGGGCAACAATTCCTTCCGCTTTTGATCCTAAATTTGTAGGATTGGAAGAGTGTTCGAGACTCGAAGGCGATGGTAATGCACATTCGGTTACTGATAGTGGGAACTTTATCAAATCTTGCACTTGTTCCTTTTGCTCCAAAGGTTGTTAAAATTTCAGAGCATGTCAAGTGTACATTCAGTTATCATAATTGTCTTTTACCATCACTTAACCTAATCTTTTTGTAGCTCTGAAGAAGATTAAGAAATAAGCACGCGCGATTATTCATAAATTTTCTGGTTTAAAGGATACTGTGGCGCTTGACCAGCACACGGGTGCCGTGTCATCCGAGTTTGAATCATCCCCCGCGGAGAATACATATGTTGAAAATTATTTCATATTGTAAAAGATGTGAATATTATATTAAAAAAATGAATATTTAAAAACATATTTATGCGTATGAAACTTAGATCAAAGCCTATATATTTTTTTTAAGGAGGGGAGGGGGTGGTTTTGCTGCTGACGAAATCAGATAATAAAAATTTTAAATACGTATTTCGCTGGCAGAATACTCCAAATACATTTTTATTACATTTTTCTTATCTCATGGCAAACGTTTGCTTTAGGATTCTATTTTTTTTCTAATGTTCCTTCCAAGGAAAGTGACTTGACCTGACTAGTCTCAAATTCCTGTAAGCATGATTTTTGCAGTCCCAATATCTAATAAGAATTTAAATAATATTATTAAAGTTAACTTGTTTAAATGTTTTATTTAAAATTAATTTACACAATTATTATCATCCAAACAATAAATTTGCAACTTTTCATTTAAACACATAATATTATGTATATTTAAGTAGACGTTTATCATCCAAACAATAAATATTTTTTTTCATCTCTCAAGCTTGAAATACGCTACTTTAAATACGAGCAATCATGTAAAATTATTTATCTATCAAAATTAGTAATTTTTATAATATTTTATAAATTAAAAAGACATTTTATACACTTATATGTAGAATACTTATAAGTGTTGATTTTGTATTGATAGATTAATATGATTAATGATTTATTCGATAAACATATAAATAATTTTTAATCTCTAAGATATTAAAAAATTACAATCATCAATTTAAATAAAAAAATATAGAATAATCTCGCAATTTTATGAGTACATTGACAAATAACATTCAAATTATGCAATTTTATTTGACAAAAAATTGAAATTTCTTTTTGGTCTAAAAAATGTATAAATAAATAAATAAATGTGAAAATTATAATGTACGAATAAGAATTCAAAATAAAACTGAACTGAATAAGTAAAATTAAGCTCTTTTTTTTTTTAAAAAAAGATTTTGATGTCGAATGCCTGTGAAAATGTCTGATTTGATTTAAAAACTGCACAATTGTGTTTTAATTTTAATGTTTCGTCTCTATTTTTAATTATTGTTTACAAAAGTAGCACTTTTTAATTTGTATTTTCATGCAAATAACTTAAATCCTTCACCGTTATGCCATGACTTATTAAAGTATTGTATTTTTTTTCCACATTCCCCATTATTAAATTATTATACAACAATTATGTTTTTGTTTAACTATTTTCTTAAAATCACGCGTTATGGGGCCTTAAAAAAGGTCGTTGGTGGCGCGCGTGAGCGTCTAGAAGACAAGAATATTGACACAAAAAATACAGATATTTTATTAGAAAATGAAAAAAATTCAAAAGGTGGATTCAAAAATCAAAACTCGTCGTTACGGAATTTAATTTGGTCAAACAAACAGTGTCGAGAAGATTGCATTGCGCCACTGGCAACGATGAACGGAGGAGTCAATAAATAGACGCTTCCTTGATTTTCCACATTTCTCATTTTCTGATTCATTGGCATTGCCATTTACCCGCTACTTTCCCTTCTGTTCTTCTTTTGCGTTTTTTACACGTTCGTGAATAGTAGTTACTAGTAAGTCACGGAACTGAAAACGTTACAGTGTTTATTTATTTTTGCATGATTTTAATTTATTTGGAATTTTGGTTGGTGGCACAGAGTAGAAGCCATGGCTCCAAATTGTGCATATCTTTCTAATCCTTACCATCGATGTACCCAAGCTTGCTCCCAAAACATCAACCAGACCAAGCCACACGCAAATCCTAGAAAGGGTTCAGGTTAGTCAGTCACTTATGTTGCTATCTCTTTTCTTCCTGCTTTTCTGGTGTTTTGTGTATTGCATAGCTTCTAATATCTCTCAATCTGTAAACTGTTTCCCCCTAAGGTTATGGGCGAAGTGTAACAGATGGTCAGCTAGGCAAAAAGGTAAATGAACAAAGACGAACGTACTCAGGTTGCCCTAAAGCTTCCAATCCTTATCACCAGTGTGATGAGAATTGCTACAAAAGATTATCGGATTCAGGTGCCCCCTTTTTTCCTGTGTTATTTAATTATATTAGTTATCCAAATCAATATTTCTCTTCTTTTTGTCATCCAATCTATTTTTACAAAAATAGAATCTCACCAGAAAACTAGTGGTTTTTTTTTTTTAAATAGAATGGATGAGTCATCTCAACGGCAAACCTCAGAAAATTTCATTTTCTAATATCAATGCTTTCATTTAAATTATCTCATGCAAACCAACACCTCAGATTTAAATTTAGGCAAATACTAGTCAGTTTCTTAATTAGAGAGTCATACGTAATTTTTTTTAATTAAAAGTGTTATTAATATAATTTTTATTATATATTAACATATTTTTTAATGAAAAAAAATCAATTTATTGATTCCCTGATGAATATTGTCAGAGCACCGGTTAGTAATAACCTTGAATCAAAGCCGAATGGTATTTAACTAGAATTAATTTTGTTGGCGTCTACGCATATTATTCCACTGTTGGTAGCCATTTTGTTTGACCATATTGTGCAATTAATTAGTTTTCTTTGACAAAACATTCACGTTCATATTATCTGCGAGACAAATTTGTAAAAAGAGGTTTACTGAATTCACAAATGTGAATTCACTGTCTGTGCCCCAATCGCATATAAATAATATAACGGTGCTAAAGCATATACTTCAAATGCTTAATCAAATTTCTATAACAAGGTTTCTATTAATTTTTTGGATGGTGCATGGGACTAACATGAAAACGTGTCCTTGGATTGATGAACGAATCATTCATGTTCGAAGAACTTTCACACCCACTGAATAAATATGTTTCTGACTCCAGTCCATTCCAACTGCAGGTGCCACTCCTCCTTTGAAACTTGACAGGAAAAAGAAGGTAGGTTCTAAGCCAGAACCCCCTGTTCTTGACAGTGTTCCAGCCTCGAAGGTTGGGGCAATTTATCTCTCTGATGGTTCATCACCTGTATCCAAGAAAAAGGTAGAGACAAAAAACGATGAGCGCGTTCCTTGTGAACACAAATCTGGTCAATTACATGTCCCAAATGTAAAGGTAGTAGCAGCAGCCACTCTTTTCTCTCACTCATGCCTTTTACTTTTGATGAACGCTAATAATACACTCTTTTAACACACTTAAATTTTAAGAGTTAAAATAATTTTTAAAGTCAATAGATTTAACTTTTTAAGGAGTATTTAGTTTTTAGTTTTTTACGTAGAGAGTAATACAAACTCATATTGATCATATATTGAACTTGAGTGCGTCCTTTGGCAGCCTGTTTATCACAAAGACCAAATACAGGATGATTCTGAGCCCGTTGGCAACCCAATGCAAACAAATCATCAGGACAAAATTGCTTCAAACAAAGTTGTTCCAATTACCCATGTTGATGATGACACTGTAGAAGGTCTTACTGCTTCAGCTGGTGGATCCATAGACTCTAGTTTATCTGCTGTTCCCCGTGGCAATGAAAGAAGTGATGAAGGAGAGACCGAATCTGTGATTTCTGAACCTCGTATTCAAGTTGGAGGATACCACATAAAAGAAAGTTTTTCTTCCATCTTGCAATCTATACTGGACAAATATGGGGATATAGGAGCAAGTTGTCGTTTGGAATCAGTGGTGATGCGTTCATATTACGTTGGGTGTGTTTGCTTTGTGGTGCAAGAGTTACAATCTGAGTCAGTGATGCAAATAAGCAAGTCCAAAGTGAAAGAATTGTTGGCTATTCTTAAGGATGCAGAATCTGCTCAACTTCGTGTGGCCTGGCTGCGTAGCGTGCTTGATGAAATAGCTGAAAATATTGAACTCATAAATCAGCATCAGGACGTGGAAGTGGAAAAGGCTAATTCTGCTCATGAAGTGGAATCGTTGAGAGAAAAGCTGGAATCTGAGCTCGAAGCTTTGGCTCAGAAAAAACAAGAGATTGCTAATATTAAAACACGAATTCCTGAGATAAGAGATCGTTTGGGGGAGCTTGAGCTCAAGTCTTCTGAACTGAACAAAGGCACGCTATCTACCAAGTCCAAGGTTGATAATTTGCATATCAAATCATTGATAGATGAACTGTTGTAATATTTATAACTGCTTAGCAATTCCTCTGAGGTACACACATATTAATATACTGTAAGGTTCACATGTAGGTAGGTTAAGGTTACTGAATAAATGCATGCAGAGGAATGTTTTGTAGTGGAGTGACCATATGAACACATGGTACAAAAATGCATCCTCTTCATTGGATTTCGACTCCAATTATTTGTTTCTATTTATGCAGATACGGATTTTTTTATTTTTGAGTTCGCAATTTGGATGACACGATTCGAACCTTGCTTGATCCTATTAATACAAGCACTGAGCTACTCAACAGGAGACGCCAAAATCTAGGAACAATTTTAACTTCATTACAGTTTTTTTTTTTACTTTATATATTTGTTTATTTAATTTTGTTTTTCTTAATTATTTTCACGACTCCACGATAGCTGTGAACACAAACATATATCATTTAGGAATCGAATTTGCTTCTCGTTTTATTGATTAATATGATATAATTATGTTAGAAAAAATATATAATTTTTATCTAACTTAATAAATAGATTCTACAACTAATTGTGATGAGTTTCTCTGGATAATTTTGCATAATCGCACGTCTCCTAACGCACGTTGGTGATGTTTATAAATTTTGGATTTGTAAGCATAAAAATGATACATTTAATGTAATAATAAAAATAGAAAAGTGGAGAGGGCAATGAAAGGTTCCGTTTGTTTTAGGGAAAGAGGGTAGAAAAATATTAGAATTATTCCTCTGATTTAATTGAAGAAAAATAAAATGTAAGGAATTAACTTTAAAATTTATAATCTACATTTTTCAAAAAAATAATTCAGTAAAAGAAAGTGGCCCTAAAATAAAAAGGAAAAGCGAAAGTGTGGATAAAAGGCGCGGGACCACTGTCAGGTCTGGTTTGACCGTTTGAAGGACACCTTCGCTTTCTGCCTCGCATTCATTTATTGGTCCCACCCGGTAAATTTTTACAAGTTTAATTATAATCTTTCTTATATTTTAACATTATTTTATTTTAATTATATACTAATTTTTATATGAAATTTTGTTTCTAGATTATTTTTTTGTTTACTAAAATTAGAAAAATATTATTTTTGATAACATTTCAATTTCATTTTGGACTCTTTATATAAAATTATTTTTTATTTCTATGTATAATATTGTTTTTATTTTAAGCCGTTTTAATTTTTTTGGGGGACATCAATTTAATTTAATAATAAAAATAGTATTAAGAGTGTATTAACTACAATGCTATTACAGCTTCTCTTTTCCTAATTATCAAATAAAAAATCTACTATTATTATATTTTTAAAATATCAGTTATTTCAACTTATTATTTAATATATTTATATAAAAATAACACTAAAATATTAATTTTTTTTAGAGTGGTGTGTGGAGGCAGGTGATGTGAGAATGGAAGTGATAGATACATAGTTGGCATTTCCTGGAACCTCTCCACTTTCAGGCCTTCGGTTTCCTCCTTTTTCAACTTTGTGTTGGGGTTAGCCCATTCATCACTCCCATTCTTTTCGAAATGGGTGAGCCCTTTTCCTGTGTGCCAATTTCTAGCATACTTTCACTAAAGAGCTTCGTGCCACCCCCAAAATGCCCTCTCTGCCCCCACACCCCTCTGTCACATTTGTAGCTTTGCCATCTCAGATCACTTACCTCTCCCCCAGTTTAACCACTCAATTCTTTCAAAACAACCCGCTAATGAAATTGCTTAATGCTCCTTAAACGAAAAAGTATTGACATGCCTTTTTGTAACTCATTTAAATTTTTTTATCACCATAGTATGCATGAAAAATTACAGTTAAAATTATAACATTTTTTATATAAAAAAATTTATAATTCCTCGTCCGGATTTTCTGAACTAACATATAATTCCTATATTTTCTACTCATGCAACCACCCCCGCATACGGGATACGCTGTAAAAGCATTTTTATGTATCTCAGCTTAAAATTTAAAATCAATCGAGTTCTAATTTGATTTTCCCATTCAAGGAAAAACAAGGTTATCGAAGGAGATGATCTGGGCAATGCGAGGAAGTAAATTTGAAAAAGGAAGAAAGAAATGAAGGTGACGACGATGTGATACAAACAAACCAAAGAAATAAATATAGATATAAAATAGAAAATAGTAAAAAATACAAAAGAAAAGGCAGAGGTGAGGATCATCGTCTGCATCAAACGGATACACACACAGCAAGCGATGGAATAAATTAAGAATGCAAACAGAAAAGAAAAGGGGCTAATCCTATTCTCTGTTTGTCTTCATTAACTAGTTGGTGGGGTTGCTCCTGAATGATCCCAACGCCTTGATTGCTGCTGCTCTCAGTATGTACTGGTGGTATGCAGCTGCTGCCAACGCTCCCACGAATGGCCCAACCCAGAAGATCCACTGCAACCAAATCCAGTTCACCAGTTAATACACAACCACAACCATGCCATGCCATGCACGTTAATTATTAATCAACTTAATTACACGTGAAAAGATAAACACAACACATACATGGTCATCCCAAACTCTGCCATTGTTGTAGATGACGGCAGCACCGAAGCTCCTAGCGGGGTTTATCCCGGTTCCAGTGATGGGTATGGTAGCCAAGTGAACCATGAAAACCGCAAAGCCAATTGGTAAGGGGGCCAAAACCTGCAATAAAAATATATTATTTTATTACAAAATTAAAATAAAAAAGGAGTAAGTTGGGAAATGAGGAGGAAAAGCGTACGGGGACATGGGAGTCACGGGCGCTTCTCTTGGGGTCTGTGGCCGAGAAAACGGTGTAGACAAGCACAAAAGTTCCGATAATCTCAGCACCAAGGGCAGTGCCTGTGTTGTAGCCAGGTGCCACGGAGTTAGCACCGCCACCGAGGGAGTTGTAGGGGTGCTTCATGAAGGCCTTCACCAACCCCACACCACAGATAGCACCCAGACACTGTGCTACCATGTACAGCACAGCTCTTATCAGAGACACCTTCCGAGCCAGGAACAGCCCAAAAGTCACCGCAGGGTTGATGTGTCCACCTTCACAGAACAAAACAAAACAAAAAATACCTTCAGAACAGAACATTCAGAATAAAAAAAAGGAAAATGTAGTACGGAGTGAGTGAGTGGGTGGGTGTTACCAGAGATACCGGCGGTGCAGTAAACGAGGACAAATATCATGCCGCCGAAGGCCCATGCGATGCCGAGAAGGCCAACACCGTCGCAAGGCCCGGATTGTTTTTTGTGACCGATGACGGTGGCGACAGTGACATAGAGGAAGAGGAGGGTGGCTATGAACTCGGCGATGAGGGCTCTGTAGAAGGACCAGAGCTTAACCTCGGCGAGGTCGATGAGAGGCGCTGGGGGAGGGTCTACGTAGTCTTTCCTTTGGTGGCCTTCTTCGGTGACTTCCTTGGACATCTTGGGTTGGGTAATGCAGTGGAGTGGAGTGGAGTGGAGTGGAGTAACAGCAGAAAGAGGTTGGGTTGGTTTGATTAGCAGAGAAGAGAAGAGGGGTTGGTTGGTCCTTTTAATGGAGACGGAGGAGGATAAGAGGAGGGGCAAGTTTGGAATAAAAGAGTGGGAAGAGAGTGGGACAGGGTTGAACAGCGTGACCATGTGAGAGCTAATCATCGGTACCCCTCTTCTTTGTCATGTCAGCCTGGCAACGGTCATCTCTCTCCCTTTTCCTTCCAAACAAAGCATAAAAGAAAAAGAGGACCACACCAACCCTAACACAACGCCACTTCAAAGTTTCCGTTGAGTAAAACCATCGTTTCTACTCCCTAGACCCACACGCCTACGTTTCATTTACTGTTTTCCTAATCTAAAACATTCTAATTTCTGTTGTATCCATTTAAACATCCTCAAACATCTCCTCTCTCCTCTGTCCCCTATTCAATGCTTTGTCCTTATCCATCAACTCCCATCATTTTTTAAGAAGCTACAAAGATTCAGTGGGGATGCATCCCATTCAAAACCATTTTCTTTCTAAGTTAACTAATTCATCTAAAATCTTTGTTCAGCTTTCATCATCCACCCATGAAACACTTTTTACCAAGGTACATGGCTAAAGCAATCCAAAGTAACACATATATACCTCACACAAAAGAAAAAGAAAGATTGAAGATGATTTTTTAAAATTTCTTTATATTGATACCTTTACTTGAGGGGAAAAAACTGAAAAGGATTTAAAAAATAAAAGGAGAATAATACTACAATCATAAAAGTAAACCATAATTTTAAAAAGAGACAATTTTTCTCTACGTTTAAAATATTCTTATATTATCAATTATTTATAATATATTTTAGATATAATTTTTATATTATTATTACAACTAATAATTTCTTTGATAAATTCAATGAAAATGTAAAAATATAGCATATTTAATTACTTTAACAAGGAATAAAATTTTTTTAGTATAAATTTAATTTAAGTCTTTTATTTAACTTACATCTAACATGTTATAATTTATTAATTCATTGATAGATATAAATTAAATATGAACACAAGACTTAAATTAAATGTAAAATTTTTTAGACTAACATTGACACGAAAAGATTTTTTCTTTTTTTAACAAAATACAATTATACTAATTATTGTGCGTGAAAAAAATATCATTTTTAAAAAATAATCAATTAAGAAATATAAAGAAACTTGACCCTAAGTTTTTTTTTAAGTAACAAATTCTACGTCTCTTAAATTAATTTTTTTATATATTTTATACATAAAATAATTATTACTATTAATTTTATATTAAATATATACAATTAATAATGAGAATTATTACTCTGTTTAAAAAAAACATAAATGTCATTTAATCTTTAGAATATTAAAAATAATCATAACTATCAACTTAAAAATACTATAATTTTTTAAAAAAATTTACGAGTAACATATAAAATATCTAAAAAAATATAAAAATACCTGACTCATGATTTTAAAAAAAGGAAGGCCATCTAAGAAGTGAGTATTTTTTTAACTCTTTAACATGAGTTTTATAAGTTTATATTTTTTAAGTTACTATTTTCTTTAACAATTTAAAAAAAAAATACTAAACAAGTCTAAAAAGTTATCTAACTTATGCCGTATACACTACACCTTAATTTTTTGAATAAAAATTATTATTTTAATTTTGAGAATATAAAATAATTAGTAAAATCAAATTTATACGATCATTTGAAAGTCTGTTTTTGCATTATTTAGTGAATGTGATATTATTAGATTACAATACAAAATTCTTTTACCCGAATTGACTATCAGAATTGAACTCTATCATCTTTCGTAACAAAACATAACATGATATCTTATCTGTGTAATGTTTACGAGGGTAGGATTAATTAATGGAAAATATTAATTTTAATTTAATTCATATTAATATTTAATTAAAAGATGGTAGCATTCCCGTGAATCGAACACGTGAGAGGAAAGGCGTGGAGCTAGGAACAATGTAATTCAATGAGGTTATAGGACGATACAACAACCTGGGCCCGCCCAACAGAAAAGAAATGTGAGGGTGCGCACTGCGCACTATAAATAAACTATACAATTCATTAAGCACTTACGGCTCCATCTGAAACAACCTCACTGTAATGGTTTTGTTTGCTTTGTTCCCTCTTTTCGTAACTTCGCTTTTAATGTATACACTTTGAAAGGCCAAGGCAGCTGAATACGAGGATGTTACGTGTTCTTAAAACGTGAAACAATCAAGTGTATCTGCAAGTAAGAAAAAGTAACAACAAACAACATAAGATACCTTTGAACAATTTCCAGCACAAAGCAGCATGCAACAGTATCTTACAATGTTGTTTTCGGGTTTTGTCCAATAAAATCCTTGAATAGCAATAACGGCCAAGTTTGAAGATACAAGGACAAATATACTCAAGGAGTGCTTTCCCATCCATTCCAACGCACTTGTCAAACGCCTGTAACCACGAACATCTACCTGCAATGGGGTAAATGTATTATTGCCTACAATTCAGTCAAATTGCGTTGCAATCCAAAGTAAAAAATGACCCTATTCAATAGTGGCAACGACAGTTCTTTGACATCAGAAAATGTAGACTGGTACGAGAGTAAATGTTGCACAACTAATAGTAACTACCGAGCAAGACCGTTACGCAGAAGCCAAAACTATACACTGATCGATGTCACTGTACCCTACATTATAAAAAGCAGAAAATTGCATATAATGTCTCCACGTAATTTTCTCTTGTAACATCACTCAGCACTCACCAGAACATATAAAGCGATGAATGTGAGACCAGAACCTGCCGAAGTTAGTAGCATATAACTGACTGTGTACAGAGATTTATTTAGAGGAACTCCTGAAAACGAAAAGCAAAAAACGAAATAAATCAACATTTCCATTGAATCAATGAGAATATAAAGAAATATTTGCTAAAAATTTAAAAACCAAACAATCATGAATACGAAGACAGAATGGTTGAATTATTATGAATTAGCAACTTCTAGTAGGCACTCCGCAAACTGAAGATACCCTCGGAAGGTTTACAGCACAAACCTATTATGGCCAGGAAAAATCCGAGGGCCAAAGATGAAACTGAAAAACACATCCAGTTGTCTAGGCGCCCTTTGTGATCCTACAGGACAAGTTTATAGAAAAGTAGGTGGTCAGTTGACTCAGCCGTTAACAATCAATCAACAAGAAAATTTCAAGCCACAATTTTCATTAGATGTGGCAGAGGACCATAGAGTTAAGATTTTAAGAACTCGTAACATTGAAAATGCCAAAATTTTACAGGCCACTGAGGTTTGGAAACATGATACATGATCTCACCTGAAGATGGGCTAGAACATGACCATATTGTAGTCCAATTATGCATGAAACTGCAGCTGTTATGGAGCTGCGAACAAGTGAAAAGAATTGAAATCTCTCTTCCATTACTACCGATCAACATAACTTGGATACTAATATAAAACATAAAACCAACATAACATATAATTTGCTGTTAAATAAAATTTTTCTTGCCAAACGACTATGAGTCGAAAATCAGAGAAGAAAGTAAGCATCTGGAAAAATGAGTACATTTTATCAATATCTACTATTTATTCTGTAGAAAACAAACCAAGGTTCTATTAACAGAAGGAAATAATGTACAAAGAGATCACACATAAAATGTAAAAACTTGAGGTCAGTCAGGTAACTGTTCAAAAAATAAAGACCTCTAGGTGAATATCAACTTTGTCATATCACTGGTACCTTGTCATATTGTATCAATAACCAGTAATGAAATACTTTGCTTAAAGGAGAACATCTTCTAACGTTTTCAGATCAAGTTTCACACACAGTCTGATTGCAATTAAACAGCTTGCGATGAGCACTATTTTACATATAGAAAGTTAATGGTTGTAATTCCATGAGATCACTGATCAGAAAGGATATCATGTCAATTTGCAAAAGAAGACTCAAATTGCACCCAGCCAACTGTGAAGATAGAAAGGCAACAACTCTCATAAAGGACTTTAACCAACAGAATTCCGGGAAAATGTTAGAAGTTCACACTGTTTACCTTAAAATGCCTTCGGGATCAAAAGGAGCATAACACCATGAAGGCGAGCTATCTGAAACTTGCCCCTTACCAGACATATTGCACTCCTGGAAGTTAGATCATCAACAGGAACTAACACATCACATTATGCTAGAATGTATAAAGCATTGAACAAAGAAATGGGATCAACTATATGATACCTTAAGATTTCTGTAAACAGGCTTTCGGTATAGATGGTTAAGACCGAGAAAATAGCGATCAATCATTCCGGCAGAATTACAGGCAGGTCCAAGATCACCTCTCACCGAACAATTCACCTGATATTGAGGTGAAACATAGCAAACATTATGAATTAAGTATTTGGAATTTTTTCACTGGTATGTTGTCAAACAAATGAATTTTAAACACGAATGAGCAGATAAACTTTTTGACAATTAGTAAGCATTGGACAGCTAACTACAGAGTAAAATTTGGTAAGAATTAAAAATTGAAGGCAACGGTAGGAAAGTGTGGATATTACTATAAGAAACATTTAATCATCCATAAGCTGTAATTTGAACAATACCTCATGTACATTTCCACCGTAACCTTACCAGCAAATAGTATCAATTTTCTTTCACCATAGAATTTTCAATATTGAAAAGCAGGAAAGTCAGATGCAAAACAAAATTGAAGCAAATTAAAGATAGCAAACTAAGAATAAAGGGTGGTAAACTTATTCTCACCTTGTAAATATCGCCGCCACCAACTGGAGGCAATGAAGAGGTTGAGGCTGATACATCGAACTGCCAATCTGGAACATATAGGCCATACAATAATCCCGAGTAAAGTGCCAACAATATTACAGCTACAAACCTGCATAAAAAAATTGTAAAATTAAGAGCAAAGGAAAATTAAATAAAAGAAATATGAGTATGTTGATTGCGATACTCGAAGAACATATTTTGCCAATTTTAGTCAATGTGAAATGGAATAATCCCGCTATTATATTTAATTTTCGACTAACATCTTTGGGTTCGGACTTTGTATTTTGGAGAGTGCCAAGTTCGATGTAAAATTTTACTTTTAAAATGTCCTGTGGCAGCAGATAAGTGTCCCAGATCGCATTGATCAAAAGGTGATTCTGGTCTAGAGACAATCTTAATACGGCAAAAATATACACACGAGGGCCCTCAATTTTAATAGCATGGAAAACAAGACTGACAGGAAAACCTTACCAATGCCAGTAATAACTTCTGAAGAAACCTAATTCTTTCCACCTTGGAGCTGGAAGCCAGATCTCACATAAAGCTGCAACAATGTATCCAATAGATATCCTCTGGATTCACAGATCAACGTGTCAAATTCATCAGCGACTGCAATTAACATCTATAAACGAAATATTGATATACTATTTGCTATGAACCATTATTTATTAGCTATCCTAATTACATCAGTTACAATTCTTTGTAAGTCAACATAGCACGAAAAGTAGTCAACATATAATGAAAGAAACTATTTTAAAGACGGGTGTAGTCAGGTACCTGCAAAATGCCCATCCATCTAATTCTTTCAATGTCAACACCATAAGTCAAGGAAGTTATCCCGTGAAAATAACCACCTGAAATGAAGACATCGTGTTTATTTAACTGGTGAAACCAGAACGACAGAAACAAGCTAAGAAGATATTACCTTGAAGAACAATACCAAGAATAAAGAGTTTCGCTGCTCTAGCTAAAACTTTCAATGTAGCTTCGGTTCTCTGAGGCCTTCTCTGACGTATTATTAGAAAATAGGTGAATGGTGATTCTTCAAAATGTCATATTGAAGGAATGCAGAGTATGTAATCTAAAAAAGAATTGGTACCTTATAAACAAGGGCTAGAGAGATTCCAGCAATAAAGAGAAAAAACGGCATGACAAAATCAGCCAAGTGAATCCCATTCCAGGGGCCATGGGCAATGATAGGCAAGATGGAGCCCACATAGTCGACCAGGATCATAAGCTGAAAGCAAAAGCAAAGTGAACGGATAGCCTTGTGTTCAAGCAAAGTTATAGAATACGATGAATCATTTTATAATAGGTTGACCAAGCAAGAAAGAAAGAGTGAGTTACAAAAACAGAGAGGCCGCGGAAGACGTCGACGGAGGCTATTCGGGTGGGTCGGGCGTTTTGGAACTGAGTGGGAGGCTCGGAATCGTTGAGGAGCAGAGGCTGTGACTGTGGATCAGCCATGAAAGTACGGCTTGTGTTTCATCAGATGGATTCGAAGAAAACAAAGGTACAGAAACTGGCAATGGATGTTTTGTTTTGAGGTGTTGACGTGTTGGTAACAGCGTAAGTAAGAGGCAATGCTAAAGTAACGAATTGAGAGGGAGAAGAGAAGACGGAGTGAGAACCTAGGAATATGCTTTTGCTGACAGCTTGGCGCCACTTGATTGGGTCCCTGGGAGCAATGTTTGAAACTTTTTTCATATACTCACGACATAGCTAAAATATCACAACTACAAGTCTTCATTGTCAAAAATTATGTTTGGTTTCACGCGATCAATTTTAAAGAAATTATTATTTTCTAGTTAAATAGACCAAACTACTCTATGGGAATTATTCTGTTATAATATATTACTTAAAATAAATAAATAAATAAATAAATTTAACCAGATTTTACTGAGGATTGAGAAACTTTCTTATAAACTTATGATTAATTTAAAAATAATATTTAATAAAAATATCATTATTTTAAATAAAAATTATTAAAAATCGACAATAAATCTAAACTCAAGCCAAAGGGTCAAGAGAAAAAATGCTGGTTACAATGCAATGAGATCCTAGGCAAGCATCCTAAACCTTGAACTAAAAGCTTCTTCATATTCAATACCAAACAAACTTGAATAATAATTATTTCATAGTAATAGTATTACTGTTATCCATCGGGAGCATCATTTGCCAAAAGCAAAGCCACCGTCCACCCTAAGATCAAGGCCAGTGACAAACGCTGAATCATCAGAAACCAGAAACAAGACGGCGTCAGCCACGTGTTTGGGAGTGAGGACCACTCCTTGCAGCCTCGCGTATTGGGCATAAACCTCTTGCACCTTCTCCTCGCTCATCCCTAGTATCTTACTAGTCATCGGCGTTGCCAACCCGTTGGGTGAGACGCAGTTCACCCTTATCCCGTGCTCCGCAAGCTGCACACTCGCCGAACGCATCAACCCCAACACCGCGTGCTTCGACATGATGTAGTCCGTTAACCTTGGGCCACCGTGGCTGCCACCCACGCTCGCAGTGCACACTATGCTTCCCCTCACGCGCCTCTCCACCATGGCACGCGCCGCGTGTTTCACGCATGCTGCCATTCCACGGGCGTTGACCGCGAAAAGACGGTCCAATTGGGAAATGTCGAGTTGAGTTACGGTCTGGTCGGAGGGACTAATGATCCCAGCGTTGCTGAACATGATATCCACTTGTCCGTAATCGTTAACGGTTGATTGGACGAGGTTCTGTACTTGTTCTTCTTCTGCCACGTCACAGTGCACGTAGGTGCACCTGTGGGTGCCAATGGACGCAGCCACTTCATTGCCCAGCTCGTCTTGGATGTCAGCGATCACCACCATACGGGCGCCTTGCTCCGCAAAGACACGCGCCGTCGCTTCGCCAATGCCACTGGCTCCTCCGGTGACTATGGCTATTTTGCCTGTTAGCCTGTTTGTTGTAGTGGATGCAGGTTCCGCCATTCCTCTATTAGGATTAGTATTATGGAAAAGACTAAACTGTGAACAGGCAAGGAACCTCTATATTATGAACAAGATTTAGTTGCATTGGAAAATATGCAATTCCAAAAATTGGAAAGTGTTGTTCGTTTAGTTTACTGATTAAAATTAAAGTTTTATTTTAATAAATAATTTACATATAACTTTATTACATATTACTTTAATTTTAATTATTTCAAGTGAATACAAAATTACTTGTCTTCATCAGCCAACCCAACTCTTGTATGTATTTTAATTCCAATTCTTAATTTCTTATATACTTTTATTTTATTTTATCGTATTATTAGTACGTTTATTTTTTATTTATCTCTTTTGCATCCGTTTTTCCTACACCAAAAAATTGGAATATAAACCTATAATTATTCTCGTAACTTTTACACTCAAAGCCAAATCTTAAAAGCATATTTAATCGTCACACTTTTCTAAGTTTATTACTTTTTTATTTAATAATTATTGTGTGAGACGTACAATGATATATCATTCTTTTCAAATTTTCTATCATTTGAGCAACGTTTTATTATTGAATACCATGCTGGCGGTCTGTGTCAGCGAAATTATATAAGCAAAAGGTCTTAATTTTAAAAAAAAGACAATATTTCCTGTTGGAAATACACTAAAAGATGTGAATCATGATAGAAGTTTAATATTACTACGTCTTGTATTACAATATAATAAATGTCCAAGATTGATCGAATCAACAGATGCTAATAATTGTACGTATCGACTAATTAAAGACGAAGTCAATACATGATTCTTGCTGCCAGCTACTAACTAGAAAACTATGTTGGTAAATACGTAAATGATTCGTAAACCATCAAATCAAATGGGACAATCTCCACGTTTTTATATATGGATGTGTTATGGGGGAAAAATAAAATAAAAATTATATATATATATATATATATATATATATATATATATATATATATATATAATGTAAAGTTGTGAGAAAAGCATCCCAAGTGTTTATTTCAAAGTTTGCTTTTTTATTCCTGGAGAAGTTGAGGTATGTTACAAAATGTTATTAAGTTTGTTTCAAGTTTTGAATACTCATTCTGAAGTCAATCTTATTCTCTAGTCGGAACTGGGAATGATTCATATTTGTTCTTTCTATGTGGGGAGGGGTGTGTGCCGAGCACACGCAAGGGGAAGGGCGAGCACGTGGGAAAGTGGGTGTTTGTGTGCCATTTGATTTGCTGGATCTGCACTTTATGTCACCAATGTCCGACAAAACTTGGTTGGCCCAATAGCGACACAAACCTATCCAATCCAAATCTACAACCACTACCTCTCACAAATATTGAACCGGTCAAAAATGACAACGCCCGAATACTATTACTTGTAAGCATAACATTGTGAACCCTAGTCTCATTTAGGGACTTTCTTCTTGTCCCTTTGTTTTTGCCTCTCTGGTGATGGTGATGAGATATTCAGTGATTGTTGCTTTCACGAGAGAATCACCAATAAGGGACGCTATTAATTTGTACAACCAAATCATGCTAACATGAGAAGAGTATAGATACACATTAGCATCATTTAAACCACACACTAAGGATCCAAGAAAATTTCATAGTTGCAAATTTTCATCATTTTACATGCTGTAAATAATCTAATTTAACATGAATTTCACCTTTGTCAATAGTTTCAAGTTGGTAATTGTGTTTATCCCATGTCAGTCCTTTTTGGGTCATTTTTTAAAATTCCAGTAGAGGACTTATAATAGACCATACAAGAGAACAAAAATGAAGAAAAGATAAGAGAATGAGGAACACAGCACATTAAGAAGAGATTAATATCTTATACACGGGACAGTAGTAAGTAGAGCATATCAGTGTGCTGTGTTTATATGGTAGTCGATGTAAAATTGCACCATGTGATTGATAATAATATAAATCATGTCAATTGCTAATAAATTTCGTAAAAATGTTTAATGCAATGTAACGGTGTAGGTATATTTTAAATCCGAAAATAATTACTATACTAATTAAAGGTTTTTTAAACTTGAAATACTCAAAATTTTACCATATTAATTTTTGGCTATTCTAATAACATTTAAGAGAATATATTTTTACAAGTTTACAATTTAAAATACATTTACATAAAATTTATCACATTTTAAACCTTTAAACTACTCCTCACTTTATCCTTTAGTTTTTTTATTTTACTTTAGAAATAAATAGAATTACAACAATTAAGTTATAACAAAATATACGAACACGTATAATAAATTATGCAATGATTTAAACTTATTTAAGAGTGAGTAAAATCCACAAAAGTCGGCATTGACTATAAAACATTTTATGGCAATGGGAAAATGTTTGGGGTTATAATTTTAAATTTAAATTGAACAAAGAAAAAATAAACGATGAAGAGGGTAGGGTTAGGTAATAGAGTAATAGGGGGTTTTATTTGAAGGAAAGAATCTGAGTTCTGGGATTCATTTGTGCATTTGCAGATAGAAGCCATGGATAGGCTTCTATCATCGTCTTCACCCCCTTCCCTTAAATCTTTCAGGTCTCTTACGTTTCTCAGTCGATTTCAATCTGCAAGATTAAGTTTTTCTCCATTAACACGTTCTGACCTGAAGCAGGCAGCCACAATTTGTTGCAAGCATGGAAACCCATCTCCATTCTCGTCTTCTACTCCCTTTCTCGCTTCTTCCTTGCAGCCCAACAATTTTCCATCCGTTTCTTCATCTCAAGATCTCTCCACACCCGAATCCCATTCTCTCAATCAGATCCTAACTGGGCCTTTTCAAAAACCAACGGTATAATTCTACTCTGACCAATCATTCTTGTCTAAGACTCTCGCTCTTTTTTCTTTTTGCGGTCATTTGTTTATTCTTGGTCATTTTCATGTTAATGTTTCATGAGAAAATTCCATTTTGTTATTTAAATTGAAGAGTAAAATATATAGAATTCGAATTTCATATTTGTCCATATAAATCTGTTATAAGCTGACTGACGCCTTTCGACCATTTTGAACTGAGGGTGAAGAATCTCCCTTCCAAAGATAAACTAAAGCATTGTTTCTTGTTAATTTAGTACAGCTGTTATGCTACTGTTTCAAACTACAAACTTGCTTTTTGTTTTTTTTCTCTTCTCATTCCGTGCACAAAAAAAAAAAAAAAAAACTATAAACTAGGAGGTGTGGGTAGCTCCTTGGTGATCTTGTGTGGTTTTTTACCTATACCATTTGACCAATGTCTGTCTTTAATTACTTATCTGTGCCAATAAAGCATGATCATCTAGATACTCGTCATGGGCAATTGAATAGAGACATGAATATACGGGAAAGCTGTGTTGCATATTTCCGTTTTGTTGTTTTGTTTTGGATGATATTCTTCATGAGTTTCTTTATAGGCTCCTTGTACATAATTTATAGTACTTCGTTTTGTCCTTGATATTTTAAAAATCCAGTGTATAAATAGATCTTAAGAAAAAAAATCCTCTATGCTTTTTTGTCTCAGGCAATAACAGCTCGGACGCTTGTAATACTCTCTGCTCTTGTTGTGATCTTAATCCAACCAGCCATTGCACCAGCAGCTTTTGCAACCTTTCAAACTGCTGCCAAGACTGGTGGTCCTGCTGCTGCTGCAGTTGGTAGAAAACTACTCCGCACTGAGCTTCTAAGTAGTGCTTGGACTGGTTTCTTTGCTGGCTGCTTGCACACCTTATCAGGCCCTGACCACCTTGCTGCTTTGGCTCCGCTGTCAATTGGTCGTACTCGAATGGAGAGTGCTGCTGTTGGAGCCCTTTGGGGTTGTGGCCATGACGCTGGCCAGGTCATCTTTGGCTTGATATTTTTAATCCTGAAGGATCGACTCCACATTGAAATTATCCAAACTTGGGGCACTAGAGTGGTGGGTCTTACCCTGCTAATAATTGGTGTTATGGGAATTAGAGAAGCTTTGGAAGTGCCTGCCCCATGTGTTGCCTTAGAAAGTGGTGAATGTGACATCAACACATATGAATCACTTGAGAATCCAAAAGTGGGAAAGAAGAAGATTGGTTTTGCTACTTTCGCCACAGGGATAGTTCATGGACTGCAACCAGATGCATTGATGATGGTGTTGCCTGCCCTTGCTTTGCCTTCTCGTTTGGCTGGTGCTGCATTTCTCATCATGTTCTTAATTGGAACTGTAATTGCAATGGGAAGCTATACGGTGTTTATAGGTTCATGTAGCCAGGCACTAAAGGATAGAGTACCAAGGATAACTGAGAAACTCACCTGGGCTTCTTCCCTTATTGCAATAGGCCTTGGATTTGCTATCATTATTAGCCAGTTTTTTGGATTTAGTCTGTATTAAAACATCTTTATTCAGCAGGGAACTTTTTTTTCTTCTTTACCAACAGCGTTTTGGGGTTTCAAAAAGTTAACACGTTAGAGATATTTGTTTCTTTGGAGCTAGTGCATTATCCAGGCAAGATGTGAAATTGATAGTCGATTAATTGACCTTGCTTTTGAGAGTGTGTAACTGTACGCAAGCCCAATGATTCTGCGGTTCAGAACTGCATAGCTCTTTTCTTTTTACTAGGTTCTCAAAAAGCTATATGTATTATGCCTTGACAGCCTTGGAGTTCACTGCTGTATTTCATTAATAAGTGAGAATCTTACAACAAAAACAGCACAGAAAATTAGTCTGTATTTAGGGTTGGATTTGTATACGTGATGGAAATGCATGTCCTTTTGTTGCTAATCATAATTTTTTGCACAGTAGTACTCATTCTGTCAGCAATTCATCTGTATCACATGTTCCTTGCATATCTGTTTTACCTACTACCGTGTGTCCTGCAACTTCTATATACTGATGCTTTTGATGCCTTACAAAATCCTTCATCTCCTATTAATCGTCAGTCATGTCTATTTGATACCACTGTCACTGTCCCTAAGCCTAGTGATGCCATCCCAGGCTGTTTCTCCTCATTCTGCTGTAGTTACAAATCGAGCTACTACTGCTAACACTCACTCTGTGGTGACTATAAGCAAAGCGACTATTTTTAATTCAAAAGTATATACTGAAACTTCCATTCCTCAGTCAAAGCACCGAAAGAATGACACTAAACCAAAGTCTGCTCTTGCATAACAACACATGGACTCTCACTGCTCTACCACCTTATAGAAAATTTAACAGGTTCTATGTGGATCTTCAAGGTAAAAAGGAATGTTGATGGCACAAAAAACAGGTACAAGGTATATTAGGTTGCTAAGGGATTTCATCAGCTAGAGGGTTTTATTTTTTCTGAAACTTCTAATCATGTCAAACCAACCATGATCTAAGTTATACTCGTCATTCCTCTCTCTATCAGATGACCTATTCATCAAGTTGACATCGATAATACTTTTCTCAGTGGTGATTTATACGAGGATTCCTTTATGACTCAACCCTTGGGCTTTTAGAACAAGGAAATGGACATTTGTAAATTGTATCCAGATTAAACAAAACTCTTTATGGCCTCAAATAGGTTCCAAGAGATTGGTTTCAGAAACTGCATTCTTTTCTTATAAGTAAATGGTTTCAATTTGTTAAATCTAATGTTTCTCTTTTCATTAGAACTACTTCATCTACAACTTTTATATATATATATATATATATATATATATATATATATATATATATATGTATATATATATATATATATGTCATCATCATTGGGAGCTCAACTTAGGCAATTCAGGACTTCAATGTTTTTTAGAATAAAAAAAAGCAATTATAAATTAAAGCGACAGTAGACACATGGAGTGGCAATAAACACTTTCGAGCATTTCTTAAGATCTCAATTAATTTCTCGAAATTCAAATCACTCAGATTTTAACTCAATTCTCCTAACCTAAAACAAATATATGGTATCGCTGGTCTCAAACATAGTGTCCACGATCCTACAAAAGTATACGATCCCAGTTTGCATAGCTCCATTTTAGGAGAACTTCAGTATGTTACAATTACTAACTTGATGCGGCATTTGCTGTCAACAAAGTCGATGCATGCTCCAAAAATGTCTCATTGGCAAGCTGTAAAACAAATTTTAAGGTATCTCATTGGAACACTGTCTTACGGTATGAAATTTTCCAAGTCCGACAGCTCAACATTTCAGATGTTGCTGACAGAAAATTCACCACTCGATATTGAATCTGTCTTGGTAAACACTTAATGCCTTGAACTTCTAAAAAGCAACATGTAGTGTCTAGATCGAGCATTGAGGCAGAATGTAACAGAACTCTTAAGTTTCTTTCATAAAAAAATTGTGTTAAGATTTTCTTGTTGAGATAGCCATCTGCTAGGAAATTAAAAAATATATGGAGATTTTCAGATAAACAAAAATCATCTAGATGTGATTGCCAATTTGCCAAATTTAAAAGTTTATCTGTTTACTTTCAAATGAGACATCGCATCCAAATAGCGAAACCTAGAAAAAGACCATGAATTGAAAAGTTGTATGTTTGATATCAAAACATGCTCGGGGATATGCTCCTGACTATATCTTATATCAACATTTAAGCACATCTTCTACATGAGAATATTAATTTAAAAAATTAAAGTTTCTATACTATACTTCTTTTGCGTTCTGCATACAGGACAAGCTTGGAGAAAGGCCTCACAATTTCTGCAAGAACAAAGGTGTCTGCAAGGAAGGAACATAAAACACGAGCTTCGAGAATTACAACCTTTGCAAATTTGTTCTTCCATTCCCATGTCTCTCCTAATTTCATCACAGCAGGATTCAACATCTTCCATCGCCATCACATGAGAAGCTCTTTCTTTCATCTGTTCTAAAGCGTTATGTAGCGATAATACCATAGTTTCATTTTCTTGGGCCACTCGTCTCCACGATTGATTTTCTGCTTCTAGCCTTCTCAAAAATTCTTCTAACTCAATCCTTTTCTTTGCTGCTTGTGCTAATTGCTCGTCTTTCTGACTTAACATATAAAATGCGTCCGATTCTACCTTTTCTAACAATTCTGCCACTTGTTGTGCTCTTTGCTCTTGCAACAAAATTCTGAGTTTTTCGGTCTGGCATAAACAGGAAAATAAAAAGACAATTAAACTATGTTCCACTTAAACTCAAACTCAAACTCACTTGTGAAGATGAGCTAATATGCCATAAAATATTCGAACTAACCTGTAATATGATATAACGATCAACCTCATTGTCCTTCAGTTCGCCAAACTCAAGTGCCAAGTTCTGAGAAATTGGCGTTAAAGATTGAATGATGTGATTGTACTTGTCGGAATGATTGCAGCTAGAGAAAAATAAAAGAGTGGGATCATCAACAAACATATTGGGATTCATCTGGGTGGCTGTGTTGTAGAAGAGACAATACAGATGAGGGTGTTGAGAATTGAAACAGGATCGAGCATTTATCATCAAAGTGCCTCTGAGCAAATATATTTATAGTTAGGAGATATAAAAGGGTAACTGAAATGAATGGAAAGATTGGAATTGAAATAAAAAAAAGTAACTGAAAATAGGATACTGCGGAGTTTCTCTCTCTATCTCTTCATTGAACTTTCTTCCTCTTTTTTCTCAATCAATCGTCAAAGCATTAAAGAAAAAGGAGTGCGGGACGCGGTAAGCAACATGCAGATTTTGTGACTGAACTATCGGGTCAGAGGCGTTTGTTTGTTTTTGAATACAAATTATTCAATTCCTTTGCGGAGTGTGTCACATAAATGTCTGTTTCCATTCATAAAAACAGTCTCAGATTTTTCAGCAGTTTCATCGTTTGCAATGGAAAAGGATTCACAGCGTAGGATTTACTCCCCACAACTGAAGCTTAGCCTTCTTGTTTTTGTCGTTTCTATATTTCTAACAATTTTCCCCCATAAATCTCCACGTCCTTTCAAGATATGTTGATTATTTTTTTATTATGGCATAGATTAAATTATAATATCGTATTAGCTATGACATCAGCAGTAAATGATATTCCGTATATTGATTATGTACAATGACGGTTTCTATGTATATTGCCAAATTTATTTTAGACAAAAATCCTGTCAAAACAGAACTACATTAATTTAAAATATAACACTACTATTTAAGGATGAGGATTCAAACCATTTTCATACCCGTGATCAAAATTTGAATTCATTAAATTTAAATTATTGTAATCCTAAGTTTTGTGCTGACACTATAATAATAAAAATTAAAAGGAATTTTTCAGTTTAATCTTAACTTAAATGTGATTTTTTTTTTTTATTCTATCTCTTTAATTTTTTTATCTAATATAATAAAATATTACTCTTTTTTAGTCCATAAAATTTATTAAATTTAAAACTAACCATGTAAACAGTTCGGCGTTAAGATAATATTTGTTAACACAATCTTTCACCTAACCAAAAATAAATTAATTATTAATACAAATTTTAAAAGCTTATACTAACAAATAATGCATTATACTAATATATAATCGATTGAACATTAATGTTTTACAAATAAAATTTATTTATTAGTATAATATATTTAATATAATTCATGATATTTATACTAACACTTTACTTTTTATTAAAAAAAAAAATAAACTAACAAGGTTTTTGCTTTGGTACCTTTATATTTTTAAGAGTCTTGACATCTCTTTTGAATAAACCAACAAGTTTCAAACATGTATATTATATTTAACATTAATTATGTATCTTTTTATCCTCTAATTAAATTTTTATAATGTTATTAGAAAAATCACCACTTTTGATTTTTAAAAATACGATTTCAACTTGAAAAGTTAGAAAGTTTATACGTGTTGTTTCATGAAACATTAATTTATTTTCTATCATATGCGATCTATTTTAATTTAAAGCATATAAATACCAAAGTGGTAATCATTCAGTCAATACTAACAATGTCGCGCATTAATCTCTTAAAAAAACGGAAGTATACACACATATATTTAAGATAAAAGATAATATGTTGCAATTTAAACACATAAAGAACTGGGAAAGTGAAATCCATCCTAGTATTTCTTTATGTCAATTAAACCTTTAATAGTCTTCTCGATATACAAGCAGAGTTGTTGGCCACGATTTGAAGTCATTCATCATTTTCTACAAATAAGTTACAGCAACATTGCGGATATATAATTCCGATTGGAGCAACAACCGAGATCTTGATTTGAAGATAAGATGCATGTTCTCTTAATCTCAGCTAACCAATTACGCAGAATTAAGCAATTTTAACTTAACTTGGTTACAAATTGCTTTCGGAGTGGTTGATAGTGTGTATAAACCTTCTCATCCACCAAAAGCCAAGGGCCAAAAAGTACACGTAATAACCTTGAGTTATAATATATATAATGATCTTGAACTCGGTTAAGTTTTGGACTTTATATCTTTCTAGAACTGCACATGCAACAGGAAGGCATGAGCATATATGACCCCACCCCACCTTAGACGCTTACGGGGGAATCCAAAATCACGGAAACGATATAGCAGTTTATGTCAGGCAACACCTCAAACACAAAAAGTTAAAAATACAACCGTGTTTCCTTTCCCTAGGTGTTTCAGAAAAGTCCTAACGTGTATATTTTATTTGATATATTTTGTAAGCATTGAAATTGGATTTGGTTTAGCAAAAGAGTGGAAAGTGAGGCAGATGGGGAAAGCAGAAACAGTAAGGATATCTGAATGTTATGGTGTGGTGAGTGATGATGAGAGGTGATGGACCCACGTGCAGGCCACCCACCATGAGCGGCTCTTGCGCAACCGCACCCAATGGTAGGGTGCAATCCATGTGAAACCAACCTGTATTACTATGCAAGTATCACACCCCCCATTGACTCGGTTTTGCAATCAAAGAAAACCCATCTTTCTCTTTCTTTTTCTCTCGTGGAATATGGGGTTTTGCTTTGTTGAAACTAATTATTAAAGACGGGGATGTTCCAACACGCATAGCCCATTTCTCGTATTTGATGCAAAAAGTCTTCGCTGAAACTTCTCAACTACTTGTCTTTGGTTTTAGTTTTTGAACTTTGAGCAAAGCGACATGCAACTTATGCAGCAAGCTCAGTCCCACCTCCACCTCCCCAAGTTATTTGTCCGTAGTGGACTCAAAAGAATCGGTCACAAAAATCAAGTCCTTCAACGTCATTATTCCTCACTTTTGGACTTTGATTTTGGACAGTCACAAATAATGGATCGTTGTTTCAAACCAAAGAAAATCTTTGGTGGAGCGAGTGGACTGGGTCCCTCATTATGTGATTATTCCATCTACTCCCTCATACTATATTACATTGCTGTGCAGGTCAAATTCAAAGTCTGCGCAATGCCTCAGTTCAATTAAACTATCTTGTACCAACTTCTGAGCCACCCTTGCAAACCTTGCATAAATCAAATTGCATCATAAAATGTCGTATGAGTAACATTTTACATAAACACACCCACAACCGCAACTTATTGTTATTAATTGTTAGCCAAACTCAATAAGCTAATCACTCAAGGTTTATTACATCTTTTTAATTTATTATGTATGACTATGAGTACTAAGTAGCTAAAAATTGTACGTTAGCATTTCCCCATATATAGTCATGCACAATTAAAAGTGACGCTATCATTTGAAAAATAGTGATGCAAATGTAATTGGAGTTTGCCCCATTTAATTTCACATGGGCACGCCAGAGATACACCGTTGATTAAGCACCGAACTTGCTCACTTCACCAAGTTATGCTATTGGTATATCAAAACCCTATCCTACTCCACCACAAATTTGAGTTGAAAAGAACCATCTACTTTTGGCAGGTTTTCATTGATCACGGTATTATTATTTATTTCTGACTCGAATGGGTTAAAGCAGAGGCGATTCAATGCTTTTGGTAATCTAAGGACCACCGCCACAGTATATATAATTGAGGGTAAGTTGGTGAATTCGTCCGTACATGCCTTGGCTGAAACGTTGCCGTGGAAGTGACAAACAAGTTGCGTGGTCTTTTCTTCAAAACGACAACCTCTGCCTGATCCTTTTGTTAGTATTTACAATGACAGGGATATTAGATAATACGATTTGTACGTTTTATTGTTAGTAGTCAATCATGTTTTCGACATCTACTGATCCACGTACGTAATGCTAATTTTCCACACCTTTAGATAAATAAGAAAAAAAAAAAAAGCGATAGAATAATGTTGAGTTTAATCATTGTATTGCGGTCGCCTTCTCTAAAAAAGAGAGGTATTGGCTCTCTATACTAATTTTTTTACCGCCTCATACATAAATATTCTGTTTAGTCATTAATTATGCAATCTTCAATAAAATGTATACTTCATCGAAGTTGCAATGTTTTTAATACACAACTATACAAGTAACAACAAATTGGCTGGTGCAGAGTAGTTTGTTGCCATTGCCTGCATGCATTTGCACATGTTTTTGGTCCTTGTGTCACCAGAGATAATAGAGAACTACTAGTGTTTCGATATTAGCTGACAACTTAATAAACTGCAGAGAGGAGAGGATTAAAAGAGGTAAGGACAAATTGATTGAATATAAAAGTTTAAGTCGGTTAACAGATCTAATTCCATTAGTTTTATCTAGCTCACAGGTTCCAAATAAGTAAAACCTATACTTTCACATTATATATGTGTGAAGCTAAACTGTGACGTTATTCGTGTTTGTTTTTCCATTAATTAATTGACAACAAACAGTACACACATCAGTAAACGCTACCTAACATTTTCCCTTTACCTTCTTTTTGTTTTGGTGGTGGAAGTTGAGGGTGTTTCAGATTAAATTGCAAACACAGATCAAATCAAAGTAGAAAGTACAAAATCAACCACAATATTTTAACTTAATATAAAAGTGAAAATCGAATCTTTTTTTATTTATATATTTTTGTGTAGGTGAGAAATGAGTGGGATAGAGAAAGATAGTTAATGTGATGATGTGAGGATTGAATTCTCATATGCTTTCTACATTGGAGGCCGACACACGCAAGTCATGTGAATTTTGAAAGTGTCTCTTTGTGGGGGAAGGACCCATCTCGATCCCATGCATGGCTTTGCTTGCACACATCTTGTTGTTATATGGGGTCGCTTTTCAATGCCTAACGCAAAACAGAGAAAGGATAGAGCTAATGAGCTTTTGAGTGTTTCTCGTGCAACATTGACTAACACTCCCCACTACATGTTCCTTTTATTGTTTACCAGTGAGTCAGTCTGTGTGAATAACAGCAAGTGGATATGCATGGATCATTCAGTCATCCAACTACACACCCCATACCCTCATATTTCTTTTTCTCTCTCATCATAATTAGCTCTCCTTTCAAAGCAAATCTAAATGTAGTCCATATTTTTTTTCTCTTCCTTCTCATTCACTTGTTTCCCAGAGACTTCACAATTGAGCAATTTTGTAATATTATAAACTGATTGATCCTTTCAAAGATAAATAATTATGAACATAAGTTTACGCATAACTGTATCAAATTACACCTGTGGATGTAATCTGCTTCCCCTATCAGCATCCGGCTTGCTGCATGTAATTTTACTGGTGTGAATATTGTTGTCTTTTTCAAAGATACTTCAGGTTTAGATAAAAAAAAAATCTAACAAAAAATATATATTATGTACTAACATTACTTATTATCAAATATAGAATACTTTATTTTTCTTGTTGATTTTTTGTAATTTTAATTTTTCAATACCTATATTGTAACTATAACTGAATTTGTCATACATATGTCCATCATATTTTGAAGTATTTTTTAATCTATACATTTTAAATTTTATCTTAATTTAAAATACTTATCCACTGCACATATATTTTCATTTTATTATATAAACAAAGGGCTAGGGGTAGCCTTGTTACCTTGTACCCTATTTAACCCAACGTTTTATTTTTAATATTGGCCCATGCTGGAAAGCTTCAAAACATTGGGCCTAATTTTGGGTCAGTATCCCCGGGTTCTGTATTAATATACATGGCCCAAGACTTCGGCTAAGGAGATTTCCTTGCACCCTTTTTTCTATATGACACCCTTTTAATTTAATTTTTTTGTTATTTTCAAAATTATCCCTGTCTCTCCCTGCACACACCCCTATCATTATTTTTACAACAACTTACTTTGTTTTCCATAGTCTCCACCAAGCTCTCTCCTTTCCTCATTATCTTTGTTGATTTCATACAATTCATTGTGATATTGACTCATTTGTTAAGTGATTCCAACTTTTGTATTATTTTACTTGCATTAAAAATCACAATAGGTGTGTATTTAATGACATTTATTAACAAATACTTATAATATTATTTGTTAAAGTTATAATATATACAACATGTAAAAGTTAAACTAAAAAAATTCAATTATAAGAATAAGAAAATATAATACATTTTGTTTATTTACATAACGCTTTTTTAGTTGGTTTTCATAAGAATAAGTAATTCTTATCTATTTAACTCAATTCTAAATAATTATATATGACAAATACTTAATATAAGTAACTCATTAAACAATATATTTTAAATATTTTATGAAATAATATGATAACTAGATTTACAATTTTAAATTTAATGATTTTTTTAATTTGCGAATAAGGGAGAGAGGCGGGCGGGTTGTCGGGATTGAAATAGGATGTAAATTGGGTGGGAGCCACAGAGTGTTTTGGGACATTCAAATGTGTCCGTGGGCGGTTATCGATTCTGTAACGATCACCGTCCAGTCAGAGGGAGAGACACGTGGCAGTACAGATTTCATCCCCGTTATCTGAGATTCCAAAACACCGTAATGTTGTTGGTGGGGCCATGCACTTGGGGTTCCTTATAATCTATTATTCCACACTCATCTCACTCACCTCAGTGCTCAAGGACGAATGGGTGCCCTCGATCACATCTCGGAGCTCTTTGACTGTTCCAGTGGCAGTTCCAAGCTGAAGAAGCGCAAGCAGTTGCAGGTAGGTAACTTCGTTCATCATCAGATCCAGATCCAGATCCAGATCCAGTTCCAGAAGTTTTGTATTTCTAATAATAGATATGTCTCTGTGTCACTGATCAGACGGTGGAGGTCAAAGTGAAGATGGACTGCGAAGGATGCGAGAGGAAGGTCAGGAAGGCGGTCGAGGGGATGAAAGGGGTCAACCAAGTCGAAGTGGAGCGCAAGGCCAACAAAGTCACCGTTGTCGGCTACGTCGAACCCTCTAAGGTCGTCGCTCGCATCGCTCACCGCACCGGAAAGAAAGCAGAGCTGTGGCCCTATGTCCCCTACGACGTCGTTGCTCACCCCTACGCACCCGGAGTTTACGACAGGAAAGCCCCCTCCGGTTGTGTCCGAAACACCGACGACTCTCAGTATTCTCATCTCGCTCGTGCCAGCTCCACTGAGGTCCGCTACACCACCGCTTTCAGTGACGAGAACCCCTCTGCCTGTGTCGTTATGTGACTTTTAAATCTTCGCTTTCCTTTTTCTGTTCCAATTGTAATGTATATTCCCAACTCCTACTCACTCTGCTCGGGAATCAATCAATCAATGCCTTTCGCTGCCTATTGTAATTGTAATGTTATCTTCATTTTAAATTACTTTTGGTTTTTAGAATCTATGCTGATTGATGATTGGTTTTGAAAATTAGAGACAGCCTCGCTGGCTTTCCATAATTGAAGAAACCTCTTCTGACGGTGGAAACTGAAAATAATTACTTCTCACAATGCCAGCCTGTTTTGGAATCCCAATTCTGCAAGGAGAGCCCAAAAAAAATTATTTGGGTCATAGAAAAATTCCCCAAATTTAGTTTCAATACATGTTCTATAATTGAAGCAATCAGGCTACCTCAAACTTGATAAAAGACTAGCTCAAACTTAATCACACAAATTTGACCAAAGAAATAAAAAAACTTGAATGAGTTGGGCAAAAAAATAAACCAAAATTAATTCAAACCTATAAGTTGGTGTCCATGTCGTACACATTCTAACAGCCCTAATTGAGCCAGCGACCCATCAGTTATTATTAAAGGGAAACCTCAAATGGAAACCACCTCTCTTCAAATCTACTGGTCATTTCCTAATGGGAATGGGGCAGATTATTTATTTAACTGCCCCCCTACAAACTGTTACCTATTACTATAGGTTCCATAAAATTGAAAGAAGCTAATTAAAACTAGATGATCTGCTCCATTGTTCTTTCAAATGTTCATCATTGTGTGCTCTGTGGTGACTGTACTGCTATTTGATGCAGTGTCATAGTCCACATCAAGTAATGCCAGGCTCAGGTGCAAATCTGCACTTGAATTTGGATAGACTTCGTCATCAATATTTTCTTGATTTTCAGAATCATTCTGGTAGGCGTTGAAGAAGTTTTCAACTTTCCCGTCGTATCCTTTTAATATATTCAAAATCTGTGCATCATGAAACTGATATACTTCAGGAGCTAAACTTTATTAAAAATAATGAAAATGTGACTTCTACCATGGATTTAACAGCTTGAGAGTCATTGGTATTACCTGATTCAATGTTGGACGTAGCCGTGCAGCCCGTCTAATGCACAGAGATGCTGCCAGAACCATCTTTTGCATTTGAGCCTCATCAAACTTCTCTTGTAAATTTGGATCCAATAAACCTTCAACATCACCACTTTCTAATATTGGTTTTGCCTGAAAAATGAAATCATTGTTTATATGTAAATTCATAGAGATATATATTCTATATCGTTAAAATAAGTCAAAATTCAGTCTAAAATGTGGAGAGCTCTTACCCACGCGACCAAGCTCTCCTGTCCATTGCAAGTCTCAGAGCTGATAGGTTCCCTTCCTGATATTAGTTCAAGTAGCACTACACCAAAGGCATAGACGTCTATCTTGTCACTGACCTTTCCATACATGAAGTATTCAGGAGCAAGATAACCAAAAGTTCCTACTACGTCGTTATGAGTCATAAAAGATGAAGTTGTTGGTCCCCGTATGGCAAGCCCAAAATCAGATAACTGCCACATGTGGACAATAATAAGTCACATCATAAATTTCAAGCGTAACGTTACTTTTTTTCATACAAGTATCGTTCTACAAAGAACAATGTTGACCAGCCAAAAAAAAAAAGGAATTTTGATGAAATGCAAGGATGTATGAAATAAAGTGATAGGGACCATTCATCCATCCAAGAGTCAACATGTAAGTCACATTATTCGAACAAAAAAAAATGGTGGCAAAAGTTCTTCCTGTCTATCATTTTTCATCCAAAAAGAATTCCTCTCAATACTAAGTATCAAACTAACGAGTACCTGTGGCTCAAACCCATAGGAAAGAAGAATGTTTGAAGACTTGACATCTCTATGTATAATGGGCTTCGAAGTTTCATTGTGTAGGAAATTGAGTGCTTCAGCAATCCCAACAGCTACATTAAATCTGACTTCCCATGACAAGAATGAACCATCCTCGGTCTTGCCTATATCCATTTCTAGTTTCATGTCAGCGTCATATCCATTTTCAAGTAATTTTAACCATAGTTGAAAAGTGAAAAAAAAAATCACTGAAGCTTTACCGTGTAGATTTTCCTCTAAGCTTCCTTTGGGGCAATAATCATAAACAGAGATGAACGCACTGTCATCAACACAAATCCCAAGTAGAGGGGTGATGCTTTTGTGCTTTAATGAGGATATTATTTCCACCTCACGGGCAAAATCTTTCAAGGCTACTTTTGATGACTGCAGAACTTTGACTGCAATTGGCTTCCCATCAGGGAGGATTCCTTTGTACACACGGTTGCTCCCTCCTTTCCCAATCAAATTTTCTGTAACAGAATGCTAGTTAAACTTAGAAGAGAATTTTCCCAATCAAATTTTCTGTAAGCAGCAGTGTTTGTCTAACCTGAAGAGAATTGACAAGTGCAAGACTTAAGAACCTCAATGCTGAACCACCTGCAACTGAATGTATTAACGTTTAAAACCCTTTCCAGACTCTTTGGCAGTTCAACAGATGGAGCTGAAATTTTTTTGTAGCTCTCATCTTCGTTGTCATTAATGCCCCTTTCGGATGAATTGTCGTCAATGGTCGAACAGTGCTGATTTTTCTTCGGTGAACGATTTGGTAAGCTCATTACCCATTGCACAACAGGCATGTCCCTTACATGATGGGTCTGTGAGATTTCTGTATAGGCCCTGTGGAGAAGTGGCCACCCAAGCTTCTGCTCTGAGGGGTCACCCAACACTTTCATGCAACTTTGTGCTCCTTTATATGCATCTTCCTCCAATTCTCTGCTATCATCGCGAGTTAATTTCTCACTCTCCACCTTGGAGTCACCAAATTCAGAAAAAACCACTGTACTAAGGCTTGGTCTAGGATCCTCTATGAGACCACCTATCATAATTGGAAACAAGCTTATTATGGTTTCTTTTGCCACTGGGTGCTTGATTTTCTCATAAAGGAAGACAAGAAAAGTGAAGACTCGCATGATATACCAAACCTGGTAGTTTTTCATCGGTGAACCTTCTGAAGACAATTTTCGCACCTTGGATTGCCAGAACATTGGTGGTGGGTGGTAGTCGTTTGGCGCAATATTTAGCCGTGGAAGCTCCACCCCTGAAAAATGAAATTTGTCTTGGAATAATCAGAAAATCGGGGAATAAAAATGAATTATATAAACCCAATTTCGCAAACAAAATTTGTGAAATACAAGCTCGACATACCCTACCACTAGAGCCATAGCAGCACAGTTTTTTGCCTCTCTAACAAGAATATTTCGAAAGGAACTTCCTGTCAAGATCTGACAGGAGAGACCTACCTGAAATTCAACGTAGCCAAATACGTTATTCCTATGTACAAGTAACAATAATTGGGTGTATAACATTATTTTGTACGTACCTTTTTCACGTCGCATAACCCTTTATAAACGTCGAAATAACCCTCCACCAAGAGCTTCCTTTTGGAAACATAATCTGAACTTAAAGTAGGAAAAAGAAATTACAAGGGCAAGTAAATTGTGTGTTTCAGGAATAAAATAAAAGGAAGCACATGTGCCAATTTGTAAGAACTTTGAACACAGTTACCTGCACTTCTAACTACATGGAGTGCAATAACAGAATCATGAGGTTCAGCAACTTTAACGAGAGCCCAGTTCAGCAATTGTCTGCTATGGCCATCCATTCTAATTCCCACCAAAACATATCTCCTTTCAACTGTCATTGCGTTTTTCCTTTATGTCAATCAACCCCCACACAGCTATGGATTCAATTCCTAGTGTAATCTGCACAAGATTTACCTATGCTGGTTCTCAATATTTCCTGTTCTTGAATCAATGTTGAATTATGACGGCATTAAAGAAAGAAAGAAAAGAAAAGAAAAATAAATGTTGAATTAAAGCAAAAGATGAACAAAAGAAGGCAAAGAAAGAAAAATGAACCTAAAATTTTTTGTTGGAAGCAGGGATGATTTGAGAAGAAGATGCTTTAATTTTTAAACGAAGTTGCCGCCAAATTGCATAGGCCCATTCCTATCTACTGCACTAACAAGACTTAAGAAGAATTATCAATTCATAAATGTTGAAACTTGAGATTGAGGCCGAAAAGACAATTATTGATTGGGATGAGAGAATTTGCTTTGCTTGCTGCGAATATAGCGAGCGAGAGAGCGAGGGACAGATGTTGTATAAACTCACAAGACCAATGTGAAAACTAAAAACGTATTACCATTTTAACGATTATATTTGATTTTTTTATTATAAAAGAAAAAATGATCACTTGCTTGCTGAATGACAATTTATTTGATTTTGTTTAATCCACTTGTGACTCGGGTAAATTAGACTGAAGTCAATGTATCAAAAAAATAAAATAAAAGTAGAATGAAGTTAATGGAGTTTAACACGATTAAAAACCTTATTCGTTTATGGGTCCTACAAATTCAAAGTCTAAAGTGTCACCTTTCAACTTCCAAACTTTCAATGTATGCGACGTTTGGTGCGAGATGAGAACGATAATGTTCTACCTTATCAGCTTATCTCACGGTATGGTAGGTACAACACAGTTTGATTTATTGGAGTCGGGAGTTTGCACCCTTATTTTTAACTTTTTTGGTTTTGTATACCAAAAATTACTTTAATAGGTGTTGAATACAATTGGATTCCTTTATAGCATTAAGGAAACTTCATGATGAAGATGAACCACTAAGTCTAAGTTGTCTACGAAAGTTTTACAGCGATGTTAGCTAGGCAGCTGCATCCGAATCAACACTGTAACAGTTGAAGTTCAGAAACTGTTCTATTCTCCAGAAGTCAGGGAATGATTTTTATGTTAAAAAAACAGATGGAAGCTGAATAGGAATCATTACGTAATCATCTATATAATATACTAATACATGGGAATGATTATAAACTTGAAAAGTTGCATGACCAACCAAAGTGAAATTATGTTTTTTTTATAATAATTTTATTTAGCACACCTTGTTGGACTTAACTTTTTTATGATGATAAAAAAATACACCTTCAAAATTTTTGTTTTAAAAATACGGCAAAACATTTTATCTTAACTTTTGTGTTAAAAAAGATCAATTACATCTCTTATATTAGTCTACCAACAAAAATTGATATAATTAGTAAATAATTGTACTTCTTAAGTATATTAATTAAAATTTAATATTTGATTATGTATATGAAAAGATTTCATTGGGAGAGAGACAAATTGAAGAGCAATCTTTCCTTCTTTTCTTTATAGGATTAAAAATATTATATTTTACATATCCATTAATTGAGTCACTGTAAAAAAGAAGAAACAAGCACACTTGGACAGTCCCAAGACAACGAATAGTTATATACTTCAAGCATAATTTAAGATTTTTTCACAAGTACTGCTAAGTTTTTTTTATCAATAATTCTTTAAAAAAAAACACTAGCCAAAAAATCTTAACTGAAAAATTATTTTTTATATGCATACATACTTAAAATATGAATTTAGTTGGAGCTGTTCATGTTTACCTGTTTATTCTTGCACACCTTATATGTTAAATATGTTAACGTCTTCTCGTACATAATAGCACAAAATTAGTAGTATTAAAACTTATAAAACAAGGAGATAGAGCAAGGTAGGGATAACTTAATGAGAAAAGGAGTATCGTTGTCTTTATAATCCTTAATCAATCATGTTCTTTTTGTTGCTTCATCATATAACATTCGTTATTTGACATTTAAGTATTTAATAAATCATAATTTAGGAAAAAAAAACTAATGATGTTGCATACATTTCGTCACCATGTTCTGTTTGACTTAACAAGATGATATGCAAATAGGATAAATGTCTTCCAAAAGCGATCAAGTGAATCATTATGATTTATGTCCTAATAAGATCATGTATGTGATTTTGCTTTCAAACCAGCAATTTTATTTTGATAGACATGTACATGATTAACAATAAACCAGTCTACCTCTACTAAACTTCAAAAAATGCCAGTCACCCTTCCTTATGTTGAATGCAAGACTCGTCAATTTTAAGAGAAGAAAAATAAAAGATAGATAAAGTATAGGCTAGCAGAGAAATTTATTAACCAACTCATGAAGTTCTCCACAATAGCTCTATTTGAATGCGACCATTCTTGGAGTCTATAAGATGATACTTCTCATTAATTCTATTGTTGGCAACAACATCTGAAAGACTAATGTCAGCGTAACCCAAGGATTCCTAATGTCAAAACAATAAAACTTCATCACATGAAAGTAGCATGAAAGGTAAGCAACAAAAGATTGATATGTTCTTGTGAGAATAAAACTCTGCTGCATAAAATCAAAATAATATTCCTCCAAACTAATGAAATCAATTTCATATGTTTTAACTTTTAGAAACATAAAAACTACCAATCATCTTGTGTCATACGTTTCTTAGTCTCTCTCTCTCTCTCTTTTGGCACATTGCATTATGCATATCTGAATTTTAACTCGCTGAATGTTGATGCAAAATTCATAAGTATTTTAATCCATTTCAACATTCAAAGACTAGTCTAAGTATCGTAGTAGCAAAAGTCTTTACAAGATGAATGAAATTGTTAAGAATTATGTACCTTCTGACGCAATAGGTTTCGTGATGAAGTGCTGACAACCTCCACGTGTAGTTTGTCATTAGTGGGAGGCTCCTCCACTATAAATTGGAACTCTTCGTCCCACCTTGGATCTCTGTTCTTTTTCATGCTCTGTAAATTGTAATGGTAAAAAAATATTCATACATACATTCTAAAAATTAACTTCAAATTCTGATTGAAGTATTGAACATAACATACACATTCTATTTTATGCATATTTTTCTGTAGTGGGATCCATTACCTTCGTCTTTCTTTCCTCTCCTCTAAAAATAAGTCGTACTTGTGGATTAGTATGATACTTTCCCTCAACATCTTGAGCTTCATGTATTATAACTATGAGCAAACCTCCACCAGGAGGAGTGCCTTCAGGGGCTTTTTGTATTGACAGAGTCTTCTCAAAACCCTTGGCCAATTCCTCCTCCTTGAAAGGTTTATATGTCAATTCTAGAACAATTTGTCCGCGGGATTTTTCATTTTGGACATCATTGGGTTCCATATTTTTCAGAAGGTCAAGAGTAAAAACTTTAGGCTCTTCGAGTGTAAGTTCTTTCAAGGGAATCATATTCATACCCATCTTGTCATGCTTCCCAACCTAAGCATGCAGAAACAATATTCAATTTAGATGCATAACAAGAAACTAAAAGATATAAAAACTTTAAGTAGAGATATGCCTGCTCCCAATCATAAACATGAAGCTCTAAACTTTGGGTTTCAGGATCTTTAACAACCAAACTAAATTCCTCATTCCATTCAGGGTTCAAATTCTTGTGCTTCACAGAAGTTTTTCTCGACGGCAGGTTATCCTCAGTAAGATTTAACGTCACATAAGGGTCAGATGCACCAAGAAGATCTTTCTTCTTTAACTTCATTGCATGCAAAACCTTTGCAATTAAAATTCCAACTGGCCTCTTCAAAGCTCTTAGATCCCGGTAGAATTATAAAAAAAAAAACATAAAAATACAAAAATAGTTAAAAATAACTCCAAAGACATAATGACAAATATTTTACGAAAATGCAGCAACATACTTTGTTGGATCTATTACTTGAATTTCAAGGGTTTTGGGCCAAAGATACATGTTTGCAACTTGATCTTTGATAAGCTCCTGAAAACAATAATATTTAAAGTAGTTTAAAAGCCATAAATCTTTTAATCAACGCATAATAACTACGGATAAAGTCTAAAATAACATCACCTCGTTGCCACCATTAGACCATATTAATCTTTCAGAAGAAGGCATTAAATTTTTATATCCTCACTAAACTATAAAGTGACAACAAAATCATAAGCGTTTATCCTTGAACCTCTATAATATATTTTTTTCCCTTCAACTTCACCTCATTATAGTCATGAATATGTTTTGTTGTGATTTATTTATCTACTAAACTAATGTCACATGTATTAAGAACTTGAAATTCCCCCATGATAATGCTCCCAAGTCCCAATAAATTAATGGTCGACACTACAATAAAAAAAATAAAAGTGTATTCCATATTTCAAAATATGACGGGAGACAACTTATTATAGAGAGAGGTGACCCCTCTTGCTTAAGAATATAAGATTAATATAAGTAGATTTAAACCCCAACACCAAAATGAAAGGAAAAAAAACCAAAATAGTAAACCATGATCACGTACCTGAACAAATCTATAAAGGCCAGGAATAGACATAAGATCAACCCCTATAAGCTTTAGCCCGAAATCAATATGTGGCTACATAATAAAACACATCAAAGCAAAAGAGAAGGAAGTTAAGTACAATTATAAAAATAAAGGTACAACATGCAATTGTGTAACAACACCAAAAGAAGTATTGAAAGAATAATTGCATGTCAATCTTGGGCATATAATATCTTTAGCTAAAAAAAAAAAATTACTCATGTATACGAGGAAAAAACTCAAGTTATTTGAGCATGATCTTCTCTTTTACAAAAATTATTGAAGTGATTCCTTACATGACAAAGAAATTATTGTTTGTCAGTCAAATTCTATAGAAATGAAAAAGGAGTAATGATTTCTATTTTCCTTAAATATAAGTTTGGTATTTCCTCACAAATAACAATATTGCTCCAGTAATCTGGTCATAATTTTTTCAAGTAGATAACATGACAATTCAAGTACGCAATATAAGATGATAAGTTGATAACGGTTTATCAAGAATTTACAGTTTCAATAGGAAGATCATGCCTTATATTTTAATATCGCTGTGCCAAAATGAATAAACTATATTAGTTCTTCTTTCCCATATGAATCAAATTTCCTATCATCCTCTAAGTGGCTACTTTCAACATTGATACCAATCGTCAACTATTCTTTTGGGAGTTAGAATCTTCATTCAAACTTGAATATGGTTGACAACAACCATTATAAACTTATGACATACATTAGTGTATGTGTAAAATGTTTTACATGTATTCAGGTGATTGGTAGTCAAGAAAAGTAATAAACCTAAATGTCACAAACCTTTTCCATGAGAGACACGTAGATGTTGGCAAAGCAAGGAAAGATTGGAACTAAAGGTTTCAAAGTAATACGGGGTGCAATAAATACTTGCAAATCCACAACCTGCAAAAGTTTAAAACTCTTAGCATTAACAAGAGTCTACTTTTCTCCTACCTTACACCTTTTTTCACTTATTGAGACATGCACATACACACAAAATAAAAAATTACCTGAATGGTTGCTTTCAACCCAAATGTCTTAACTACAACAGTGACATTAGGATTTGCAGCCCATTTAATAGAAGGTTCCATAATTAACTCCTTATCATCAGTCACGTAAACTTTCATTCCTGTTTAGAAGAAAATATGCATTTTAAAAAAATAACAAAGGAAATAATATCAATATGTGGTAAAAATAAAAATAGAAACGAGTTATATCTAATAGTTTGATGTCAATTTGTTTCCTTACCCAAAAACACAACTTATATTTAGAACCAGTATTCACATATAAATTATGATCTATATCCCTTTTATAAATCGTAAAAACCAAATATATATTATGATCTATATTGAATATTTGCAAAAACCATTAAAGGGGTCTTTGTTCTAGAATGCATCATGTCCAGATCAACTAACCTTGAAAAGTGGGTGGTAAGGACCCTAGCGTGAGTACTTCAAACTCAACAGAATCGATTTTATATTTTGGGATCTGCTCAGCAATTATGGGTTTTACAATGTCCTTTGCAGTCTTGCATATTGCCTAAATTAAAAAATAATAATAATTGGACAAAAGATGACAAGAAGCAAAAAGGTTTTATGTTAATTGATGACAGACTGAAAAAAAAAAATATTTACCTTGTCGAGGTATGGCCACATATATTCAAGAAGCTTGTTAAGCCAATCGAGCTTCACGAAAGCACAAACAAATAACAATGCAATAGTTAAAAGACACGAAAAATAAACAAGACTCATAGTGCATGATGGCAAAGAGACAAAAAATGAGCGCAATGGATGCTTACTCGATCAAAGTCTGGATTTTTTATCCAAAGTGGAATCTCAGGAATCATTCGTTGCAAAGTTTCTGAGTCTTCATCTACCAATGGTTGGAGTTCGGGATCCTGTGAATGCAACAACATGTTAGTATGGCCTTAAATATTTATGAACAAAAATGTCAAAATTTCAAAAATTCATAAGAGAAGTCAAATTCAAATTTCTTTTTGAATTGGTTTTTCACATATGTATATATTAAGGTGCAACATGGCCTTCATATAAATCTCTTTTTTTTTTTTTGGTGAATTTTGAAGTTATATATACAAATAGAAATTTTCATATCATTTTCAATGTTTTGAAATTTCCAGAAAGGCACACAAGAAGCAATACATTGCCATTTATGATCTCAAATTACAAAATCTTATTAGATAACATTGTTTAGCCTACACAATTAATAAGAAAAAACAAAGAGCAGGTGTAAAACACACAGCAAAATAATGTGTTCAGAATCATTTAACGTATTAAGTACCTTAACATCCGTAGGTTGAGAGTAAATAAAAATAAAATAGCCAACAACAAGACCAATGGAAATCCCAATTCCAAAGCCAAAAAAACCAAATATGGTGCCAAAGAAACCCATCTCAATTCTCAGATCTGTTTCAAATCAAACCTACTTTGCTTTCTCTCTCTTTCTCTACTAAAAGTATGTGTTACTTCCAATATCCTCGAGCGCTCCTCGGATCACCATTCTTCCGTTCAAATCAAACGTGTAATGTAAACATTTTTTACCCCAAGAAAAGGACCATTCCTGTGAAACTAATTGAAGCAATTAAGCAATGACAGACCTATAACGCAAATGATCATGTTTTTTGTTATTACTACACCTTTAGGTTTTATTGTTAAATGTGTATTCGTCTATTGAATATTTAAGTTATCTCATTTTTGTTGAATAAAAGGAACAAAAGCCCAAAGAAACTAGTAATTACAAATAGTTTTTATAAACATACATTTTTTTATTTTCATTATATTTGTTAAATTTTAATTTAATGCCTACATAATTTGTGGGATTTGGACTTAAATATTCTACCGTCTAAAAGTAAAGAAAGAGACACATGTGATACCTTTGTGAAACTCCTTATACCATATTTATATTTCTTTTATATAAATGACCAAAATAGTCAGAATGACCATAAATAGGATATTATCATATCAGTTCATAATAACTTTAATAATAATAATAATAATAATAATAACTATGATACCGATGATTCTTTACTTAAATTTATTACTTGCCTTTTAATTGATTTGAACACATTTGTTTGACACACTAATAAAATATATGAATATTATTATAATACTAACAATAACTTAAAAAGGAACATTAATTAATAATATGGTATATAACTTAATTAAAGATTATTTCATTCTTAATTAATTATAAAATGGGCAAGGCAAGGAAGAAAAGAAAATCAAGATTCACAAACCCGTTTTTTATTTTTAAAAATATAAACAACTTTATCAATTGATAAACTAATAATTTAAAAATAACAAATAAATTAAATACAAATTTCTCATATGATTTGTTATATGAGAATATACATCAAGATTTTCTGTGTAAAGATTCATAGAACTTTTAAAATTTCAAATATCACAATTTTCTTTTTCAAATACACATTCAATTGCGTAATTCAAACTAACTAATTCAAAGTTGAGTCACGTTTGTTTGGATTGTATGTTAAAAAAAGGAAAAATTGACCCAACTCTAATTACCATATTTTAATTAATTTGAATAGTTTTTCTTATTAAACTTTACTCATCTTATGATCATCCATATTAAATTTTAAAAATATAAAAAAATAATAAATGTTATACTTGTTTCTTTTTAAATACGTGTTTTTATTGTAGTTCACAAATTCAATGTAAAATTTCACGTACATTTTCTAAAATAAAATCATATGCAATCGACTTTTTTAAATCAATTAGTTAATATTTTATAATGTTTTTTTTTCATAATTATTTTATCATAACTTTGAATTTAAAATTGTCATACGATTGGGGGTAAAATATTACTTTAGCTATACATGTGCAAATATACAATTAGATATTTGAATCATCAACATTTAATTTTAATTTTAATTTACAATTTTACCTTTTGCCTATTTAATTTTCTTATATAATTTTCATTTTAAATGTTTGAAGTATGTTGTTAATTGTTATATTTAAATATACTAAGTAAGTTGAATCTATTACTTTGTCTATCCTCTCCATCTATAATCATCAGCATCTCATTCTTATTATTTTTTAACTAATGCATTAATCGTATGTTAGAAATATATCGAATTCATTGAATTTTTTTATTTGTTTCCTTATATTTAGAGCATGTTTTAAATTTAATTTTAGTGCATTATCAATGAAAAAATCTTTACACTACTAATAAGTTAAAATATAATGTAAATATAAATTTAAAATGAAACATGATTAAAATCGAAAATTTTTACTCAATAATTTATCTTTGAATTAACAATGTAATTTTTTTCTACATTATTACTCTATTTTAATTAAATTATTATTTTTATTTAAAAATTTATTTTTATATGTCTTTGAAAAAAGGAATATTATAGTCTATTAATTCATAATCATTATCAATTAACTTCATTTTCTAAATTTAATAAAATTTTAAAAAAATAAATGTTATCGTCTGTAATAAAATTTAAAGTGGTAGAAAATTTATATATATTCTAATAAACTTTTATATAAAAATTACAAGTACTATGAAAACAAATTCAAGAATATTTTAAAATAAAGTTATTTTTATATAATATAATAAAATATTTCTTATAATATTTAAAATTTTAAAATTTATTAAATAAAAAATAAGTATATTACATTTTAAAATGATTTATTTTAAAACTTGAACTTAATTTAATAATACTTGGAGAATGTATGAAAAAATTATTAATAAATAATAATTCTCGTTATGTTAAAGAAAATAAATTTATAAAATATCTTATTTTTGAAGTGAAGTCTCATATATATATATAATATTTATATTTATTTATAGTTTTTTATATATATACATATACATATATACTTGCTCATTAATGAGTTATTGCAGCAAAAACGACGCCGTGGGGTCAGCTCGCGCCAGCAAGCGAGTGCACTCACTGTTCTAGTGACGAGTGGATTCGCGGGACGGAAAAAAAGGGAAAAATTGGCAAAGAAAGTTACGTATAAATAAGCGTTATGAGTATTTGTGTTCGGTGCCCTTGTCCCTTTCTTTGATTTATTCCTTTGTTCGTTAGGGTTTTCATGCAACGCTTTACTGTGTGTGATACAATTGGAGACACCGGAAGATTTTGAATTCACTACACTCCCACTCCTTATTGAAAAACCTCATCGATTCGATCATCTTATTCAATGTTTCAATTAATAATTTAAGGCTTGGTACGAGTACGGGTACAGATTGGGGATTTTCTTCGGAATTAGGGTTTTCGGTGATTAAACATATTTGTGTGGAACAATAGAGATGATGCAAGGGAATAATCGATCGAGGAGAGGTGAGAAAAATTGAGGGGTGAGTGGGTTTTGTATGGAAACTCGGAGCCGGAAGCGGGCGGAGGCTTCCTCAGCTGCCCCTTCATCCTCGACGACCGGTCCCACCACTCGTCCAGCCAAGCGCTCACGTCTTTCTTCTTCTTCGATCCCTAACAACAACACCGCCGCTTCCGTTAACACGCGTTCTCGTTCGTCCAAGAATAAAAACTCCGCTCCTCCCATGGACCCCACCAACGAATCCTCTGGGTCGCGTCGTGATCGTCGCGGCAAGAATTTCGATAGGGAAAATTCGGATAAAGGGAAGGAAAAGGAATTTCAAGATGTTAGGGTTAGGGATGCGGAGCGAGAGCGAGAGAGAGAGCGGGCGTTGGGGTTAAACGTGGATAGCGAAGGCGCTGGGGACGACGATGATAACGATAGCGAGGGTGGCGTGGGAATTTTGCATCAGAATTTGACGTCTGCGAGTAGCGCTCTTCAAGGGCTTCTTCGGAAACTCGGTGCTGGTTTGGATGATCTGCTTCCGTCACCAGCGATGGGTGGTTCCGGTTCCTCGTCTCACCAGAGTGGCAGGCTCAAGAAAATTTTGTCTGGTTTGCGTGCCGATGGGGAAGAAGGTCGTCAGGTTGAGGCATTGACCCAGCTTTGTGACATGCTTTCCATTGGTACTGAGGAATCCCTCAGTACATTCTCCGTTGACTCGTTCGTGCCTGTGCTCGTGGACTTGCTTAATCACGAGAGCAATCCTGATATCATGCTTCTTGCGGCCAGGGCGCTAACCCATCTTTGTGATGTGCTCCCTTCATCTTGTGCTGCTGTTGTGCATTATGGGGCGGTGTCTATTTTCTGTGCAAGATTGCTTACCATTGAGTATATGGACTTGGCTGAGCAGGTTGTTTCGTAGTCAATCAATCTCTTTTAAACGATTAAATAATGTATCTGGAATGTCGAACAATGCTACGGTGTTTTGTGTTGAATTCTTTTTAGAAATGTGTTACGCTACTACTTGTGAGGTTCTAAAGTGCTTAACCTTATGTTGGTGTCTGTCGTCCAAGGATATGCATTTGTTTATCTATGTTCAGGCCTGCCTGTCCTGAGATGAGGTTCTCATTATTTGATACACCTTGTGGTTCTTCTTGGTTTTGAATTCTGATAGACATTGTTGTTGACATGAACAGTCTCTTCAAGCTCTAAAGAAGATTTCTCAGGAGCACCCAACTGCCTGTCTTCGAGCTGGAGCTCTGATGGCTGTGCTTTCTTATTTGGATTTCTTCTCAACGGGAGTTCAGGTAACTCATCAATGAAATCCTTACATCTAGATGATGATTATAGTTTTTGATGGGTGACAAATCGATTTGCATTTACGCCCTTAATCAGCAAGCCTATATTGATGTAATCACGTGTTTCAGCGGGTGGCATTGTCTACTGCCGCAAATATGTGCAAGAAGCTTCCTTCTGATGCAGCTGACTTTGTGATGGAAGCCGTACCTCTTTTGACAAACCTACTTCAGTACCATGATGCAAAGGTAAGGTCATATTTTGTTGTCATACTTGTCCTAAATGAAAACTTCACTTTCCTTGAATTTCCATAGTTCAGGGGAAATTTTGTTTATGAAATCTTTACCTACAGCTTATGTTGTCAATTATCTAGTTGTTTTCACAATGTTCAATTTTAATTTTTGTAGGTCCTGGAGTATGCCTCTGTTTGTTTGACTCGAATAGCTGAAGCATTTGCATCATCTCCAGACAAATTAGATGCTTTGTGCAATCATGGACTGGTAACACAAGCTGCCTCCCTCATTTCTACCAGCAGTTCTGGCGGTGGACAGGCTTCTCTCAGCACTCCAACATATACTGTAAGTGTAATCTCTCTTTGGGATTAAATCTGATGTTTTTACCTTTGGTGGGTTGTTCATTTGACGTCATTGGCACATGCAGGGTTTGATCCGGCTTCTTTCCACATGTGCAAGTGGGTCCCCTCTTGGAGCTAAAACATTACTTCTCCTTGGAATTAGTGGCATTCTTAAAGATATACTATCTGGTTCTGGAGTTTCTTCTAACACCTCTGTTTCACCTGCATTGAGTAGACCAGCAGACCAGGTACATTGTACTTTGGAGTTCTTTTGGTTATGATATATTTATGAGTAGTTTTATCTGTCTATGGTTCATTTTGATAGATCATAAAACTGAATGCATCATTTATATTGTTGAAATGTTTTTCAATTCTCTTTTTGTGAAAAAATGAATCTGTCCTAATTTTCTTTTCTAATATTTAGATATTTGAGATTGTGAACCTGGCAAATGAACTTCTACCCCCATTGCCACAAGGAACCATTTCAATTCCTGTCAGCTCCAACTTATTTGTGAAGGGTCCTGTGGTGAAAAAGTCTTCTGCTGGCAGTTCTGGGATACAAGAAAACACAAATGGAAATGCTCATGAGATATTGGCTCGTGAGAAATTATTAAATGATCAACCTGAGTTACTTCAGCAATTTGGGATAGATCTCCTCCCAGTTTTAATGCAGGTTTTCTGTTTAAACTTAATTGTTAAAATACTCAAATTATGTTTCATAAATTTATAAATTTTTAAAGAAACTGGCTCTAATTTCATTATCCTTTATTTCCTTCATTCCTCGACTTCTCTGACTTGTTACTTTTGTCTGGCTTTTGAAATAGATATATGGATCTAGCGTCAATGGTCCTGTTCGCCACAAATGTATATCTGTCATTGGAAAATTGATGTATTTCAGCACAGCTGAGATGATTCAGTCCTTGTTGAGTGTGACAAATATATCAAGGTAACTAGAAGTTCAATTGGGTTGCTATTTCTCTATATTCTCGGTAGAGAACTTATGCATTGTCACTTTGATGATATATAGTTTCTTGGCTGGCGTGTTGGCATGGAAAGATCCGCAAGTTCTGGTTCCTGCCTTACAAATTGCAGAAATTCTTATGGAAAAGCTTCCTGGGACTTTCTCTAAGATGTTTGTCAGAGAAGGTGTGGTCCACGCAGTTGACCAACTTATTTTGGCAGGGAGTTCAACCAATCTCTCTGCACAAGCAACATCAGCTGAGAAGGATAATGATTCTACATCAGGAACATCATCTCGCGCTAGGCGCTATCGGTTACGCAGTGGTAATTCAAATCTTGATGCAAACCCATTGGATGATTTGAAGAGTCCAGTTCCGGTGAACGTTGGTTTGCCACCAAATTCCATAGAAACTCCAACAATTAAGGTAAGTATTCGTGCATCTGTTAGCTCAGCTGCTAGAGCTTTTAAGGACAAATACTTTCCTTCTGATCCTGGGGCTGTTGAAGTGGGTGTTAGTGATGATCTTTTGCATCTAAAAAATCTCTGCATGAAGTTGAACACTGCTGTTGATGACCAAAAAGCTAAGGCAAAAGGTAAAGTTAAAGCTTCTGGGTTTGGTCTGGATGATAATTCTGCTAATACAGAAGAGTATTTGGTTGGGGTGATATCTGACATGCTAAAGGAACTTGGCAAAGGAGATGGTGTATCTACTTTTGAATTTATCGGTAGTGGTGTTGTTGAAGCTATGCTGAATTATTTTTCTTGTGGGTATTTCCCTAAAGATCAAATCTCAGAAACCAGTCTGCCCAAGCTTCGCCAACAAGCACTGACAAGGTTCAAGTCATTTGTAGCCGTTGCACTTCCTTCTAGTGCTGACAATGGGGCTGTTGCTCCTATGACTGTGTTGATTCAGAAGCTTCAAAATGCTTTGTCCTCCTTGGAGCGTTTCCCAGTTGTGCTGAGTCATTCATCTCGGTCATCTAGCGGAAGTGCATGTCTCTCCTCTGGACTAAGCGCATTATCTCAGCCGTTCAAGTTGCGTCTCTGTCGAGCGCAGGGTGAAAAGTCACTAAGGGATTATTCTTCCAATGTTGTACTGATTGATCCTTTAGCAAGTTTTGCAGCTGTTGAGGAATTTCTCTGGGCTCGTATACAGCGTTGTGAATCTGGTCAAAAATCTACTGCACCCGCTGAGAATTCTGAATCTGGAACAACTGCAGGAGCAGGTGTTTCATCTCCTTCCTCTTATACTCCCTCTACTACCCGTCGTCATTCTACTAGATCTAGATCATCTGTTAATATAGGAGATACACCTAGAAAAGAAATATCTCAAGATAAAAGCACAAGCTCATCTAAGAGCAAAGGCAAAGCTGTATTAAAGCCTGCACAGGAGGAAGCACGGCCCCCCCAAACAAGGAATGCTGCACGCAGGAGAGCGGCTATTGATAAAGATGCTCAAATGAAACCTGCAAATGGTGACTCAACTTCTGAGGTGTGCTGCTTAATTCTTGGAATGAGTCATAATTGAGTACTTTTAATCCAAAATCATTTATAACATTGAGTTATTTAATCTTTGTTGGATATTGTTTATGCTTATGGTCCTTCCCTCTTCTTGTTAGATATAAAAACCATTTGTGAGCCTTCTTGATCTGATAGTTTAAGCTTTGCGATAGTTTATTCTTGTCAATGACTCAGTAGTTTGATCTTTGCTGCCCCACTATTTTAAAGTTGAATTTCAACACAAAGATAGGATAGGCCTGTGCAGGGTCCACACTTCAAGCCCAAAGGTGCCCAATGTACTTCTATAATGGGGCATGTTAGGTTCAAAATATTCTTGAGCTTTGGGAAGAGTTAGTTATTTTTTACTTTGATCACATTGGAAAGCAAGTAGATGGGGGTGGAAGATCTAGCTTAGGTTTTATTGATTTTTTTTTTAAATATTAACTTTCAAAATCAAGGAAACACAAAAATGCCATATTTCATTATACCTCTACCGTCCTAATTTATAAATTATAGTTGATTATAGTCACCTTACTAATAAGCATCCCTTATCTGATAAATTTACAGTCAGTGCTCTTTTGAGCACTTTCTTTAGTTGTCTTTTTCCATGATTGACTTCTGTATGAGGTTAAATTAAGCTGCTGTCAGAATTTTGCGCCAACGTTAGTTGACATATTTAATTGATGGCGACTTTTATTTGTTGAAGTAAAATGCGGCATTTAATTGATGTGTCTCCTGTAGCATCTTAATATTAGTGGTGTCTTTTACTGTCTGTTTAAATCCTTTCTATCATTTGATGTCATTTTTCACTGCTTTCATGGAATAGGATGAAGAACTGGATATATCTCCTGTTGAGATTGACGAGGCTTTAGTAATTGAAGATGATGATATTTCTGATGATGATGATGATGAAGACCATGAAGATGTATTATTCTGCTTCTGCTAAGATTTTATCTTTTTGTCATATTTATTCTTTTAATAGTATCTCATTTCAAATAGTTAATTTCTGTTGACATTTTCTTTGCTTTTCGGTCCAATGTATTTCTTTTTCATCAGATTTTATGTGGTTTTTGATATTCTAAATTTTTGCATGTACTTGTATTTTGTCATTTTATCTACTTCCACTGTTGTTATTCTTCTATCCTCTTTTTTAATCATTTCATTAAATGTGAATGCAATTATTGTAGTTGTATTTTACAACCATCATTATCATGAGCACTAGTTATTTTAACCAAGATTGAAAGCTGCCTTCTAGTTCATTGTGTCCATTCTCGCAAGTGTGTTTTACTGAATAGGAATGCTATTACTGTTTCTTTTATATTTTAATCATTAATTATTGTTGCCAAGATTGGATACTATCGTTTGGTTCAACTGTCTCTGTGCTTATCAAACAAATGCAAAGTTGTTTCTTATCTATTTTGATAATCATTAATCATCATTAATTGTCGTTTCCAAGATTGGATACTCATTTGATTCCGCTGCATCCGTGCTAGCATTTGAATTTTATTTAACAGAAATGCTATTATTGTTTCTCATTTAGTCATTATATATTTCTGACAACCACCATTTAATATGTCCTCAACTTGTTCTATAATAATTCAGGTTCTGAGGGATGATTCTCTTCCTGTCTGCTTGCCTGACAAAGTACATGATGTGAAATTGGGTGACTCAGCTGAGGAGAGTACTGTTGCTCCAGCAACAAGTGACAGTCAGACTAATGTAGCCTCAGGTTCTAGCAGCAAAGCTGGTACAGCCAGGGGATCTGATTCTGCAGATTTTAGGAGTGGGTATTCTTCTAGCTCTAGGGGTGCAATGTCATTTGCTGCTGCTGCCATGGCTGGACTTGGATATGCTAATGGCAGAGGTTTCAAGGGTAGCAGAGATAGGCATGGGCGTCTGTTGTTTGGCAGCTCTAGTGATCCTCCAAAGTTGATATTTACTGCTGGTGGGAAGCAACTTAACAGGAATTTGACTATTTATCAGGCAATTCAAAGACAGCTTGTGCTAGATGAAGATGATGAGAGATTTGCTGGCAGTGACTATGTATCCAGTGATGGAAGCAGTCTGTGGGGGGACATTTACACCGTCACTTATCAGAGGGCTGAAAACCAGACAGACAGGGTCTCTAGTGGAGGAACGTGTTCAAATGCTTCAAAATCTGCCAAATCTGGGTCTGCCTCAAATTCCAGCTCAGAACCGAAATTGCATCAGACATCTGTTCTAGACAGTATATTGCAGGGAGAATTGCCATGTGATCTAGAGAAATGTAATCCTACCTATAATATTTTGGCACTGTTGCGTGTGCTGGAGGGTTTGAACCAGCTTGCACCTTGTTTGAGGGCCCAAATGGTTTCTGATAGCTTTGCTGAGGGAAAAATCATGGATTTAGATGAGCTAGGTGTTACAACAGGTGTTAGGGTGCTTCCTGAGGAATTCATAAGTAGTAAGCTTACACCAAAATTGGCCAGGCAAATACAAGATGCCCTTGCACTATGTAGTGGGAGTCTTCCCTTATGGTGTTATCAGTTGACTAAAGCATGCCCTTTCTTGTTTCCGTTTGAGACCCGACGACAATATTTTTATTCTACTGCATTTGGGTTATCTCGTGCATTGTATCGACTTCAGCAGCAGCAAGGTGCTGATGGTCATGGTTTGACTACTGAAAGAGAGATGAGGGTTGGGAGATTGCAGCGCCAAAAGGTCCGTGTCTCTCGAAATCGCATTTTGGATTCTGCTGCAAAAGTTATGGAGATGTATTCCAGCCAAAAAGCTGTACTTGAAGTAGAATATTTTGGTGAGGTTGGCACTGGTCTGGGTCCCACCCTTGAGTTTTATACAATTCTAAGTCATGATTTGCAAAAAGTTGGACTGCAGATGTGGAGATCTTATTATTCAGAGAAACATCAAATGGAAGTTGATGGAAATGAAAAGAAAACTAAAAGTAGTGAAGGCTCTGGGCCTAATTTGGCTGGAGATGGAGAGCTTGTCCAAGCTCCTCTGGGGTTGTTTCCTCGGCCTTGGCCTGGAAGTTCTGATGCATCAGAGGGTAGCCAGTTTTCAAAAGTTGTTGAGTTTTTTCAGCTGCTGGGTCGTGTTATGGCTAAAGCTCTTCAAGATGGACGACTATTAGATCTGCCATTGTCAGGGGCATTTTATAAACTTGTTCTTGGTCAAGTATGTTATCGTGTAATATTGATGTGTTAACCATTTTCATGTGTGTATTTAGTCTGTAGGTCAATTTATTCTACTGTATGTATCTAACCTTCAATTTGTTGCAGGATCTGGATTTGCATGACATTCTATTTATTGATGCTGAGCTTGGGAAGACGTTGCAGGAGTTGAATTCCCTTGTTTGCCGGAAACGTCATATAGAATCTATTGATGTTAACTATGCTGATACAATTGTTAACTTACATTTTCGTGATGCCCCGATTGAAGATTTGTGCTTGGATTTTACACTTCCTGGTTATCCTGAATACATCTTGAAAGCCGGAGATGAAATTGTATGCTGTTAAATCCTGAGAAAGTCTATATATGTCTTGGTACTTGTGATATTAAAATTTCCCTGAACTCCCTCTCAATTTCCCAGGTTAATATCAACAATTTGGAGGAATACATATCCTTGGTGGTTGATGCAACTGTCAAGACTGGAATCATGCGTCAAATGGAAGCATTTAGAGCAGGGTTTAACCAGGTTGTATGCTGGTCTTAATTATTTCGTTAAACTTAAAGCGTGCACCTTGTTTGCATTGTGGAATATGTTGTTTTTCTAAAACTTGTTCCTCCCTCCTCTTTCCAGTGGAAAATGTCTGTCATCTTTGTTTTTATATGTTCCTGTACTTATCTCCCACACCTTTCCTTTGATTTCTTTTTTCCTGAACAATTTACTGAAAGTAAGCGTGGGGTTTATTTGATAATGGTGGTGCATGCATGACTTTAATTTTACCACGTCATTGAAATTCTCAAATGGTCTTCTGTTTCACTAAAAGCTATTAAGTGTTTTAGTAATATCATAAATGGTGAAGCAATTATATTGCCTTGATCTCATGCTTGAATATTTCATTTGGCGAATTATAAAATATATGTTCCTATTCTTTTACTTATGTTGCTTCCCAGCCACCGACCTTACTTTCTATGTACAAAATAGAAATTTCAATATGCAGTTATTGGATATTCAATTTTGACATTCTGAAGATCTTGTTTGTGAAATACCGGGGAATGATTGTTCTGCTGGACTCTTGTGGATGAGGAGGATATTTTCAGGGATTGTAGTTGGGGATTTGGCTTATTTTATTGAGTTCAAAACTGAACACTTCTCATGCTTGTGCTGTTTACTGCAGGTTTTTGACATCTCATCTTTGCAAATTTTTACACCTCAAGAACTAGACAATTTGCTTTGCGGTCGCAGAGAGTTGTGGGAGGTAATTTTTACCCAATTTTATTAATGCTTTTAATAATATCTAATATATTAGAACAACGCATTGAAATTGTTAAAAATATTTCTGCAGGCTGAGACACTTGCTGATCATATAAAATTTGACCACGGGTATACTGCAAAGAGCCCTGCCATTATTAATGTATGATCCTTTTCCTAATTTTAAGGAATATTGTGTAATATAGAAATTGGGGCTAGTTATATATGATGCCTGTTCTGCTGGGTTCATTTTTCAGTTACTTGAAATTATGGGAGAGTTCACACCAGAGCAGCAGCGCGCCTTCTGTCAATTTGTCACAGGTGCACCTAGGTTGCCACCTGGTGGACTGGCTGTTCTAAATCCAAAACTGACGATTGTCAGGAAGGTATTGGAATATAGATCTTTGACAACCTGATGTGTTTTGGCATATTCGTGGCGTAATGTGCTTCTGTACTTGATATCTTTATCTTGTACTTTAATTTTCTTTTTTTGCATATTATTATTATATTTGTGGTTATTAAGTACAAGATAAAGATATCAATCAAGCACAAAAGTACAATAAGCCATAACATATTATAATTGTTGATATGTTTATATTTTACTTACTTTTCTTTATTTTACATCTGGGTGCAGCTTTCGTCAACTGCGGTTAATACTTCATCTAATGGGAATGGAACTTCAGAATCCGCAGATGATGACTTGCCTAGTGTTATGACATGTGCTAATTACCTGAAGCTTCCTCCTTACTCTACCAAGGTAAGGTACTGTGGTTATGGTACAAGAGAACTGATTTTTGCAACACATTGTCTTCAAGATATTCCTTAATTCTCGTTTGGGGAAAAGATTAAGTGTTGGAATGCATATTTCTAAGTTTCTATCCTTTTTATTATTCAAAAAGGATATGGGGCAAATAAAAGTGGTGTGCAATTAACATTGTTGCAGCATAAATTATTGAATTATCTATCTTGTCTGAGCATGTTAATCACTACTATTGCATCTTTTGGTACTAATCTTTGATACCCAATTAAAACAGGAAATTATGTACAAGAAGCTTCTCTATGCAATCAATGAGGGCCAAGGATCCTTTGATTTATCATGAGTTTCTGAAACTAACCAACCTAACCCTGTATGTTAATAGATGAATCGGGGTTTATTCTCGAGGCTGGGTTATTTTTTGGTTGAATGTGCTGTCCTCGCTTCTTGAATAATGGCCTCGTTCTCCGTGCTAGTTGCAAGGTTGTGGATTTGTTCAGGTGAGTTGAGCTTTTCTGTTAGTAAGGTTGTATGTCCATCTTTTAGGATATATTATATTATGATTATTAGATAAATCATATTCTGTCTTTGCTGCAGCATTTGAACTATTTGTTGCTTTTTCTTCTAAGCATACGCGTTTGAAAGTTGGATTTTAGAGGAAAAAAGAGGGAGTTACAGATATTTTTTTCAAAATAATTAAGAGAGATATACAACGCTTATAAGAGTAAAGTAAACTAGAGATCAACATAGTGTCTCTCCCCTTCCCCCCTTGTTTTCTTTCTAAGACATAACTCCCAAAAATACCCCAAGTATTTGGGAGGCTCGTCTCTTATTCTTACTGTTCTTTTTTGCCGACAAACTGACGAGAATTTCTCCCATTAATTGCAGTTGAATCGGACGACATTTCAAGGTGTAGGGGAATTTACAGAGCTCTTTTTTTTATAAAAAAAAAAACCTCTTAGAACGTGTAAATAAAATAGGAATGATAAAATTTTGATTTTCTTGTTTATTTTTACTGATTTTTCATTCTGTTAGTAAGTAAGTCAAATTATTGGCAGTTAGCATGTATTGTATGAAAACGAGGGTAAAGGGAAGAGAAATAATTTGAAATATTGTGCTTTATTTTCTCATTACATTCTTGTAGTTCTGTCGTGTGGAGCTTTATTTTCAAATTTATTTGTTCACAACGAGAAATTCTGCGCTGATGATTTAGTGAATAAATTAAGCATTTTCTTTTAAATTTTTAATTAATTACAATATATTATAAATTTAATTATGCTGGTTTTCTATTTATAAGTTTTAAGGCTTTATTTGAATTTCAAAATATTTGTATAATACATGATATAGATGTTAAATAGTAAAAAAACAATGGTGTAGGTATTGAGCGCTTGCTTTCAAATTTGAACATTATGCTTGGATGTATCAGTCGAACTTGCATTGTTTAGTGGTACTTACAAAATCTTAAAACTTTTAACTTCAATTAAGCCTTGTGATTTTTGTAACGATGTTTGATACCTTGAACAAGTATTTTCTTAGCTTATGAATTTCAGTTTTTTAAAATTGGATTTTCTTGACATTTTTTATGAACTAATATAATATGATTATTCTAAAATAAAAGTTTATTAAAATATATAAAATAAGATATAAAAAGTTACAAAATAGAACAATTCATTTGCAATCAAACATATAGTAATGTAGTGCCAAATCATAATACAGTAATGTATATTAACATTGAGGAGAATATACGAATAACAGTCAAAAGTTCTTTTCTATTAGACAGAAAAAAATATTAAACTTTAGTTATTTGTATAGTGGGAGAGTATTCATATTTATAAATTTTTTGGATATTTATAATTAGTAAGCATTTATTCTGTTCAAATATTTTTGTGAATACATTTATTACTGTTGATAAATTCGTATTTTTGTATGTTTTGATGGCTTATATATTTATATATAATTATTTTATTTGAATTTTGTACTAATTTATATATTAATTATGTGTGTTAATATAAAAAGACAACAATCGAGTTTTAAGTATATTTTGAGTTCAAGTTGGATAAAAAAAAAAGTTTTACATCAATTAACATGTTCACACACTAGTAGTTAGTACTAGGTTTTGAAAACCTATTAAAGAAACTCCATGGGCAACTAGCCATTTTATATTTATAACTTCACGTTTTTTTTTTATATCTTTAATTTTGGTATTGGTCTATCCTTGACGATTACTTAAGCTTTGAGAGTGCGCATTAAATTAAGAGATCACTTCATCTATTTTCCATTAAAAACTTTACTTATTTGCATTTCTATTTGTTTAATATTATTTTTATTTTCTTTTATATTATATATAATTAAATGTATAGTTAGGGCTACAGTAAATTTTTTACACGAGTTTATAAAATTTTTAAAATTTATGATATTTCATTTTTTTTATTAGTATTTATTCTACTGTTATATTTGTACTTTAAAATTGATAACTCTTAAACATATCATAATTAATTATATTGTAGGCGATCGTATTACATATAATTAATAAATCTATAATAGATCTATAAGTTAAAGTAAGACAAAAAATTAAGTAAATCAAATTTAATTTTTCTCTTTCAATCGTTATTAAATTAATAATTTATATAAGTTTTTTATATTTTTTTCTTTTTAACTTACATAATTATTAGAGTAATAATTAGAAAAAAAATTGTTAATATTACATAGTTATTAGACGTTAATAAATTTAAATGAGTGATTGACAAAGAAACTGAAATTAAAATTAAAAATAATATAAAAAAAATATAAAAATAAAATCATATACCTTAACCTCTTCTCAATTAAATTTATTGTTAAAAAACTACACTATTTTAATTTTTTAATTAAATTTTATATTTAAATATTTATTTTATTTACTTTTCCATTCTCTAAATTCAAACTATTAAATTAAAAAAAATTATAATTAAAAACAATCTATGTAAAATGATATCTCAAAAATTTATTTTAAAATTATTTATTATTTTTTGACGTACATTTGTCCAATTAACAACTATGCTACAAATAAGAGGGATTATAAGTTCATTACATTCAACCAACTCAATACAAACCAATCCAAAATTATTATCGTCCTTAAAAGCTCTAACACCTAATACTTATATTAATTATTAGAGTTTCAATGGAATTTGGTGGCAAACCAACGTTTACAGAGTTTCAGGTGACAAATACATATATTCTCCCTGCAATATACTGTCTAGAACAGATGTCTGACGCAATTTAGGTTCTGAGCTGGAATTTGAGGCAGACCCAGATTTGGCAGATTTTGAAGCATTTGAACTCGCTCCTCCACTAGAGACCCTGTCTGTCTGGTTTTCAGCCCTCTGATAAGTGACGGTGTAAATGTCCCCCCACAGACTGCTTCCATCACTGGATACATAGTCACTGCCAGCAAATCTCTCATCATCTTCATCTAGCACAAGCTGTCTTTGAATTGCCTGATAAATAGTCAAATTCCTGTTAAGTTGCTTCCCACCAGCAGTTAATATCAACTTTGGAGGATCACTAGAGCTGCCAAACAACAGACGCCCATGCCTATCTCTGCCACCCTTGAAACCTCTGCCATTAGCAGATCCAAATCCAGCCATGGCAGCAGCAGCAAATGACATTGCACCCCTAGAGCTAGAAGAATACCCGCTCCTAAAATCTGCAGAATCAGATCCCCTGGCTGTACCAGCTTTGCTGCTAGAACCTGAGGCTACATTAGTCTGACTGTCACTTGTTGCTGGAGCAACAGTACTCTCCTCAGCTGAGTCACCCAATTTCACATCATGTACTTTGTCAGGCAAGCAGACAGGAAGAGAATCATCCCTCAGAACCTGAATTATTATAGAACAAGTTGAGGACACATTAAATGGTGGTTGTCAGAAATATACAATGACTAAATGAGAAACAATAATAGCATTTCTGTTTAATAAAATTCAAATGCTAGCACCGATGCAGCGGAATCAAATGAGTATCCAATCTTGGAAACGACAATTAATGATGATTAATGATTATCAAAATAGATAAGAAACAACTTTGCATTTGTTTGATAAGCACAGAGACAGTTGAACCAAACGATAGTATCCAATCTTGGCAACAATAATTAATGATTAAAATATAAAAGAAACAGTAATAGCATTCCTATTCAGTAAAACACACTTGCGAGAATGGACACAATGAACTAGAAGGCAGCTTTCAATCTTGGTTAAAATAACTAGTGCTCATGATAATGATGGTTGTAAAATACAACTACAATAATTGCATTCACATTTAATAAAATGATTAAAAAGGAGGATATCTAACAAACAGAGGCATACTCCAGGACCTACAAAAATTAAAATTGAACATTGTGAAAACAACTAGATAATTGACAACATAAGCAGTAGGGATCAAGATTTCATAAACAAAATTTCCCTTGAACTAAGGAAATACAAGGAAAGTGAAGTTCTCATTTAGGACAAGTATGACAACAAATATGACCTTACCTTTGCATCATGGTACTGAAGTAGGTTTGTCAAAAGAGGTACGGCTTCCATCACAAAGTCAGCTGCAACAGAAGGAAGCTTCATGCACATATTTGCGGCATTAGACAATGCCCCCCACCAAAACACGTGATTACATCAATATAGGCGTGCTGATTAAGGGCGTAAATGCAAATCGATTTGTCACCCATCAAAAACTATAATCATCATATAGATGTAAGGATTTCATTGATGAGTTATCTGAACTCCGGTTGAGAAGGAATCCAAATAAGAAAGCACAGCCATCAGAGCTCCAGCTCGAAGACAGGCAGTTGGGTGCTCCTGAGAAATCTTCTTTAGAGCTTGAAGAGACTGTTCATGTCAACAACAATGTCTATCAGAATTCAGAACCAAGAAGAACCACAAGGTGTATCAAATAATGAGAACCTCGTCTCAAGACAGGCAGGCCTGAACATAGATAAACAAATGCATATCCTTGGACGACAGACACCAACATAAGGTTAAGCACTTTAGAACCTCACAAGTAGTAGCGTAACACATTTCTAAAAAGAATTCAACACAAAACACCGTAGCATTGTTCGACATTCCAGATACATTATTTAATCGTTTAAAAGAGATTGACTGACTACGAAACAACCTGCTCAGCCAAGTCCATATACTCAATGGTAAGCAATCTTGCGCAGAAGATAGACACCGCCCCATAATGCACAACAGCAGCACAACATGAAGGGAGCACATCACAAAGATGGGTTAGCGCCCTGGCCGCAAGAAGCATGATATCAGGATTGCTCTCCTGCTCAGCCACGTCCATATCTCATCAGCATTTCATTTGTGTTTTTCTTGTATCACAGAACTGCCAGCAGGAGACTTTTTCACCACAGGACCCTTCACAAATAAGTTGGAGCTGACAGGAAGTGAAATGATTCCTTGTGGCAATGGAGGTAGAAGTTGATTTGCCAGGTTCACAATCTCAAATATAATAACTATTAGAATATAAAAGAAAACAAGGTTACAACGCCAAAGAAGCCATTGCATTGTAAAAGTGAAGAGCCCTAGCAGTGTCACTCTTCTTCATGTAGCCAGCAATCAATGCTTTATATACAGTCGCATCTGGGGTCAACAAACGACCTCTCATTATACTGAGATACTTCTCTGCCTCTTCAACCTTTCCACAATGGCACAAACTCTGAATTATGGTCGCGAAAACAGATAATCCAGGACTCATAGACCTATACTCCAATTCGTAATACAGCTTGAGGACATCCTCAACCTCATCCTTTCTAGCATAACCCTGCATCAGACAAGAGTACGTAACATCATTGGGCAAAAACCCTTTATCCAACAACACTGTTAACATGCTATTTGCTTGCTCCACATTCCCTCTCTCACACAGCTTCTCCACCATCTTATTGAACGCCAAACAACTGGGCAGAACCCCAACACTCAACATCTTCTCAAAAAAACTCAGGCACTCCTCCAACCGTTCCGAATCCGCACACCCGACAACAACATGCTCGAAGGTCTCGCCATACGGCCTCAACCCCCTCTCTTCCATTTCGCGCATCAAACCAATGGCTTCTTCAATTCTTCCATCTCTACAAAAAGCTCCAATAAACGACGTGTAAATAAAAGAATTCCCCTGAAATCCCCTTCTCACCATTTCCTCATATAACTCCCACGCAGAATCCAAACTCCCCAACGTGACCTTAGCATGAACAATCAGAGAATACGCAACCGACTCATGAATCAAATTCTTCTGCAACAGTCTCTTCAACAAAACCACCACCGTGCTTTCTCCTCCTTCTTCCACGTGTCCCTTCTCGAAGATTCTCAATATCAAGCTGCAATTAACAATCGTAGAAGGAGAAGAAGCTTCACTCCTTTTCCCCACGATTCGATCCAACGTGTCAACAATCTTCTGTAATTCCCCTTCCTTACACAGAGCATGGATCATGATCCTCAAAGTCACTGCATTAGGGTAAGTCCTTCTAGAAATCATGTATTCGTAAACTTCCCACACAAACCCGCACTTCGGAGATTTCTGAACAACGTGAAGCAAAGCGTTGAAACTAACGACGCTAACGGAGAATCCGCGTTCCTGCACGTAACGGCAAACGTGGAAAGCGACGTCCGTCATCCTCGTCTTTGCGTACGCCTGAATCAACAGGTTAACCGCGAGAGGGCTAGAACAGGGAACCACACGAGACGTGTCAACGAGAGAATCGACGAGCGCAGTGGAGTGGATGTGCTTGATGGAAAGCGATTCGAGTAGTGCTTTGGCGTCGGTGAGCAACCTGGCTCCCAATAAAACGTGGATTGCAATGCAGTAAGAGCGGGTGCCGTGTTCGAAGCCGTTCCTCTTCGCCGCCCAATGGAAGAAGCCCAACGCAGGTTTTGCGTCGGTGGGAGCTTTGAGTTCCAACAGCACCTTTTCCACTGTTGAATCGTTTAATTGGAGGCAACCGAACTTGCGGGTTATGGTTTCCCAATTCCATCCCTCTCTGAATGAATTGCTTATTGCAGTAACGACGTTGTCGTCAAAGCTCAACTTGGACACTGACGCTGTCTCCCTCTGTAAACAACTCACTCTCAGAAAGGATTTGGAACCCATTTTCACAAGACACCCCAAACTATCTTCATGTATCTTTATAATAAAGAAATATTATTTTAAACCATAATTTTTAAATATATTGAAAATAACTTTTTTTTTAAAGAGAGAATAATTTTTATTTTAAATTAATAAAATCACATAAATTTTATAATAAATAAAGAAATAATAGATTATATTTATCTTAATATATCACTTTATATCTTTAGTTCTGAAAAATTATCAAATTAATGTTTATAATAAAAACGTTTTCCTTTCCTCCTTTTTTTCCCCCCAAAACATCCATTCTTAAACAATTAATATAATACTCGCAGCAAAACACTTCTATTTTTTTCTTTAAGTAATATGGACATTTATTTAAACTATCTTGATCTTTGTTCTTTAATAACAATAGAAAAATAATTCACATAAACTTTAATAATTCCGTTGTATATTTAACGTCTATTTATTTATTTTATCACATCTTATCTACTTTTTGTCCTTCTTTATTTCTGTCTAAAGTATTTAGATCCTACTAAATATCTACCAACAAATTAACCTTTTGCTAAAACAGATGAAGCTCTTTCGGTCTCTCTTCAAAACTTTTAACTGTTTATGATGGGACAAGTGTTGATATGTAATATGTATTAAGGTGAGCTTATTATTTTGACGTCATCTACATATCCTTGCTGTAAATAGGTGAGCAAGAACTTTTCAAAAGTGAGAGAAGGTCATTCACGTATCCGATAATTGTAGTAGTGAAAAACGAGGTACAAGTTTATGTAACCCACTTAGCAAAGACTTCAATAATAAAGCTATCACAAGAAAATAATGTCTACAAAAACTGTTCAAACTCGTTTTCGTGAAACTTGAATGAATTCATTAAAATTAATTGTTCATATGCTGTGTTTTTTTTAAATGGTTGTAAATTATTAAATTTCGAATTAAAATTTAAAAGATTTTTGGATATTATACGAGCGAGAAAATTAAAAAGACAGGAAAGAAAAAAGAATTGTTGTAACTTTATTTCTGTTGTATGGAACAAAGATGGAATGGAATTGAAGGTAACATCTGCTACAAAAAGTGAAATGACACATCGAGCTTCTGGACTGAGGAGGAAATCGAGGACGTAGGAATTAGGCACACCTCACTTGGACAGCAAGTGTCTTAACCAAAGCAGGGCAAGCATCAATCTCATTTTGGTTGAAGATTGCACGGTTGATTGAAACAGAGCAAGAATCTTTCCCCAAGCATTGCTGCTCAACAACGCTCTTGGTGGCCGCAGCAGTGCAGTTGCCCATATTGAAGAATCCACAATAACCTGTGGGGTTACCAAAGCTAGCAAAGTCCACAGCCACAATCTTTTTGCCATCTTCACACTCGAGAGAAGCTTGTGGTCCAATAACATCCACAACAGGTTTGAACTTTCCGTCCCTAGACACCCATGAATTCACATTGGGAGGTTCGTTCTCTGCAACGTGACTGCAGATTGTATCCCTGTTGATATTCAAGATCTCAATCTTTTCTGGAGTTGTCTTCTCCTCTTCCAATATAACTAGCAAGTTGTCTTGTGGGTTGAGGAATGATCTTGGGATGTGGTAGCTGAATGATTACAGCACACAAATTTTAAGTGGAGAAAGAAAGAAAGAAAGACAGACATTTAAAAAGTTTATTCATTTGGATTGGATTTGCTTACTCTGATTGAGTGGGTTTTCCTAAAGGAGAGGTAAAGCTCAGCCAGTGACGACCAATGTTTTTACCGTTGACCCAAATCATTCCCTTCCCCATACCAGTCATTCTGATGGCAACAGGGCCCGTTCCCTCAGGGGTGGCAAATCTTGTCTGCAAAACAGAGGAAATCATTTACACTTGTTTTACTTGATTCAACCTTTTCACAAACTATAAAACTTTGATTCCATGCGTTTCCTTTACCTTGTACCAAGAGAGAGCGCGTACAGGTCCACCCAATGGCTTCCATTTTGCCCTCGTTGATCCATCTTCAGCGAAGACTCTCATATCCTCACCCTTGATACCAACCTGCAAATTCAAATGGCACCATTTCAGTTAGGTCATTGCCGTCTTTCATTTCATGTTTCTCTTCAGATCTTTTTTTATTGGCAGACTAATACCTTATGACTCCAGGTGTTGCCAGTGAGATCAAGTGTTCCGCTGTTGAGAGCAAGGATGGATGCGGACTTGGGTCCTGCGAACCTGTGTTCCATGTAAGCTCCACTGTCCTGTATATTTCACATTTCAACGGATATAACAATGTTATTCTCCTCAATAAAACTTGGAAGTTCATCAAACTTTGAAGGAAGAAGGAAAACGTTGAGCCTCTTACTGGTAGTCCAACAATGCTAGCCAAAATGGATACATAGTTGATTCCAACCCTCAAGTTGACAGCTTGTTGGAATTCAAAAGATTTTTCTTCTTGGGTGCCATGAGCAGTTCCTTATACACAATAAAAAAAAAGTCGTTAAACACTGATACCCCGTCTCTCACTCATCATAGAATAGAAGGCTAGTGAAATATTTTGGTGCTTACCGACGTAGTCTCCATTTACATATGCAATCAATGAATGTCCAAGGCTCATAACACGAAGAATTGGGAGTGCCCCAACCTTAGTTGGCATGTCTTCTTGAGTCAACTCGAAGCTGCAGTGAATAAGGCAGCAATTATATAAAACATCCCACCATTTCGAAAATTATAAGATGGTGAAATACGAATGATTAGATAATCCTCACAAACTCACCTTGTGGTGTACCAAGCATAATCGGTGGTGTCCTTGAGCAAGCTGTAAAGCTCTGCAGGGATTTTCTGGTTTATTGGCAGTTTCTTGGTAGTTGGAATGGGCTCTTGAAACACCTCCCACTGATGATTGTTTGCAACCGCTGATCTCTCGTAGTTCCTTGCATTATGTTGTGACACAATCTGTTACATATGCATGCCAAGTAAATTATTAATAATAAGGAGTGAGGATTAAATATGACCCAAATGTGAGTGAAGTATCTGCTTGTGAAATGTAAGGGATGAACAAGAGAGTTGGTTAGTTACACTTTGGGTGTTGTAGACCACAGTCTTGCAATCAGGGAGGACGCTGATGGAATGTGGTGGGAGGAAATAATCTGTCCCTCTGAAGTTAATGGTGGCTGCCTCGATTGAATGGTTGTTAGTGAGAAAAGCAGCACAGACATTAGTTCCAATCTTCTCGTACACTCTAATCTGCATATTATACAATAATAGCAGCTTATGTAAGCTTTATCTGTCTTGGACACAGATTTGTTTGTAAGCAACACCAAATGCCATGTCAGATGCTTACCTCATGAAATTCGTTCAACTTTTGGACTGTGGAAGTGCCAGCAAGTATAGCCTTTCTGCATAGGAGCAAAGCCTTGTGTACGTCCCTCAGGTGACTCCATTTTGGTTCTCTCTTCAGACCGTATTCATCAAGAGGTGCCTCGTCGTAATAACGGGTAGTGGTGAAAGCAGCGCTTGTTCTACCAAAGTTTGTTCCACCATGGTACTACAAGAGTTGCAGATTCATTAGAAATTAAAGAAGATAAAAACTTTGGCCACCAGTTACATAAATAGCAAGTTTGGATGTTAAGGGCAGCACCATGTAGTAGTTGACCAAATTTCCACTCTTGGAGAAGAAGCGAGCAACTGAGAAGGCAATATCTTCTGCAGATCTCTGGGATGGTGGATCACCAAATACTCTGTACCTGTAAAAGCAAATTGCCAAAAAAATTGTATTAGACTCGAATATAAAGTGGTTCACTAAAGATAATAAGCATTAAGACAGGTCAAAGGCATAAGGGTGTTCTTATTTCTTACTGAGCAGTCCAGTTCTCAGTCCAAATAATTGGTTTGTATGGTTTGTTAGGGCCTGAGAAGGTATCACCACAGTGTCTTCCATTGCATGCATTGATCTGCCAAATGAAGCACGTGAGGTCAGGGTGTAGAGGTAATAGGCAACCCTCAATGGAAGAGAAATTTGTGCCTGAGCTACTGTATCATAACTTACCACTGGATCAGGGGCATCCTTCTGCTTGCACATGATCCATGGAACACCAACTTGCGTTGCCACTGCCATATTTGCAGCCCACTGGACATAACTGTCTCCCTTCTCCTCATAAGCAAGTTGGATATGGTTGTACTCGTTCTCGATCTGCAGTCATTGAATAACATGTCAAGTGTTTATATACATGGAATACCGAGCAGAAAATAAAGACGAAGGTCATGCACAAATCACAAAATCAAAACCTGAGCCAAGATGATGGGGCCTCCTTGGGGAGCAAAGAGCTTCTCATCTTTCATCATTTGTATAATCTTTGACACGAAGGCTTGCATGTGTTGCTGCCAATTAAAAAGGATTTCAGCATTCCTAAATTATATATTTTCAATTTCCTGACATTAAAGGCGGTCTGTATAATAGAAGAAAGTTGATAACCTTATAGGGTTCATTGTCAGAGCGGAAAATGATGTCAGGAATCTCTCTAAGCCAATAGGGAAGTCCTCTGATATATGAACATAGTAGGAACGAGATTAGAATTAAAAATGAATGGAGAAATGTTTGAAGTTAAAAATGAAAAAATGAATGGCATACCCATGATTCCACTCTGCTTGGATGAAAGGGCCAACCCTGAGGGTGACAAACATTCTTTTGGATTGAATGAGCTTAATGAACTTGACGAGATCATAATTGCCTTCGAAGTTGAACTTGCCTTTCTCTGGCTCGTGAGCGTTCCAAAACACGTAAGTTTGAATGACATTCAAACCTCCATGTCTTGCCTTATCAAGAAGAACTGGCCACATGTCAGGGGTGCTTCGGGTGTAATGGATGGAACCGGAGAAGAGGATCTCGCGTCTTCCATTGATAAAGAGTGACTTGCCATCATAAGTGACATTCTGAGCGGTCATATTGCGACCATGCTTGCCCCCATGACCACGTGCAGCAGCAATGGTGGATGAGACCAAGATGCAAAGCATAAGGGAGATTATAACATTATTAATGGTGCCAAATGACGGAGCCATATTCACCCACCCCTTCCAATACACAGTAACAGTTCAACGTGAGCCTACCCTGGGATCCTCCTTTCTCTCGTGTAGGAGGGGCCCAGAAGCTGATTTTCACGTTGCATCAACCATCCCTCTTATAGGCCTCGCTCAAGTGTACGTGTATGCCCACAGAGTAAACTTCGCATTCCCCTTCCACATTTACAATTCTGTTATCAACCCCATCCCCTTTTTTGGTTATTACTATATTTCAATTCTCTTATTCTATTTTACGTAACATGACTTCAAATATTTGTTGCCTTCCTTTTCTCTCTCTCTCTCTCTCTACTGGACGTAATATTGTTTTAAAATTAAAATATAATGAGTGGTGCAGTAAAAAATTTAAAAAAGTAAAATATAGCAGAGATATAAAAAAAAGTGTGCAAGTCTTTGAATAATATTGTTTTTTATTCGTTATTTTCATATAGATTTGAGTTTTTATAATTATAGTTTATTTCAATTAACGTTCTTACATTTAAATGTTATAATAAGAAACTCTTTTTTTGCCCGCAATTAATATATATTATATTTATTATAACGATAATGGTTGGGACGAGAGGAGGGGGAATTCGTAATTTAAGATTCTTATCTTATGAAATGAATTCCCTCCAAAATATTTGATGGTCTCTTCCTCCCTCCAAAATCAAAATCAGCAAAACCCTACCCTAACCCTAACCCTAACCATTTCTTGATCTCTTCACTTCTCATTCCATCTTTTGAGTTGTGTGGTGCGTCATGTCCAGCCACGAAGACGACCTCGATCTTCTTCTTTCCCTTCAGGAAAGGGTTCTTGAAACCCCTCCCGCTTCTCCCTCACCAGCAGCTGTAATAGCAGGTTATCTTTCCGATGATGGATCGCCAAAGCCTAGGGAGAACCCTGATATGTCCGTTTTCAAAAACGCCGTTCAGGATTGCCTTTCTTACCAACCTCCTAAGCCAACCACCAAACCCGTTCCCGTTACTAATGATTCCCAGGTTGACAAGTTTTCAGGTCTTCGAATAAGGTGAGTGTCGTTTTTATTTCATATTATTCTTAGTTCAGATGAAAACGGTTCCAAGTGAAGTGCTATTTGTTGTTTAGGAACCAATTGTTAACCCCTGCAGAGCTTAGGGAATGCTTTTCCGACATTCGCTTTGTTCGGTTATCTGTTATCAGGTAATCTTCTTCACCTTCTCTTCTGCTATTTCTATGCATAGTATGTGTAGTAACTGTAGGATTTTAGAAAAAAAAAATTAAGAATTCGTTTAAATGATGGGCATGGTTTACTCAGGAATTTGTTGATTGGGGATACTTTTTCTGGAAGTTGGGTGACTGTTGGAGTGTTGACTGAGAAGGGGAATCAGAAGACAAGCTCAACAGGGAAGAGTTATTGTATATGGAAAATTGGGTGTTTGGATGAAAATACTGTGTCTCTTTTCTTGTTTGGAGATGCTTATCAGAGGAACATGCAAGAGCAAGTGGGAACCGTCTTTGCACTGTTCAATTGTGCTGTGCGCAAGGATACCACGGTATTGAATTGTTATGGGTTTTGTTTTTTTTTTTTTTTTCCATTAAGGTTTGCCATAAGTTCTGCAATTTTTTTTTTCGTTGTTTTTGCAGGGTAATGGTTTTTCTTTGAGTATATACTCCCCTAGTCAAATTTTGAAGATGGGCACCTCTGTTGATTATGGAGTTTGCAAAGGGAAACGAACGGACGGGATGGCTTGTACGCTGGTCATAAATAAGTATTAAAACAACTAAGTTTCTTTAATTATTTTGATATGTTGGCGTGTGAAATTGCAATGGTGTTCTTTTCTAATTCTCTGAACCTGATTTGCAAAGGAAGTCATGATCTCAGTTATTTCATCGACACTTCCAACAGATGCTCCCTTTATTGAATATGCCTGATTTAAATAGTATTATGGCAGTGCTTGGGTCCAAGTACCTTAATCATGTGATTGAAAGCATATTTGATTTTTTACTTTTTTCATGTGACAAATAAAACAAATGAAAAGGAAAGGTAGACAACCTTTAGGTACTGTCGCGTAGATAAAATCTATAGAGATTTGTATAAACTCATTTTCTTAAATTCTAATTTGCAAAGCATGAGCAGTATTAATTGTAACGTCGATCCATGTAGTTGTCCTGCTTATTAAACTGCTTTTCTTGAGCACACCACATGACCATAAAACTATCTGAATGGAAATCTCAATTTGTTTCAAAGTGTCAGTTCCTCGGAATATAAACAGCATTGTATACATTTACATTGTAATATTTTGATCTCTCTCGAACTCCCAATAGTTTCACTAATTTTCAACAATTGGGCTTGGTCCCTACTATAGTTCAAAAGTTTTTAATGGAGTTTGTACTTCTAAAAAAATTTAAAATAACTCCTTCCTAATAACTATTAAGACAGACTTCTTTAACTTTTATTAAACTATAAGGACATTAAAAACTTAAACTATCGAATTCTGGTTGACAGATATAGCAAATTGAATGTCTCTATAATTTATTTGACTTTTCAAAACATGTTTCTATAGTTTAGTGAAAATCCAATGGTGGTTAGCATATAAGCACTGATTTAATGAAATATACGGACTTCATTAAAAAAATTTAAACTATGGGAATCTATTTGAAAATTTAGTAAAATAAGGATAATGGAATAATTTAACCTGTTTTAAATTTCCTTCATGTCTCAAGAGTATTGTTCTTTTTTTTCCCCCCCCCTCCAATTAATACTTTTCCTAGTAAACCATCCTTCTGACAGTACAGTAATATTTTTTTCATATGCTGATTGAGTGTCTTCATAAATCATAACGTTGATCTTTGTTATTTCAGGCGTCATGGGACATATTGCAAATATCATAAAAAAGTAAGCAGCATTTAATTATTTCACGTTTTCTTGTCAATACTTTGTTGTAACAAGAATGTTTGTTCACTAGATACATATAATTTCCTGTAGAAAGCATCTGAGAAATATTCCACAATGCGTAGTGAACTCAAAGGAGGGTGAGTGTTTAGTTCTTTCAAGTTCTGGTTTCTTATTAGTAGCATTTGTTTGCATTCAACTTGTTTGATTTCATCTCACATGTGGTTTTTGTTAGCAGAAACTTAAGAACAGCATTTAGGCCTAGAGATTACCTCAAATCAGAAGGAATTTACTTAGTTGACCCTCTTACTGACAAAACAAACTTGAAGAAGTCTCAACCAGTGAAATTGTTGTCCGTGGATGGCCTCAAAAAGGCATTGAGGTTTGTCACTATTCAGTATTCACATGGACCCAGTACCTGATGAGCTACATTGCAAGGACATTCAGCTTTAATTTTACTCCCGCTTGAATTCTATTGCAGTTGAGTATTAATATTAATTTTTATATCAGCAATGCAGGAAAAGTAACAACAGCAAAATATTCACAAGGGATTCGATTTCTTTCTGAGGTTGCAGGTGATAAGATTATCTTAAAACTTTAACGACATTATCAATGCATTTATGCTATTGTATTCTTACTCTTAGCTGGATTTTACTACTATTTGCAGGCAAGCCAGATCCAAAAATGGTTAACAAAGGACCCAAGATTCCTCTTGAACAAAGCAATTGCACAGAGAAAAGGTGAGTTGCAAAAAAGATTATAGGTTAATGTCAGTTGCATCTTATGCATGTCAGTAGAGGCCTAGCAAACCGGTTTCATTTGCATGTTACTGTCTTCAGGAAATCATCTTTTGTGAATGTGGGATCCTCTGCAGTCAAAAGAAACCGACAGTTAGAAGTTAAAATAAAAAAACCAGATGGGCAAGTTTTGGCAGATAAAGCCACCAAGAGTGCAGGAAAGATGATTGAATTAGATCTTGTTAGTTCGGATGAGGACTTCTGAAATTTCTACATTCTCTGCCTATTTTCGTTGAGTACACAAACACATATTGGGCAGCAAAAATGTGTTGAGTAGAAGCTGAAGGCTTCTGCAAGATGGCATCATTGGAAGGTGTTAAAATGGTGTACATTAGTGCTCCTAGAAGTTTTGATGGTTCACATGGAAGATTAGTTTCTTCTGCAAATATGCCAAATTCCCTTACAGAAAAGAATTTATTTCTGTCTGCTAATTCAGTCGTTACCAAATTTGGTTAGATTATTCACTTTATCAATTTTTTGGGGGCAAGGGATTAAACTATGAAATGGAAATTATGTATTGGGAACTGTATAGCGGTTCAATTTTGACCCAAATTGAAATCTCGAGTGTGTATTTTCTTCTTTTTTCTTGTGTTTGCTGATGGATTTACTTAAAATATTAGCCTCGACTGTAGTGATTTTGGGAGGAGATCTATTCGTGTGCATAAGCAGCTCAGGTGTATGTTTATTGTCTTTATGGTGAGTTGTACACAATTTGAACATAAAAATGTCATGGGTGGGACTATGCATATTAGTAGATTAAGTGTTTATTAAAGACGTGGCAAATAACAAAGTAGAGGGAAAACCAAGGGAAAGGTTTGTCATGCCTTATCTAAAGGCTTATGAAAATTTTAAGATGTTGACCTTATCATTGTCTAAAAGGCATGCTTGGTGTAAAACTAGATGGGTTCCTAAGTAAAGAATTGAACCAACTGCCACATAGCTTATTTAAATCTGAACAAAATTGTTTTCTTTTTCCCTGTGTTTCCAGCTATCAGGTGTTGTTGGCTTGGTTGCAGTTGAGGTTACTGAGGGTTCCACAATTGGTTTTGTTTGTTGGTTGCTGAAGGAGGGAATGTTTTCCCATGCTTTTGTTATATTGCTTATTACGAAATCATTGCTTGTTAGCTCATGTAAATGTCTCTCTTGGGATTCAAAAGTATCCCCAATAGAGTGGCAGCTTCCCGATGCTTTGTTTCTCAAATTTGTCAGTGTTACAACTCTTACCCTCAGTTGTAGAGGGGAAATATCTTCTAGATATGTGAAAGGTGTTACTAGCTGTTTTTGGCATGGTCATATACATAATGAACAAGATTAAAAATGTATGAAAGCATAAAAATGCATGAAGGTTGATGGTAGATGTGCTTCATCTCCTTGAAATCTTTCAATGTATGGGTCTTTGCTAAAGGATGTTGTGGCACTGCCTGGGGATGCATGCTGGTAACACTCCTTGGCGTTTGCATACACATTTTTATTTCCTTGTTTATAAAAAGGTATAGCACATCCAGGCGGCAAGGGTTTTATGGTAACTATTCATGTAAGACGAAAAGCTTTGAGCAATACTACTCATATTTGGCATAACACAAGTACATTTAGAGAGCTTGACTGCGAAACATCATTTTGACGACGAATTTTTAAAAAAATTATATGGGGGCTGTTTAAACTTACAACAGACAGGCTTTATTGGAGGATCCTGAATTTCGTCAAGTTGATTTACAAGCAACGGTAATATATAGTCCAAATAACCATTTTAAACCAAACTAGCTTTGGCGATTTAAATATGATCATATGTTTTGGGGGAGAGGAAATCAGAACGGTGAAAACCTAGGCAACATAATCCGAGGTTAATTGGGGTCTTGTAGATCTCTACGCAAGTTATGTGAAATGCTTCTGGGTACAACCTTTATTACTTAGGAATGTTTGTGATTTGGTTTGAATTAATACCTAAAAAGTTATTCAATTTAGTCATAAAACTCAAACGTAGTTGGATTTAAACCGATTTAAATATAATATTAAATCTGATTTGATTTGATTTTTTGTTATTTGAATTCGACTAATTATTTGGTTTTTGCTATGTTTTTTAGGGGCAATATATTTTAAATAAAATATTAAATATACAATAAATATAATAAAAAGACATTTAAAATATTAAATATCTCATCGTAAGTCATGGTACAGTTTAAAGTTATAAATTACTAATTAAAGAAGTCTTATTTTTTAATGTTACAAGTCCATGTTCATTCATAAATGTAACAATACATGCTACAAATACGCAAGTCTCCCCACTTTTTTTGTTGGATTTTATTTATAATCTATTTATTTAAACTTATAAAATTGTTATAATCTATTTATTTAAACTATCAAATTGATTTTTATAAATACGTAGCTATACAAATATAGAGTTATAATAATCTCATAAACATAATTACATATGCATATAAGTTCAGTTTGAATTAGATTATATTAGATAATTTTTTTAAAATTGCATTCAAAATTTGATTCAATGTAATAAGAAAATTTTAGATTTTTCAATTCGTTCAATTTATTTATTTTTCAATGTAGTTTTTACTGTTAACATTGGATTAAATTAGTTTATGTATGCCTTGCATATTATTCTAGAGAACTTTTCTGAGGAGTGTTAGCGAAAGCGTGTGAAGGTATCACAGAATGGTGCGCGTTAATGATCTATGCCAAAATATGAGTAATTGGGAGTGATAAGTTCTTTTCTTTATCTTTTTTAATACAAGAGATAGTGCTTAATTATGGTAATTACTACTAGTTCCATTGTGATGAATCATCTTGTCCGGGGAATTATATATATATTTGTTTTGAAGATTGCGAAAGAGAAGTTAATGGACTCGAGATGGACTCAGTAATCGTCTATTGTAGCATGTCCTGATTAAAAGGGAAAGAAATAAAGAAAAAAAGGAGAGAAGGACCTAAAGAACAACGTGAGAGAGGTTGTGATAGATCTGTATCTGCAGTTGGTGTCTGTCAGTAACAATAATGTTACCGAACTCCATGAAAATTATTGTCATTTGTGAGCAACATGTTTCTTGAACCTTGAATGATAGCTTTTAACTTTTATCCACCCTATGCAGTCACAACATGTCTATGAAGCAGACATATCGAAAAAGGTTGGGGTTTGGGGAGACCCACATGTGGAGGACAGCCAAAGAGGTAGGTAAGAAAGGGTTCTTACGACAGCCTCCCACAAGTACCTAAGCACATGACATACTCGCGTTGCTGTGCTGGCTGTCACCATACTCAAACAATCATGCAAATGCAAATCGTACGCCACAGTTTCTTCCTAATCTCTCTTGTGTATTGGGGTGTGTGTGTGTGCAAGCACTGATTGCGGAGAGACGACCTTAGGTTGTTCCTCCCTTTTGGGTTAGCTAAAACTACCATTGTATATAGGTTGATCGTTTGTAATAAAAGTGCCCAACTGATTGCCACCACCAGTGATTCACAATTTATTAATGTGAGTAGTTATGCCATTTATCTGTCATTTATTATTGGTAAATTTAGAATTACAGACACGCTAGATCTATGTGACTCTCTATCAACACATTCAAATTGGGGACTGGGTAGTTTTGGGTTTAATGTTTTTCTTTTAAAACTATTTATTTATATATTTTAAATAAATCATATATTAACTATATTTGTATTTAAATAACATACACGAATTAATATACAAGAAGAACTTTTAAAAAAATTAAAAAACTTGAACTCAAATTTAGTCAGAGTGATTTTTTATTTTTTTGTTGTTGAAGTTGAGTCAGGAAAAAATAGGTACTTGCAAGTTCAAATTAACTGTCATGCCTAGATTAAAATGAGTTAAGACAAGTGATAACTAATTCAAATATACCCACCGTGTTTAATTAAGCGAGTCAGCTAATGTTTTTAAAATTTTGTTAATTTAGTGATTCAATTAGAATGGAACAAAAAACTTTCAAACATGATTGTATCAGATTAGATTGAATTAGTAAACTACAAACTCATTCAACTTTTTATTTATTTATGTATGTGTATGTGTATACAACTTTTTAACATATTTTGATATCTGTAACTACTTTAAAATTTTGATATTTTTCATGACCCAACTTAAACCAACCTAAAGAGAATGATAAATTATGCCAAAAATTCACCTGACTTGACTTTATTTTATTAGCTTGGATCAATATCTGACAAATGGACTAGAACCTACCCTTAAATGAGAAGACGTTTCAAGATTAATTGTTTATATTATAATATAGTTGAACAAAAATATTTTTTATTTTTGAAATAATAATTATTTCAACATAGATATTGTAGGTAAGCATGATTCCAATTGAATTTTCTTTTTTACAGCAAATTGAGAGGAGGGCGAGGTTCCTTTTCTATTTCCCTAAAATTTAACTTATTTAAATTGGAAAAAGTACGATTGCTCACAAGTTAGCCCAATCTTGTTTTAAAAAAAAACATTTCAAGCCAGTATCAAAATCAATTAATTCATTTGGCTTAGTTCTGTGAATTTTTATTCTAACAAAGTGAAAGGAAACTCACCTATTATTATAACTTTCAAGTTTAGGTACATCCATGAGGCTGCTGGGACTGTAGTGTACTTTCTCATATAAAGTCAAAATGATAGTCTAATAAAACAATTGCACTGAAATATAAGAAACCAATGGACAAGTTTCTTTGGAACCAAACGAAAATGTGTAATAATTAACTAGAGAAATGTGAAAGATGGTGAGAAATCAAAGATTTTCAAGTTCTTACCTCGTCAACAAATCAACAGGCAAGAGTGGTTCTGCTGATTTTTGTCGTAGAATGGCCAGTCGTGCATGGCATATTTAAGTTTTATAAAAAAAATTCATCGTGACCCCCCCCCCCTCCTTTCCAAATAGAAGAAAATAAATGATAGGATTAAATTTGATATATTAAAAAAACAATTAGATAAAAAATTATGAAACTAAAATCACTTATAACTCAAATAAAAAAAAACTAAAGTTACAATTAAAATAATAGTCGTTACATTTTAAATCTAGAAACCTAACCCAAACAAATATTTCATTCAAATAGTACATGCTCAATTCTTTTTAAATAAGGTATTAGATTTTACTATTGTGTATATAATTCCTACTGAAAAGTTAATTTTACCGTATTATGAATATATTTATGAAAAAAATATTGCCTATAAATCATACTTGTAATTATCTGCAAAATCTAAGATTCACATTTATATTGTATTTAATTATCATTGATATAATTCATCCTCAACCTCAAGTCAATTTATCATTTAGGTTTGATCTTTGGTGTTTTAGAGTTTCCCACAAGGCAACAGATAGGCACGTATAAATGTGTTAAAAAGAAAAACTCACTGACATATCTCTGTTGCAAAAATAGTAGGTGGTCATTGTGAAGTGTGTGCACCTTCACTGTGCAATTATTTTGTCGGTAGTGGCAATCTAAGTCTGAGGGAATTGCAAGGGCAGTGATTATAAGAGTGAAAAGTTGGGGGAAATGGTCACAAATAATTACCCAATCTATTTCCTCTCTCAGGCGTGGAGTTGCAAGGCCTAAACTTGGAACACAAGGTTGGGTTGGGGAGAGAGAAAAAACGGAAAGTGGAAGGTGAAGCAAAGGGCACAATACAACGACAGCCACACACTTATCTTTTTTCCGGTTCTCCCCTTCTCTCTTCTAGAAACGTGTCGCTGTCTCTCTCTCTCTCTCATGCATGATAATAAAGAACCACAACTACCATTCCCATCTCAATGCTTTCGCACATGAATACCCAAACTACCGATGCATTTCTTTCCGGGAAACCCACAACAACCCACTTCCTTATTTCACTCTTTTTTATTTTACCTTTTTCTTTAAAATGAATTTGTTCGATAATCACCTTGAAAACAGCTTCACATGTTATGGAGCAATTATTGAAAAGGGATTGATCACTGATTTATTTAAATTTAGGAATGGAAATAATGTAATTCTCTGATCTTAAAAGGGAGCAGAGATCACGTCTTGTCTTGGCTTGCCCATACTTTAATAATATCGTAACCCATAGTTAATGTGATTTAAGTAGTTAAATCATGTGATGCTAATATAGTACTAATATGATAAGAGAGAGAGAGAGAGAGAGAGAGAGAAAGGTACCAGACTACCAGTACCAGCCACTCTACTCTAACCTGTCTCACCAACTCACATCTAGAAGCAATAAGGGTCACTTCCATTGGGTCAAAAGCCTATAAAAATCACACCCAAACACTTCTCCTGCGAGGGCCGGCCCTTGATATTGTTTCAGCAACACAAACACAAAAACCAACATCAACACTAAATCTTTTCATTCATTCATTCATTCATTCAAATTTCATAGTCGCAACTCAACTCATATTGTCAATAGCAGTAACATGGGAAGGTCCCCTTGCTGCGAGAAAGCCCACACAAACAAGGGCGCCTGGACCAAAGAAGAAGACGATCGCCTCATAGCTTATATTCGAGCACACGGCGAGGGGTGTTGGCGCTCTCTCCCCAAAGCCGCCGGCCTTCTCCGCTGCGGCAAGAGTTGCCGCCTCCGTTGGATCAACTATCTCCGCCCTGACCTCAAACGTGGCAATTTCACCGAAGAAGAAGACGAACTCATCATCAAACTCCACAGCCTCCTCGGCAACAAGTAAGCAACTTACCCTTAGTTCAATTCAATTATCAAATGTCCAAACAATAACATTAAAAAATAAAAAAAACATCATAGGTGGTCTCTAATAGCTGGAAGATTGCCCGGTAGAACAGACAATGAGATAAAGAATTATTGGAACACTCACATAAGAAGGAAGCTACTGAGCAGAGGAATTGACCCTGCAACTCATAGGCCTCTCAACGACCCTTCTCCTTCTCCAAATCACAATAATAAAGAAGCTGCTGCCGCTGCCGCCGCCGCCGCCGCCACAATATGTTTTGCTGCTAAACAAGAGGAAAAGGACAATACCAACGCGTGCGTGTTCGTCGAGAATAAAGATTCCAAAGGACCCACTTTGGAACGCTGCCCTGACTTGAATCTTGAGCTGACAATTAGTCCTCCTCGTCAGTCTCAGTCTCAGTCTGATCAGCCATTGAAGAGAACCCTTTGCTTTTCTTGCAGTTTGGGTTTGCAGAATAGCAAGGATTGCAGCTGTGGGATTAACGCTGCTAGTGCCAACGCCCCTTCTTCTGGTTATGATTTCTTGGGCTTGAAAACCCGCGTCTTGGATTACAGAAGCTTGCAAACCAAATCAAATTACTCAAAGAACTAAATTCATTAGTTTTTCTTTTCTAATTTGTATAATTAATTAATTAGTTAGTTGTTGATGCAAAAGATACAGTGCCGGTACAGTTCTTGCCCAATGTTTTCCCCCTTTTTTTATGAATTGGAAAAAGCACAATTATTTATTCGTTCTCCGCCAGCAAAATATTATATCAATAGGATAAGATTAAAAATATAAAAACGCAGTGTTTCGTATGTAACACGGGTAAACAACGCAATCTTTCCGAATAGAATGACAACTGTTACTATTATTTCAACAAAATTCAATTTAACATTTGATGATTCACACAATCATAAAATATAATCCTGCATCATTATCTGTTTACTCGATTAATTTACATCTCGTGCTTCAAATTCGAATAAGTTTAGATTCAACAAATTAGATTCAGTGCACTCTTTTCCCTTTTTGGATTCGGTCACATTTTTAGTTATTTTAATCTAATTTAATTTCGTAGCATTTTTAAAAGTTATACATATTTGATCATTTTTGAAACTTTTTACTTGATAATGATTATCACTATTTCCATTTTAATTTTATCTTATTAATTATGAATGTCTAATAATTTTTCTTTTATGGATCACGAAGCAAATATAGTGAATGGTAAGCTTTTCGCCCCCTCTTTTTCCATTGAAAACTATTCAGTTTGTTTGTACTTTAGGATGTTTCTGAGATTGTCTTTTATGGATAAGATGAGAGAGAGAAGTTAAAATGAAAGGGTGGTAGGTAATAACCTAATTAATTAGTTTAATCTTCCACAAATCGCAGTAACAGCTGCTAGCTCAATTAATACGCTACCCAAATTGCGTGAATGAACTAACATTTGTTTGTAGTACCACATATCCATCATATATTCTACCATCCTCCTAACATTTAATTATTTAGGTCATGAGTCGACAAGCTTCATAACTTAGGTATGTAACGGTATACATGATATCAACCTACTTAGGTTGTGCCATTATTCCCTTTTTTTCTATTTTTCTTTTCGACCTTTCACAAACCTTATATTTCAATTTGTATATAACTCGTTTATGTCACCTGAAAAATACAGACCAACACATGCACATTACATTTTGGATGAACAGATGAAAGACAAATAAAACTAACTAGTGTTAGCAGTTTTATGGATGATATTGATCTTCCTTAAGCTAATCAAAGCCAACAACCCTAAGTAATTGCATTAATTAAGCAGCCTTGGATGAATCTATATGGTTTTGGTACTCAAGGAATGTTTCATGCTAACTTGGGCACTTGGCTAATGTAATGCTAGCTGCAGATTTGTCTTTAATTTCTTTGTAATTTGCTGTTAAAATCATGCTTGCTGGCTGCTGGTATTCTTTCTCAATAGTAGCTAGCTAGTTGCGTATTGACGAGATATAAGAAACCTTTTGAAGTTGAGATATAAGGAACTTGAATAGGTAAATGACACAAATCAAATTAATTAAAAGCTGGTAGCAACTAAAATACAACTAATAGTGAAATGATCCTACCAACCATCCCAATTTTATCTGCCACATTAAATTAGGGTCATGTCATGGGGTCACTCAGTAATTTGATTAGACTAGAGACCATGTCCATTCACTCGCTACCACTTCAAGGCTTACATTCATATGTCATTATTATGATCCTGCCACACATATTATTTAATTTTCTGCTATAAAACTCAACTTCTCGAGCTGCTTAAAATTTAATTTTTCAATCCATTGGTTAATTTTTTGCCAAAAATAAAACTACCATGTTATTTTAGTTTGTGTTTTCAACATTGGTTAAATGTTTATTATAATTTGTATTCTTTATAATGAAAATTTTAAAAATAAAAATCCTTATAAACTTTATTTTGATTTTATCTGTAGTTGATATGAAATCACAACACACATTTTTCATGACTGAAATTACAGATTTAAAGTGGGAAAATTATAAGACTATTTTTATTTTTAGTAAAAAAGTCACGAGATCAAATCAATTACACTAAAAAACTCGTGAAGGTTTTTTTTTTTTTTTTTTTACAATGAAAGGTGATCAGGTATTTGATCTAATATAGACTCTAATGCTGCCTTAACTTTAAATTTGTTCAACTCAATTTTAAAAGCTAATTCTCAAGCAAAAATCATCTAATTCTTTTATAAATTATACTTTAGTCGTGTTATTTAATGAGCTATATATATAACAAGTTATTCTTTTCATAATCAAATAAATATTAAAAAAAACTTTAAATTTATCGAAATAAGATAAAATTTATTTATTTTTTTATAAATACTTGTCCAACAATTTATTTCATTAACCGACGTAGACAAAAATGCACATATACTTAGAAAAAGAACAAATATATATTAACAAAAGGAATAGAAGTGGTAGAGTGAAATAGGAAGGGATGGATATGATATCGAAATGATCCGAAAAGCAAAGGGCATTCCCACATATAATGGGAGCGTCACTTTAAAAGCATCAACAGCACACTTTTTGATTTTCAAATGTGTTAGGTAGAGACAATAGAAGCTTCCATGAGATATTTTTATGTTTCCTTTAAACAAAAAATTACGGCTCTGAAGATTGAAGATATGAAGATATTTGATAGAGAGAAGAAGGTTGGGGTTATGGGTTATGGGTTATGGGTTAGGAGAGTTCTGTCATTTTAATTCATTGCTTTATTTTCCCGTCAACGAGGCTACTAATTGTTTCCACTTTCTACTTTCTACTTTCTCCATTGTTAAATTGGTTGAACCTCCACCAACATCACATGCGCTTCCTTTGTGCTCCCTCACTTCATACATTTTTTTTAAAACAAGTGTTATGCATTCAATTATATTTAAATTTTGGATTTAAATACGAGAACAAATTATTTAATATGTTTTCTTTATCAACTTTTTAGTTAACAAAATAATTTGATAAAATTTTCCGTATCTGGGACATATACAAACACCCATAATCAAATTTATAAAACTTGAAAAGAAAGGGAACGCAAGAGATAAAATATTAAAATGTTCAAGTAGCACTTTAAAGTAATGAGAGCAGTGGGTAGGGTTTAAATAAGGTATTACAATAGTCATCCGTACACACTGTTTTTAAAAATACCCACTGCCAAATACTAATCTGCGATTGCTCTTTAAAAATGTATATACATACCAACTAAATAAACTACCTAGCAATATAATAAAAAAAAATTACATACACACGCACACACAATGTCACATAAACTAATTGATGTTATATATATGAGTTTTTTCATCATCTGATTGATCTATCTATTCATTTCTTCTGTTTTTTTATACATTCTCAACATTACTATTCTGTTGGTATATAAATAATATATTAATTGGCCACACAAAAGAGAGGACAACATTATTTAAACAAATAATATAATATAAATTGGGTTGAGTTTTGTTGTTTAAAGAAATTCCAAAGAATCTCAACTCAGGACTCAACTCATTCTCTAGGTTGATTTTTTTTAAAACTACCTAACTACAAAATCAAGTCAACCCTTAATTTATAGATAGAGTTGGATGAAAACATACAAATCCGCAGATTGAAGTAACTCGATAAAAACCTATCTCTACTGGGAAATAATTATACATTAACAATTACACCAATAAAATATTGATAAAACATGTCAACCCGAGAGAGGGAGAGAACAAAACATTACAACTTTTGGATGTCTATGGCTATGAATTGCTACCAAATATTTTTACGATCTGGGGCCTGCCTTGGATCATTTGGGTAAATTGGACAACCATAGTCAATAAAAATCAGCTGTGGGTTTTATTCAGATCCTTTTCCCTGCAGCAATGAATTGAAAACTGTCAGAGTCTATGATGCAATGAACAAATAGCTAGTTGCTAAACCTCGCCACTTGTCAGGGACTGACAGGAACATCCCAACCCTTTCCTTCTTCATTGATTATTAAATGCAATAAATGTTTTTGTTTGAAATCGTTCTAGAAGTTCGTTCTTTTTCATCATATCAGTTTGGTTTTAAGTATAAAAAATTTAAAAAAAATATATATATATATATATATATATTTACTTAAAAATATAAAAATACACTCACTCGTATATGTTTTAATGCATTATGATATAACTTTTAATAAAAATTTATTATTTATTGATTTCTGAATTAGTACAAGCTTGGAAACTATAATGACAATCCTTAAGTTTTTATTGCATCATTATTGTATATTTACAGTTGGCAAATTAAAGCTCTGATGACTTTACTTCTTGTGGTTATGAATTTTAATGCTTTAATACTACATTGCAAGAGGAACTCCGGTAATGTCTTGGGCCACATCTGGGCCTCAGTGTACCAAATGGTGATAGTGACTGGGTCACAGGAGCAGGATTATTGGCACTTGGCGCAAGATAGGAAAAACGTAGCTGGTAGGAAAAGTTCACCAAGTTTGGTGACATGTCTGTGATGAAATCATGAGAAGGAGATTGAGATAAGGGTGGGAAGAAGAGGGTGAAATTAAAGGGAAAAGGAAGGGCATGAGCACAATAGTGAGGAGAAGGGAAATTAAAGGATATGATAGTGTGGGGAAGATAGGCATGGATTCCCATATTGTTAGGTAGTGGTTAATTGCTTGGGTTTGTGTGATGGTGATTGGTGTTGAGAGAGAGACATCCTAAAGTCATCAATCCCATGTAGTCCTTTATCAGTCAACTATCCATCCCTTTCAACAAACGGAACCTATCCCATAAATCTTTTCTTTCTTTTTTATGTTTTTTCCATAAAATTATAATTAAATATAATTTTTGCATCCTCTGTTCTCTTACTAACCTAAACCCAATCTTATCTCTATTTTTGTTCACACGTCCCACCCGTATCTGCCAACCAGCATATATTGCCAACATTATCGTTAACTCAACCTATTTTATGTTATTAGATCAGATACGGGTGGTGGAGTTATTGAAGTAGAGTGGTCCCCTGCCAAAAACCAATGGAAAAAGGTACTTTTGAATTTTAAAATTCTTATACACGTTTGTTTAACTGCTTTGCTGATTGGTTTGGTCATTTAGGCCAGATTTGAGTTATATCAATGATACATCGTGTCTTGTGATCCCAAAACACTCTTCTTTTTGTTAATTGGGGGGACAAAAAGTAATCGAGGTAAGAAATGAATTGGCAGTTTTATAAAATTAAAACATGCATGAGATGATTGCGTGGGTGAAGCTGAGAGCAGACACATATTTGGGTATAATGGATAAGGCGATTAATTTACAATTCCATTCTGTGACATGCATGACTTGAATTTGCTGTCCATATGTTTTACCAAACATCCTTAATGGAGACTTCAATGGGATTACGAAACTAATTAAGACAACTTCATTGGAAGACATTATTTTTATTATTATTTTGGTTGGCAGGCAGCGCTGTTTGTGTTAATTAGTTGACACGCAGGGAAAGCAAGTACCGAAAGCACGTGTTACATTGTGAGTTGGCCATTACAAATTATTGTCCTCTATGTTCAAGCTCTTCAACAACATCTTCATACATTCAAGTGCGTGCCAATAATTGGATTGTATTAAGCCCATATGAACAAATGAAGGAAACTTTTGTTCCATGACAAACCACTTCACATTCTCCATAGTCTTGTCTAGTCATTATGAATGACAAGAAGAGAACAACCATTGTAACCGGGAGGCATATAATATGATAGAAGAAATATTATAGGGGGGAAAAAAATTAAAGCTAGTAACTTCAATTCCTTCTAGAACAGACCTTAGGGCACTTCCCTTTTAATTTAGTGGTCTTGGATTAAATCCAAGGGTTGCTTTGAGTGTACTTTTGTAATTGGAAGCTATTCCATGCTTTTGGGTAGTTCTGCTAATGCTTTTTAGAGAATGATAACTCCATTGCATGATACAAAAGTAACGAGGATGAATTTTCCAGCGAACATTTTACCGAACATCCATTCATTTAGAAAAGTCCCATGATTTTAAAATTTCTGAAATCTTCCCAATATAATATTGGCCACAATTGATAATCGGAAGTTTGGTGAATGATCTTTTTAGACATGACATTAGCATCACATGGTGTTGGGCCCTTTATCCTACAATTAAACTTAAAGTTCCGAGACATACCAACGATGATCTTAAATGTGATAATGACATTTTAAACGGTAAGCTACAATTATTGGATTTGTTTTTTCAGTTTCTTCACTTTCACGAAGCTCTGAAATCGGTCCCATACACAACACACAGGCATGAGCTGAATCTTTCAGAAAATATAATAATAAAAAAATAAAGGATGAGATGAGAGTATAGAGAGACAATGCATGATTTCACTTTACAAGGTGTATCACCATTCCCTCAGGCTTGCCACAAGCATTGAACTTTGGAAGCAAGATAAGTCAAGACCTAACAAATAACAACTTGTCCACAAGCACAAGGCCACGGTTGAGTTTGACAAATTTAAAATATAGTCGTAGGCCTTCCACCAACTAGCACAATCAATCCATTTTGACATCATTACCGTCGCTATTAGATATTGATGTGATGTGGGTTTCGGGGCATATTGGCAAAACATTAACTACTCTAGAGACGAACTAACAACTTTCCCATTTAATTGCCATAGAGCTCCGTTAATTTTGTCAATTCCGTGTTGAATGGTGTGGTTTGTAAAGAAAAGGATGTTTCATGTGCAAAAATTCCAAGTTGATGATATCAGTGAGTCACTAAGCTGGACAAAGTTGGAATGATGGCATCACTATTACTCTTGAATCCTCTTCCTACCACACTCTCCACCATCCTCACAATCAATCAACCAACCTGTGAACTTATTTTTTGGATGGGTACGTGATTTTCGATACAGCGGAGGGAAGACGAAAGAAGAGAGTTTAAACAGATTTTTATATATTCATGAATTACAATTGACATGTTGTAATAATAAAACCTAAAATACTCTTTCTAATACTACACTCTCCATTTTTTTTATCTATCAGTTATTTTACACAGTTTTAAATAATATTTAATGTCTTAAATTTCTATAAAAAATTATTTCATTTTTAATTTTACATTTTTTAATTAATAAAATATTTGTATTTATTAATATGTAAAAAGTAAGGGTATAATAAAAAAAAATAGAAATATCAAATGAGTCGATCTAACTAATTTAGTTAAAACTTATGTGAGTTAGAGTCAAAAAGTCCACAAATTCAAAAAGTTCATAATGTGAAAAATCTATAAAATTAAAAAGTTCATAAAATTAAATAGATTAAAGCTGACACATGAAATAACTACTTTTCAAAAAAAATTATTATAATTTATTAAAAATATTTATTTTATAAAATATTTTTCATTATAAACTTATAAATAAATATAATTACTTAAAAATAGATAAAAATAATTAAATTTGTATAATATCAAATATTTAGAATAAATCATTATTATTAAATGATATTAAATAAAATATAATAATTTATTATAAATTAACTTACATATTTATCTAATTTTTATATGTATTATTAATAATTATTAAAGTATAGTAATATTTTTCATTCATATAATTTTATAAATAATTTCTTAACATGTTATTTTATAATTTTATTTGAATATTAACTCTAAAATTGTTTAAGTTTAAATATTTTTATGTTATTATTATTATTTATTTATTTTTATAAAATTATTTTAGAAACATCACATATTTAATAAATATTTTTAAAGTCACAAAGAGACATAAAAATGATAATAAAAAGTAATATTAGTTAAATTTATTAGGTCATATATATCAAAACGTTCGAAATAGTTTATTTAAATAAAATTTAATGTGTTAAAAAAATAAATACAACATTATAATCATTAAATTTGTAGACACGTGATATTTAATATTGTAAAATTTAAATTGACTTTGAATTGATAGAATTTTTTATTTTTTAAAATACATTTTTTTATATTTAAAATATATTTTTAATTAATTTTAAATAAATATATAATAAAAATAATAAACAAAACATGTGTATTTTACTAAAAAATTAGTACAAAATTTATTAATTACTCTCTAAAAAATATGTATATTTATTTATTTTTATATACATTATATATTTAATAAATATTTTTAAAATTACAATAAAAATACAAAACTGACAAAGAAGAAAACAAGTTAACTAAATTTGTTAAGTCATCTATTTTGTAAATGCTTAAAATTATTTATTTAAAAAAAATTTAATATGGTAAAAAAAAAAATACAACACTTTTATCATAAAAATCATAGATATATAATACTTAACATTGCAAAATTTATTAATGTAAAAAAGTAACTTGTAAACTTAATAAAAATAAATATTTATAAATTAAAATTTTGACTCATCTTAATTTGATAAAATAATTAAATAATTTTTATATTTAAAATATAAATTTTAATGAATTTAAATAAAATAATTTAATAAAAATAATAAACAAACATATTATGTTTTTTGCTAAAAATATAATACAATATTTATTAATTACTATTTAAAAAATGAGTTAATCCAGCTTTTTATTGTATATTGAGGCGGTAAATAAACGCACTACATATGGGGCTTAAAAAAAATTAGAGCTTATAGTAAGTTGTGTAAGGTAGGTTCTGAACTTAAAGCTATATTGACAGCTCTATAAAAAAATATACTTATTTAAACTCTCGATAAATAAAAAAAATATTTTTTAAAATCGTGACAAATAAAAAAAAACTGGAGTAAAAAGAAAAATGACACATGCAACATATCTTTGAATAACACATTAAATTCACCCTTTTATTTTGACTGTACATATTTACTTTACAGTTGGATTAATTTATTTAAATTATGATTTTGACAAATAATTTTGACAGTGCGTCATTGTGGTAAAACAAGCCTCTCTCTCTCTTTCTATTGTATTTTTGTGACAAAGAGATTGAAATATAAAACGGTAGAAGGCCAAAGCCCAAAGGCTACAATCGGGGCTATGCCACATATCATATACAATAGAAACACAAACTCTCCTGTGGCTGTGGGCCAAATCTGCAGAGGACACCTATCTGATTCACATGCCTCTGTGATAGTATGAGAATTGCAACTTGCTTTCTTACTCCATTTGTTTTTAGGCCTAATACTCAAAGCTAGCCATATGCAGCACACTAATCCATTTCATTTTTCAGCCCATTCTACATCACCCTCTCATACTAGATGTCTAAATTGTTCCCTGCCAGCCCACTATGAGTATGTTGTCATTCTTTCGCTCATTCTGTCTTCTACCTGGTTTAACTTGTATTAACAAACCATACATTATAGCTTAAGTGGTGAGAGCCAGTAGGTTATATGCAAGATGAGTAGGGTTTAAATTTTCCAATGACAAAAAAACTTGCATTAGCTAACAAAATTATTGGGGACCACTCCCACCAGTAATTCTCTCCACATACGTTTGCAAAAAGCTTTATTTTCTTTTATAGTGGAATGAAGGTGCTACAAAATTCGTTTCATTCCTTTATATTGAGACAATAACGGAGGTTCTTCTTACAGCTGCTGAGGAGATCCACATGGTTTTCCTTCGGTCCCTCATGGCTATGGATCATATCAATTACTTTGTAGGTTCCATGTTGACCACTTTTGCTTCCGACAGGGGCCAATGGAAGGTTGCCTTTCATCATAGAATCACAAGCACATCCATGTTCTCAATCCTTCCCTTCTTTTCCATTTCAACCATCCTACAAACTCTTGACAAAAATAGAAAACTGTCGCAGACTAATATTAAACAGTTGCAAAGGTTTAAAAAAATTCATTATGATTTCCAGCTCGAAGTTGACAAATCTATATCCACTATATAAATAGACAAGTGACTAATATTAAGTTCGTTACATGGAGTACAAATAGACTTCTAAAGGATTATAATACGAAGTTAACTTAAACTCACAAGAAATTAAAAAAGAAATCTCGCATGATCTACATCGTTAAACAGGTCATGCACCAACTCACAACTTCCACTTTGAACATTCAAGTCACACCACTGCCTAAAACCTAAACAAAAACAAAAACAAAAACAAAAACAAATAAGAAAGATATAAAGCATCTTTGTCCATTGACTGAGAGTCACATCGATCACAAGTGAGTGACCGAAAGTTTAGTTTTCGTTTATAGTGGTTGGGTTTGAGTAACCACTATGGGGCTACGAACCATGTGCTTCCCATCCGTCCAAGAAAGCGACCCGAACGCCGCCCCGGACTCACCCAACACCAGATTCCGGGTGTCCGCCGTCACCGTCACCACGAACCTCCGCTTTTTCACTGCCTCCGAAAACACAAGTCGTGACGGCCTAACTGTCACCGTCACCCCCTGCAACTGCGACTCCACTCTCACTCTATAAACAGAATTTCTCGGGCCCACGTTCGTCACCGTCCTCATGAACGTCTTCCTCGCCAAACCTCTGGACGACACCGGGAACAGAACAACAAACGACGGGTAATTCAGATTCTCCAGCAATGGCTTCCTCGGGGGACAGTTGGGCGGCGAACGCGTAATCACCTGAATCAAGTTGGGCCCATAACCGATACCGCAAAGGAAGGTAACGTAATCATCACTGGTCATGTCGTAAACCAAACCAGGGTCCATGGCACGACCCAGGTTGAGATGTCCAGCGCCAAAGTCATAGGGCGTGGAACCATTGCCGGTGGCTTCGTCGGTCATGAGGCGGTTCGTGTTGTCAACGATCGTCGCTGTCGTCATCATCGCCGATCTTATAGCCGCTGGGCTCCAATCAGGATGCGCAGATTTCAACAATGCCGCTGCTCCACTCACGTGAGGACAAGCCATTGAGGTACCCGACAAAATGTTGAATTCGGTTCTTCGAGGGTCCGAATCCAAACCCGAAGGACCAACCGCGTCCGTCCAAGCCGCCAGAATGTTGACTCCCGGAGCAATCAAATCCGGTTTGAGTATCTCCGGGTTCAACCCGTTGGGTCCCCTGGACGAAAAAGAAGCCACAACTGGTGCTGGTTTAATTCCAATTACAGTGCCTTTGAAATCAATTGTGGCTGTTGGATTCGAAGAGGAAGAGATGTATGCTTTGATGGCATCCCCCTCGTCAGCACCGAGAGCACAAGTGGGGAGAAGATGAGCGTCGCCGATTAGACCTTCGCCGTTGGAAATGCCGTTCGCCAGAATCATTCCCACTCCACCGGCTTTCTTCACCACCAGCCCCTTGGCAACTCTAGGGCTACTTCCTCGATCGCAAACCACTATCTTCCCCTTCACCATGTTTGGGTCCAATGCATTCTCCATGCACAGCGAATCCGTAATAGCACCAGATTTTCCAGGGTAGATTAGTTCATACATTTTCTCCTTCAACGGCGCTCCCGAGTAAAGAGACACGCCGGAGAGTCTACGCCCGTCGCCCAGTATCACCTCCGCCGGGAAATCACGATCGATAGTGCCCGCTCCCACCGTCGTCAACCATGGAGAGAGGTTAGTCACCGACATTCCACTGGGCCCGTCATTTCCACCCGAACTAGACACAAAAATTCCTCTTGAAACTGCACCGTAAGACCCGATCGCAATAGGGTCCAGGTAGTAAGGGGAAGCGATGCCGTCTCCGCCGCCAATTGACATCGAAATGACGTCGACACCGTCGGATACGGAGGCGTCGAATGCCGCGAGGATATCGGAATCGAAGCAACCGGAGTTCTTCCAGCACACCTTGTACATGGCCAGTCGCGCTTTCGGAGCCACACCCTTCGCGATTCCAGAAGCGTAGCCCTCCATGCTGGCTTCAAAAACGTAGCGACCCGCGGCAGTGGACGCCGTGTGGGTTCCGTGGCCGTCGGCATCTCGAGGAGAGTGGAACTCGACGGTGTCGTTGATGGATGCGCCACTTGCCTCGTGACCTTTGGAGAAGAATCTCGCGCCAATCAGCTTCCTGTTACAATTTTTATGTGAGAATTTCACACCCGTCTCGCACACCCCTTTCCAGCGTCTGGGAATGGGGCCTAAATTCGAATCGCTGAAGCTCCGCCGCTCCGGCCAAATTCCGGTGTCGAAGATTCCGATGATCACGTCGGAGCCGTAATCGGATTCGGACCACAGGCCACGCTGGTTTCTCAAGCCAAGAAACTGCGGGGAGCGAGTGGTGTGTAGTACCCGGCGACGGTCCTCGAAGACCGCGAGCACGGAGGGGTGCTGGCCAAGGGATGCAACTTGTTGTGGTGTTAACACCGCGGAGAAGCCGTGGAAAACGGTGTCGTACAGATGGAGGATGCGAGTTGGCTCGGCGAACTCGGCGGTGTACCAATGATAATGGGTTGGGAAAATAGAGGGCTTTGATTCGGAATCAATTCTGAAAATGAATGTTTTGGAAACTTGATCCTGCGCTAAGATTTGCGATAGCAAACTAAAGATAATGAATAAGAAGATGCAGGAAGGTAGTGCGGGAGGAGGAGTGGCATTCACCATGATTTTAGCCATTGCAGTAGCAGTAGCAGCAGAAGAGTTGTGAGTGTAGTGGTGGTGTGAGTGAGAGTAGAGAGTGATGTATTATTTATATGAATTAGAAACATATGATGCATACACGCGCGGAGATAGGGCAAGCCGAGGCTTCTTTTCAAGTGTAGACAAAATATAGCTCTAGTTTAATAAGTAGATTAAGTTTATTAATTTTGGTTAATAGTGTATTATGTTTGTGTGTTCATTTGTCCTCGTTGTTGGATGCGACAGCTCCTTATGCCCATCCATGAGACCTAAAAAGACGGGTACAGTCCATGATCTTGGCCCCCATTCTTTTTCTCTAATGAATGAAAGCGATGTCATTGTCCGCTGAGGGCATGAGACTCCAAGTTCTTTCCCTTTGCCTTTCATTAACTCTGTTATGTTACTCTTTATTTAACTGTAATGATGTATTAGATTTGGGATTAAAATTAAATGAGTGAACAGAATCTGAGAGGGGATGGGATATTTGGGATAGCAAAGTTGACGAAAGGTGCTTCGAATTTCACAGAATCGATGTCAGTGGGCACTTTCTTTGCTTGGCACTACATGGTGACAACTTACTTATTTTAATTACACGTTTGTTATCAGTAAAACACTTTATTATGACTAAGTTAGTCTTGTTTTTTCTTACATATTACTTCTATGAGCCAATATCAATATAATACGTGAAAAACGTCTTTGTTTTAACTAAAACGGGCTGTGATTGTTTATAAACTAATATTGTGGAGTAAAAGCCAACGCGCAATATTGTAGAGACATGCAATGAAATCCCATATCATGAATAGGGTATGAGTTATCCTCTCACTGTCCCATGTACTTGACGCACTTTGTTTCCATGCATGCCAACTTGTAGCCTCACCTACTAAGGTTTTATCGAAATACTAGAACAAAGTTCGCCACGTAATTTTCCACTCTTATCTACTTTGTCAAATAAGCTAGCTCTAAAGCTCTAATCAAGTATTTCCACTCTTTTTCCCCGCCACGAAAATATATGAGAACGCTAATTCTTTTACAAAAGAAATACTAAAAAATCATATCTAACAAAAATTGAAATATTAATATCATTTTTATATTAACAGTATGATCCATCATAGAAATATGTAATTTTTCACTACAAATATTTGATACAGACCATCGATTTAATTATGGCATTAATTAATACGATATATCATACTTACAATATAAGGTTATATATATTCGTACTAACATTTATTTTTCTGATAATTATTTAACATGTTTCAAAATGAACAATAATATGTATATAATAAACTTTTATTAAAAATAAATATAATACCATATAAATGATTCTTATGAAAATAATAAGAGAAATATTTAAAGGCGAAAAAAAAGGAAAAGATGATGTGGGGGAGATGAACGGTGCAGATTAGACGCCTACGCTGATGGCGGAGAAAAGCAGGCTTGTGATTGGGAGTGGGGGGTCCCACGTGAATTCGTGCCTGTTGTTGAATGATGACATCATCGTTCAATTTTGTTCTGTTAATCGCTGGAAAGCTTACATTGTCAGTAGTTGGAGGGTATCACTTTGCCACGCCGTTAGTCAACGAACTATCTCAATCATAAATGCAGCAAACCAGAGATGCAATTATTTTAAAATATTATTTTTATAAAAATTTAATTAAATATGTATATTTAACAAATGAAATGATAACCTACTCACAATCACAAAGTTTAATTGCAAAATTTATTGGAATAAATTAAATAACTATTAAAAATTATGTCTTACTTTTACAGTTTTTTTTTTTTTAAGAAAAACAAACTTTTCTTAACATTTTGTACATAATTAGTTGCTTTATTTTTATATTATTATTATTGCATCATCGTCGATCATAATTCATTATTTTGTTTGGTCCCACCTTATAATTATAATACTTCTTTTATCAAAGCAAAAGATTATAAAATTAAGGTCTCAGAAAAAGTTTGATTTTAGGTGCTTATGGACTAAACTCTATCGTTTTTGTCCCTTTGATTACCAGACATTTTGTTGACTTCACGTCAGGTTTTGCGCCTTTTTATTTATTTATTTATTTACGTGTTCCTAACCAATCAAAATATATAATACATATATGTACTTTCAATTTTAAAAATAAAAATAAAAATTCTGTGCCAGATTCTCCTAGTTCTTGGTTGTGACATTATAAGTTAAAAATGCTTTTAAGTACATATTGGATAAATGAAAATAAAATACTAAAATTACAAAATAAATTGTAGTAATCAAGATAATTTTTTTAATAAACTAAACCTTTGATTTAAATGAAAAAAGGCCTCATGTTAATACAAGAAATACATATAATTTAATAATTTAAAACTATTATTTAATATTTAAATAGAGAGGTATTTGGAAGGAAAAAAATTTGTATGTTACTTGACAAAAGCAATACGTGTGTGTTTGAAGAGATAGAGAAAAATGAAATGTGTCATATTTTAAAATATAAAGCTTGAATCTTTTAGTTTTTCATCAACTATAGAGAAAAGAGATAGCCATTAATTTTCGTAACTCAATTACAAAAATAATGGCTAAAAATACATTTAACGCATTTTAATTACCATACAGGTGGAATGATAGTGATTTTCTTTTTAGTTTTTGAAAAAATAAATTAAAAAATCAGTCTAAATTTTGTGTAGAGTCGAGTATTAAAACTCTTATCCCCGCGCACTATTGCTAGAGCAAGTGAGAAAGACAATGTATCTCTTATTTTATTCTTTAGAATATATTTTAATCCATTTATAAATTTTGTTGAATGAAAAGCAAAATACCTTTTTATAGACCACAGCTGATCTAATTATTATAAAATATGTATGGGATTCTCATAAATAAGACGTTCAAGGCTTCACCATGAAGATTAAGAGATACATTAGATCACATATGGACCAATCCAACTATACACAGCTCTGACGTCTAAGTGTGCCGTTTGCGGTTTGCATGTCCAAAATGTTACTTTTACAGAGGCCCTTCATAATATGTCTCCTTCCTAAGTTTCTCATACGTTTTTGCATTCCCTTTTTGTTCCTACTTTCAAATTCTATTACTAGGGACATTTTTTGGGCTTTCACTCGTTAACTTGATAGAGTACGTGTTAGTGAATTCCATACATACAATTCCAGAAACAAAGACTAATTGTTTTAGAAGTAAAAAATAAGGCCAAAAAAAGGGGAAAAAGTCGTTTAATTTTATCGCTTAACATATAATAAATCATGTTACATGAACAATCTTAAAAGGATTATTTTAGTCTCTCGTTTCAATTTATTGGGTAAAAGCGATTCAAAAATAATAACGAGCGTAATTAATTCTATCCCATAAAAAAGGCGTTGAGTCTAAACCTTGACGAAGCGACACAATAAGAATAACCACGGTTGTAAAAGTTTAATTGGTTCAAATGAAGAATGAAGATATACTTTAACATTGAAGTTAATATTTATTTTAGTAAAATAATAATACTAAAATTAGATTTCATACTTAGTGTGTCATTAATGACCTATTTAAATGATCTAGTCATTGATTTTCGAGAATGAAAACATCTCAATTCTCAAAACAGTGTGCAAATCCAGATTTGATAATCAAAATTTGGAAAAATTAGAGTTTGCATGTGTCAACTAATTGATTTTATGTTCTCATCCTAAGGTCATTTTATATTAGTTACATTCACTTATTCGTTGGCATGTAAAGATCACTTCCTTTTAATTAAGACAAAAATATTTAAACTTTATATCAATGTCGTTGCTTTTTGCTTTTTGCCTTCAAAATGGGTAAGATTCGTTTTTTTAACTTTCAAACATATTTAATTTTTATATCAAAATTACCACGAGGTAAGCAATAAAAATAAATAATCTCAAAAAAATAATTAAAGAATTAAAATATTTTAAAATAAATTATTAACCTCTCTCTTATACTTTTTAATATAATTTTACTGTATTTTTAATAATTTGTATTTATTAATAAGAAGAAGCATCAGCTAGTGCTTTTGTGTGTCACTGGTCTCTAAACAGTGCATGATAGTGCCACTTAAGTCTAAATTCAATGATAATTAAACCGTCGTAGATAAACATCATGCCAAACAAAGTATGATTAAATCTAACCACATTAAATAGAATTTATCATTATCATTTAAGATCGGAAACCCCACTTACGTATATCACATTGAATATACCAGCCAAAAACCTACATAATAAAGATATATTATACAAAACGAGAGGAAATTAATTAAGGAAAGCACATGCCATGGGGGGTATATAGCTGAATTAAGACTCAACAGAGAACAAACATTTGAAGATAAAAGGATTAACTCGGGACTTGTATTTGAATGTACCTATTTGGCTATGTCTCTAATTACATCGAAACCCATCTCGGTTGGTTCGGTGGCCTGAAGTTCATAGTGGATTCCATCCAACGCTCTTCGCAGCCCATCCTTGGAAGTTGCGTATAGCATCTTTGCTCTAATCCTTGATGCCGTAGGAGACCTGTGATCATTCAATCCATTTACTCCCTAAATCATTAAATTATCAAATCAATTCCCCACCAGGGTCCCCCCCGGAAAATCATCATATAATATTATAATTCCACCCATTTTCCCTTGCCATTATATGCAACATTATTGCTACAACTGTAATAGACGAAACTCATAATTAACATAGGGACACAGGACACTCGATAGGCTATTTTTGTTTCTATGCAAAACCCCAAATCAGATAATGGTCGGAAGAGCTTCTAAAATATAATAAGAAAAAGCCAATTTTTATAAACTCCTTGATATAACAAAAGTTAAATATTTACTTAAACTGTTTATGTATATGAATTCCCAACAATGGTAATTATAAAAAGGCGATGAAAGAGTAAATATATATAGTAATTAATAGATGAAGTAAGTTAGCTGGGGGAATTATAGAGTGCGGTGAGGGACCATGCGATGAAGAAGATCTTGCTCTTGCGGCAGTTATCAACGGTGACGAAGTCGAAGTCAAAGACAGCATATCGGCAATCATCGGTGGGCAAGGAGGCGGTGAGATCATGATAGTTTTCGGTGGGGCCACCGAGTTTATCGACAGTGACGAGCCTGGATCCTTCGTCGATCTTGAACACTATGTATCTGTGCACCTTCTTCCACTTCATATCCATGAACGAGTTCTTGCACTCATCCGTTACCCACATTCCAGTGGTAGCCTGTTAATTAATCAACAACACATACATAATCTATATATGTATCTAAGTATAACAGACAGCACAAATCAAAATACAAATTAAACAGAGGAAAGTAGCATTACCATCTTGAAAGCCATCGCCATTGTTTCTGAAGCTGTAAATGTAAAAATGGTTGGTCGGGTGGTGTGAGAGCAACCCCTCCCTCTATATATAAAGTTAAGCTCCTCAAATGCCATTCGTGTTATCTCCTATTTACACTCTTGTCCTACATTTCCACTTTTTTAACATTGTTTACTTTCTCCAATTTTTTCCTTTCAAGTTATTACAGACTAAATTATATTGGATTTTTTTAACAAGTGTGGCACACGATATTTGTTATTTATAATTTAAAGTTTTACTCTTTTTTTTAAAGAGAACTAATATATATATATATAAGTCTCTGAGAATAAAATTTAACTAAAATATTTTATTTAATTTTTGGAAATAATCTTCCGATAAATGATTACAACTGCATACCTGATTAAAAATTTGAATATAAAAATTATAATTTATAATATTTACGTTTGAATAAATAAAATTTAACTTCAATCCAAACCGTTGTACGTCCATAATACACCAAGTTGAACGTACGCGATTATTATTATGGATTTTGTTGACGAGATTTGCTACGTAGTACCAACTTATGATTGCACGAGCATTAAATTAGATAAATAAAAAAGAGGTTGAAAATGATTTGTATATCATTGACGATGAAATGACATAAATCTATTACACGAATCATGACGGTAATTTAAGTCAATATAATTTATGTGAAAGAAGTATTTTGCATCAGTGTCTCCCAAAAATATATTCATCTCACAATGGGTGATGTCTCCACTGCGTAACTTGTAATCTTGCGGAATGCACAAAGACATGTAGAGTAAAAATATTCATGTGTTTATTATAATTTTTATTTATTTATCTTTTGGAAAAAGAATTGCTCACTGTAAAAGAGAAAAGAAAGTAAACAGCAAACACAGAAACAGCATTAAACAATATGGGCATTAAATAAATAAAATACATCATTCATGTTTATGACAAATAGCTACATAGACAGTATTAGCTCAGGACAATGGAGACAAAAACCATGGAACATCTGGGATCACACACCCACAACCCTCAACTTTTTCTGACAACAGTCTTTGCGTGAAAGTAAAGCAGAGGAGAGGAGGTAAAGGAAAACAAAAGAGAAAAAGGCTGCTTCACCGTACACCTCAGTTCATGCTCGTCCCACCGATCATCAGTGATCGTCATCGGTTCCCTTATTGTCAGGTTAACCATCGTTTGTTTGCCTTGTTATACGTCCTCTGGTGTCTCAGTTCTTCAATTTTTAGATTTCATGCCCCAAAATCTGCTATTTTTCCGTACAATTATGTAAGAAAGCCAACTAGATAATACACTTTATGTACGTCACCCCTATGAACTACAGAACTAGTATATTGAGATATACTAGTGGATATTTAAGGGCTAAAGTAACGTTTCTTGTAGCATTAGAAGAGACATTTTTGGGTATTACCTTTTTTATATTTAAATTGTGTTTTTTGGGATATATGTTTATAAACATAAAAAATGATACGTGGTATTATATACGACATTAATTTTTTTAGTATAAATAATAGAAATTTCTCGGGCAATATATTCAAAATATTAAATCTAATTCAAAATCAATTTCGTACTAGGTTTTCTTAAAGCTTGGTTTATCAATACAAGAAAATGCCAGGGTTTCTATGTAATAAGTCCTTGGTAAGAGGGAAACTGGAGATAACTATCGGGGGAAGATACGAAAGTGGATGGGAACTGGGAAGCTATGGACTGGGCCAGTCTATAAGGCATTTGGACTTAAGGATACATCTTGTCCATGACTTGTAACATTAAAATGAATTTTCAAAAACAGCAGTATATAACGAAGATTCAATGGAAACCGCATTAGCTCCTTTAATTTCTTTCCCTTTCTCTACAGAATACAGGTTTGGGTTAATGTAAGTAGTGAAATACAATAAGCAAAGCTAACAAAAATAATGAAAGGGGTAAAAAAAGTGCGGGATTGTCATGGGGGGAGGGGACTGACTAGTGAGATTTCCTAGACATTTTACAGAGGAAATTTAACAAAATTTGTAACATGTGGAACAATTTGTTATCATTGCAACAAGAAAGGTCATGTTTCCTCATCCCACTGGCTCTTGGGTATCTCCCCCGAGTCCGCAATCACTACCTTCTTTCTGGGTTTCCCGTTGTAGGTTCCAGCACCCCCTTCAATTGCAAAAACAGTATCCATACCTTGGACAACCTTGCCAAATACAACATGTTCTCCATCTAACCTGGAACGTTTGCAAGCCAACTGACATCAATTTATCATAAAGAGACTCTGCCACAACGAAAATCATATAACTTGTAAATTATGTACTCTCTACATGCAACATTAACAAATAACATTTGGCCAAATGATCCCCGTTTTAGCCTATACGATGAACTGACAGGATTGAGAAGATTTGTCTGGACGCAACAATTTGTGTGCATGGCGGAATAGCTTACCAACTGGCCTTCACCGTGGTGATGAAAAACTGTGAGCCATTGGAATCAGGACCGGAATTCACCATAGACACAACGCCTGCAACAATGAAGTAGATTTACAAAGAAACAACTTAAACATACAACTCAAAAATGAAGAAAAATGTCAAGTTAAAAGATTATTTAAGAAAAAAGAAAAGTAAAATGCTTGCATCCAACCAAATTTGTCACAGACCAGCATGTGAATGTTTTATCCTGAAATTCTCATCACGAAAGGTTCCACCATAAATTGATTCATATCCTTTTCCATCACGATGAACAATGTCTCCACCCTGAATCACGAAACCGGATATTATGCGATGAAACGGTGTTCCTTTGTAATGAAGTTTTACACCACTAGCACTCTTTCCTTTCTCCCCTACACAATATGTAACACCCATAATCAGTAGGTAAACAAAATGGAGTTTAAGTTAACAAAACAAGACGAAGAGTTTAATACCTGTGCACAAAGCTCTAAAATTCTCTGCGGACAGAAGATTTTCAATCAATTAAAATTGCAATGCATAAGGATAGTCTAAGCACTACTTGCGTAAAATGAAATAATATCCAATGAGGTAGCTTCACGAAGTAGATTTGACTTTAAATTTACTGAAAAGACTGAAGTCCATACCTAAAGGGTAGCTCATACTTAAATATATATTTAGCCCTGGTAAAATATATAATTAAATTTATTTTTAGTCTTACAAAAAGTTTTGCTGGTTTTGATCTTCATAACTTATTAATTTTTTTAAAGTTGTCCCTGTCACCACTTAGTAGTGATTTGATATAGATCTAATTAAGCGACGTAAACAATCATTTAAGGTTGCACACAATGTGACGAGTTTAGACACATGTCATATCATCAATAAGTGGTAATAGGTACAATTTTAAAATTTATTATGACCAAAATCAACAAAAAGAATTGAAGAATTATTAAAATCAAATTTAATCATATTTGCAAGGACTAAAAACATATGTTATCTTAAAGCAACTAAGCTATAGACTAAAGAATTGCATTAGGAAATCAATGACATACCCACAGTTTTTGGTACAACTTGGCCATATAATCCAATGACAATCCTACCTGCAGAAATTATAGAGTATTACACATGAGTTGTTACTTTTATCTGCCTACATCCTCCTTCTCACAAAATACTTGGTAAATCAATTTGGTTCAAATGAGAGCAATTGGTTACAGTATCTAAAAAAAATAGCTCCAAACCTAAATGTTGTCCATCAATGTCAACATCCAAGAATACTCTGTTTGTAATTTCAGGCTGTTCTTCCACTTTCTCCTCAACCTACATCAGAAAAGAAGAAATTTTACTATTGACAAAACACAACAACTAATAAAGAAGAGTGTAAATTTTGAAGGCCTCAGACAGTTCTCTTAGTACAAGCGTACAGACATAAAGGGATGAACAAAGGTTATTAAAAAAGGTTAATAGGGTATGCGGCTCCACTGAACTTTTACTTTTATTCATTACTATATAACTGGTTTACTAGTTTTGCACCAACATTGTATGAAAATTTCCTTCATGAAGATTATTGAGTAATTTTGACGCCACTAATTTTTACAAATACAGATAAAAGTTTCAATCAGATTGCTAACATTTGTCCCATGTGAGCATTTGTCAAACTATCTCCTCAATTTTCCAAACCCTTTTTTCATTGCCTCCACTACTCAAAATTGCTAAGTCTATTACTGCAGACGTATAATATGGTGGAGGAAAGAACTCCCTTTGTATTTAGAAATTCCAATCCATCAAGAACTTACTCTCCTTAAAGCTAAAATTTTTAGGTTAATGGTTATGAAAGGCTTCACTATATTGTTTGATGTTTCTTCAACAAGTTGTTAGGACTTGAAAGATGGACAAGCACAAATCCACTCTACCTTGTGCTGAAATTTTACCTTTTTCCATTAGAAGAAAGTACTGAACCTTTTCCCGTTTGATCAAAGAGGCTGAAATACCATATAAATAGCCAGAAATACCATATAAATTAACAGATCTCCCAACGACTTTCCTAAAAGCTTAATGGCCTGTTTGTTTAACTCCTGAAAAGGGGTTTACAGTCCCCCAATGCACAAACATGCAACTTGAGGCACGTTATCCCAATGGAAAAATATTTGCTGTGGAGGAACAGAGTTTCACATAGGGAAACAAACAGTTGCTGCCTTGCACAATAGTCCTTCGGCTTTAAGCGAAAATAATACACAAAGTCTACTCCAACTTATACTAAAATTCATCTTTTTTAATTAGAAAAATGAACGCTGCAAAAAATCAAACTCCTTGTTTTTTACTCTTCTTAATGGCAGACTTGAATACAAATTTATGCAAAACAAATTCAGAACTTCCTTAACATGAACATCAACTTCTATGTTACCACACAACCAGATATTTGAATTACTGATAAAATCCATAACCAAGATGCATAGACAGATGGAAGACCATACTCCATATATTCCTAAAGAATCCATTGCCCACACAGGTAGATTAAATAATAGTAAATACTCGGCACTTCAGAAGGGTTGTTGTCCTTGGTAATAAATATTTATCTAAACTCCAAATCATTAAACCATGTTATCCAAGTTTAATTTTAATGGTATTGAAGTCATTGTACAATCAGCACGCAACTGCAATCCCAATACTTATCAATCTGAAGATTCAACTCGCCTATGTATCCCAAACCCCATCATCATTCAAGCAGCCGTCAGAAAATCATCAAATTATCATCACCATTCCCCAAGGTAGTTAAACAAATTGCCAAGTAAAGGGATGGATTACAATGCAAAGGCAGACCACAACGTTATCAGTAGTATCAAGGCTGCCATATTGCAGTGCATGAGGATAAGGATGTATATACCGACCAAGCTAAAAAGAGTTACGGTAATTACCTCGGCAAGATCAAATTAGTCAGCGAGCAATACTACAACGCAAAAGTTAAAATCTGACTGCATATGCATCGTATCAGAAAGTGAAAGTAAAGAAAGAAAGAGGTTGAATTTCACCTAAAACTAGTGGAACCAATCATTCAATAGTGAAATTAAATTAAAACGGAAGCCCCATTGAACTTGTGTTACTAGATTCAATGACAGATAAAATAATTTGCTCGAAAACCGGCAGAATTATCCGAATCAGATCCATAGTGCAAACTGTAAATAGAACAAATAAAAAAGGCATACCCGTTTGGAACCAGATAATGCGAAAATCAAGAAAATTGAGAGAACAACGAAGAGGAGGAGGCATCGCGGTTGAACGAGAAACGAGATCGCTCTACCCATTGCTTCACCACCCACTATATCGAGTTACATCCAATCACCAAAAAATCGCAACTTTGAGATCCTCCATGGCGAGAGCGTAGTGGAATTCTCTCGGAAGCGCTCAATGGCCAAGGACAAATGAAATCGCAGCAGTGCACAGTCGTTGAAGGTCGAAGCTGGTTCAAGTTGCAGTAGAGGTCTGCAAAGGGCATAAACGTGCGAACCAAATAAATCATTGTAATGGTTTTTTTCTATTCGATTTTGTAAACATCAATTTTCAATATTTACAAATAGATTTTTAAATTTTTTTACTATAATAAATATTTATTTTTAACTAAAATGTATTATTTAAATTATTTATAATGAACCTTAAAAAATTTATATTAATATTTTTTAGTTAAGACATTATACTAAAATAATTGTTATTATATGATAATTTATTTTATTATATTTCTTAACGTGTATTTTATTCTCCAACGTACAGCCTAATCATATAAGGCATGTGGCGTGTCCTACATGTTATATTTCATACGCAGATTAAGAAGCAGGAACAAGTGTTTATGCTTACATTTATAATGTTGTTTAAGTTTAAACGAATTTAACCTTCTAATCTATCTATTTTTTACGTGAATTAATCTTTCAAAATTTGAAGCAAAATAACTTATGCACGGTAGACAGATTCATCACAGCTAAGAAATTCAGTGAGCCCAAATATTTGTATTATTTATTTAATTATTTCGTCTAGCAACAAAAAAAAATTTACTAAATATTTTGTGGTCAGCAAAAATAAATTACTCAAAAAAATTGGTCAACATAAACTATTTTTCTTCAGCTGTTGGATTGGGCCCCGTTATTGAAGACAAGCCCCGTACCCCGTTCTACTACTCCCTTGCCCAAACTCATTTAGTTGATATTGTTATTTTTAAGTATTTCGTAAAAGATTTAACAGTGCCCAGCTGATGAAAAAAATATCTTCCCTCCTTACTCCTACATCTCTTAATGAAAACTCCTTAGGCATAATGTTAATAATGGAGCCCCTTAACTTGAGTATAAGTTTTTAACATGTAAGTTATTAAGACCTAAAACCAATCTATTTCTTTGAAATAACTTTAATTTTAATTTTAATTACTAATATATATATATATTAAGAAAAAAATTCCTTCAATTATATATTTTTAAATTACAGAGTAAAAACAAGCAAAATATAACGTTTTTAGTTTTGGTGAAATTTGGTATTTTGCGGCATTTTTTTTATAGTAAAAGAAGGTTAAAAATAATTTAATTTAATCAAATTGATTTATCCAAATTTTAAGAAAAGGTGAGAATTTGAAGGCACTAGATAAAGGGAAAACTAAGTAAGAAATTAAATTTACTTCCCCTTACAAGCAGAGGGATTTAATTAGATTGAATAAAGGTTTAGAGATCAAAATTACCTACAATTCAAATTTAAAGTACAAGTTTTGTTTTTAATTAAAAATCTTGAGAGGTAAACCAAAGTTTTGAAATTAATCTTCCTATGACGATGATGATTAAGTAATATGATAGCATTACATTAAAGAGAAAAAGATATATTATTTTTATTAAATAATGTCTCATCATGATTAATTATAAGATTCATTAATTGAAATTTTAAAAAAACTAAATAGGTCAAAATCTAGTTTTTTTTTTTTTTTACTAAATGGACTTCTAAAAAACCTTAACCTAACTCATTAAATAAACTTATTTTTCATTGTACGGTGTGGTAAAATTATTTAAAAAAAATAAATTAAAATACAATCTAAACTTTAAAAAGTTCAATAAATTTATACATATTTTAATTATGAACTGTAATTTTAGTTTAACATATCTATTAATAGGTGGTGTTTGATTATTTGGTCCTATTTTGGTGGTTCTACGAATTCCAAGGCTAACATAAATTTATCCCAGTCAAAAAGAAAAGCAAAGTAGCCAGCGGTTGGTTGCGGGAAGTTTGGTCTATTTTTGGTGCTTTTTTAATTTAGATGGATGGAAAAGAGAAGGCAGCATCTATAAATACAGCCAGTGGAAGAAGAATGATCAGGAAAACGAAAGAAGAGGGAGAAGAGTGAAGATGGCGTGTTTTGAAGCAAGTCGCCTTCTCTCTCTGTGCCTCGCTTTGCTCCCAGTGCTTCCAGCGGTTATCTCCGCCGCACCGGAACCAACACCAGCCCTCACACATCACGGAGGGCGTCTTCTTACCGGCCACTTGTCGGTCGGCATCGTATGGTACGGTCCAATCCCAAGGGCACAAAAAAAGGCTATTCTTTCCTTCCTCAGGTCCCTAAAACAAAATGAAACTGCTGCCACTGACCGACCTCAGGTCTCATCATGGTGGAACATCGTCGAGAGCTATCAAACAATGGCCAAGGTTCCAACACGTGGCATCCCCAATATCTCAGTAAAGGTGATCAACCAAGCCTCTGATCCAAATTACTCTCTTGGCAAAGTGGTCATCAAAGACTTCATCAAACAACTCATCCCCAAGGCCACTGGTGGAAACCCAAACGCACTCGCTATCATCGTAGCCTCAAAAGGCGTCACCGTTCAAGATATGTGCGCTGGATCATGCGTCCAACACGGGCTCATAGATGATCAACTATATGTTGCTGTGGGAGACCCAGAAGAGGAGTGTCCTGAATGTGCATGGCCATTCGCGGGGACAAGTGGTGTGCCACTGAAACCCCCAAGCGGGGACATTGGAGCAGATACCATGGTGAGGTTGTTGGCCGGTGGTTTGGCAGGTGCCATTACCAACCCATTTGGTGATGGGTTTTACGCATATGGACACGGTGAACAACTGGTTGAAGCGACGAGCAAGTGCTCTGGTGTTCTTGCAACTGCCACTGTACCTGTGGATCCCGTAAGTGGTGGATCCTATAATAGTGTTGGCGACCAGGGTACCAAGTTTTTGCTCCCTGCTATTTGGGACCCTAAAACTTCATCTTGCTGGACCCCATTGTAGGCTTCATTTTTTCAACATTTCCCTCACTTCGTTGCAGGGTTTTATATATGCCTGAATTTTTTTGTTTCATTTTCTCCCTTTGAAATAATAAAACTCGAAATGTTAGAGTGCTCTCCACTAAAATATGATAATATTAAACGTAATAATTTTTTATTAAAATAATAAATATTAATGATCCGTGTTGTTAAACTTCAAGATATATTAAATATTCTCTTTAAATTATTATAAAATATTAAAAAAATATTTATAGTTTTTTCAAATGCACCACCAATGCTATATTGACTGTATCGTGCATCCCTCCTTGCAAAGCTATCATGAGCGTGGACGTTACCACATACGGAAATTAAAACGCTCGATCGTATATTTAAGGTGGACTCATTTTTTACTTATAAAAGAAAACTTAATTCTTATTAAACTGGTTCGTATCTAGATTTTATACAAATTAATTCTCTATTTTTGTGTTAATTACATGACTATAAGAAAATAAATTATCAATTAAATTATGATCAAATAAAATTAATTACATAATACAAAATTATATTTTAATATAAATAAGTGAAATAATGTATTATACATTGAATATGCAACTGTTTGGTTAGTATAAATATTATAAAAAATATATAAAAATTAATATATTTGAGTAGCACCGATGAAATTCTGTTGGACGCGCGGCTGGTCTAAAACCGGTTGCGCTCATCCGTCAAGCATATAGAATGGTAGTTCCAATCAATGGTGCCTTTTAGAAGCAGCCACTTTGAAAGATACGACGGAAAATAAAATTGACAAAACTAATATAAGAATTTAAAACATGTAAATATACAAAAAAAATAATTGATCAAGGCTTTGTCGATAAATCCTAATCATATATAAATCATTTAAAAAAAAATAAAATCGAATAGGTAGTGCAATTGGGTTGGTGAAAAAGAAAATTTTGAAACCAAGTCTGATACGATGATGGGGGTATATGCACAACATCTTATCTTATCTCGTCGAAAACAAAAGCGATAGGGTCTTCTCAGTTGAATAGACACACAACACAAATGACAGAATGATAATCAATAATTATACATTTAACTTCTCCAAGATGTTGATAATAAATTAATCCAGCTTTCTTCGTTATCGTTGTTGCCACTTTCTAGGGAGCTTAGTATATACGTAAACGACTTTCAGCTATGATTATTAATTCCCTTTTAGATATCCATTATAATAAAATAAAACCTTTTCCCTCCTGATAAAAATTCATATTTCCTCTAATCAAAAGTACTTCCTTCAATTAGTTCAACAATTATATGGTTCCTTTTTTTTGTTCTTTTTGAAAGGCCCCACCAGAGTTTATGTTTGATGGTAACATTTGCGATCGCGAGATGGTGTACACTCACTGTACAGCTCTATCGGTGCGTTGCGTTGGTTTCTTATTCTTAATTGGGATTCATGACTCGCAAAGTATTTACAAGTTTATTATGAAGGAACAATGATCATGATTAGGAAAGTCTTTTTTTATGTATATTATTAATTTATATATAAATAAGATAAACAAAAGAAGAATAAATGATTTAGAGGGTAACATTATACTCAAAATAAATATTTATATATTATTTTCTGTGTCTTATTTCATTTCATTATCTATTTTATGACATTCATTGATCTCTTTTAAATTATAAGATTTTTCGTAAAAATTATTCTGATTTAAATTCCTTTAACCGTCATAAAATTCCCTGTGGGGTGATCTTTAGGGAAAATACCAATAAACCGCTAGTCTGATTGAACGTGGCTTTCAAGTTTCAATGTCATATCTGCTCCTCAGAAAAAGCCTCTTTTTATTTATTTGATGAAGATAAAAGAAAAGAAAATCCCTACAGGTGCCTTGGGGCAGAGGGATAGGGTGAGTAGAGTAACGCAGGGTGCTGGGATATAAGTACGGAATAATGGATTGAGTGGAATGGAAATATACGAGTGAGACTCTGACAATCAATCAATCATTGAAAATAAAAATGGGTTCTGAGTTGATTGAAATTTCCACCGCCAGTAAATGGATGGGCTTCGTGGCGGCCGTGTGGATTCAGGCAATCTCCGGCAACAACTACACGTTCTCGAATTACTCGGACGCACTCAAATCACTCATGCATCTAACACAAATTGAGCTAAACAATCTCTCGGTTGCAAAAGACGTTGGAAAGGCTTTTGGGCTTCTTGCAGGCCTGGCCTCAGATCGATTGCCCACTTGGGCCATTCTCCTCATTGGCTCTCTCGAAGGCCTCATCGGATACGGCGTTCAGTGGCTTGTCGTGAGCCAGAGAATCCAACCCCTCCCCTACTGGCAGGTACACCATTTCGTTTCCATTTTCATTCCCAAAACCACACTATTCTATTCTCATACTTATCTTCTGTTAACACACGCAGATGTGCATATTTCTATGTCTTGGGGGTAACAGCACAACATGGATGAACACCGCCGTTTTAGTCACCTGCATCCGCAACTTTCGCCGGAACAGAGGTCCAGTTTCCGGCATTCTCAAAGGCTATGTGGGGTTGAGCACCGCCATATTCACCGACCTGTGCTCTGCTCTCTTCGCCGACGACCCTGCCTCCTTCCTCCTCATGCTGTCTCTCGTCCCGTTCGCCGTTTGCCTCGCCGGCATCTTTTTCCTTCGCGAGGTTCCTCCCGCCAATTTCACCGTCGCCCAGGACAAGGAGGAGTCCAGGTACTTCAGCCTTTTCAATGCCGTCGCCGTCGTCGTCGCCGTTTACCTCTTGGCTTTCGGCTTCGTCCCGAACCCCGGCGTTTTGGCTTCTCGGTTGTTCGCTGTCGTTTTGCTCCTTTTATTGGCGGCGCCGTTGGGAATCCCGGTCCACTCTTACTTCAAAGCCCGCAGGTTGAACCGGTTGGAATCGGCCTTGGATGTGGAAGGGCGGGTGAACGAACCGTTGCTTCGAGGGCACCAGAAGGGAAGTGAAACAGAGGCGGAAGAGGCGGTGATGGAGAGGCGTGGACCGGCGGTGGGGGAGGAGCACACGATATGGGAGGCGCTGAAAACGGTGGATTTTTGGATTTTGTTTGTGTCGTTTCTGTGTGGGGTTGGAACCGGTTTGGCCGTTATGAACAATATGGGTCAAATCGGGTTGGCCCTCGGTTACTCGGACGTTTCCCTCTTCGTATCATTGACCAGTGTTTGGGGCTTTTTCGGTCGGATCATCTCGGGTTCGGTTTCGGAGTACTTCATCAAGTAAGTCACTCTATCTCCTTTTTACTTTTCACGTGTGAATGGAATTGTTTCTTTTTTCAACCACGGGCGAATGGAATTAAACTTGAGTCTATCTGAACCGTCTTTTGGGTCACTTGAGTAGCCATTTTGTATATCTTTCTGATTCCGATCGATGCATATCATTTGTTATTGACTTTCTATTTATAGTGTGTAGTCCCTCCCAAGTACAAATTTCCTTCTTTTTTGCATTTGGACTTTACTTTGTAATGTTGGATTTTATTGTTGACAAAATTGTTGGAGGATTGAATCGTTGGTTTGGTTATGAAATTTGACTAGCATTGTTAGTTTTACAACTTCCCCCCTTTTTGCAGGAAAGCAGCAACTCCTAGACCTCTATGGAATGCAGCGTCTCAAATTCTGATGGCGGTGGGATACATACTCTTGGCCATGGCTATGCCTGGTTCCCTTTACATAGGGTCTACTGTAGTTGGAATATGCTATGGAGTTAGGTTGGCCATTACTGTCCCAACAGCCTCTGAGCTATTTGGCCTCAAATATTATGGTCTGATATACAACATTCTCATCCTTAACCTTCCACTTGGCTCTTTCCTCTTTTCTGGTCTGCTTGCTGGCATACTATACGATATGGAGGCAACTACCACCGCCGGAGGAGGCAACACTTGTGTTGGGGCTCATTGCTACAGACTAGTTTTCATAATCATGACTGCATCTTGCGTTGTTGGCTTCTTCTTAGATATTCTGTTGTCAATTAGAACCATAAAGGTTTATCACAAAATTTCCATCACCAAAAATTCCAAGAATGCCTCAGTCACACCAAGTACTTCATGACCCGGAATGCTACATATAAGAGGGTATATCAGTCATTAGATGGACGACCGTTTTGCTCAATGACATCCTAATTTCTTCCACTAGTATGCTTCAGATGATTAACCATTCTTTTGGGTAATAGTGGCGGGTTAATTTGTTTGTACTTCCATTTTGAGTGCTTTGAAACATTAAGCAGCCTACTGTCTCTGCTGTAGATTGGGTTATTTTTTATGGCACGTTTTCAAGAAGCAGTGAGAATTCTTGTAGTTACAATTTGTAGAGAAAAAAATGATGTCAAGTTTTTTCGGTAGATGGAAATACTTGTTTGTTCTATGATGAATTGGTGTTATGCTGTTTTAGGTTTCAAAAGTATTTCAAATCAAAGACTTCACTCAAATTTCATCACCGATTATTATTTATTTACTTTTCTTTCTATCTGTTTCCCTATGATAATGTGATTTGAGGAGAGGTATCAGGGAGAGTTGATGTGAGAAAATCTAATTCCAAAACTTTTATGGTCCCCAGAAAACGATTTGGTGTTTTGTTTGAGTGAAAAGCCCAAACCAATACGCTCTTTGAAGCTGACTTATCATATATATAATAAGCAGCGTGTCATTTACCCGGCGGAGCTAATACGTCCGTTGCTACAATTCTAGCCAACAAGTGCTTCTTTTTTTAATTTAGGATATTCATTAAAGAATCATAACTATAAACCTTTTACTGAAAAACATGAAGTATAAATCATGTATTTCTAAGTACTTTAAAAATTTACTATTAATTAATTATTTTTTGTCATCCGTAGTATTAGTAAAAGAGGCCTCAACAGGCCAAGCCTGAAGGGTACACAAGGGCTACTAAGCCCTGCGGAGAATGAAGCCCAACAACATGGGCTACATACTATTAATTAATTTCTAAATAAGAACTTGACCCCAAAAAAAATTACTAAATCAGAAAACCATTGGTTAGCAATAAAAATAGCTTATTCTTCCCAATTGCAATGGAAAAGCAATTATCATCCACACCTATACAATTCCTCTAACAATAAATCAACATCACAACTTTTGTCATTTCAATTCAAAAGAATTATTTGGACAATTTGGCTATATTATTTTCTGTATGTTCTTACAATTGTGCAAAATAAATATTAAATAAAAATGTATTTATTTATTATCTTGAAAATATGAAAATTTTTATTCAATAATTAATAAAATTTATAAGCAGATAAGAGAAAATTTCAGAAGTATTGTTATGTAGGATGTTGTTTAAAGGCAGAATTATCTCCGTTTTCTTAAATTTATACTGTGCAAGTGCATCTTCTGGTTTTGGCCAAGCCATCAACATCGACACCCGTGGTGACACAATAAAGTTTAGTGTATATCACTCGGCAATTATTTGCCAAACTATTGTCACTGAGTAATTACAATAAAGTGGTTTAGTGCAACAATGTCGTGAGCCAATTGGACATCAATCATCACATTCGATTATTATTTAATTTCTTATCCATTATTTAACGTATTCTAAAATTTTGTTTCAAGAGAGAAAAAAGAAGATAATATAGTTATAAAAAAAAATGCGTACAAAAAGAAAATATAGTTTAACTTTACTTTATTTTAGAAGGGCCGAAGCTACTTGTACACTTGGGCTGGCCTGAAAATGAAAATAGGGTATTCAAACAGAAAACTGTTTCTGGACCCAATAAAAGGAAATAAAACTTTTGTTCTAAATGGAAGAAGCTAATGATAAAACCAGCACCTTTCACTCAATGGGTTCCAACATTTGTTGATCCTCATTATATGTGGTCCAGGGAGCCTGTTGTCATCAGAACCGAAAAGAGCATATTTGATGGACTACATACACTATCGTAGAAAGCCCATTTGAGAGAGAAAATATAATAAATTGACGAGTATCACTGTATGCTTCCTTTCTTTTCCATATAAATAAACAAATTTAGACAGAAGTTGATGATGCGAAGCAGCAAAAGGGGAGCATACTTCAGTTAAAAGGTAAATATGTAGGAATCTTAAAAAATCAAATTGACGTGGTCCTTCTGTGAATCATTTCAGTTTTGCCCATTCTGTGTTGCTAAATTGGTTGGTAACCTTGCTTGAAGCATAAGGCACTTACATGGGTGGGAAGAGCTCTACATTTTGTGCACATCGTGGGTAGTAATCTACTAGTCCTATGGTCCAAAAAAGGAAGAGCGCGTGCTGATCCTATGGTTTAGCTAATGAGTATTCAATGGTCCATCGAAACTACATTGATGGCTAAGGAGGTGGTGATGGAATCCAAGTGGTGCCATTCTGGGAAAGTTCACGCCATACTCTTTGATATTAAAGTTTTTATTTTCTCCTGTTTTTTATAAGCAAAAACATTTTCCTCCATGTAAATGTGAGAAATATGCAAAATCAAGAATAAACAAGCAGTTGCAACATGACTTAATGAAGTTTTATGTCATCCACCTATATTTTCATTCACCCAACAACTTGTTCCAAAATTAGATTACCTGGTTTCGTCCTCAGTTGGTAATTCATAAATGGGGTATATGTGCTTTAAACAATCAATCAATGCAGATTCCATTTTATTAATAGAATTAAGTTGAGCAAGTAAATCAATTCATAGCAATAAGTCATTGTCCCTTTGCACCTGAACAGCTATACAATGCAAAGTACCCAAATATGGAAGGGCATGTTCCTTGCCCATCAGACTAATGACATGTTCTAATAACTCTCGGTGGCGTTAGAGGTGGTCTAAATAATTGTGCAAAAGTTATCTTTCTAATTTTTTTTATTAACCTTAACCCATTTAAGCAAATACTAATGTTTTTTTATTAAAAATAGAATCATTTATTATAGACTATTGAATTTATCAAAATTTTATCATGATATACTCTTGAACACAAGTTAATTTTTTTATTATATTAAAAATATAGTGAAGATTTTTGTTTTTATAAAATCTTATTATTATCAGATTTTATTTTATTTTATTTATCCGCAAGTCCAAAATAGGAGAAGTTATTAGAAGTAGATATTGGTGTGTGTTGGGGGCGTTTAAATGACGAGGACAAATTTGTTACCATCATCAATTAACGTTACAAATTAGTGAACGACTGGTGAATTGGTAATTAATGATGCAGCAGGAAACTGAACAAATAGGAGAGCTTGCCAACTGCAAAGCATTTGGCACTAAACAGTCACATGAATTGATGGAGCATCTGAAGACAGTGCACGGGTCTCTTTAGAGTTCCTGTTCCCTTGTGATATCACCTCCCCAATACCATTAAACCTTCAAAGTACTTTCTTTTGTCGCCTCTCATACCCTCCCTGTCCCGTGTTTTCTGAGACACAAGCAGTGATAACACGGGCATTTGTATGCATGTTAAGTTAAACAGTTCCTTTCACAGTTTATAACTCTTCTGTTTAGCATCACTAGGAGAGTGACCGGCTTCAACTTCCAAGTTCAAGGATGCAACTTATTCCATTCTGTAGCGTTATAGTTTTCTTCCTTCTAATAGGAGTTTCTTCGGTTTCTCCTTTATACGGTTCTTGTTCCTACTCCTTTTCCTGTTTAATGTATTTTTAGAGGTAAATTTTTAGTCAATAAAGATTCTCATTATTAATCTTTGTTGCACTTGCAGATGGGCCCCTATATGACTCCACTGCTTACACTGAGGTAGTTAAAATAAAGCTCATTTAAACGTTGAACATGGATTATCACTCTACTTACTTAGAAGACCAACTAAAACCTTGTACTATGCTATGTGATTCATGTTCCTGACACCAAATGTTGTTGACAGTGCAAAGAGAAGGCAGAGGAGCCACTTTACGGAGGAGGACTTCTCAAAAGCGTGCTTTTGTCTGTTAATACTAATAGCTGCATGCCTTCGCTTGTTCTGGACAATAATCTCACTCAAGGCACCATTTACTCTTTCTCCGGTGGGGTTCTCTTCACTCACTTCAGCATTCTCAGTTTAATAAAATTACAATATTTGACTTAGTTTTTGCACTCCCAGTTATAGTAGATAAGTTATAAAAAAAAATTTCCGTTGCCGGGACTCGAACCCGGGTCTCTCGGGTGAGAGCCGAGTATCCTAACATTATTAGAGTTAGGTGGCTTGTTGCACAGTTGTACATATGATGTGGGTGCCTGATTATATGTTACAGTATGGGTGAGAGTTGAAGACTCAAGAAGTTCAGCTAAGGTAAGGGCCAGCCTGCAAACGGAGAAAGAGGTATATGATTGCATAGGGACAGTTTCTGCCAAGCGCGGATGCTGGTCATTTCTCAAAGGTGGATTTGTTCTCAATTGGCCTTCCAATTTTTCTACAATCTTCTTACAGGTACATTTATTTTCTTTGTTATTTTACTTAATAGTATAACTTTAAGCTATTTCAATCAATATATTTGGTTTATTTTTCCTTTGTTTTTGGTGGATTAATCAGAATGTGGACAGAAAAGATGTCAACATAGATATTGTTAGCCCATCACTCCAGCCATTTACTAAAGAACAATGGAGAACCAATCAGCAGTATATAATCAATACTGTGAGCACAAGTTACTTAAACTTCATTATTTGAGCGAAACAACGGAATGCTTGTTGTTGTGGTTACAGCATTAAATTAACTAAACAAACTGAACAAGTGATGATGTTTTACATGCAAAGACTTTAAAAAACACCAAATTTATGAAGAAAACGGATGTGTGCGCTATAGAGCAGAGGAAAGAAGAATTTAATTTTGTTATCCTCATGCATTTAACAGCAAAGAAAGCGTGCTGTCACTATTCATGTGTCAGATAGTAACGGGAGGAGATTGCAAGGAGCTGCCATCTTTGTGAAGCAAATCTCAAAAGATTTCCCTATTGGATCGGCAATAGCAAAGAGCATCCTTGGCAACTTGCCCTATCAGGTTCGTATCTTTTCGTGTGCCCCACTTAATATATATATATATATAAGAACAAAAATTTTTTAAGTATAATTTATTTTATTACTTTACTTGCCGTTATTTAAGTTAAAAGAAAAATTTAAATTAGGTGTTACACTGATGTAAAAAATCCTTCCATATATATATATATATATATTTCACAGCATGGATTGTCGAAGTATAGCGTGTTTGTGTTGTCGTTAAATTCATCAATCCAGTTTAGATTACTCTAACGCCACAAGTTATAACTTTTACGTTTTTAAGACACATAACATAACAAGCCTCATTCTTCTGTGCGCACAGAATTGGTTCGTGAAGCGGTTCAATGCGGCAGTCTTTGAAAATGAACTAAAATGGTACGCCACGGAGCCTCATCAAGGCAAGGTCAATTACACCATTTCAGACCAGATGATGCAATTTGTTAGAGCAAACAAAATCATAGCCAGAGGGCACAATATATTCTGGGAAGACCCTAAATACGCCCCACCATGGGTTCTTAACCTTACTGGCATCCAGTTACAATCTGCTGTGAATTCCCGAATACTAAGTCTCATGAACCAATACAAGGACGAGTTCATACACTGGGATGTCAGCAATGAAATGCTTCATTTTGATTTTTATGAGCAAAGGCTTGGACCTGACGCCACATTGCATTTCTTCCAGACAGCACACAAATCAGATCCTTTAGCAACGCTGTTCATGAACGACTTTAACGTGGTGGAAACATGCAATGATGTGAATTCCACTGTGGACGCTTATATCTCGAGGATAAGAGAACTACAACAAAATGGTGTCTTTATGGATGGAATTGGCTTGGAGGGTCACTTCACAATACCCAATCCTCCCCTTATCAGAGCTATCTTAGACAAGTTGGCAACACTTGGCCTTCCCATTTGGCTTACTGAGGTTGACATAAGCAAAACACTTGATAAAGATACACAGGTGAGTTTGAGTAAATCAAGTTCTACAAAACAAACAAATGAATAAATAGAAATGAATGACATTTACTATACTGAATCTGTTTTATACGTAGGCAAATTATTTGGAGCAAGTGTTGAGGGAAGGGTTCTCACATCCTTCGGTGAATGGGATCATGCTTTGGACTGCATTTCGGCCTAATGGATGCTTCCAAATGTGCCTCACAGACAGTAATTTCAAGAACCTCCCAGCAGGTGATGTGGTGGACAAGCTTCTTCAAGAGTGGCAAAGTGGTCGCGTAGAGGGAGTCACAGATGGGCATGGTTCCTATAGCTTTTATGGGTTCTTGGGAGAATATAGAATTAGTGTTAAGTATGGTAACAGGACTAAAATTTCAACCTTCTCGCTCTCTCGAGGTCAAGAAACTCGACATTTTGATATTACCTTGTGATTCTTAATTTTATTTGTCAAGCTGCTTAATTGTTCTTGATCCATGTAGTATTGTCAAATCTGCAAATTCATCATTTCAAATCGTACAAGCCTTTAATCGACATACTGTCTCCAGAATTCTTCTATTAAACACTTTCCGTAGATAATTTTTTTGGAATACTGTTTGTTGTTTCTTTTTCTTTTTCCTGAGAAATTCACTTATGTTAATCTGGATTTACCGTTCCACTTTCTTCTTCAATTTTAGATTGAACTCTTGTACTAAAATTTTAATATGATAATCTGATTAAAGAATAAAATAAAATGTCTAAAATTAAAAAGATAAACATGATTCTTTTTGAAAATTGAAACGCCGAGTCTGATCCTAATACGGACGACGTGATTCTACTTTTCGAAAATTGCTGAAGAAAACTTGTTGCACCTTTAATACAACTCCAACTAAAAATTTTACAACAAATTGAGTTCGTGTTAACTTCAACTAAAACGTTTTAAACTTACTAAAATCATATATTGGTTAAGCCAAGATGTTATCTCAACAAGATGTTTTTATAGATATCTTTAAGAAAAATAAAACGGATTAGTTTGAGGATTTACCACTGCAATGGGGGCCCAGGATATTCTAAGCTTTATATAAATTATTTAAGTTTGTACTGTTGAAATTGAAATATTTCCCTTCTATAACTTAAAAAAAAAAATAGCATAATATATATGTACAAACACACTAAAACAAGTATTGTTTCGTTTGTACAACATTTTTCGTTCTTTTTTCCACCCACAAGTGCTATTGTATCACAATATGCAGCTCAAAATTCCTTAATCCATAGCAGACAAAAAGCAAAAGCCAAGCAAACTACTTGTCTCACCCGCAAAGTGAAGTTTATCCCAGAGGATTTATAAATCAGCTTCCTTTTGAAACCTCTCTCCCTGTCATCTCTGTCTAAGAAACCAAAATAAAGCCACACCCCGGCACATACTTTTATTTTTTGTTATTTTTACATGTGAAACTAACAAAGCCAACCCAAAACTGCTGATATATGTTTGCTACAGCGCTACTTTGCTTTATAAAGTGGAGTAAAGGCATGCTTAAGGACCCCCCCCACAATATATTTTCAAATTTCGAAGTGGTTGGTTTACAATGAAGAAGAATAGCAAAAATTCGTGAACCCATTAATAAACCTGCAAATTTGCACTGTCGATGTACATTTAGAAAACACAACCTACGAGTATGAGAACACTAGGGCAGCTAGATCATGAAGAGAAAAAGCAAAAGGCTAACAATGTAGTAGACTAACACAGAGAAAGGAAACGTCCTATGAGAGTCTCCCATAGCCAAACCAGCCAAATATGACCCATCTGCTAGCACGTCCTCTCCAGACCCTGAATCATAACCATCAATCGAATACCCAACACCCTGCTCCGAAACCGTCGATCCCCCTTGTTGTGAAGTTGTTGTGGTCATGGGACTTGTCTCTCGTGAAGATTTCTGACTGCACAACGTACCACACATTCAGACAATCGTATATTTCTCAATATCACTAAAATAAAGCCTCGGATTTCTGTCAAACTGTGGTCGCTGTGGCCATTAATAAAAGCAAACCCACCAAACCATTTATTATTTTCGCAACAAACAACTAATTTATTATTATTAACAACAGAAGCATTATTAAAAAAAAAAACAACTCAACTTTGGCCATATAATAGAACACGTAATTAAATTGTTTTTCAAAAATGCATAATACATAATAGAATGAGCCAAATAACACGTAATCAAAATGCTTATAGTACTAGTAAGAAAAATAAATACAGTGGAAAAGCAAAGAGAAAAAGTATAGGAAAATAGACCTGGGAGAGGACGGACAGAAGGTGAGCGTGTAATCGGAAGCAGCACAAGTAAAAGTACTGGAAGCATCGTCATAAGCGTAACTATAGGAAGATGGGCATGCAGCCTTGAACATTTCCGAGTACACAGAGGGCCTACATGTCGCCGGCGAGCTATACTCGCCGCTACAGCAGTACTCAGGGCTACCAAAGGCCTCACATGCGCTCATGCACGCGCTGCCGTCCCCGCCTTTCAACTCCGTCGGGCATTGCAGGCTGAGATCCGACGTGCATCCCGTCGAAGCACACATACCCGACGCGCCACTCCCTTCCACGATCATCGGAAGATTGTACCCGTCAACAAGACTCACGTCGTAAAAGTCTTGGCCAACAGTGCCGAGCGTGAACTCGGCGAGCGTCACCGGCGGGGCTGCACCCGCACCATCGCATTGGAGGTGGCCGGAGCCACAGTCGCCGGTGAGGCAAGTCCCGGAACCGGATCCGTCGAAATTGCAACCGGTTCGTGCCCAGAAACGACCGGACCAGCCGGAGGGAGCTGGGAAAGAGGTGGAAGAGTCCTTGGGGAGTTCGAAGCCTGTGGTTTCGAGCTTTGGGCTACCGGCATTTGCAAGAATAGCTGGCCACACTGTGTAGTGGCATCTGTTTACAAATGTAAACGTAGTACCCATCACACCTTAATTACAAGTCACAACGTACGATGAGTCATTATAAGCCAACAAAAATTAACCTAGGTAGTTGAGTAGTAGGAATATCAAAGATAAAACCAAAACCTGGAAGAGTAAAAAGTAGCATGAAACAGCAAAGCCATGGAATATAGGGATCCATATGTATTGGTTGTGTCGAAGCAACAATGGTGATAATGGAGCGTGGAGAATATAGTTTTAGTCGAAAAGGTTTTGGATGAAGCACCTGAAGAGTAGAGTAGTGGCTGGTTCCTCACAAAACGATGAAAAACAATACTTATATGTATGTAATGTTATTAAAAAGTTAATTAAAATGACTTTTTTGAAAAATGAAAACTAATCATTATTAACGAATTTATTTTGCTTATCATTTTATTGTAGATGTAGTAAAAGAAAGATCTTGATAATATCAATCCTTAAGGAACATTTACAAATAAATTTTTTTTTATTGAAAAACAATATATTATATTAAAATTATAAAAATATAATAAATATTTATTTTTTATAAAATTTTATTATGATTAATCGTTTATCTTCAATTTTAAAAAAATAAAAACTAATCATTATTAACGAATTTATTTTGCTTATCATTCTATTGTAGAGGTAATAAAAGAAAGATCTTGTAGTATCAATCTTTAAAAAACATTTACAAATAAAAAAAATTTATTGAAAAAAAATATATAGTATTAAAATTATAAAAATATAATAAATACTTATTTTTCTTATAAAATATTATTATTGTTAATGATTTATCTTCAATTTAAATTTAACGAAAATGATAAAAGAACTTCAACGATTAATTGGATGCAGTTGTTGTATTGAATAATAAAAACAAAAAAGCTACGCACTCGGTCTCTTGATTTGGATCCAACCGGAGGGATAAATACCTGTCTCACCACTTTAAATATATAATATTATTGATAAAATTGTCATATTATTCTAGTTTTATAGATAGATGTTTATAGTTTTATTATATTCATTTTTCGTTTAAATTATGCTTTATTATATAATTGAACTCTTTTTGAGTTATTTAAAGAAAGAAAAGCAAGCAAAGAAAGTCAAGATAATTTCCTTGACAGAGAAAGCCCAACATTCCAAGCCTACAACAGGACCAGGATTTGTAAACCCAAATATAAGCTCTTATGTAGTGCAATGGGTCAAACTCTATTGGCATTGCTCTGATTAGTGCATGCCCAAAAAACAGATATTCTTAGTGGGTTTTTGTGTTTCAGTTCTTAAAAAGTGAAATCAAACTTTGGATGTGTTGACCAAACAAAAAAAGTCATAAAAAGAAAGAGGAGCTAGTGCATCTCACCCAAATTTTTTCCACCGGAAGAAAGGTGAAATGGGGGAAGGGATGTTGTTTTTTCTTCCCGAAATTTTAAAAATAAAATGATTTTGTATAACATAAACAAATATAAAAAATAATGGAACAAAATTTTATTTTTTCATTTATATAAAAATTGTTTTTTTTACTCTTTCTTCTACTAAATGAAATAAGTAGAGAAAAAAAGTAACATTTTTATCTTTATTTTTTTATTTGAATTTAAAAATAAAATGATTTTGTATAATATCAAAAAATATAAAAAATAATGGAACAAAATGTTTATTTTTTTCATTTATATAAAAATTATGTATTCTTTTTTTATTTGAATTCAACATCGTTGAAGGATGCTGAATTTGAGAGTTAGAGGCTAAGAGAAAAAGGGAAACCTACATAAAATTAATGGGTATCTTATTTTATTTCTTTGAATTCCGAATACTCTTAATAGGAACACAATTCATAATGTTATTTAGTCTCTGGCATTTAATATTTTTTTTGTTTTAAGCTTTTCATGTTAGTCGAAAGGCATGAAAGTATTTTCTTTTTTTGCTTGCATGCACCTACTTTTTCATTCAACTATCATTAGGCAAATAACCTTAAAGAAATGGAACAGATAAACGAAGTCTTGAATAGAAGTTATTTTTTCCATTAAGTGGACTTGCTACCGAGGCAAATGACTGGGAAATGCAGAAGAATGTTTTGTTGGATCATCATAATGCAGAAGAAAGCACTAAACTGAAGCAAACTTCTGTGTTTGATACATTGTTTTTTTCGTCACAGGAGAATTTATAGCAACTAGCATTGCCTTTATTAATTCATTCAATCCTAAAAACTGTATTAATTACTCCATGAATTCCTCTATCGATTTGCAATCAGTATACACTAATAATACTCTTCATTGATGACAATTCACGAATCAAATTGTGCCTTTATTGAAACTTTTGACAGATATTTCCAAAAGTAACTTCTAACAGGAAATGAGTAAGGAGGTCTTTAGTATTAAGGACCAAATTCGTCATATGACTCATGTTTCTATTTGCCTCTGACGTAAAAGTGATGCGGATCTATTCTTGGAAATCAGCTAGGAAAGACTCATAATTGAACCACAACATGAAATTTACATTAATCATCATTGTGCTTCGAAATTGCTTCAAAACGTGCACAACAGACTGAATATACTAATTATTCAGACACCCACGTTAACCACCACTTCACCTGACAATGGACGACAATAAAAATTTAATTGATCCATAACAGTGATAATTCTCTGCATCAAAACACTAATATCATCAACAGCTGATATTAATGAATGAAAATTAGAGGCAAGGTGCTTATTATGCTAAGAAGACATTTGATTTGAACTACTTAGAAGGTCTGCAACAGCTTGGAGGTGGTCAAGGAGACACAAATCACAGAGAATGTTTCTGGTCCCATCCCACAGCCTACAAAGTAGGACTAAACATGCAATGGGATGTGGGCATCTAACACACTTCCTAAGTAGTTCTGCTGCAGCAAAACTATGTGCTTTAAGGGTCTTCAAGTCATAATTAGTGAATTCTCATCAACCTTGCCTGCAAAGAAAGTCTTGAAATAATTATGTAATAAGTGAGGCACTACATACTTCAAGGAACTGCTACTGCATTCCATATACTATTCTTAATTTAAAAGAAAAAAAAAACCATTACTGTTTATCATCTTGAGAGCAAGGAAGCGTAATAATTAATGACCTCTTTAACTAACTTACTCGAATAAAAAAATAACCGAAGGTGAGTAACTTTTCCTACTGTTTTTAGGCCAATGTCATAAAGTTCCAACATAATGAAAGAAAGCAAGGGAAGAAAAGAAAATAATTATTTTGTCCAATAATGAGAAATAATGTTTTATGAAGCTTTTTCATCGCTTTAATTAAAGGTTTGAAAATGCTGGACAATTATATGACAAAACTGAATTAAAGGTTGGCTTTATGCCTTTATCTATTTTGTCTAGCTTGGCTTTGATATTAGCTACGAGCAAAAAGAAACATGAAATTGTTGGACTAAGCATTCCTTCAGTAATAAAAAGAATGAGAGAATCTTTTTTATAGAAGTTTTCTTTTGGAGCGAGGGAAAGGAAAAGAGACTCCATAAGGTTGAGATAAAATAAATAATATTTTTTTCTTTCGGGGGGAAACAGACCAAAGGAAAATCATAACAAAGAATGCCAATGAAGAGGTGCAAAGCAAGACACTTTATACAATTTCACCTTACATTATACTACATTATTAATGTAAGTAAGTAAATAAATTACATGTGGAATAGGGAATTTTAATTCAAGTTTGAGCATTGAATTGGGAGAAGGGATCCTCGACTCTACAGTGTTGGCAGCTTTCTTCGACTTGCAAGCGACCACGCCAGTTTGGCTGTAATCATGCCGTCTACTTTGTTATTATTTCCTTCACTCCCTGCTTTGATTATTATTATTATAATTATAATAATAATAATTATTATTATTATTTGCCACCCCTAACTTTACCCTGTTCTCCTACTAAAAACAATGCCTTAACCAAAGGAAAAAAAATGTGCCCCTAACAGCCTAAGAAATATGGTGGTAGCAAAGGTGTTGGCAGTGTAGCAAAGGCAGTTTCTAAACAAATATATTTGGATGAAAGGGACTACTGTTGGTAATATTATATAAGCACCAATCAAGTACAAGGGGTTCTAATACTTGTTCTGATCATGTAAAAGGATTTTAGGACAAAGCAAGTGACTCTGAAAAATAGCGAAACAAACTAATTTCAAATTGTCAAAATTTAATTGAGCAATCAACTTGGAAGCCGGGGAGAGTAGTAAATGATACACTTTTGCTTTATGATTAATATATTGTCACATATACAAAGGAGGAAAGGGCAAATATGAAAAATGACAAGGAGGCTAAAGCTGGAGCATCATTAAGTGGACAGGTGGCAGCGGATCTGTGATCGTTTCTTCTTCCCTCTTTTCTCTCAGTATCTGCTACTAATTCCTTTTGTAGGCAACCTTTCATTCTAAGAAACTAAGATTCAATAATATTTACAGAGAAAATTTCATACTCACTTTTCTTGTTCAGCTTACACATTACATATATCTCCCGTAAATTTTATCTAATATTAATTAATATTTCAAAAAGAACATGTTATAAAATGTCTTCTTAACCTTTTCAGACTTGTAATTACAAAAAGGGTATCTACAGCAAAGGGATTTTCATCAAATCTTTCGCTTCCGAGAACCGTTCTGAACAATACCTTTCAAACAGTCTTTAGCAGCCTTAGAGAACCCTTTTGTGTCATGTAAATCAGTATATATACCCTCACTCCTAAAGTCCTCTCCGATCCATCCTTGTTTCAAATCTCAACCAAACTTGCCTCCCACAACTAGCAGTATTAAAACCCACCTAGAGAATAGAAGAACGAGTCACCAACTATTAGTAATAAGAAAGTGCAAGAGCTTAAGATATTGATCAGGAAGTAATAAAAAGAAAATGGCATCGGACAAAGAGGTTGAAAGTGTAATAGTGGGGAACTATATGGAAATGGAAACTGAAGGGAAGCCTAAGGATATTAAATCCAGGTTATTAAGCATGCTATGGCATGGGGGTTCTGTTTATGATGCCTGGTTTAGCTGTTCTTCAAACCAGGTTAGTTTATGAGATATATCACTTCTTTCTTCTTGTCAAGTTAGATTATAATACAGCTTGAACTCCATTCTACCCCTTTGATCTTTACACGTTGTTATGTCAGGTGGCTCAAGTTCTGCTTACGTTGCCGTACTCATTTTCCCAGCTAGGAATGCTTTCTGGAACTCTTTTTCAACTCTTCTACGGCTTGATGGGTGGGTGGACGGCTTACCTCATCAGCACACTCTATGTTGAATACAGAACCAGAAAAGAGAGAGAGAAAGTTAATTTCAGGAACCATGTCATCCAGGTTCAACTCTCCCACATTCATATTTTTCTTATCTTTGCAACTATGAACGTCATTGTGCCTGTTGTAACTAGCTTAGCCATTGCAGTGGTTCGAGGTTCTTGATGGGCTCCTCGGGAGCCATTGGAGAAATGTGGGTTTGGCCTTTAACTGCACATTTCTTCTATTTGGAGCTGTAATCCAACTCATAGCTTGTGCAAGGTATATCTAATCTAACCCCTATGCAATTGGGTCTCTAACTCTTCTTTAGTTATTTGAGTTTAATTTTTATTGCTCTATGTCTATATTGCCTTTCGTCATTTTTATTTCTACTTCTATTTCAATGAATAAAAAACCTTTGAATGTTGCAAACTTCTTTGGGAGTATGAACATGGTTAACTTTTGTGCAGCAACATATATTACATAAATGACAATCTAGACAAGAGGACTTGGACTTACATCTTTGGAGCATGCTGTGCCACCACTGTATTTATCCCTTCCTTCCACAACTACAGAATTTGGTCCTTTCTGGGCCTCCTCATGACCACTTACACTGCTTGGTACCTTGCTGTTGCCTCTCTCCTTCATGGCCAGGTAATAATTACATTCCAAGGAGTATATATTATTCCTACTAAATATGCATGAATCATTATATTTATTAATCTTAATTTTTATAGTCAACTCTTATATTATTATAATAACATAGTTTTTATTTTTTCTATCTCTCTCTTTCTTTCACCCATTAAACCCCCAAAAATTAGATATCAACGCATATTTTTCATAATAATACGCGGTCTTGATGTCGTTGTAATTGTGAAGGTGGAAGGGATTAAGCATTCGGGTCCAACCAAATTGGTTCTATATTTTACGGGGGCCACAAACATTCTCTACACATTCGGGGGACATGCCGTCACTGTGTAAGACTAATATCTCAGATATTTCGTATCTTATACGTTTTGACAAACGTGCATTGTTTCTTTCACACTGCTTAGATTTTGGCTTCGTGTATACAGCACGGATCTATGATAAATGTTGCAAATTAATGGGATAATTCTTGCTAATTAATTTAAATGTTAGTTATTTAACTCCCATGCACTGCCAACTATTCTTGCTACTTGCTAATGAATGCCAAACTAGAAAGCGAATTAAATAACAAGGCAAGGTGCACCCACTGGAGATGTAATTCTACTTTGACTTCTTTAAACAATGTATCTATGGCCATCTTAAGTCCTTTCTCCATTGATTTTTCTTTAAAATGTTTAGTGGGAGTATCTAAACTTTGACGCTGACGTTTTTCCAAATATTCTGTATGTTTTTTTTCCCAAAAAGAAAAAATCCTGTTAGGCATGCATGCAAAAAAGTGCCCTTTTCGGGGGAATTTTCTTTAGTTTCCTTTTCGGCTGTAGAAAGCCAAGGTTCTTTCTCTAAAAGGGTCGACTTTAATGCTTTTATCATGAAAGGACCTGATAAGTCTAGCTTTGCTTGATGAAACTTGCACATTTTCTCACAGCTCAGCAAAACCAAATTTTGAGCCAAAAAGATTTTCTTTTTCACTGTTCTCTTCACTATTTTATTTTTAGGGGTAAACTCCCGTATGTAATTCGTAAGGTTTAGCTATTGTCATTTAACTGATGATTTTATGAAACAGTTTAATTTCTGATTTTTAAATACATCATTTATTTTACTTTTATAGTTAAATTTTTTTATTATCACCAAAAGTTAAATTAAAACTAAAATTATTAACAGTTAGAATCTAGTTCACTCCCCAAAAGTGATTTCTTTGTTAGCATCCCTTCTAACTCTCAAGTTCATGTATATAAAGAAACTACAACATAAACTTTTCTGATTTTTTTAAAGAGTGATATTCTACTGATTAATAAATAAGACATGTTTGGTGGTACAGGGAGATAATGCACGCGATGTGGAAGCCTCAAAAATTTAAGGCCATATACTTACTGGCTACTCTGTATGTGCTTACACTGACGCTCCCATCAGCAGCTGCAGTATACTGGGCATTCGGAGATATGCTTCTAAATCACTCCAACGCTTTTTCTCTCCTTCCAAGATCACCCTTCCGGGACATGGCTGTCATTTTAATGCTCATTCACCAGGCACGTATCTGAACTAATTAACTAGTTCATTATCCATCTATTTTATTATATTATTTTTCATACATACGTCACTTATCTCGCATATATGCTAAACAATAACTTGAAGGAACGTATAATATATACACATGGAGTTGGCTCCCCTCTTTTTTTACTAATTGAATTTTGGAAACTCTGCAGTTTATAACATTTGGGTTTGCATGCACGCCACTATATTTGATGTGGGAGAAAGCAATAGGGATACACGAGTGTAAGAGCTTGTGCAGGCGTGCTTTGGCGAGATTACCAGTGGTGATCCCCATATGGTTCTTGGCCATAGTTTTCCCCTTCTTTGGACCCATTAACTCCACCGTTGGATCCCTACTTGTCAGCTTCACCGTTTACATCATCCCTGCCCTCGCCCACATGTTCGCCTTCAAATCACCTGCTGCTCGAGAGGTATACATGCCATAAATTAGTCACTCACTTTGAGTAAAACTTTATTATTCTTCTCTTACTACTAGTACCATAACACAAGTTGTATAACTATATGTCTATATGCTGCAATATTCCCACTCTCCTCAAGTTAAACAAATATACATTAATTATGAAGTAGCTAAAAGAAAGGTAGACTACTAAACAAGAAATTTTAATTTCATGGAACAGTTACAGAAAAATAAAGTGTGCATGTGGGTCATCTCATCACACATCACTGAAACTTGTCGGAATCCAGAAATTTGATCGAGTAGCAGTGTTAGATTTTATTCCGTTCTTTATTCTGGGTAAATTGTATCATGTATAGTTGCTTTTATTAATTGTGCCCAAAACTTAGGGAATATGGAAATATGGATAAGCAAAATCGTGATTGTGAAGCGTTAGCGTATAGTCACCGTCCAGCAGACCAGACCCGGGACTTTCTCCCAAACCATCATTCTTAAGAATTTTACTTTAACTATTACAGCTTCTATTTCATTTATACAAGAGTAGCGCTGTTATATTGGGAGATAGAGACAAAACATAAAAACTAAAGATGATAATAAAGAGAATATTGGCCAGCTCTGAATCTGATTCTTAATCATTTTTACATTTTATTTTTTTAAAAAAATAAAATAGAGAAAGAATGTGTTAATACGTGTATTTAAAAAATAATGTCAAAATGATGTAACTTTTTTAATTTACAAATATGCAAAGACTAGGTCAAAAAGTGACACTGATTAACGTATTTTTGAGATGGGTGTATAAAAAAAAATAAAAATGAGTATATAATTTTACGTATAGCATTAACTTTTTGTAATTAAAATAACCAAAGTGATCAAATAATTAATCTTGGTTTCTACTTTCTACAAGCGTGCATTTATTTGATTATTGATGGCTTGAAATGCAGAATGCGGTGGAGCAACCTCCCAGGTTCGTGGGAAGATGGGTGGGTGCCTACACGATCAACGTATTTGTGGTGGTGTGGGTCCTAGTGGTAGGCTTTGGATTCGGTGGATGGGCGAGTATGGTCAACTTCATACACCAGATTGATACATTCGGTTTCTTCACCAAATGTTATCAGTGTCCAAGTACATTTCCTTCTATGCTGAACGCCACCGCGCCTTCCCCTCGTCGTCACTGAGTACTTTCACTCTTCAACTTCTTGTTAATGATTGATGGGAGTTTCCCCACCCAAGGTTTCACTGAAATATTTATCCCTGCATTTACCTAAAAAGCACGCTAGCTTAGCTATTGACCACTTATCAATGATCAATACATTTGATTTTATGAAGCAAGATAAATCGGAGTTTGATCATATCCTGGATTCTTCGTCATCGTTTGTTTCTAATTACTACCCTTTTCGTGAAACACTCGGCAATATATGATGCATTCTTCGTCAGTATCTTATCTTTCTCTTTGTTTCTTATAGTTGGTAGCTGACAACAAAATTAAAAGGGGATAAAGAAACAGTTGCACCAAGTTTATTTCTAACAAAATCCTAGACCAGCGGATTGAGGGAGTTACCTCGCGTTGCGCTAAAAGAAAACAAATATATCACCGAGTAGAACCACTAGATTTTAATCTAGTTAAAGATTTCCTCTCTCAAGGATTTTGTTTTTATTGTCATTCTCTTGACATGATCGAAATGAAGCATCCAAGGAAACCTTGTTTAGTTGCATTTGCTAATCCAAATTCAAATGCACTCGATACTGGTGATTAATTAAGGAACTTAGACATTGCCAAATGCCAACCGTATCCCGAGTAAAAAGAATCATTATGGCTAAATTAACCTTGGTTTGTTTGTTTACATGAGTTTTACACTTTCCATATGATATTATTTACTACGCATGTTATGAAAGTACGTAATAATTTTCATGCCAAGAAGGGGAACAAATGAAATTCTCATGTTCCGGCCGAATCTGGGAAAAGCAAAAAGCCAAATGAAACCCCTGATCAATGTAATATTGAAAATGATTAGTCATGAAATAATGGCACGACGTGGAGCAAGGAACAATAGAGTTACAGTGCAGCTTTTCCTTGTCTCCAAGTTTACAAGGGCGGCATAACTGAGTTACTGAAGAAAAAGGAAAAGGGCAAATTAGTAACGGGGCTGGTGCATTTGATGTTACTACGTAGCGTTGCCAAGAGCAATAAGGCTGCTGCAGAAGTGACATGCAGTGCTGTGTGGGGAATCTAATGATAATCGATCATCCAAGAAAGGCTAGTGCAATTAACAGTATACTCTATGAAGTATCTAAGGCCCCCATTAGAATTCTAGTCCCACGTTCAGCTTTTAGCATTACAGGCATGCGAAAGAGCAAGAAAAGAAATTGAAAATAACTAATTTTAACATAAATTTTGTTAACTTTAATTTTAAAGCTGAATTTAAGTATTTATAAATAAAAAAAATTAATTATTAAATTAAAATTATAAAAATATAATAAATATTTTTTTAATAAAATTTTACTAATATTAATTGCTTATCTTCCTATAACAAAATCATAATATTAAAGCAATTTACACTTTGCTGTAAAATCTCATCCTCTCTGACTAAGGGCAACTATGCTATCAACATGGGGTTTAGAATTTGAAGACATGCTCGTTTCTTTGATTTCAGCGCTACTCTATTGATTGGAATAATGATTTCTCTCGATCAATTGGGCGTGAAATGGTTACAACGAACAGAGATATAAAAAATAAAGGTAAAATATTTCATACCTTCAAAAAATTTCACATATAAAATTTTAACTAATAATATCTAAACACATATTTAAATAATAAATTTATTTAATAATAAATTATTATATTTATTATATTTAAATAAATTAAAAAGCAGTTAAATATTCTAATAGAAATAAGATACAAATAAAATTAAATAAATTAAAATTTAAAAATAAAATAATAATATTATGTTAATATATTTTTATATTTTTAATTCTATTATTAATATTTAATTATTATATTGATATATTATATTATAATTCTTTTTTATAATAAATAAAATTATATTTTATTTAAAATTAAAAATATTTAGACACCTATTTAAATCATAAATTTATTTAATAATAAATTATTATATTTATGACATTTAAATAAGTGACAAAGCGATTAAATCTTTGAGTAGGACATAATTAAAATTAAATGAATTAAAATTTAAAAATAAAATAATATTATTATATTAATATATTTTTTATATTTTTAATTATATTATTATTAATATTTAATTATTTAATTATTATACTAATATATTATGTTATAATTTTTTATTTATAATAAATAAAAATTACTTAAATATAAATTATAAATTTATAAAAAATAAAATAAAAAATATAATATAATATATATATATATACATTAAAAATATATGTAAATAATATATATAGTAGAAGAAATAAATTATATATAATAATGTATAATTTTATAATTTATCACATATTTTATTTATATAAATTTTTTAAATACAATACCCTATAAAAAGTTATGGGTACTACAACAGAAAAACATTAAAAAATAAAATGTGATAAGTATACGGTTAAAAATAAAAATAAAATAGATATTAAAAAATGTGTTTAAAATGTAATAGTTTATTATATTAGACACTTTTTTAATGATAAATTAATCTAAGGTTCATCAATTTTTTTATTTAAAAATAATATGAATATTGAGGACTGATTAAGTATTTAAAAATAAAAGAATGTTTAAATATAAAACAAGAACATATATATAAATATAAATATATTCATATAATAATGAATTGTAGACTTTATTTATTTATTTTATATAAAATTTAAATCATTTCAATAATAAGTATCATTTTATAATATTTCATATATTGCATTCTTTTGTCAAATTTAAGGATAAGACATTGTTGTATGATGGATATTTTTTTAAAATGTTCATTTACGTAGAGGACAATACTATATGTTTATTCACGACATTGTGATAAGAATGCCTTGAAGAGAAATGTTTATCATAGTAAGATTTAAAATTACATTATTTATTTACTATTCTGTAGATAATTCCTATTTTGATACAAAACAAAATAACCCTAGATTAAATTGACAAGGGCGATGAGCCAAGCATTGCTAATTTGAAGTTATATACAGTTATGGAAGGGGTGGGAATAAAAGAAAAGAGAAAAGAGAAGTGAACATGAGTGGTGTACAGGGATGTGAAATCAGCGGAATCCTCTTCCTCTGGATTGGTACAGTTCCAACCTACTTTTGGCTTCTGGTAACAGTGGTTTAATGGAAGGTTCTTCGGCGAGATGGCCCTGTTTCGTGCACCACTCAAGAACAATGAGGACCTCTTCCTGCGCAAGGGTATCGCTTTTGGGGACGTGTAGCGCTATGTAACAGAGAAGAGTGACGGAAGGAATCTGAACCATTTGCTCCCCAAAGTAAACCAGCTGAATCAAGTGTTTGGCACCCCCTGCCTCTATGATGGCGTTGCAGTGATTTTCGTGGAGATAATTGTCCGTACAAGCGAACTTGTTGAGTGCGATAGCGGCTTCCATGGAAACTTGGGCTTCTCTTTCGTCAAGGAGCCTCACCAAGGGCCCAATGATTCTGCTTTCCGTTGCTCTGAAAGTCCTCGCCAAATTCCCAATAGCTCTGATGCAAGGAATGAGTAGATTAGAGTCTTCTTTCTCAATTATCTTGATAAGCTGTTCCACCATAGCCTTGGCAGCAGGGGAAGTTGGCTTGAAAGCAGAGCGTCTCAACTCTGCATGTTGTTCTGCCACACATGTGATTTCCATCAACGCCATTGCTGAATAGGATTGCACGTCTTCGGGGCCTTTTTCCAACAGAACCACGAAACAAAGAAGAGCTCTAGACTCTGTTATGCTACGACACACGGTCAAGTTTCCCCTAGAGAGTTGCCATAGTGCCCTGGCTGCCATGGTCTTCATCTCAGCCTTGGTAACAGGGTCTTCGAATTCCCTACCCTTAATACTCGTCACAGCAATTGACACGTGCGAATTCCCAGTCCCATGGTTCTGCTGCTGCTGTTTCTTTGTATTGTTACCCTTGCCATAATTTCCCTGGCCCATGCCCTTAATGGCCATGGTGTTGGACACCACATTGTGCATGTGGCTTGATGTTTGGTTCTCCATTGGGTGGTGAATCTGTTTATCATCCTCTTCATGCCTCCTGTTTATCTCATCTTTCTCTGTGTTACTCGCCATTAGAAGCGAATGAATGCTCTTGTGCTTATTGGCAATGGCATACTTGCTATGCTCTTGAATGGTCTCGAACGCCAGATGGCTAACCAGCAAGCGTATGGCATTGTTCTGGGAGAAGTGATCCTGGCATTTGGGGTGATTCGCCGCAAGCTCCGAAATAGCCCACGCCACCACCATCTGAACCTTCATGTGACCCTCTTTCAGGACTTTCGCAAAAACCGAGCAAACACCAGCATTCACAATGTGCTCCACGCTTTCCGGATCCTTCCCCAGCAACCCAATGGCTCTGGCAGCGTTTTCTTGACCCTCCAATCGCCCTTCTTTCAACAATTTCAGGAGCGGGGGTACTCCACCTTCCTCGATGATGAGCTTCCCGTAACGGTCGTTGTCGCGTGCAAGGGAAACCAAGGAAGCTGCAGCGTCGGAACGTTCGTCCAAGGAACAGCCAGAGAGCAAAATGGCGATCTGTTCCCATATGAGGCAGAGAATGGGTTCGTTGGCGGCGATGGGGGGAAGCCCCAGATACTCGTCGTCGCGTTCGTCGGCGGAAGCGGAGACTCGGAGGAGCCACTGGACGTCGCCGATGGAATTCTCGAGCTGCATGGAGGTTTTGCGGAAGGCGGTGGTTGGGATGATTGTGAATAGACGCTTGATGACGGTGTTGGCGCGACATTTTGTGACGAGTACGAGGGCTTTGTCGAGAACTTGTTCTGTGTCGTCGATGATGCGTCTGGTGGGACGCTCGTAAAGGTCGCTGCTGTTCCTGGCGGCTTGGCGGAGGAGACCTGCGAGCTTCTCTGTTTTGGCCTTAAGCTCGAGACATTCCTGTCTGAAATTCTGTACCTCTTCAGACATCTTAGAAACCTGGTCCGCCATTTGTATCGGGCTCGCCAGGATCTCCTTGACGATGCTCGACATGCTTTTAGCGGACCCTCACACGCAGTACGTGTGCTCCCAAAACAATTTTGTTTTTTGTTTTTTTTCAATTTATTCGATTCGTAATTTTCTTTTTCCAAATTCCTGTCTCATACGTTTAGCACATGCAAGAGGAGGAGTAGTGGCGGTGATGGTGGCGCCGCCGGTGGGGAGTGAGTGAGGGAAATTATGAGAATGATTCAACGCCTTTTTCTCCAAAATTTTTGTTAATAATTTGGGGTTACATATAGTAGCTGCAAATGGTTGGTCTAAACCCATCCAAGACGTTTCAAGTACTGGGGTCCCCACAACCCATCCATCAGCGATTACGCGCCACGCTCTCATCCTACGGTTTCTTGCTCTCGTAAAGCCTACGTCATCTTTCGTGCGCCAGAGAAGCCAATCCACGCGCCACGGAGGTGAGTCATTGATTACACGTCGCGAGAGAGAGCCATGCAATAAATTATCGATTAAACTAATTAATTTCGAATGCTTACAATAATCAATTCACAACAAATAAACCAATTCAAATGCTCCTTTTCCGTTGGTATACTAATAACCAAGTTAGTAGTGAAAAATGAGAACGGCCTTCTCTGTCGTTGGTGCTGGTTAATAGCATGATATATATATATGTATCATTTTTTGCCTTGTGTTTTTCAGCTTTTAAGAAGACATGCACTCGTTTGAAATTACAGTAATACTTTTTTTTTCCATTATCCACTTATGAAATGTGAAATGGATAAAAGAAACAAAAAAGGGAAAACATAAAACATATCATATAAAAATTAAGAAATTAAAATGTATATGCATAATTTTGGGTGAATGAGAATATAAAGAAAAATTATGACTTTATAAAAAAGTCTCGAGAAACATAAAATAGAGCGAAAGTGTGTCTTTTTTTTATTTTATGCTTGAATTGTTTTAAAAAATAGTTTTTATAACATATATCTTATTTTTTAAATTGCTTAAAAATGCACTGGAGATATTAATCATTAATTTAGTTTAGTCTAGGAATCAGAACTGCGTCTCAGCTATTAATATTGATCACCAGCCTGCCTCAACCCTTAAGCTTACATACTCGTGTAATATGAAATGGTTATAACGTTAATGATTGCAATTAAGTGGGACAAGTCCACTTCAATCAATTCACTCTCCTACTCCATATTTTCCCCATTTTCTTTATGGGATTTTGTTGTTCTTTTTTGTTTCTTTCCATTGGTCACATTCAATTAATCTATAACTTAAGGATGAATCAACTACGATTTTCTATTGGATCAGTGCACCAGGTTACATCATATTTACGTAGACGTTGCATCATCAAAACAAGGGCCACTAAAAAAAAACCCATAAATGTTTTAAAAAAAAATTATCGTTTAAAATATATTTTTATTGATATATCTATAACATCCCCAGTTTTTGTTTTTTTTTTTTTTTCTTTTGCATTTTGTGTTTAGGCACTTGTTCTTTGTTCAGAATCGGACCTCCCACTATTTCTCAACGTACAACAGCGATAATTGATCAGACAAAAAATTTAATCTATGTAATGGCACTAGTCACATGTGATGTAGTAATGTTTCATAATGCCAATCTGCTGGCTAGCTTCCCCGGATTTGGATCCCAGGATGAAATAATTATTATAAATTTCGCATTAAATTATCTTACTAGTTAACTCAATTTATAATTGAAATGCGACATTTTAACGCGTCTTATTAATTATAAAATGTGAAAATTACATGTATTGTGCTTATATTGTCAAATATTTAAGATTTATCAATATTGATATTAATTTACTACTGTTAATTTTTTTTGTAAAAAAAATCTGAAAACTAATTAATTCAAAATAAAGGAAGTGCATTTAGCATCATCCTTTTATATGGTTTGTAAATAATTTTTCAAATTTAAATTTTTAGAAGGTATAAAATTACTTTCAAAATAAAGTTTTTGGAAGTTATTGATGATAAATGACATTTGGAATTTAATTACCTTCGAAAGATAATAATCACATTTCTTAAAATTGAATTATAAGAATGACAGTAGGTGGTGTGAATAGAAAAGAGAGAGACAGTAGTATATGAGGTACTCTCCTGAATTAAAAAGGATTATATTTCAATCCAAATTTACTTACTTTGTTTGGTCCAAGTTTAGTATTTAAGTCCATTCCCTAAGGTGTTATTATTGAAGATAGCCCAAATTTTTGAGCCGGGGCCTACTTACCGACGCCAGTTTGGCTGCTTACTATGCAGAAGCCAGTTTTGCCACCGAGAGGATGCAGATCCCTGATACCAATACTAGTTAGACAAATATTAAATCGGTTCGAATTCATATTTTCTGAGATTATCAAAAGAATTTCTGATTCTACCAAAAGAAAAAGAAAAGAAAAGAATTCCGGAATCAGACAAATCCATTTTTAATCTTGTTTATAAACTTCATGGTCAAGGGAGGGCCTGTCAGTCACTTAGATACTCCGATACTGTATCCTGAAGAATGATTCATTAATACTTAATAAAGTGACAAATTCTGAGCTAATCAGAATGCATCAAAATACCTCATCATCTTTGAATAAATAGATTACGCTTTCTTGGTTCTTGATAATATTTTTATTAGTTTAAAATATAATTTTAATTTATTTTACAAGACGCTCAATTATAATTAAAGAACAGCCCACAAAATGCTATAGCAATTTACATTATACACGTTTACAGACCAAAAAATAAATACTGGAGCAGCGATTTACAGCGAAATAAATAAATTAAGAAAAACACCACTAATTAACAAACAAGAACGTATAAACAGCCACAGGTGGAAACATATACACCCGTAACACACCATAGCAATAATTGAGACACAGAATTTGCAGTTTGAGTTTCAGGTTTTCCCTTCAACTCTGGCATGGGTGAGTCCAACACAAGCGTCAACGAAATCCTCGTCTATGAAATCCGTAGAGAAAATCTGAATCTTATCGGCGTAGCCCTTGGCGAAGCACTGAGCGATGAAAGACCTAGCATAGCCATGGATGCGTCTGGTAACGGGTTTCACGCAGAGAACGGGGTTATCCGCAACGGGCGTAACGGTGTTCTCAATCCTATAGAAGTATTTACGCGACGCCACGGGTGGGTTATCGCTCAAATGCTTCAAATTGCCGTCGAACTTGGTGAATGGCAGATCCGTGTTGATCCAATGATCCTTCAGAAACCCACCACTCCACAGGGGACTCCCACCCTTTGGTTGCGCCGATTTTCTCGGCTTCCAAACGCAGATAACTCTCTTTGGTAAAACCTCCGCAACCGTCTTTCCAAAAACGCCGTCATCTTGCGGAATCAAAAACTCACCTAACTCACTCTCCAAGTGCTTGTCGAACTGTGGTGGGTCCTCGTGGCCGAACTCGGTTCTAATCTCCAGAATTATTATCTCGGACTCTGTCTCCGACAGGAACTTCTTGACGTCGTTGAGTACGACGTCGATGCCGTAAGTGACGAGGATGCCGTGGCACACGCGACGGTTCTCCTGGATCCGAATGTCGAGGACGCGCGTACCCAACACGAGTTGTTCATAGATGGAACGGGATTGGCATTGGGCGAAGGGACGAGTTACGAATGGGATACCAATCTTGTTGGTTGCGGAATCGTGGGTTCCTGGCCACACGATCTGGTTGATGTGGAGTTTCTCTGGGTTCAGACCAGACATCCAGTTTTTCCTGTCTTGTGGGTGGTATTCACAACCAGGGTACTCTACTCCACTACTTTTGAGATCACACAGTGTTTTCTTCTGGGTGTGAATTTCCTTTCTTCGTTCCATCTGCTTAGAGACCTGAGACCCCATCTTCGGTGTCCAATTATCAGTTAGTTTCTGCTTTTTGCTGTGGCAGCTGGACTTGGTGGTTGATGATCAAAACTCAACTAATCAGGTTAGGTAATGACTTTATATATTTATATATATAAGAAATGGTTTTTGCCTTTAATCGTTTGTTTAACCCTACTCTGTATTATCGTTTGTTATAACCTGATTATTTTGATTCACTAACGTATGATTTTAAGCCACGTTAACATAACAGCAAACTAGGATGGTGACGACAAAATGGATATTTGTTTTGTTTTGTTTTTTTCTTTGTCGAATGGTAATAGGGTTGATGAATGGGTACAATGTTGTGAAAGTGTGATATGATGAATGGGGGCGTTCTCTCACTTAATTTTTCTTGGGTCATATCTTGAAGGTTTTTTTGATTGGGGACGGGGTGGGAATGGACCCTCTATTAATCAATGTGGAGAGCACTCGTCATTATTGGTGGAGTGTCATCGCCCTCATTGGTCCACTTGTGTGTCTGCCCAAACTCGTCTCTCTTTGATCTTTTTTAGTTTTTAACTTGATTGTGTCTAAGGATACTTAATAAATTATAGCAAATTACAATAATTAATATATACATAATATTTAATATTTATTTATTTATAAGAAGTTATTTTTTCAATTTTTAACACTTTAAAAAAATAATTTTTTAAAAATTTCTTGTGTGTTGTATTAGATAAGACATCTCTTTAATTTAACAACAGAATAAAATTTATCAATATTTTTTTGACTTATTTAAAATAATTAAAAAATTAGTAATCAATAAAAAAAAGATTAATTACTTGAATAAATTATAAGGTTAAGATAAGACTGAATTATAAAGCTTATTAGTTTAAAATATTATTTAAAAAATGTAAAAAATATAAATAAAAAATTAAGTTTTAAATATTAAGTAATATTTATTAAATACTAATTTCATCGTCAAAGTACCTTTGCGGATATCTCTTACATATTAGAATACACTGGAGAATTTAAAATATTTTACAAAGTCACACTAAAAAACAAGAGAAGAGACTGGAATAATAAGAGTATTTCTAACGGGAATAAGTGTGAAAATTTGTCATAATATCTTTGTTCTGCAGCATAGTGCAGGGGATAGCTAGATTTTAGTTTTCGATGGAATGCCAATGCCCAGGCCCTTGTTTGTGACTGTGAGAAATATATTAGGAGCAATTAAAAGAGATTGTGTATCATTTAGACATTTGGACAGTACCTAGAATATCTTCTGGAGGTCTTGCTCGTAAACTAGAACCTTGAACTTCAATTCCCCAATGAGAGCCCGTTTTTTCTGAACCACTGATATCGAGCTGACAATGATTCGTTGTTATGAAACTGCTAGCTTTGCCTTGCTTAATCTATTATCTATGGACTTGTTTTTTGCCACGCCCACTTTTGTGGCTTTAAGGAGAAACTGTATATTCCAAAAAAACAAGTAATCTCTTGTTCTTGATCTCTAAGTGCTGCATGTTTCAATTTGTATGTTTAGAACAAGTTTTTTTTACTGATATAATATACACCATTGAAGGAAAAACATTTATTTAAAGAATTTTACTGAAAAAATAATGAATTTTGTTGATGGAGAAAATAAAATTTTCTTTTGACATGGCATCTTCATGTTCAATTTTGTTGCTGGAAAGTAAATGAAGACCTTTCACTTAATTAAAAAATATACCTCTTCTCAATTTCTGATAAGAAAATGCAGATATAGAAATACTATTTTCAGTTTTAAAAAATCTTATTTATTGCCGGTTAGGGCCTCTCTTTTTTTGCTTTTTAATATTTTTTAAATAAATAAGCTCTCGTACATGAGTTGTATATATGAATGGTTATTATTAACTAATTTTTTAAAAATTATCTGATAAGACATAATTTGATCTTGATATTAATTTTTGTTTGTTTTATACTAATTTATTATAATACAATATATGAATTAATTATCATCAGTCTGATCATGAACCATCCTAGTTGTAACATTAATCAATATTTGTACTGATTTAACCACTGATTTGATTTTAAAATTATTACTTGTCATTCACTTCTTTTCCTTACTCGTCAAACAGTGAGGGAGTGAATTAGTTCACATGGCGTCAAAATTTATTACCCAAGCAATGACATAATCAACCTATTCGTAATTGAAGTGGTTATCTTTTTATTTTTCTGTATTGGATACAAAATTGAAGAATATAAGTTTCACACTTACTTTATGGACAAGATTAAAAATATATTTGTATCATTATTTAATTAAAATCAAAGTTTTATTATAGAAAAATATTTATATTTGATAATATTAACAATTAATAAAAAACTAATTTTATTGATAAATATCATTAACAGTACTTAAATTTTGTCTTTACTTTAAATGTGTGTATGGTATCTTCTAGAACTCTATGCGTGACACCCTCCTCAGTTCAATCAGTCACTTCAATTGTTCAGGCTTAAGTTGCCTGCAAACTCGTCTCTACAGGCGGGAGCAGGTCAACTTGCTTCCTGTAACTAAATTATCTATTTTCTCTTTAATTTATAAGTTTTTTTTTTCTTGAGATTAGGGATATAATTTGAATTAGTGTGAAACAACAAAGTAAACATGTATGTTAAAATAATTTATATTTTGAAAAAAAAATATAGATACTCAATTAAATTTTATCGACAGCTTACTAAACAAATAGATTAAAAAGTATCAGTTAAATAGAAATTTTTGTATAAAATGAAAAAAAATTAAAATGACGTGGGAAATTTACAAATTTAATTTGTTTAACAAAAATCATATTCAAGAAAAAAATGTTAATAACTCTTTGTGAGAAAATAAATTAAATGAATATTTCACTTTCTTAAATTGTGACTATAATTCGAAACTCTTGCATAAATTTTTAAAATGGCAACTACACTCACCATATACATAACTGTAATTGTAGTTGAGTAGAGAAGAGCGAAGAGAGGAAGGAAATGGACAGTGAAGAGGATGGGGGATGTTGGGTCTTGGAGTTTCTTCTTGGGAACCCACTCGTTGAAAGTAACCTGATCAAGAAAGTGCTTTGGAAAATCACCGTTCCAAACGCTGATTCCCGCCTCAAGAAAACCATTCTCCTCAAAACCCTTCAACACTACTTGTCCACAGTCTCTATTGCCGAATCCATTCTCCAAACACTCGAAATCCTCGAGGAACTCCTCCGTCTCGAGGGTTCTCCGATCACCGCTGCCATGAGCGCCGCCTATTGCGCCGTCGCGGTCGAGTGCACTCTCAAGTACCTCCAACTGGAACTCAACGACAACCCTGCCTACCACGGAGCCGTCGAGAGGATATGGCGCGGTAGGGTTCGCTGGATGGACCCTTCAATGAACGCTTCCCGTGAAGGAAGCCTTCTGTTCTCCGCCGAGTTGAAGCGGTGGAGAAATGACATTGAGGCTTCCCTTTTGGACTCGCGCTTGAGGGAGAGGCTGGCCTCCAGTCGTACCAGAAGAAACGCCGTTCGTAAGCTTAAGGTTTATTTGGCCGAAGCAATGCAAAATCTGGGTCCTTCCTTTCTCGAGGTAGCGGCGTCGATGCCTGCAAACAATGGTAGGATCGATGCTGTTGAATCAATGAGGGCAGAAGATGATGGTATTGATGCTGAAACGAGACGAGCTTGTAGTGGTACTCATGAATTGACTCACCCAAAGAGAGGTCCTTTTTTTCTTCTTCTTTGTATACCTGTTAAATTATTATGCCAATTTCGGTAACCGTGTCCAAGATGCGTATCTAGTAAATCATCAAGCGTTGTTTATTAGCAGTTTTGATTACAATGGTTTTTTTTTCCTTTAGTGTCTCCAGTAGAAATTCAGAGGGACAATAAGCTGTTTGAAGCCAAGGGTACTAGTGTTGCTGCTGAGGAAGCGGGTCCATCAACAAGTCGTTGCAAAAATGACTCTGTGCCGAAAGGGGCATGTGTTGCCACTCATGTAAACCATGAATTGACTCACCAAGAGAGAGGTCTCTTTTTTTCTCCCTTGTATTACTTTTAAATTATGATGCGAGTAACCTTGACTAAGATTGAATGCGTTTCTAGTAAATTATTAATCGTTGTTTATTAGCAGTTTTTGATCAAAATGGATTTTTTATAAACAGTTGCAGTGTCTCCCGTAGAAATTCTGAAGGACAATAAGCTGTCTGAAGCCAAGGATACTGGTACCGGTGCTGAGGAAGTGAGTCCATCAACAACTTGTAGCAAAGTTGACTCTGCTACGAATTGTGAAGTTCAAAAGGCTGGGGAATCTCATGAAGTTGAGGATCCTATACTTAATTCCTTGCACATGTCTGGCAATGCAAGAGCTGAATTGGCAAAGAAAGACATGAATCAAGAGCCGCCTATTGAAAACCAGAGCAGAGATGCAGATGTATCTTTTCCTCGGACTGGCCAGCGTATTAATAATAATGATGATAACCTGAACGAGGGAACTTCTGTCCCTCAGAAGGGTGATCAGAGGCCAAGCTTGATGGAAAAAAATAACACTGCTTGTACTTATGAGGTAATTATGCTTGTAATATTTTATTCTGGTGGCTCATTCCTTTTGACACTTTAGAAGAGACCGGGTGGTAATTGAAATGATGGCATCTTGTTTAAAATATCTTTTTCATATCTTTTTAGCCTGTTATAATTTTGTGATGATGCCTTTATTTGCAGTGGAATGATGCGATAGATGGCTTGCAGGGAGGAACATCAAATCCTGAAAGTAGATTTCATTTCCCTAGCCCAAAGAGGAGGAAACTTTCTCCATTGAAGAAGTATGAACCAGCTAACATTACAAGAAGGAGAAAACCAAAAAAATGGAGTGTGTTGGAAGAGCAAACATTACGGACTGCTGTGGACAAGTATGTGCTTCTTCTAAACTAGTGAAATCATAATTTTAATTGTGGATTTCAATGATACGAAGTTCTGCTATATTTTCGATGATACACGTATGTGCTTATCTCCTGTTTTACTGCTGCAAGTGTTATGAGTTACTCGCCAAAACTGTGATACCCTTTCTACTATTTCATTTGAGAATATGGGCGGTGGATCGTAAGATTCTCTTTCCCACTGCTGGGGAAGGAACATTTGATTAATTAAAATTTACAATCTTGGAGTTAATATTCTTTTAGGCAATTGTTATTTTTCTATAATAAAAACGTAGGAAATATGGAACCGAAAGAACCACTACTTATGAAGGCCCCTACCCTCTACCCCTCACCTGCTCGAATCATCTTCTGCCTCCCATGTCACCACCTCAAACTGCATTGCAAAACTTATCTAGCTCTGTTCTCAGAACAACAACTGCAAGCACAGATATTCAGAATCAGGACAAGGTTCACCACCATTAACAACATATCAATTATGCAAAGAATAACCATCCCAATAATAAACCACTCCAAAATCTATTTATTTCCAGGAAAATGAAAATAAAGTCGGAGAAATAAAACCTACAGAAAAATTGCTGGCTATTTTGGGTCAAACAAAGCTACATTAAAATGCATAGATCTCAAATGAAATTATGAAAGAGCAGAAAGATTTTTGAAACTCTACTGGCTGTCTGTAAAACACAGCAAATCCTTAGTTATTGAAGTCTTGGTGATGAGAGGAATCTCTCCATCTGGCTGCAGACCCTTGCAATTCAAACCTCTAGTACTTTTTCTCCTTAAAGAAGTACTTTTGATGCAAAGGCATCAAAATCAACCTAGCAATGCTGATTTGCTAGGCTCTCTGTCCACTTGTTGAACAAGAAACTGCGAGTGGCAACCAATACACACTGTCACAACAAACTCAACTCAAATCAAATGTCTGTTGGATTTCTTTGGCTATGCACAATATGTCTTGCGTTCATTGAGCACAACATGCAATTTCTAAACATCATTTTTGCTGTTGACAATGGAGAATCTGCCATAGCCAAGCATGGACTGTGAGGGGGCATGATAGATCATAACATTGGTAGAGGGAAGATTGTTATTTTTCCTGAAATCTCATCCATTCATTTTTAAGGATACCGTATCAACCACTATAATTAGATGGACTACTGATGGGGAAGAGATTCCCTAGTCCTTATTCCATAAATAAACCTGAGAATATAAATAGATTAATTACAGTTTCAATACAATTTCTTAATGTCTTTAAACTTCTTTTTTGTGCAGATTTGGCAAGGGAAATTGGAAACTCATCCTAAATTCTCACAAAGATATATTTGAAGATAGAACCGAAGTAAGCATACTATAATATTGTTGATGTTTTCTTTTTGAACTTATACTTTTGATATTGATCAAATTAATTTTCTTAGGTTGATTTGAAGGATAAGTGGAGAAACATGATGCGCTATGGATGCAAATGAATCATTCAACCTGCATACCTTTTGAATATTTTGAAGAGGTATTTCTTTACCTTTTTGTGGCTCAAGATTATTGACACTGTTAAACTATGAATTGTAGAGGTTATTTATGATTAAAAATAAATGGAATTATTACTAGAAAGTGATAAGATCATGGAAAAGTAATTGATAGTATTATAAGTCTATTAGCTTTGGTAAAAGACATTGTAGGTTATAAACATTTGGAAGATTTTGGTATTCAAGCCTACTCAAAGAGCATATAATTATGCTTTTGCTTCCTTGCTGTATTGAACTTGTAATATGGGAATCACTTGCGTCGTAATTACTTAAAAATTCATCTAATTGTTTTTTAACGTGTGAAAGGATTAGGTAAATGTTTTAGTTTTTTTTTTTTTTTTTAAACTTTTGGCTTGGAAAAGAAATTCAAATTGGCCCTCAATATGGGCCTTGCGAACTAAGGAATGGAAATAAGAACCTTGTATGTTGCTCCACTTTGGGCCTAGGAGACTTACTGCATGATCTGACAGCTCAGGTCCTGTCATAGCAATTCAACAAGAACTGTTATCACAGCTTCTCACTTTGCTTCATTTGCAGTCACCCCAACCACACAGCCTCACCTCCTAGTAGCGACCATTGGCAGCACAAGGGGAAAGAACAAAGGTGTTGGAGTCCAACACCTCTAACATGGTATTGGAGTATTTAAGATTCTACTGAGAAAGTTTTCACACAAGATTATGTATAAAAATCCAATTAAGCCTAATCTCATCTTCTAAGGCATAAGTTATCTGCTACTTTAATATGTAAGCAGGGATTGATGGATAAGCTTATAAAATCAAGTGTTTCTACCAGAAAAATAGATTACATTACAACTTGTCCCTTGTGAAAGTCTTCATAGTAAAAAAGTGTTTGTATAACATACATTAAAATTTAGAATTAAATTCTGTGCATTGTAATCATAATAATATAAAGTTTAAAATTAAATTCCGTACATTCCCTTATAAGAATCTCGTCAAAGAAATTCTGTTCTTTGAAATGAAAAAAATGCTTGGTATAGTTTTAGCTGTGCAGTAAAAGATAGAGAGAAATTAATATGCATTGTATTATTCAACTCAGTTTCTTTATATGAACAAATGAATTACATATTGGTAGAGAGGCTACTACAAACAAGAGGGAGAAAACAAAAGTTAGTTACCGATTGACATAATGGAACACAGCTACTACTGACTGAAAAAAAAAGAAGCTAATTCCTGTAACTGCGATTCCCCCGCGCCCCCCTAACTGAATGCAACATTTCAAGCTTGGAGATCAAGTGCTGAAAAGGACATGGGGTGAATGGTTTGGTGAGTAAGACTGCAACTTGTAAGAGCAAGGAAATATCCATGAGAGGTAGCATCCTGGATTGAATATTATCTCTGATGAAGGGATAGTTTATCTGTGTTTAGTCCTTTCTTATAAAATAGGATCAGCTATAATGTGGAGGGCTAATTGATTATCATAAAATAAAGAAATGAATAGGACTTGAGACAGATGTGCTTCGTAGGCAACTTGAGCCATAGCCTTGTATTCAGCCTCTGAAGAAGAATGAGACACTAAAATTGCTTTTACTCTTCCAAGAGATTAAGGAATCTCTCAAAAAGAAGCAAAGCCAGTAAAAAACCTACTGTGTGAGTGAGTGCTCCCTAGTCCAACTGATTGAAATCATGAAATTTATGTTTTGATTAAGCTGAAAAGAAGAGACCCTTTCAAGGTGACCCCTTGATATGCCTCAAATTTCATAGAGTAGCCTGATGATATACCACTGTAGGATAATCTAGAATTTCACTCAATTGACTGACAGCATAAGAGATGTTGGGCCTATTATTAGTGAGGTAACATGAATGCCCTTACTTTCTGTTTGGCTAAGTGATAAATCTCACATGGTTTTCTACTTCTCTAAAAAGGGATACATCACACAACTTTTGCAATAGTCAGAAATTGGTTGTTCAATTCAGTTGATAATCTAGTTGGTTATTTGTTGTGACGTGCTTGACTAGCTAGTCAAAGTGTTTAGGTTAATTGTCTTCTATGATGTGTTTGACTGCAGTAGTTACCTTATTAACTATCCAATGGCTGCTGGTTATATGCTTGTATTTGAAATTCTTCCCTCCTTTGTTCTCTGTATTGTGTGGTATATATGTGCTATCATATTAGGTTCTTCCATAGCTTTGGAGGACCTCATGACTACTTAGAGATGTAGCTCGATCGTCACAAGGAATTGGAAACGGGCATTTTGGGAAATTCTATATTGCCAAAAGAATGGATGTTCAGACCCGCCAATCATCAAAGTTTTTTTGTTTTTGGGGGTGGGGGAGTGGGGGGTGGGGTGAGACTATGGTTGGCAGACACCTATTAATATCAACAGTGTCCCATAATAATTTCCCCTAATGGAACCGAAGTAGAAGAGAAAGCTGCAATGAAGTTATTGAAGAAGACTATGAGCAGAGCTGAAGCCAGGTGAATATTAAAACAAGACCACCAAGAGAACCATAGTACTAAGGCTACTTAGGGGTTCTCTCTCTTGATGTTTGGATGATATTTGGGTTTCAGGTTTAGTTTAAAGGGCGTATTATATCAAGACATGATGTACCCTTTTTCCTACCATGTAAATCAAGTATATGGCTATTTAGTACGCATGTAGCATGCTTTATTGAGTATTTATGCATATGGTCACGGATGAAATGGTTTATAAATGTTAGAGCTCAACTTTTGGGGAAAAAAAAACTCGTGTTTTCCTCGATAGCATGCAAACATCTCTTTTAAAATATCATCAAAGGTGAGTGAAAACGAGGTGCCACGATTTTATTAAGACGTATGTAAATAAATGGACACTGAAAGAAAAAACAAATTAATGCAGTTAACTTTGCACAGGTCATGAGGAAATGAGGAAGGATTCACAAGTAGCAATTGCTTGGGAAAGGCGTGCCATGTTTATTTCGTCATTTTCGTGACAGCAGTAATTCTCATTCAAACGTGGATAAAGGTATGAACTGTTGCACGGTGCTCAAAGGCTAACCTCTGAAAGAATATAACAACCAACGTGCAAGTTGTATAAAACGGTGCAGTGCTTAAAACCATAAGAGCTATAGTGGTACAAAAAAAAACAAGACCAAATCTCCAAATATAGAATACAGGAAAAACTCAAGAAATATTCAATTTTCTATTTTCCATTTTGGAATTGGTTTATTTTGAGGTTAATAAAGTTTTAATCAAAAGATTTCTGGGAGAAGCTTTGATATAAAACTGATTATTTCCTCAAAATAATCCTTTCCAAACATGCTATGAAGGATGAAGGGTATAAATTATTTGCAAATGGTGAATTTGCAAGTGACATTTCCAGCACCAGAATTGGCTCTCTTGAAGCGTAGAGCAGTAAGCAGGACACTCCTGGTTGAGCCCATTAAAGCCGAATTCATATGTTCGACTACCCCAAGTGGATGGTAAGAGAACTGAAGGCTGTTATAGGAGTTAAGAAGTGCAGTGACCCCTTCTCTCAGAAGAGTCCTGTAAGGGTCTCCTCTCCCTTGCAACGCATTCCACAGAGTAATGTCTGTTCCGTATCTTCTTGCTGCAACCATTCCGAATGCTACTGCTACTTTTGTGTCCCGATTCACACCTCTCCAATAACATTTGTATTCTGGCACTGTCCACTTCCTGACAATTTATGAAAGTCCTCATTTTGTGCAAGGAAGCATTGAACTGAATTAAGCTAATAACAAATAAACGATATAACTTTCTGATGAACGAAATCAATATTCTGTCCGTTTACAATTACTTTTCAATGAAAGAAAGCAGAGAACATGTACAGCGTTGATATTAAACATTGTCATAGATCTCATAAATCCTTTGCCAATTCAAATGCCTGATTACTCCTTTCTATTTTAAAAAATTAAATATAACTTATTATTAAAATTTAATTCTAATTTTAATTAATAATCAGTACTAACAGCATCAACGAAACAAAGTATAAAGTTCAATTTTCCCTTTGTTAAGTTCTCTGGTGCAACAACTATGTAAGTGGGATAGTGGAACTGCTGCACTGATTTCTTGTCAAACACATGCATTCGCAGCCTATAAGGTGATAAGGGTTGCTTTCGGTGGTCCTACATGTATGCACACGTAATATATATATATATATACACACACACGCACACACAAACAGAGCAATTTAAATGGGCAAGTATGCAGGGGGTCCAATTGGTTTCGAGTTTGAGCAACTATCAGAGAATTTAGCCATGTTCCACTACCTAAACTGAGTATTACCCTTGGTTTTGTTCATTAGTTACTCGGTTATAAACACTTACTCTGATGGACACGCCGAAGCTTCTGCAAAAATCACTGGCGGTAAGGGTGGCAGTGACGGCAATGGTGGCAACGGTGGAAGTCCTGGCACTGGGGGTATCTTAAACTGTGGGGGAGACTTGGGTGGTGGGTTGGAAGATGTTGAACAGTACTGCATGGGTTGGGGAGGCTGAGCAATGAGAGAATCCACCGTATACATTTCCATGTCAAACATCCTAAACATTAGTCTTGGATTTTGTGAAGGACCAGCACCTTCCCCACAACCCATTGACCCTTGCCCGCTCCCTGTCACACGGGCAGAACAACTACTCAAATCTGGTGCTCCATCAAACCTCATTGTATAGCTTCCAAACCAATTAGTTGTTTCCTCTCTTGACATTATGATTTTCCCATTACTGTCAGCACAGGACAGAGTTACTTTTGCACCTGTACCAAGCAAGAGGGTGCAAGTCAATAATGATTTATAACTTTGCTCACAAATAAATAAATAGATAGATAGATGGATGGATGGTGACCAAACAGTGTATTTAATTTATTGAACATCTTGATGGCCAGTTGGCCACCTGTATCCTGTTTAAACTTCATTTATTGAAAGAATAACATAGGTATGATAAATATCACTTGTCCCTACCCTTTTCTATCTCACTTCACATACTTTAGACAGAGAAATATTTGTCAGTGGGTAGGGGAGCACTGCACTTATTGAAACAAGAAGCTTTTAAATAAGTATTTATACAAGAAAAATTAATATAAAAAACAAATTTTCTTTTGATAAATTAAAAATATTTCTTATGACCAAAGTTGATTTTAACTACGGTAAAAAATGTCAAGACATTTCTCAGAACATAGTTGAAAAAGAATAACTCGTCACTTGAGCATAGAATGTTTTGTACGAGAGAAGTACTTTAGTTCTAAGTTAAATCCATGAACAGGAACAAAAATGTTGAAGGATTTGGCTCTCACCATTAACAGGATAATCGAAAAGGGATCTCTGCCCGTCTTTGCATTGGTCACAGAAGACGGTCCCAGTGACCATAGTGTCTGCCCGCGTTTCATCAATGGCCACTGAAAGAACAAGAAATGCTGCAAAGAACAGCTTCTCATGCAAGTCCATGAATTCTGGAAGCCCACTAAGCAAAATCAAAGAAGAAGGAAATGGATTGGTGAGATCCGAATCTGGTGATGAACACTTATATAGTTGAATGGTAGAGTGAAAGAATGAATGAGCACTAAATAGATGCACATTTCTAACCCTCAACTGCCCTGCTTTTAATGCTGTGCGAAAAATCAATTTTTTTCAAATGGGAATGAAACAATGAAAGCAGTACGGTGTTCATTAATGCTAGTATAGAACGGTGTAGAAATGCCATACATTTGGATTGTGGATCCATTCCATCATTCTTATGCTAATATGTCCGCAATAATTCACCATTCCTATGACTTCGTGAAGGGTTTCACCATATAAAATTATATTTTATCAGAAGCAAAAATCTCAACATTGTTAACAGTTCACTGTAATAAAAAAAAATATGGTGAGTTTATGGAGAAAATTTGTTTTTAAGAACCCTTTTTTGGTCTATTAAATTATTCCAGCAGTTTGAAATGAAACGATCTACCTTGCTCATCTGTCGTAATTTGAATTTACTACACGCGTTCATGGATTATGAAAACAATTCATTCTGTAAGTACTATGAAGTGTTTTACAATTTGTTTTTTAGGGGTATAACTTTTACAGAGTTTTGATACTGTGCTATTATATAACGTGCTTCAAGTTTGTAAAATTATTACTTGGAATATGAAGTTGAAAATATAACATTGCTATACTTTTACAAGTTCTAAATATTCTCAAAAATATTCTCAAATGCATAGTTAATTTTTATAAGCGAGTTATTTTCATATTTTGTTTTGCTTTCATTCTCATTTTTCATAAAAGTCTCGTAAAAATATTGAAACTTACCATATATTCTAAGTAGAAGCTTTTATTTTTCTATTATTATTTAAAATTTGAAAATATATTTTAGTTTACCTACAGGTTACAATATTTGTGAAATATTGTTCTTAGAAATATGTTTTTTATAATATAATTACATGCTCAGAAACAATGTTTCCATACATTAAACGAGTACGACAACAACATACATTGATAAACTTATTTAACAAAATTGTTAAAAGTAAACTCATGAAATTGACGAAGGAAATATAAATGTGCAAATAATGTATAATGAATGCACAAATCTTCCCTTGGGTTCACCACAAATTTCTACATCATTATCTTGAAAAAATTAAAAGAAAAAAAAAACAAGAATTTAAAAAAAAGAAGAAGATCGGTCTAGCTGTTTCTTTGAGAGCGGCATTGGTTTATGTACTAAAAATTGACTTAACAGCAAAAGAAGTGGAGAACAGGATACCATATTTCATTCCATTTATTGCCCCGCACATTCTGATCATGCCCATACAAATTAACAATGCAAGTTGACAAAAACAGTGATGCATAGTTAGAATTAAGAGACTAATGCGTTACAATGAAACGTTGAAATGAGACGTGGGTTGTTCTATAGCCTGATGGTGCCATGGCAGTGATGTGTATTAGTGAGCCGTCAAGGTAGCCAGCAACATTAATGAAAAATGATCCCCCAAGTGTCAGATAAATAAGCTTCTTGTGTGAATTGTATCTGCTTCATATTTCAGAAAATTTTCTCCTTTCCAACCACATATCACATGGTCAACGCCAGGATTTATTAGTTCCACACTACGTGTATTCTGCTGAAGAAAGCAGGATGAAGATTATGTGATGGATTATTTGTTGTTGTTTTAAAAAAATAAAAAATGATATTAGTGTGTGTGGAATCAGGAGTCAGTATTTTGCTTGACAACTATTTAGTTCACACTAAAACTAAAGAGAATCCTGTGTGTGTGATACAAGTGACAACTTGCAAAAATAATTATGGGTACCATCTGTTCCTTAAATGCAACACTAAGGGATATACTTAAATTGTTTTAACCGTGGAAATTACTATTAGATATTAATTCAATGTTCACCGACCAATAGAAGCTTTTACGTCTACACATAATAAATAAATGTGATTATGGTCACATATGGCCACAAACAGTCACAAAGCTACCAAAATTGTATATTGAGAGTTTGTGTGTAGTGCTCAAAAACAGAAGATATAACAAAACTAAAGGAGACAACAAAAAGATTTGGTATCCAATGTTGCTATCCTATCCTCAATCTGCAGGTACAGAAGTAATTCACAGCTCTTCTGTTTTCTTCAGAAGGCCCATTTACAATTTTTTCAGCACTGCCTAGGAAAGTAAACAAGTTAACACTGTCAAAATCAGGAAATCTATGTCAATGTCATCACTGGATTGGAAAGTAAACAACAGTGTTGAAACTGGGTATTCTGCGTACACTAAATCAAACAGAATCACCACCGCTTGCATAAAACTAGGATAGGATCTACCCAAGAGTCAAATAGACTTCAAGGGTTAGTAAAGAGTAAGATAGGATCTTGTGTATGATTCATTGTAAGATTGAGTTTCCACTTCTCGAAATAAATGAGCATTTTATGTAAGTACATTTTGAGCCGAAAATTTTACAATCTAATTCTAATGAAATGCATGATTTTCTCTTTAGAAGCACAGTTTTGAAGAGTGAAGGCCTTGATGTAGACGTAGAGTGTTATTGTTAGCATAATTTATACGACTAATTCAAAATTATTGGAGATAACTATTTCTCAAAACAGCAAAACTTCATTTTTTGTTCTGTATTGATGTATCATGAAGTCGCTTTATTCAAATGGAAAGCATTGGAATCATTACCTGACAAACAATTACAAAGGAACTTTGTTTTTGGGTCAACATACAACCTGAGTTGGAAAAGCTGCATTTACAGCCCAGCCCAAACTCCTCAGGATCAATCAAATAGATGTTCACAATCGTTGAAAAACAAAACATTACATTCACCGAGGCTCAAAAGTTAAATTAACAGCATGACAAAATAAGTAGTAAAAGAGTATATTAATTAAAGAATGGTTTAGGGTTTTTGGTCAGCATTCTCCTTGTTAAAATATCAGACGAAAGTAGTGTGTTGGGCTCCCATGTTAAGAAAGTTAGGAGCACTAGCCACGTCGCTTTCTATGTTATATTTTTAATTACAAGTATAGGAAAATTGTTAAATCTATTTTTTATATATAAACAAGTAACTGATGGATTAGTAAATCGAATATGTTAGCTGAACGTTTTTCGTATATTTAATGTTTTTTAGAGTTTTGTATTGATTTTGTTTTGAAATTTGTTATTAGTCATGTAATTAATTTTATTAACACTAAAATCGATAAAAGAAATTGTCTAATAACAACAACAAAAAATAATATTCTTAAAGAATAATCTTTGAAAACTAAAATAATGAATTGAATTTGATTTTTTGTATGTGTTTAATTTTTTATAATTGTTGAAAACAAATTAATAAAGCATACTACAGAACTGTGGTGATTATTGCATGACTTCTACCCAATACTAAACAAAATAGATCTATCAGAATGCTCAACTTTTCTGTGTAAATGGCCAGATGCCTACCATAATCGTTCCAAAAGCTGAGGAAAATGAGAATTTTGTTTAAGTTAAAACTAAGGTTACATTTGACCAGGTTTGTTTTTAAAGTATATTTAATCTTAAAGTTTTGTTTAAAAAAAATAACAACAAAATTATTTTTTAGAATAAACACAAATTAAACCAGCAATCTATTTTTATTTATTTTTGGATAGGTACAATCTGTTTTTTTAATCAAAATAAATATTTTTCAGCAAAAGGAGAATTAATATCGATTCACAAACAAGATAATCGTAAAACAATTAATAAGTTTTCATTAGTACTAACTTAAATTGATTCCCTTTGTTTTTTCACAATTGCCTCAGCAATAATCTTCTTTTAATATTTTTTTATTATCACAAGGGGTTCTTACAATTTTATTTTTAAAATTAAATATCCTGATATTTTGATTTATCAAATAAAAAACAAACTTTACTTTGAGATTATGTAAATCTATTGAAAAGAAGCCTGCATATATACAAAAGAATTGAAAAGGAGGGAAATAATCCTAAGTTTATTGAAGGTAGCATAAATTTATGATCAAAAGATATTGATTGAGAGAGACATAATAGCATCCCTTCCATCATCACCTTAACAACTAAACTTGCAATCAAAGCAAAATAAATAAAGAAAGAAGGAAAAGCATTGTCTAGGAGATTTGACCGCAGTCAGCGACGACCACGGGCTTGGAGGTCTTGCCGGAGCCGGAACCCACCTTCTCGATCTCCTTCAGCACATCTATGCCGTCCACCACCTCACCGAAAACCACGTGCTTCCCATCAAGCCACTCCGTCTTCACAGTGCATATGAAGAACTGAGATCCGTTCGTTCCGGGACCCGCATTCGCCATTGACAGCACCCCAGGACCCGTGTGCTTCTTTATGAAGTTCTCGTCGGCGAACTTGGACCCGTAGATGGACTCGCCGCCAGTGCCGTTTCCGGCGGTGAAGTCGCCGCCCTGGCACATGAAGTTGGGGATGACGCGGTGGAATGCGGAGCCCTTGTAGTGAAGGGGCTTGCCGCTGCGACCGACCCCCTTCTCGCCGGTGCAGAGAGCTCGGAAGTTCTCAGCGGTCCTTGGGGTTGTGTCGGCGAAGAGTTCCATGACTATGCGACCCGCAGGTTGGCCTCCGATGGTCATGTCGAAGAAAACCCTAGGGTTTGACATTGTTGCAGCGTAGCAGAGAAGAGGGAGATCGAACCAAACGAGTTTCTGAGTTTTACAGTAAGCGATTGAGATGCCATGAATAAATAGGAGTATGGCGGTTCCATTGGGGCACGTGGCGCGTTGTGAGAAGGTTAAGTAACTATTGTTAAGTTTGGATTTGACTTGGAAAGTATCCAATCCAATTCCAATTTTGAAAAATAATATTTTTACCTTAACTATAAAAGATAATTACTCATTTTTAAATATATTAATTATTGATTTTATAATTTTATAATTGAATATATTTATTTATTAATCTTAATGATTTAATTATTTATTACTATAAAAAAGACAAAAGCAATTATTTATTAATTCTCATGTATTTTTATATTATAAATTTTATGATTTAGAATATTTAAAAAATTCATTTTCATTAAAATTTACATTTCATGTAGTTTATATAACTTTATTTATTTTAAATATATTATTAATCAAATTTAATTATTTTAGTTTAAAATTGTTTTAAATTTCAATATAGTATATAAATTTAAAACATTTTTTAAATGAAATATATATTAAATTTATTATAATCTTAGTCAACCAACATTTCAGTTTGTTTCATTATTTTTATACTTTAACACGTTATATTTATAAAAAAAAAAAAAGTTTTAATTTAAATAATCTGATTTTTTTAATCATGAAGTATGTAAAGTGAGAATGTAAAAATGTATCTATCATTAATTTAAATTAAATTATATATAAAAATAAGTTTTCACTTGATAACTAAATTCTTTTTTTTTTATACTTGATAATCTTTTCATGACATAGAAGTTATATCTTAATTTTAATCGTTATATATATATATATATATATATATATTATATTTAATAAAATACAAATATTACAATCAATAATAAATTTTATTATTTTCTTTATAAGTTGTATTCATACATAAAAATATCTGTATCGATCTGTCCAAGACCGTGAGCGTGTAAGTATAAAGGTAAGGGAAAAGCATGGCATGCATGGATTGCGCGAGGGGTTTTTACTTTTTTTATTTGATTGATGGTGCACTATGCACCTACTGTGCATGCATAAAACTATATAAATCTACACAATGATTAATTTTTTGAAAGACATCGAAATGAACCATAAATAAAATATGCTAATTAACACGTTAATGTCGAAAAAAAATCATTTTTTAGAGGTTAAAAAACTACTCTCATCTCACTTTCATTGGATATACGTGAATTTTATTTTTAAAATTAAGTATTCGTTTTGATTTAAAATAAAATAAAATCAATTCTAAAATATCAAATACGTGTATTTTAAATTGATAATTAAGATTTAAATAAATAAACCTTAATTATTTACGAACTGAGTTTATTCGTAAAAAATATTAATTTATTAAAATTTTATGATCAGGTCAATATATATCAGTATCCAAGTGTTGCAAACCAATTATAGAACCTTGTTCAAAGAGTATAATGTATTAACTATCCGTTCTCCGGTTGGACAATAAAGATAGAAAAAAGACAACTACTTATTCTTAAAAACTAGTATTCTTAAGACTAAAAAGTTGGATGAAGAGAAAAAAAACTCTCTATTCGTTTTTGATTTTTTTTTAGCTAAATTTTTAATTAAAATGAGATTTTAACTAAACATCTTTTGAGATTTTAAAAAGATTTGTTCTTTAAAAAGTACAGTATGATAAAGGTTATAAACTGTGTTTGAAAAAATTATTATCTATAATTGACCTTATGGTAAAATCAATCAAAACTGTATATATTTGTGAAAAATACTGTATGTTTCAATTAGTTCTTCCATAAATTACAAATATATACATGTATGTGTGAGAAAGAGACAAATAAAATAATTAATTTACTTAAAAATTGAGATAAAGTTAAATGAGCGTGAAGGAATTAGTAAAATTTAGGTCGACTGCTAATTAATAGGCTGAGCAATTGTTAGCCCAACTCAGTATTAAACCTTATATACGCATGTTTAGGTTTATTCAAGTTAATTTATTAATCTGTGTTTGTTTGCTTTAAAGGTAAATAAAATTAATTTGAAGTTATTAATGGTGCTAAAAGAAACAAGCTTTATGCCCTGAGGCTTTCTGTTGCTTTTTGCAATAAATAATATCATCTGGAATGGCCATGGGAGCAAATTTGTATAATTGGTGTTCACACTTCATTCACAGAGCCTGCATCAATAAATTATTATTATTATTTTAATAGTATAAATACTTATGTATATATTATTTTTTTTCAAACACAGGTGCCCAAAAGGATGCTGGGGAGAATTATTTTCAAGAAAAAGAACATTTTTTTTTCATATTTCAAAAGATTACAAAATAAATTATATCTTATCAAAACAAAATAAATAAATAAATCATTATTCTTAATTAAGTGCTTTTAGTTTAACTCCAAGGATTGTTACCATATGGTATAAAATTCTATTAAGTTCACATGTATTGGATTAATTAGATTATGTGTTGGAATTTTATCGTTTGTGCTAATTAATTATAAATATAATTAATTTTTTTAAAAAAATTTATGTTTCTACTTTTAAAAAGATGGTAAGAGTAGATTTCTTATTTTATTTTATAAAAAAATTGAAATAAAACATTAATTAAAAATATTACGAATTGTTTTTATAAAATAAAAATATAAATACCAAGGCTTACCCTAATAAAGTCTATCAGATGGTAGATATCATATAAAAATAGAAAAAACAATGTTTAGTTAGCTTCCACGTCATTTCAGATCTTTTAAGAGACTTCAAGAGTTTGGCTACCAATACAATCACTCGACACGGACTGAAAATAGTTTTGAGTTAGAAGTTAAACACTGCAAATGATTTGGACAAAAAAAAAACTACTATAAATGATTCGATTAATTTTCAGTGATGTTTTGGGTGGGCTTTGATTCAACTCCATTGTATATAGTATTATTAAAATTTGGGGTTTTTATTTTAAAATTCATAAAAGTTATAAGCTTATTATAACTGGAATTGACGCTTTTCGTGATATGATAATATATTTTTTTATTGATAAACAAATTAAAATATAATTTTTTTGGTAAGACATTCCATAGCTTTATTTTAACTTCTACAATTTTATGACTGAATTATACGTGATATTTTAAAAATTATATTTATTTGAATATTTAAAAATCTTCTTTGTTGCAAATAAATATCATTTTTTACAATAAAGATTTTTGGTGTTTTTCAATAAGTGTAGAGTCTCAATCTCTAAAGAAAAATTCACCGTAAGGTCCAAAAAGCATATATATAACTTAAATTAGCAGAGAAATTAATCTTCACTCGTAAATATCAATTCATCCCATTCAACTTAATCAACGAACTTCAAAACATTGTCAAAATTACATCGCTTTATCATATTTTCTTCTCTAGGTACTTTCACTCTGCATGCTCTTCTGATAATCTATCCACTGACATGGATTTTATTTGGAAATAATCAATCTCAACCTCCTTACTAACACAAAAGCAAAAAGCAGTAAGAAAATCAAACATGGACGTATCTTAATATGTTACTCCAAGTGCAATGATATTCTATGAATGAGAGGGAGATAGTGGAGGCCAGCCTCCGAACCATGGATGTTGGTAAAAGTAGTTTGGAGGGTCCATCTTGGGAAGAGGTGGACATGGCTTCTTCTTGAATGGATGAAACTTTGGGAAAGGAGGAAAGAAATTAAAAAATGGTGGCATAGTAGTAGGAGGGGGCTCAGAAATGGGAGTGGGAGGAGGAAGTGGCTTGTAAATGGGAGTGGAAGGTGGCTTGTAAGTGGGAGTGGGAGTAGAAGGTGTCTTATCCTTTGGTGGGCATGGTTTCTTCACAATTGGAGATGAAGTAGGAGGTTTCTTAACTGGTGATGATGGTGGTTTCTTATACACTGGTACCGGTGGAGGTTGAGGATCCTTATAGACTGGCACAGGGGAAGGGTAACCTTTATCTTTAGGAGGGAAAGGGAAATGTGGGTGTTTTAAGAAAGGCCAAAAGAATGCTGAAGGACACAAAGATGATGAGAAGCTGAGTTTCCCAGCAGCTGGCCCAAGGGTGTGCTTGTCATCAGATATTGACTTTGATACAATTTTGGAGTAGTCAAGACCACCGTGGGAAGGGCAAGGTGCAGATGATGCACTGTGCAACTGGGCGTAGCATTCTTGCTTTAGTACACCACTTTCTACAATCTCTTGTGGAAGGGATACTTTAAATCTTCCATTTTCATCAAGCTCACTGGCACCTTTCATTTTGAAGTGTCCATTTGGTGACCTGCAATTTACTGTTACATGTAGCCCTACAGAGAAGTGACGCACAAGATTATGATAGAGTAGAATTTGGCTTCTAGCTCCAATTAAAAACCAATTTTTTATATTATTACATTAACCATTTTGTACATAGTCTACATGTTTAATTTGTAAATGTAGTAGTCCAAAAGCTAAAAGAAACCCATGAATCTCAAATTTCCAATTCTCACAATACATTTTTTTCCCATTTTTATCCTACACTTTTATATTCTCTCTTTCTGTCTTTCTTATTATTCTAAAACGTTTTAGGAGAATATTATGTGAAAATAACTGGGACTAGTAATTTGGTTGTGCACGTCTATCCATGTGTGGTTAAAAATAAGTAACATGTATTCATGTACTACTACGATGCAGTTACCTGAGAAAGCGTGGCTAGTCTTAATATTGTTAATCTTGCAGTCTGCGCATTCTCCTAGTCCAACAACCTCGACTGTCTTGTGGTTTCCATAGCTGAAGCCTGTTCCCACCAAAAACACAGACAATAAACAGAAGCACAAAAGTGCTCCTTGTTGCTCGATGAAAATTTGCATTAAGAATTGCAATTACGGTTCTCAATGGAAGAACAGGAGAGAAAAGAATAAGGCAGATTTGGAGAAGAGAGATGAAGGGTAGATGCAGATTGAGATTCACAAGCTTAATTTATAACAATCATATGGTTTCTGAAATGGATGGCTTACCGACTCTGAAATTAAGCACGTCACGTAGTCACGTGGAGCTAGAGAGTAGAGACCCTTATGTGACTTGGATGCTTAAAGAGAAATGATATTAACGTGCAAACAAGCAGTGAATGGCTTTATCTACCATTGAATGCATCAGCCTTCAACCGCATGCTAAATGGATCTTTATGTGCTATATATCTGTCTCAACCTACCAAGCAGCTATACTTAAAGACTTCTGTATAACTTTATTGTTCATCTGGCTATGTTACTACTACACTGGGGAAGAACGCAAGTAATGCACTTCTGACACACTTTTTTCTATTATTGGTTAAAATTTACGTGAATCTTACTAAACAAGGTTGCAACTCTATATTGGAACGATTTAGATATTTTGCTGCTGATCAACGTGTTAATTACAAATCAAATAATAAGCGGTTTGTATCTTTTGACCATGTGGCTTTACGTTTGTTCTTCTAAGATTCATGTGGATAAAAAAGGAAAGTTGTTAGAAGAATCTCTATGAAATTAGTCTCTCATCTACAAAAATGAGACCATACTTTTGAAAAATGAGAACAAAGGTAGATGCTAGTATAAGCATTTCTGTTCCATTGATTTTTACACTCAAAAGCATTAAGATTAATTAGCAACCCTATCTGAAGATGGTCACCAAGCTTCCCTTGAGTCACTGTCATACATCAACCAATTCAAATTTCTAGAAAATCACATCAAATTTGAGAATTAATCCGTCCTCACATGATCCCACAAGCATCTTTTATCCAAGCATGATGCCAGCAGACCTTAGTTATTCTCATTATTAATCTTTAATCTGTCAGTCTGAAATAACTAGCGCATGTGAAGCGCCAAATGGATTATTAATTGAAGAAAAACAGAAAGCGAGCGAAGTAAAATGTTTCCGAGTTTTATACATCAACACCAGAGCTAATAATGATTACTATTATTGAATACAGAGGCGAGTCAGGACTTTTACAGAGGTTACAAGTTGTAATGACTACCCCATATGCGATAAAGGAGTTGAAGTTGTTCGATTCTATTATTTGAACATTATAAATAATATTAGATATAATTGTTTTTTATTTTTTTTTATCTATTTTTCATTTTTGTATATTATCGTTAATTGCTACCATGATTTGGTATTTTATAATAGGATAAAATTAAAATACCGTATATTAAGTGTTTTTATATTATTTTTAATTAAAATTAAAGTTTTACTTTCAAAATCAGTACTAACTTTTAATATTAACGTTTAATATCTGTTGATTATTAAAATAAAACTTTAATTTTAATTTTGAAACACAAAAAAATTTAAGGTACCTTTAAGTTTTATTTAAAATAATAAGCGGGTGACATTTTCAATTTTCAACTTTCACGACAGCGATAAAAATAATGTTTATCTCTTTAATTGGACTCATCTGATACGGATACATTCAACAAAAATTTACAAACTGCTACAAATGTTGTGTTTAGTAATCGTTGTCGCTAATTCCCACGCACTTGTCTATACTGCGTGAAAATGATGTCGACATTTAACAATGTGCATCCCACCTCATTTTCGTAAGAAAGCAAACTAGAGTTAAAGGAGTGTTTGAAAAAACACGAATCTTATTTTGATTTATAAAATTAATTTATTCCTTATTTATATTTAGGTTTTTCTTTCATCTAGTTTAATCCAAATCTCGTGCATCTGAATATGGTAAGTTAAACAAGGAGTTCATATGATTACTTGTCATTACTTTTATCCAAAAATAAGCTATTACATGCCTATGAAACCTGGGAAGTATGTCAAATCCAGATAAAAATAACATAATCTAACAAAACTCTGCCGGTTCACAAAGTTGTATGCTAACTCAGATCACTGTTAGTTTTTTTTTTTTTTAGAAAAGATAAATTTCGTGCAAAGAATAATAAATATAAAATTGCTCTCATAAACTACAACAAAAGGCCAGGTCCTTTCAGCCTAATTTTTAGAACTACTTGCTCGTGGTCTCTTGCACGTTCCAACCTAGTCTGAGTTAACAGGATTCTGTGCTCTACGTAGTCTTGTGTAGCTGAACTAGAGAAGAATTATTTGTCTACTTCTTCTTCTTAGATTTGCTCGACAGAGACTGAGTATATGCAGTTCCCTGAATGTCAATTGCAGGGTGAGGAAACCAGTATTAGAAAACCAGTAATGTTATAGGTTACGTCAAGAATTAAGATATACACATTTCTGGCCAAAAGAAAGCAAAGAAGAAACAAAAGGAATGAGGAGGCACATCACAAACTTCAGAAACAGGACTGAAGGTCACCAATGCAATCAACAGAAGTGTCACAGATAATAAAACATTAGCCCATACCTCAAGCCATTCATCCATTGAGGCATCTGTAGTCCTAGTCCCAACTTCAACTTTTGGAGATCTTTTTGTTTTCTGAACAAATATTCACGTGCAGATATGAGAATTGTCAGAAGGATGAGGCAAGTGGTAAATGGCATTATTTTCATAAAATAGAAAACTATTTTATACCTTGGTTAGATGCTGTATTTGACCACGAATCCATAGCCCAAGGAGGACAAGAAGGGCGGCTCCAAGAGTAACAAGAAAAACAGATTCCATGCTTAGAAAAACACCAGCCTCGGCAACCTCAATAGTGCCATTGTAGAAAGTGTTTTGGTATGGATGGTGATCAATCTCATACACAATGGTGCCTACAAGATCAAAAGTCCCGGGCTGCACAGCAGAAGAAAATTGTTAGGCATGATGAACATAGAACAGCTTTCGGATGTCACTACTCATCAATAAATTTAAAGCATTTTCCTTGCAAAAAGAACCTAAAGATACCTGCAAGTACTTGCTGACAGCAAATATATACTGGAAAGTAGCCTGTGTTGAAACTGGCACAGACCTATTGTTGAAAACCTACAATTAAAACAGAACTGATGGGTAAAATCATGTAAAGTATTTGCTGAATCAGAATAACATCACTAACGTTGTACCACAGTAACACTAGTTAACTAATTCATTCACCAGAAGCGGCAAAAGCATGCAAAACCAACAAGCTAAGCATAAGTTGCTACATTTATTGGTTTATTGAATTCAATGCTCCCAAATGGACTTGGAAATCTATGTCATCAAAGGGTTAGGCATCAAACCTAACAAAATCACAGGCTACTATATATTATGAGAAATAGGGACTCTAAATGTAATGAAAAGGAAAGGGAAAACATCAAAAGAAACATCCTCATACCCATTTTAAGAGTGAAGGATTAGCAGATCTACAAGGTTCATATAAAAATATCCTAAACATCCTTTTCTCATGGATAGTGAATAAATAATGAATTGATCATCCCACACACATTCCTAGTTTCCCATGTTTATTTAGTTTTGTTCTGAGTTTATTACTTATCATTTATCTATTAGAAAAATATAAATCCACTTCCCTAAAACCTAATCTTCAAGAAACAATATCTTTGTAGGTATAAAGTATAATCTGCGTGAACTTTTAAAACCCCAAACAAAGCAAAAAAAAAATTCTGCCTATGTACAAATACAGATCATACTGACAACTACCACAAAGTATACTAGCAAAAGTATTTTGAGTTACTAAAATCATCTTGCTTTTAGAATTTCACATACAGAGAGAATTAGATTCTTGAGGTGCTTCTGGTGTGGAGCTTATTTAGAATATATAATAGAACTTATATTGATTACGGGGTAACAAGCATATATGTTTTTATCGGTGAAAGTAATATGATTACCATTATTGTTGAACATAGATAAATAGATCTAATTTAGACATTCAGTACCCAATTTTCACCTGAGCAGTAAGATTTTGAACAAGTAAACGATGATCAAACGGAAGGTGGACACTAGCTTTAACTGCAACAACATTCAAGCTCGACTCCCCTGTTTTAAATCCACATAATGAAGTTGATTAACAAATGAGTTTCGATATTGTTGAGAGTATAATATAACTGAATTGCAAACATAAATGGAAGCTGACTTTTACAAGTGTGTTATAAGACACAAATAAAGACAAAATAGCTGCACTGAGCCAAGCCACTTCAATTACCATCATTTTTCATGCCAACAAGCAGCTCTGTCTCTTCCCCAGCTGTTATCACTGCGTTCAACGAAAATCTAAAATTAACCCGCGATTGAAATAAAACAAAAGAATTCATTATAGACCATATTATATAGAGAAAGATCTTTACATCTTGCACTATTCTTCGGGAACACACAGATTGTCTCAATTCCCGGAGCAGAAGGGAAGTTCTCATCACCAAAATCTTGAACATCGTCACCAACAATGCCAATATCACTCACTTCTTCAACAGTCTCCACAGCCTCATCTGAGTCTGACTGACACCTAGCAACTACCCAACAAATAAAAAGTAACGAATTTCAACAAATGAAAGCAGATAATCGCAAATAAAAAAAAAGAACAAGATGAAGAGATCATGGGAGCATGGATAGTAGGCGAAGTAGAATAGTAAATTGAAAAAGGAGCATAAGTAAAAGGGGAAGTAGATCTAGACCTTGGAGTAGAGGTGAAGAGAGTAGGAAGAGAGCAAGGGAGAAAATCCAAAACTTGTTGCAGAGCGACATGAGGTCTTCTAGGGTTCTTGCTGTTGGAATGGAATTCAGAGTTTCCCAAATCCCAAAGAGAAAGAGAACCCTGTTACGTTTCTAATTCCTGTTCAATGCAAGCCGTTGATATAATTTTAATTAAATAAACGGTGTCGATCGATTTGGTTTAATCAGTAACACCGGTTACATTAAAAAGTTTTTAAATATTGCTAATCACCAATAAATCAGGCACTTTAGGTGGCCTTCGTTTCGTCGCATGTCATTATCTATTTGCGGCAATAATGTTTTTAAAATATTATTTTTGGATAAATTAAAAAAAATATGTTTAGATATAATTAAATATTTTTAGATTTTTTCAAAATTAAAATAATGAAAAAATAAGACTGAAAGTTACTAATTAAAATATGTGATATATTTTTTTTTATGAAATGTCATATATTTTCACTTTTAGTTGTATATAAGAATGAAAGTTAAACAAAATGTGAATATAACTCGTTTCTTAGAATAAATTGTATGATTTTTTAAAATATAATAAATAAAATTTTACACCAATTTGTCTTACTTCATACCAAAGATAAATTGTGAATTCACATCATTACTCATTAAACCATTTAATTATGTTAGTTTTTACAAATAAAAATTCACATCATTAGAGTTGCTAACAAATTTTAATATGGATTTAATATTCGAATTGGATTAAGAGTCACTTTATTTTAGTATACAGAGATTCGTTAGATACTAACCCTTTCTATCTTCAAAAACCAATGTGCATGTTAATGAGTCTCAACTTAAGCTACTTAATAGTATCCAGAACTTCTACACTAACATTTTTTAAAAGATTAACAAAATAATTATGAGAATAAAAATTTTACTTTTGAGTTATAATATCAACTCTTCAAATATGTATATCATATGAGGATAAAAGTATTACATAAAATAACATAAATATTGGCACTTATCGTTATAAAACTTATAATAAAATATTTCGATAATAAATTAAATTATTATTTTATTTTATTTTTAATAAAAATCATTTATTTATATAACATTTAAATTATTAGGAGTTCAAATAGCATGGCTCTTGTATTTAATTTGCTCCCTTATGTGGACAGGACACCCTTAATTACACCCTAAAATTGTAATTATCAGAATATTTAAAAATATTAAATAATATCTGAATTGTATTTTAGAATAAATTGAAATATCTCCAGTTTTTATATTTTTTTAATATTTTGTGATCCATTTTCTTATTCAATTAAAAATTTATGATATGATATTAATACAAAAGAAAACTTAATGCTTGATGTTTTATGTGAAGTTTTACTCACCACCTTGGACTTGGTATCGGAGGAATAACAATGATATTTTTCACCACAATAGCTTGGAACACAAGTTACACTCAACGAATATATGCCAAACCCAACCTAATATCAGAAGCAACGAAGCTCATAGAGACATCAATGTTTTATATAAACTTATTGTGGGAGCGTCTACGTTCGTGCATGCACTTGGTGTGGTGAAACGAAAAAAGAGTAAAAATGGATTGGTTCTACCCCAAGAGAAGAGGTCCAGAATGGAAACTAGGTTGGACCATGACCTCAGTTTTTTCACCTCCGGTCCATTTGCTCATGATTTTGGGCATTGTCATTGGCTTGTTGTTCTTCTCCCAGTACAAAGACTACAAGGCTCAATTGCGTAGCACCGCCCTCAACTTCCAACTATTCCTCTTCTTGTTGCCTGTCTTGTTGATTTTCTGCATGATTTCATATTCTTCATGATTTGCTTCATGATTTCGTATTCATGAGTCCCTTCAACCAACTGGGTTTGGTTGATACAGAAGTTCGTCTCATAATATTCTTAATGTAGGAATATAAATGTATGTTGCAAGTGTCTTTTATCTTTTGTTTCTATCACTACATTTGTTTTATCTTAAGATGTGTAGAGTAGTATATTTTATATTTGAAACATCTTTTCGTTTCAATTAGATTGAGGTAGTTTTTGAAAAAATAAAGGGTTATTTATTCCTTAGATTTTAAGGGTACGATTGAATTTTAAAAGAAAAAGGAAAGGAGGATAAATATTTTATTTTAAATTTAAAAGTTACATCATATATATAAAAATTAATAAAACATTAACACATTAAATGTATATTGACATATTATTTTATAATTTAAAAAAAAAAATATGATTTGTCACCTTCTTTCTGTTACTTCCATTCTCAAATATCATAAGATGACTAATGCTAAATAAGTGGCTTTTAAAATATTGAATAACGCAGATATCAAGCTATCTTAATCTTACAGAACGTTACTTGTCTAAGGACTGTAAAAACAAAGTTTTCCCTACCTGTAACCCGGTTGAGTGTAGTTCAGCACACTCACTAAACAAGAAAACTAATGATGTGGAATTACATTATTTTAAGGCCAAAAGACAAACAAATGCATGACAATTGCGTTTTTTCCCCATCTTTTCAGCAGAAATACAGGATTAACTTCTGCCTGATAATAATAATAAGGGTCTTTAAGTAACGCATGCAAGAAACCTTTGTTTCGATTATAATATATATTTTATTCGAATCAGCAATTATGTATTTGGCAATCTTACTTTTGAATAAAATTCTATAAAATATTATTTCTTCCCCCTTTGCGCGTTTACCATCGCCTTCTAGGATGGAATACATACCTCACGAAACATCATGAACCCAATTCATGTCATCTCTGTACATCTACACATTTACAATAATCACAACGTTTGCATCAACGTTTCATAGTCACAATGTCTTTTTTTCTAATTAATAAGTAATAAACAGAAAGCCCACGAAAAAAAAACAAAAAAACTAAAGAGAAACAAACCAGCTGAAAACAATATTACCAAATCAAACAAACCAGCTATCAAGAAAAGTTGATTGATAGTGCAAAAGTACGAGAACGAGCACGATCACAGCAGCAACACCCCAAGGCGATGCACCCTCTGATGGGTGGTGGTGGGTCCTCCAGCGTCTCTCCCATGGTGACGAGTTAAAGAACCACCAATCTGAAGTTTCCACTGATGATAACCAACGAACTATGAGTATTAGCACCACTGGTGTGGCAAACAGCACCCAACCCAGTTGTTCTTCCGCAGCTTCAACCACTTCTTCATACGAGAAGTACCATGAAATCCCAAGGAATAGGAAGATCACTGCTAAGATTAACAGAACAGGGTATGGCAAGGGATTCAGAGTGAAGCCATCCAAAACAGAGGAGGCTCTGTTTCTACCATATGCCATTTGAATTCAGAAATGGGAAGCTTGGTGAAGAATATGCACAAATCCCAGAGTGGTGTTTTAGTTATATATAGCAAAACATGAAGATGAGTGCCCTATTTTGTGGGTTGCTTACTTTGCACTGTCTTATTGGTGTAACCCATTTTAAATGACAGTCAAAAGATCATAGTTAGTGTGATACTAGGTATGACATGCCGCACAAAAGTAATGTATAGGACCACAAAACAAATTGTTGTTTGTTTATTAAAATAAGATTTTAAGAAAAAATTTAAATAATTAAGAAATTTTCGTCTTTAGATAAGATTAACAAAATCCAAATTTTAATAAAGTGTTTTTGAACTGGTAGGTTTGCTGTGTGAAGTTCAATCTGGTCGTTGCTAAATTCATCATAAGGGTTGTCCCCACGGAGTAAAATGGAGACACGTTTCAGTTTTAACGTGCGAAAGTAGTCATATTTTCATTTTGTTCTTATCATATTCTATAGCTTACTGTATCTGTATGTGTATATTTCAAACAGTATATTATCAGTACTTTATTTATTTATTTATTTAGAAAGTAATAAGTGGCAGGAGTATGTAGGATGAGCTGAAATGAATTTATTTAATTTTTTATCTGATTTAAAATTTTAATAAAATTATTTATTTATATTTAAATTTGATTAAATCAAGACTTAATAATATATTAAGCAAGATCAGATTGACCCAATTTATTGATAAAAGTAGACAATTTTAACATAATAAATTTAATAATAATAAAATTGAGTGTATAAAATAATAAGTACAGAATTAAAATAAAAATATATCTTATAATAATTTTGTTATGTTTGACTAGGAATATACACTACAATGTTAAAAATAGTAAATTTTTACTAAAATAAAATATTTATTAATTTAAAATTTAAAAATTTAATGTATATTTTTTTATCGTAACTTAAAACATTTAATATTTTTTAATATATGTGGTTGACACACATAAAAAATTGTTTTATAATATATTTTTAAAAAAAACGTATATTATATTATGTAAAATATTATTTATTAAGTTAAGTAGTGTTATAATTAATATAGTTATTAAAGTATATTAACTCTAAGAAATAAAACATTGGGTTTGGTTGAGATTACTCAAACTATAACTTGAAGCTATTGTTAAAATATGACTCTAATTTTTAAATTTTGATACTCGTCAAAAATTAAATTAAGATTAGGCCAAATTAGTGGGTTGGGGCGAGTCATTAACACTCCTGGTTGGTGACAAGATTCCTTTAAAATTTGAAAAATATTCTATGATATATCTATTTATAATTAATTTTTAATATTTTTGTTCATAAAAACTATTAGTTTTTTAAATGTTATAAATTGCAGTAATTATTATAAATTTATTTGAAAATGCATATTATATGATAAAAAAGCACAAGTAAATGGACCCATAATGCTTTTAAAATTAAAATAGTAATTGAATGGATAAAAAGATTTTAATTTATGGTTGATTAATATGATTGCATTTGAATCTTGGTTGAAATGATGATAAATAAAAATTATATTTTATTATTATATAATATATTAAATAATAAGCTAATATGTAATAATTATAAATTAAGTTGTATAAAATTTTTAATTAATATAAAAAATCACAATACATGTTTTCTAAGATAAAAATAATAATATAACTAACCGCCAGATTTCTTTTTTTCATGAGAAATAAATTTTTATTTAAAATAAAGAAATTTTTTTCTATTTTTTAATCAATTCCACAACATTTTAATTTTTTGGGTTGAATGGGTGCAATTAACGTGGAAAAAAAAAGGGAAGGATGGAAGGTGATAGCATAAATCCCTCTTTCGTAAATTTTTAAAGATATAAAAAATTTAAAGTTAATAGTAAAAAATAAAATTTTAATTTTTTATCATCTGGTAGCTTTGCAAAGTGAATGCCAATCTGGGCGTTGTTCAGCACTTAATATGAGGGATGCCCCACAAGTTAAAGGAAGACACGTGTTAGTTATTGCATGCAGGAATAATGATATAAAAAGGTTATTAAAAAAAAGAAAATATCATATATGTTTCCATTATCAATGCTTTAGAAATTGACCAAGTCATACAACTAGCTAAATACCAATTTACACTTCTTGTTTCCACTTATAGTTAAATATATAACAAATCAACTAAGTTGTTAAATTATAAATTAATAAAATTATATATTGAGTAAGATAAAAATAAATATAAATAATTTTTTGCATGAGCATTGAGTGAAAAATCATAAATGACATCACACATTGCAACCATTTTAAGCCTTTAAATGGGAGGTTTCTTGCTAGCGGCCATGAAGATGTGGTACGAAAAGGAAGGTAGATTGAAATTATCAACATACACGAATTTAAAACACAATTTAAAGGATTAAATTGAATAAAAAATATATAAATTTAAAACTTTAAATAAATACATTTTAACCATTAAACTTCTCTTATTCTTATTTTTATCTTTATATAAAAGATTTTACATTTTAATTTTCATATGAAAAAAAAATTTACAATTTGATTTTCACTGTATCCTAAAGTTTATAATTGTGTTTACATATTTTTCACGTAGAAACCAAAACGATAAACTGTATCTCATGTACAGAAATTTAAGCATATATATTTTTTATACATATAGAGGCAAAAATATAGTATATTTTTCGGAACAAGAATCAAAATAAAAAAATAATATCACATATATATATATATATATATATATAATTTTAAACTAATATAATTTTGATACATTGGATTGGTTGATTCGTTAATAATATTTTTTATATAAAGACTAAAAGGAAAGACAATAATTTATAATTTAACACATTTTAGTACTAAAGTCATAAATTAAAATGAATGCTTTATATCATTAGTAGCTAAAGTGACCTTTTTGTTTTCCCATTTCAGTACTAAAGCCTAAGTTTATTCAATTCCAAACACATGCCCACTGCATTTTGCATATTTGTATTTGTATATTTAAAGAATGCTAATGATTAATTAAAATTATAACATTAGGTACATCTTACTACTATTTTAACAATGTGCCATAAAATTTCACTTTAACTTGTGCTAACGCAAGTGTGGTGGTTGCACGAACAAGTGTAATCCATCTAAATGCTGATACCGCTTTAGACCAAGTGAGGTCGATACAAAAGAAAATAATAGAAATGGTGTGGGGACAAATGAATCACTGTTAGGTATTTGGTCTTAGTAAAGCCATTCCTTTCCCTTATCACACGATTTGCCCCCAAACCCAGTGTTGATCCCAGTGCCATATGTGTGTGGTTGAGGGTAGACAATCACTACAGATGAAATCAACCTGCATTTTATGTTCATACAAAAGCAACGATATTCTTCCTGATAATTCATTTCAATTTTAATTTGACTAGAGGAAAGATAATAACATATATGCTTAAATTATTGTATAAGGACCCGACACAGAACAAATAATAAGGAAAGATTATTGTTCTCCTCTGGATCATAAATTAGTAACATAAATTAGGCACATAAGTTACATGATCATCATATTACTAACAATATTTTATTTAGTGACCAAGGAAAAGGGATAATTATAGAACACTGACCACAAAACCATTCACACAGCAGGTAATGGACTGACATACACTAACGGTAACAGTAACAAACATGCTTACACTGATAGCACGTTGGCTTTACATAAACCTTCCTTGGACTTCTAATCAGTGACAGCAAAAGTAGGATCAGAAGAACAAGTATTGGTGTGAGCAAAGCTGACCAATTCTTCTTCTTTTCTTCAACCACTACAACTTGCTCACGCGAGAAGAGCCAAGGTATAGCCAAAAGCATCAAAGCCACGACCAACATCAAAATAACATCTGATGTATGAGTGCTATAAGCCCTGCGTTTATAACAATAGTAACCCATAATGGGAAAGGATTATAGAGATAATCACAGTGATCAAGTTGATCCAAAGAAAAAGACTAAGCTTGGGAATTTTATAGAACAAGGGAGAGAACAAACCACTCATGAAACCCAAGATTAATATCCATCTCACAACATCTGATTGTTGCATAGTTGCTCTCAACTTTTTCTAGTAAGCTATCACGTTCAGCACTAATGGTTAAAATAGACATCATGACGTGGGGTCAATTAATTTGGTCTGTACAGCATGTGCATAAGATGGTGATGTGAAGTAGCGTTTGAAGAATGGACTTGTTTCAGGACCAATAATTTCAAATTGAAAATCAATTCAATTTCTCTATGATTAGCTTTTAAGGGCACTATAAACATTTTTTTTATACTACATTACTTTGATATGATCCTTATCATCCCAATTATCAGTAGGCATTAGTACTGTAGTTATGTTAACATTTAAAAATAATAATAAAAATTCATTTGATCACAGTCAAATAGAAACAAGCAAACCTTATCAAGTGTGCATAAGTCTAATTTCACATTCACACGCTATAAGAAAAGGTTAAATGAAATTTGGGAAAAGGAAAAAAGGGAAATCTTTTGAGTGATGGAACCCATATTATATAAAGGAAAATAAAAGAGGATATCACACTGCCGAAATGCTTTGCTAAATTAAGGCCAAAATTGTCTTCCTCTGGAATCAAAAGACAATTTTAGGCTTAATTTCTCAAATGGGAAAGGGATTGTCTTAGAAAAAAAAAACTATCGGACAACTCTAATTGTAACTTGGTATGGTCCATTTACAGCACTGCTTAAAAATCTAACCAAAACAAAAAGAATGTACCCAATGCTCACAAATGGAAGAGCCCGGCCCATCGACTTGTCCTTTACTTGAGTTAAATCGAAAGTTGACCAAAAAAAAATTGTTAAATCAAAACAATTTCTTATGAAAAAAAAAAATAGTTGAAACAATTTCACCCATTCATGCGCTCGATATGTTTAATTAAATTCATTTTAATAAAAAATATTATTCTTTTTTCAGAAATATTTAAAATATATAAATGATCAAACAAAAGTGTATTTATCAATAAATTAAAATAAAAATATTGTTCTCAAAATATTATAATTTTTATTTAACCTTCTATTAATATTCTGATTGTTTTGTTTGCTTTTTTAATAAAAAAACCATTTTAATTTTTTTTTTCAAAATATCACAAAATTATCGTTTAGTCTTTCATTCTTCAGACTTCCACATAAATTTTTAACGGAGTAGATAAAAAAATCCTAATAAAGGAATTACACAGGGATAATTTTTTAAGAATTAAATAACATCTATTTTAAAATAATAACAACAAAAAAAAAATTTTTTTAAAATATCATTTAATTCTTTTTATTATGGTTCTTGCTCACACAAAAATCATGTTAAATTTTGACATAAATAATTTTTAAATTATCTAAATTGGACATATAAAGTTGCATCTACTTTAAATTTGACGTCAAGTTAATTTTGTGAATTTTTTAAATTAATAGTGAATATATTTCTATTTTTTAATTCATTTACTTTCTTGTTTTATAAGTGTCAAATCCTAATTTAATGATATCTGTTAACGATCATTGTAATAAATTTTGTTAAATGATTCGAATTAATTAAAAAAATGCAATAGAACTTTTATTGATTCTTTTTAATTTTTATCTTCTGAACGAGTGTCTAAAAGACTAATTATTATTATTATCAAAATAAATGAAATATTATTTTTAAAAAATTAATTATATCTATGAATATATAGTGTAAATTTATTAAATATATTTTAAAGCATATTTAAAACATATGTATTATTTACTAGAGATAATATTGTTAAGTGGATTAGAAATATTATGGATGATAAAACTTTCATTATAAATATTTAATGTAACTGCATTTACTTAAATTTAAGTTTGAGATTACTCATTTTATTAATTTATTCACGTGTTAAGGCAATATTGAAATTTGCTTACTTTTAACTCATGGGTACACATTAAAAAATATTTGTAAAAAATAAAAAAGTCCTATTAAAAAACATTTAATAATTGCCTAGCAACAGCAAGCAAACCAAAGGCAAACAAGTTAATGAAACAAAAATTATAATGAAAACGATAAACAAAGTTTGGTGTTCTTATATTTAAATCTTAATGTATATTCAATACATCATAATTGTCTTATTATAATTATAATAAATGTGTCACTCAATGTTCATCGTTCAGCAATAAAATCCTCCCATGGCAATGGGATTTGAGCCTGCGAATACAAATTCAATTCTGACCGAAATGAACCATTCTTTATTGAAACAAACTCATTTGAAATATAATTGATATAATTTTTTTTATTGAGATGTAAGAAAATAATAATTGATAAGTGAAATTAAAAATAACTTGTAAATAATAAATATGGAAGGTGTGATAAAATAAAAGTGGAATCTGAATTGGGAATTGGTCACTTTGTGGGGAAGTGAGAGTGATAGTAACAGTGATTATGAGGAATATGAAAATCCCACGTAGCACCAAAATATAAGCCCCTCCGTACAAACGCAAAGATCATGCATCACAGAAAGCTCAGAACCTCCATTTCGTTGTTTCCTCCACAAATCACACACACAAGCAAATCAACCACTTTCTTTCTTTCTTTCTTTCACGTGCTTCAACTTCTTCTTCTGCAACTTTACTCTGTATCCAGAAAAAGTCATTAAATAAATAAAAATCTCCCTTTTCTCTCATTTTCTTCTCTCTTCTTCAGCTTGTGCGGGTTAGTTTATCTTTTCTTCGATTCTTTGCCATTTAACATGATTATCTGATTTCACCCATTGAGCCCTTTTTACCTTTCTTTGCATTGCATCATGTTTTCGTTCATGCATGAATCTATTCTTTTTTGGATGAACATTATGCGCAAATGCATGAAGGCTTTCTCATTTTTATTTTGATGCCAACGTGCAAATGGTTTTCTGATCACGTTGTACCCATGGGGACTTCACTGTGCTGTTTATTCTGCATATCCGTATTATCAACAATTGTCTCCTTTAATTAATTTTTTTGAAAATATTTTCTTCGGTTGTGGTTGGCTTCCCTTGTTTGCTCAATGCTCATTGTGGTTCTCCTTTTTGTATTGTAAAAACTGCATATCACCCTTTCATTTTAGCAGTTGGGAGATTTTTACCCTGCTAGTTATTAAGAAGTAACCCTTTTCCAGGGAGAATGTGGAACGGAATTAATCGAAAAATAATAAGACAAATACTTTTTACCTTAGATAGGAATCTGGAATTGGAAAGTTGGGACCTGTGCTATTTCTGTTGTTCTATTTCCCCCACTAATCTGATAATTAAACCTATTGATTGTTTCTCTGTTTGGTAACGCCGTACCCCTTGAATTGTGTAGTGTAGTATTTCAAAATTAATCACTTCATGGTTGGAGTTTATGATCTTTATCTGGTATCATTTGGAAGCCTGCATGTTTGAACTCAAAATCATTTGGAATTTCGGATTAAGAAAATGATACATGATGTTCCAAGTATCTGCTTTTGGTCTTATAAAGTGTTACAAACGCAGGGATTTAGCAGTTTGAGGGCACGGTTTATATTTATGTCAATTTTATGTCAACACACTTTATTCTGCAGGATTTTGAGCAATACTAGGTTGCAAGTGCTAAGGTTTTGAAAGATGTCTTCCAATCCAATAGATTGGTTTCAAAATGGAAATTCTAGAAGTCCCGAAGCATTAAGTAGTGTGGCAGAAACAGAGGAATTTGATTTCTCAAAAGCATTGGATAGGCCAAGGGCTTTGAATATAGAGAGACAGAGATCATGTGATGACAGATCATTGAGTGAACTATCCATAGGCTTTTCCCCACGCCATTTGGTCATAAAAGCTGATAACTTTTCTCGCCTGGGAGACCATTTTGATCAGCTAAATTCTCCTGTGCCAAAATCAGGTCTTAATACCCCAAGATCAATGACATTAGAGTCACATCCTTTAACATCAGAAGCTTGGGAAGCTCTCAGGCGTTCCTTGGTATATTTCCGTGGTCAACCAGTTGGGACAATTGCGGCCTTAGATAATTCTGATGAGAAACTTAATTATGATCAGGTAACATGTCCTTGTCTTACCTTGAATATATATCTGTTTCTTCTATGGTGGTGGTGGTGATGGGGGTGGGAGTGCTTGTTTGACGCTATTTCATCACATACTTAAATTTTGGTTGGACTTTTAGGCCACAGTTTTCTTTGTGGATGATGGATCTATACTCATAGTAGTGAAGTACTAGTAGTGATATCAAGTCCACTAACCTCATATACAAGCTATATTATAGATAAAAAGATGGTTTTTTTGTGTTCCCCTTTCATCCCTCTTTATCTTTATTTTTTTTACCTAGTCTACCCATTTTGAGTTTGCTATGGAGGTCTAGTCTAAGGTATCATTGTGTTTGTGCACAGGTGTTTATAAGAGACTTTGTCCCAAGTGCTTTAGTTTTTCTGATGCATGGAGAACCGGACATTGTTAAAAATTTTATCTTAAAGACTCTTCGCCTTCAATCATGGGAGAAAAAGATTGACAGGTTTCAACTAGCTGAAGGGGTGATGCCTGCTAGTTTTAAGGTATACCATGATCCAGTCAGAAACCATGAAACCCTGATAGCAGATTTTGGTGAAAGTGCTATAGGCAGGGTTGCTCCTGTTGATTCCGGATTTTGGTGGATTATTTTACTCCGTGCATACACAAAGGCTACGGGAGACTCTTCTTTGGCAGAACTGCCTGAATGTCAAAAGGGTATGCGCTTGATTCTGAGTTTGTGCCTGTCTGAGGGGTTTGACACATTTCCAACTTTGCTTTGTGCTGATGGGTGCTGTATGATTGATCGTAGAATGGTGAGTTTTCTGAAATTTATATTACTCTCATTTTTACCTTTCCACTGTCTTATGTCTTGAAAATAGGCATTGATTATAGGATAAAGTGATTTTTGTGGATGTATATTGTGAAGATTTTAATCCAGTATAAAAGTCAAGAGCTAATTTGTGTTTTGTGCTAGATATAACAGAGTGATTCTAGGAGTAGGAACTGTTAAGGGATTTACTGCAACTATATTCCTAGTGGTTAATTTATCCAATTCTTACTTCCAATTTTTTCAAATGAATTCAGGGTGTTTATGGGTATCCAATTGAAATTCAAGCATTGTTCTTCATGGCTTTAAGATGTGCCTTGCAATTGCTTAAGCAAGATGCTGAAGGGAAAGCGTTCATGGAACGAATTGTCAAACGCTTGCATGCCTTAAGCTATCATATGAGAAGCTATTTTTGGTTGGATTTGAAGCAACTTAATGATGTATATCGATTCAAAACAGAAGAGTACTCACATACTGCAGTAAACAAGTTTAATGTTATTCCTGATTCTCTACCAGATTGGATTTTCGATTTCATGCCTCATCATGGTGGATACTTTGTTGGTAATGTAAGTCCGGCTAGGATGGATTTCCGCTGGTTTTGCCTGGGTAATTGCATTGCAATTTTGTCCTGCATGGCAACTCCTGAGCAGTCCACTGCAATCATGGATCTCATAGAATCAAGGTGGGATGAATTAATTGGAGAGATGCCTGTCAAAGTTTGCTATCCAGCCTTTGATAGCAATGAATGGGTGATCATAACAGGATGTGACCCAAAAAATACCAGATGGAGTTACCACAACGGAGGATCTTGGCCAGGTATTCTTATGCAACAATTCTGAATTTCCATGAATCAGCTCATGTTATCCAAAACTAGTACATATAATAGAACAGTCTCGGAGATCATTCATCAATCGTGGCCCCAGATTTGCGTAGTTCAACACAGAATTCAGATAGAGAGGAATGTTATAAACGCATTTTTTTAGCACGCGACCTACGAAATTAGGAACAAGACTCATTAATTAGATAATGAGACCTACATCATTGCATAAGTCCTAATAAATTCCTTATTAGAAATCAGGAGTGCATTGTTAAACTTTTCTAATAAAAAGCTTCTAATTTTGACTCCTTAACTGTGCTATAATAAAAACTGTGTTACTAACACTTTTCACTCCTTAAAATTATTGTTCCTTCCCAACTTTTAAGATGCATTTACTGTGGTGGTTACAGTTCTTTTATGGTTTCTGTCTGCGGCCTCCATCAAGACTGGGAGACCCCAAATTGCAAGACGTGCCCTTCAAATTGCTGAGAGCAAATTGCTAAAGGACAACTGGCCTGAATATTATGATGGAACGCAGGGTCGATACATTGGGAAGCAGGCCCGAAAATTTCAAACTTGGTCTATAGCTGGTTACTTAGCAGCTAGGATGATGCTGGATGATCCATCACATTTAGGCCTTGTAGCACTAGAAGAAGATAAACAGCTAAAGCCTTTACTCAAGAGATCAAATTCTTGGACTTTGTGAGGAGTTGTTTTTCTTCATCAATTTTGACCTGCAATGATAAAAAGGAGAAATCAAGGAATGGAACAGAAGAAGAGCAGGGTGGGTGGCAAACACACAAATGAAGCTTTCTTGTTTCTCACTTCCATGTGTCAAGTGTTATGCATTCCTTCTATGAAGTTCCTAAGGATTCTTGACGGCCAATAGTTTTATCCAAAAGGTGAGCTTATAAGAAAATGCCAAATTCGTTAACTGCACCAAGTTCTTGGCTGAAAATGTATGCACTTAGATGCAGATTTTACAATTTAGATTGAGATATTGTAGGCGCTGGACAGAGAAGGTATTTTCTTGATCTAGCATTACCATATTACAAAATGTGAACTCACAAGGAGCATTTGTGATCATCAACGTACTTTTTTTTTAGTTATATAAAAGTAATAATATTTCATGAAAAATATTATTATTTTAAAGATTTAAAAGTATAATAATTATTTTTCTAATAAAAAATTTATTATTATTAATTACTTAAACTCAAAGTGACTAATAATTTTTCTTTTTATAAAATTTGAGATGAACCAAAGTACTGATGCTCATTTTTATATTATTAAAGAAACTATTAACTATTTACGCTTAGAGAAAGCACAAAACTACAAAACGCTTTCGACAAACGCAGTTTCATAGTGTTCACGCTGTAAATTTGCATTCAGTAAATACTGATTAGAGGTATTAGTTCATAATTATAACTCTCTTAAGGGCAGAAAGGTATTGCATTATGTCATCATCTGATAGTGGAAACAAAAAAAAATGGAGTGGTTAGATAATTAGCAGTGTAGTCGATGAAACGTGGAAGGCAACGGACACCGTATTTATAAAGTGGCTGCTTACCTAAACGTGATTTTTTTATGTCGCTTACCTAAACGTGATTCGTAGACGATTTCTTCTATTCATTGTTCCCTTGTACTCACTCGTGTTGGGCGTTGGCTTACCCATATATTTCTCGTGAATTTGGGTGCTCTACTTAATTTATAAGAGAAAAATAACACAATATACAAATTTAACTATCTAACACACCGGTAAAATTTATTAAAAATAATTACATTAACCTCTTGTGAAATTAATAATAATTAAATCTATACCTTAATTTTAAAATTATATAAGATGTATGTATAATATTTCTTAAAAAATAATAATCATCAATAAGTAAGAATAATATATAAAATAAAAAAGATAAGTGTAATTTTCAAATCATGCCGAGTCTAAGTAAATTTGTTTTATTAATTTTAGGAGATATTATTGAATTATTTATTTTAATTATTTTATATTCTTTTTTATTATAATCACTTTTGAATTTGTTAATTACGAGTAATATGAGAAAATCTAAATTTATATGATAATTGTAAGTTAATATCTTAAACAGTGAAAAAAATTTATTTAAAAATACAAAATTCATTATTTTCATGATATATAATGTACTCGTGATATAATCTACTTACATGTCTTAAATATGTACCTCCATTTTTAAATAATTTTTTTAAAAAAAATATATTAAATAAGAGCATTTTTAGAAGCTATTATGTATTTTTTATATTAAGTATTTAATTTTAGTGTTAATTTTAATTTTTTATAATTTTAAAAATATTTATTTAATTTTATTCATTATAAGAAAATATTTATTTTTAAAATATATAAAATAATTTAATTTAAAATAATTATATAATATACCTTTTTATTAAAAAATTATTTAATGACAAAAAAACTCATTAATTTTTAATAATATTTATTTATTTATTTATTATGCTTAAAGACACCAGAGTTTGTATTTGTTATCGTGAAAAGACCATGAACATTGAACAGGTTAAATGGACTATTTAACGTCCCTCAGGTTTCAATCTTCAGTTTGGGTGGCTGGGAATTGCAGCTTCTCAAGTTGTCGTTGAAGTTGTGCCCTAATTGGGGAATTGGGGGAAATTCTTCCATAACCGCAACAAGTATCGCTCTCATCCATTACAATTAGGAACGCAAAATTAAATCAATAACAAAACTCATAAAAGAAATTAATTGGTGGAAAGAGAAAGAAGGGATGATGAGGGGTCAGAGAAAGCCGATACACGCGATCGCCACGTGGGTGCGGCGGCAACCGCCAAAGGTGAAGGCTTTTCTTGCCGTTGTTTCGGGCATGGCGGCACTCGTGCTTCTCCGCTTCATCGTTCACGATCACGATAACCTTTTCGTTGCTGCCGAGGCTGTCCACTCTCTTGGAATTTCCGTTCTCATCTATAAACTCATCAAAGAAAAGACTTGTGCCGGTCAGTTACCCTTTTTCCCCTTTATTTTTTTTTTCTTTTGTAAAAACATTGTCTTTTCTTTTTGGGAGTTCTTTGAACATGCAAGATTACGGTTTTTGTGTTGTGATTGTATCGTAATCTTGACTTTCTTTATACGCATTACCAGCAGGGATCATGCATTATGATTTATCCCTTAATTTTTTATGGATAAAATGATTTATTGTTATTCTCTTTAGATTTTGATTTAGTAGTATGTCTGGAATTTCCTTATAAAGATTTATAATTGCGCGGCAATTGCTCCTTTCTGGTATTCTAGACACTAACTTGACTCTAGCTGTGGACTTTCTTTTATTTAAAAAAATTGCTTTGTGGAGTGTTCGTTATTAATGTGATCCACTTTGAGCATCAAGAAAAATGTTTGGTTCAGAACGTTCTTGTTGGACGATCAATGTCATGTCATTGTTTGCCTGATTTGATTTCCTTTTTTTCTCCCACTTTGCTTGATGAGTCCTTTGGCAATTATTACTGAATGAAAAGAAGAAGCAGAATTTTGTTTTTGTACTAATAGTTTTGGCACTTCTAACTTTGTTGATATCTTGTAATGAGGTTTACATCAGATTTCATTCCTTTTATGTGCATGGATACTTCAGAATTAGTGACGAATCTGTACCCAATATTAAGATATCACGCCTCTTTGTGATGTACAGGATTATCGCTCAAATCCCAGGAATTAACAGCTATATTTTTAGCTGTTAGGCTGTACTGCAGTTTTGTCATGGAATATGATATACATACCCTGCTTGATTTGGCTACTTTGGCAACAACACTGTGGGTTATATACATGATTCGTTTTAAATTGAAGTCTAGTTACATGGAAGAGAAGGACAATTTTGCAATATACTATGTGGTACGGTTCCACTATCATTTCATTTAAAATTGTAAGCTCCTTCTATATTGTTGTCTTTCAAAGAAAATTGACATTATAATAAGTCTTGTTGATGGAAACTGACCTCCATGTCAAGAAGTAACGATCTACTTCTGTACCAAGAAAGAAGCCATGGCATCTTATTGAAACCTTTGTGGACCATATTTGAATTTGGTTTTCATTTTACTCAACTTCAAACGATTTTTCTTTATTCCTCTTTTAAATAAATTTGTACTATCACTTATTGATATTTACTTGTGCATTTTCCTGCTATTTTTAAATTGAATGCAGGTGGTACCCTGTGCTGTGTTAGCCTTGTTTTTTCATCCATCAACTATTCATCATTTATTGAACAGGATTTTCTGGGCATTCTGTGTATATCTTGAAGCTGTGTCAGTACTACCTCAATTGCGAGTCATGCAGAACACCAAAGTATATAAGAATTTCCATTGTACTTATTAATTAGTTATCTAATTCTACTCCTCTCCTTACTTTATTTCATTTTATACTTTCAGATTGTTGAGCCATTCACAGCACACTATGTGTTTGCCCTGGGTGTTGCAAGATTCTTGAGCTGTGCTCATTGGGTTCTTCAGGTATGATCTGTTCATTGATACTTGTAACTGCATTAATCAGCCTTTGAATCTTTTTCAAATTAGTTTATCACGTTTGCTGGCTTGTGCTGGTGTCTGCTATCACTAAGATGATATTTTTTGAATTGCTATGTCTGGGTGACCAAGGAGTGAAATGTGAATATAATTTGAGTTACTTTATAACTTCAAGTTTGGCTTTCATTTCCAATGGTATAACGCCTCTAAAGGTATTACAGTGTCATGTATTTTGCCTGTATCTGGTTTTTCTTTTGAATATTTTCTGTTCTGAGCATATTTCTTTAGTGGCGCAACCTATTGGATTTACAACGTGCTGGCTCTTACTAAGATACCATTTTTGGAACAGGTGTTGGATAGCCGTGGACATTTGTTGGTTGCCTTGGGGTATGGATTATGGCCATCAATGGTGCTTATTTCAGAAATAGTCCAGACTTTTATCCTAGCAGATTTCTGTTACTATTATGTCAAAAGGTTAGTTGAGTGCATTATATAGGTCTTTTCCCTTTGACTGTTTCTTGTTTTTCAGTTTTGCTGATAATTTCTTAAGAACTTTCCTGCATGGCTCTGACCTTGCTATATTCAATTTATTGCAGCGTTTTTGGGGGACAACTTGTTCTCCGCCTTCCCTCTGGAGTTGTGTGATTGAAGGTTCACTTCAGTGCATACTTGCATTAAGATTAACTTAATCAAGCAATATGGTCGGTTATCATTGCTGGTGTCCATATTGTGTTGACAACGTTTGGCTCCTTGGAAGAAGCTAGTTTCTTTGTAAAGTTGCAGATGAAGGAGAGACTAGATATTTATGTTTAAGGTACAGTAATTGTATTGTAGTTGGAAAGGCTTTACACATAACGTGTCTATTTGCGTAGGCTCTTGGAAGTCAGTACTTATAGAACTACTCCACGTGCTTAAGTTCTATTCGATTCTTTATAGAACTTTTCCACCTCATCGTATCTAAGCTGCTTTACTTGAGCCTACGAGGGAGACATTATAAAATTGCTTTGAAAGGATTATTTTTTTCATATAATATTTAGACCGTAGCATTTTTTAAGGTTTTTTCTTTGGCCATGGCCAAATTATCATTTGAGAGTTTAATCTTTGTATAAACATGTTCCATAGCAATAACGGACATTGCATTCAAATCTGATTTTAGTGTTGAAAACGAGGAAGAAATAAAGATAAAAGATTGTAGAAAAATGTTTCTTATTGATTGATATGCATCTATTAGGGGCTAATTAATTACACTTAAACATATATAAAGCTATATATGACAAAGGAAAGTAAGGAAATAAAAGAAATTACAATCGCAATACCTATAAAGAATAAATTAATCTTTTAATTAGGGAGTTTACAGTGGCTATGTTGAGGCAGCTTGGTCCGCTTGGTGAGAGGTGACGGCGCAGTGATTATTATTATTTTGTGCACGTACATGGCCAAGAGGTGGAGGTAAGCCCAAGCAACTTGCCTGACAAGGGGAGCAGATGGGCTGGAGGTAAGCCCAAACAAAACATTTAGCATTTGTATTATTTAAAGTTAAGTAAACTTAATCTTGATAAAATTATTTTTAAAATATTAACTATAGTTAAGATGTATATAAATTAATTTGAACTACAAAATTTTCATTGGAATACATTTTTTTATCAAAAGTACGATAATTTAATTTTTCAATTTTCAAAATTTGATCTGAAGCAGTCACAAGATACAAGCCGTTGTATATAATCTTTAGTCTTTCTCAACAAAATTCCAAACACGTTAGTCGTAGTGGAGACTTTAACATGTTTGGATTCACATTTAAAAGGTTGTGAATTTTCGTTTCCTTCGATGCTGTTAGTGTTTCTGATGTGTTCATAGAAATATTCTTGGCAGAAGGAGGCTTTTAAATTAAGGGATATGAATATTGACAGGCCACAAAACTACGATTGGCAGTAAGTGGCAAGTTTAGATCCCAAACAAATTTCGGCAACCATGAACAAGGACGTTTCAATCTTTCATCATTATTTTAAAACTTCAGACAATAATTAACCACAATGTTTTATGCGGTTTACTAAAGGATGTCATTGTAAATGTTTCTTTGCCAGATAAATTATACGGCCTGGCACAGCCAGAACAGTACAAAAGAGAGATAGTGTACAAGTTTCTATTTTTGCTTAAATCCCACAAATTCCCAATAAATAATGGTAGTGTACAATTGAAGCACACCGTGCACCATTGCATATAACAAAACTCGAAAGGTGGAATTGGGCTTTCAGAGTTCAGATATGCACTTTCCATTCATAAAATTAACAACTTGTTCGACAGCCACATCAAGTGCAGCAGTTACAGCTGCTAAATTCTGCAGGAATTCTTCTGCAGTTGGTTTGTCACCATCAATGATATCAGTCACAGCTTTTACAAAAATTACAGGTACTTTCAGTAGGTCAGCAACATAAGCAACGGCTGCTCCCTGGAGAAAAAGTTGAAATGGATAGTTAAGCCCATATTCGACATAGGAGAGATAAGAGTTATTTGTGAATATGTGGATTCATGCCATTCCCAATAGATGAGCCAGAGTCCCAAGAGAGAATAGCCAAAATAATCAGGTTACCTCCATATCTTTAACTGTGGCATCATTCGCAATGATAGATGATTCATCCTGCTGTGTCATATCTAAAGAGTCACCAGTAGACAATTTAGCTATCTGAAATATGCACAAATATTGTTTAAATCAGCACAATTAATCTAAACAATTAATGGATAGGGCACCAATAGCATGATGTATCAAACCAGATAACATTTCATGTGTTTGAACGGTAAAATGGAACAGCATATTGTTTTTTTAAGTATGATCTTTATCTAGTGAGAAAGTGACCTACTGTTATGATTATGATCAAGGTTAAAGCTGTTAATTCACTTACAACATTCTTAATGCAAAACCCCCACTACATTTGTAAACTCTTCAAATACCAATGGTATATAAGAAAAAACTATTCCATTCACTTCACTGAATAAAGTGGGCATGGGTCCAAACTATCCCGAGATCATATTGCCTCACCTCGAACAAGCATTAAGTTAACATGAAATAACAGCAAGATATAAATATGTCAATGACCTGACAGAAGTAACAGCCAACAACCTGGAAACTTATAGAACTTTACTTACGTTGTCATAAAATGGTTTTTGCTCTCTTCATTCATTCATTTAAGATTTATTATTAATAACGTGAGACTGACAGTGTAAATGAGTTATAACATTTAACACTTCATTTGATCAGCAGAAATCGTTTATCCATCTAAGCAGATCAACTCAAAACCCAGGCTACACATACACCTTTTGCAAATTATTATCCACCGGCTTCAAATTTAATTCTTGAAGTCACCCCACATATAGAAGATGGGAGTCAGAATAACCAATCCCAAAGTCAAATCATCAAGCCAAGACAATCATAAATAATAGGAAGATAACTTTTGCGCTCAAAGGCACACACATTAAAAACTACACGAGCAGCTCTTCTATGAGTTCTATCCAAGAAATATGGTTAAAAAATGGCACCCAATTTGGATGATTAATCATTGTGATATCAAGAATTATGGATTCGCAATGTGGATTTGAATAAGACTAATTGTATAAGGTTCTGTGTTTTCAGAAGAAGCATATATAGTTTATGCAGATTGCACTCACCTTTAGATTAATGTCCTTTACAAGGTTGGGTGTTTCAAGGGATTTACGCAAACCAACTCCATACAGATCAAAAACCTGCAATAAACATTATACATATATTGATCTTAACCGCAAAACTTTTACCTCACTACATTGCAAGAAAGAAGCACATTTTGGCAAGTAAATCAAATTCCCCTTCCCTCAGGCAAAAACCAAGATGTGAAGACTTATTTAAAAAGGTAAACAAATGTCTATTAGCATTTATCTTAGAAATGAAGTACCTTGAATGAAATTTTAAAATTCAAAATTCACAAGTATCCACCTAAAAATCTTAAATCCTGTTACCATACACAATAAAAAATCACCACCACCACCACCAACAACTGATTATACCATTCATTGCAATCTTAAATACAAAATTGGCATAGTCAACAACACATCAAGTAGGGAAGGGAGCAAAAAACAAAACAACCAAGAGCTACTAAGAGGAATAGCAGCATAACACTAACAGGTATGGGTATTCTTCTGTCGTGAAAGGCACAATCTGATACAATGAAAACATCACCAATACTAGCTCCTTTGGCCTGAAAACATCCAGGAATGAACACTTATTAGGAAAATATCTTCATGCACATATTATAAATCTGTATATCTATATCAGAATATGTTTAGCTGCATACGTAGTCAATTAAGATTTTAAATTACTGTAAAGAGTTACTATTTGATGCATGTACATCAATGGTGGAAAGTAGAACAACTGCACATGCAGGTTAAACATGATTGTCATCAACAGATTAATCCCAAGCTTTTTTTAGAAGAATATAGGAGGCATTATTTAAAAATAGATTACAGATGTCAACTACTTTTGGTTTTTGATTGAGTCTATTGACATTGTGTGATCCATGTAGCTGATCTTACCTTGTGAGATATAAGGCTTTTGTTGCTGTTTGAAATTCTTATTCAAAACGGTTGACCATTGTATATAAAACAGAGGATCAATTATTACAAAATTAGCAGGACATAACAAGTTCACAGGAAAGAGGACCAAAGTTAGTTACACTTGGAAGACACCAATGAAAACCCAAAATACAGACATTTTGAAGCACAACTAGAAAACCAGAAACTCTAATGCTACTTCTTAGAAAGAGGAGAGAAGACAGTGCCTACCTTGAAGCCACCAGCAGTGCCTGCATTTATGATCAAGTCTGGTTTCAATGCTTGAATAGCAGCATATGTTACAAGAGCAGAGGATATTGTGCCCACACTATCAACCCCTGAAAGAAATGGAACAGGACTCATTATATGAAAAATTGTAATCAAAACAAAATTGCCACTTGCCTAGGCTTGATAAAAATCAGCATAAATCATGTTTGTTATATTGTGAAGAATCAATCAAATATGAATTTACCGACTAAAAATGAGAAAGCCATCTATAACTTTTGAGTTGTTAGAAGTGGTGCAGTACGAAATAAAATGAAAAGAAGAAACGTCCTTACCCAGAGCAGGATCTTTTCCAGGCCAAATCAAGTTTATATGGAGATCTTTGTATGTGCCATGATAACGGACCCAAGGAACGCCTTCTGGAAACCTGTAACATTGTGCATATATATCCCAATCAATACAAATACATGAAAACCAACCAAAAAAAAAAAGAAGAAGAAGGAAAAAACACTTCTGTAACATTGTAAGCAAATTCTAAGATGCTTCACAAAATTAAAAACTAATTTGTAAGCATCATAGCATCTACGCATTACTTCTTTTCCAGTGTGGTAAGCCGCAATGAAAAATAAAAAAAAAGAAAGTGTATGGATAAGTGATTAGAGTAAGTGATCATAAATAAACCCTAAGAAAATGGAGAGGGGAGAGAGAGAGAGAGAGACGGACGGAGAGCGAGGGTCCTCGATGAGGTGGAACCTATTGACAACGGGAAGCGCCTCCGTCTGCATAGCTGTTATTCCATACTAACAGTTAACACTAAGACGATCAAATAAAACAGAAACAGGAGACAGACAACTAAACATGGCAAGGTACCAATGACGATGACGATGTTGGAAATGGATCGCTCCTGAGGTTTAGGTTGGGCAACCATGGCCTCTTCCTCTTTTGAGGCAGCATCTGATTGGTTCCCAAGCGCAGCCATTCCTGTTTCTTCCAGATTTCTATGCCTTTTATGCTTTTTCTTCTGCTAATCTCTATTTATTTTCCTCGCAATATCAATGTTATATATTTATACACTGTATATTCGTAGAAATTAAGGACAGGTCATTAATGTACGGCTTACACAAGTACTATGTATGATATAAATACGGTAAGTGAAAGGGTAATAGTAGTTATTAATACATCCTTAATTATTTATTAAAATTATGTTAGTTTTATTTTTAATTCAATAATTTTTATTTATATTTTTAAGTAAATTTTTTAATCAATAAATATCGCCGCATTTAAAAAATTTGACAAAAATAAATTTAAAAATTTTGTAAATAAAATTAATAATGATAAAAATATGTAAACCATATATTTAAAAATTTAAAGAGTTTAATTTTTCAATGTATTCTTAGTGTACAAAAATTTTATACCATCAATTAATTACATTACATTATAGATATAATTTTTCTATTAATTTTTTTTTGTTGCATATACGATCATTTATAATTAAATAATAGTGTAAAATAATATTACACTGTCCGTACATTTAAATTTCTAATAAAGTTATTCTCTTATCTACTTTTATTTATAGTAAATTATAATTTATTTTCCTTTAAATTTCATGATAAATATCATATTTTTACTTATAATATTTTCCAGGATTTTTTTTTCTTTTTTTGGTTGACAAAGCTTCAATTTAAGTAAGTTCACGAAAAAATATCTGTAAGAGAAGAAATTAAAAAAAATAATTAATTTTTTTATAAATTAAAATCAATTTCTTCACATTATATTTAAAAATTTATAAAAATAAAAATAAGTTAATTTAAATTTACAAAATAATTTTAATTTATTTATTTTATTTTTACCTCTTAAAAATACTAATTCAAAAGTTAATTTAAAATAACTTCAACCCAAAGAAACAAAAAAAGATAAAAGGATAAAGAATAGCAAACCTAGTATGCTTGATTTGTATTCTTAACTCTTCCTCTCTTTTTTTTACGATCATTTCTAACATCTCAATTTTATTTTATACATTTATTTTTACCCAAACTAGTTTCTTCATAAAATAATATATTATTTTTATGCTTGTGCATTATGCGAGCCTTTATCTGGTTTGAATAATTTTAGTTCTCGTATCTCCTTGAAGAGAAGTGTGTTAACAAATAATAAAAATAAAAATAAATACATGGTTCCTTTTTATTTTTCAAAATTTTAGTGAATAACAAATGAATCAAACTATGTTAAAATTTATTGTTTATGATCATTTGTAAATATCCAGTTAATTTCATCATAATCAATAAAATTAGTTATATAATTAATTATCAAAATATTATTTCATGATTAATTTAAACATGATAAATACAATAACGCTTATCGTCACTATGAAAAATGAGGACATATTAGGGTGAATAACTAATCACCAAACATTTGACAAATAAATTTGAATATAGCTTTTATGAAAAGGGAAAGCAACTACTTCTTACTCACATACAACTATAGTTTTTAATTGGCGTGAATTCCGTATTTTAGTTACTTAAATTGTATATAATAATCACTCAATCTTTTGACTTTTTAATAATATTTCCAATCTCAATCACTGGAACAGGGGTTTATTCAATCTATCAGAGAAAACATAAGGGATCCTTCAAAATTGAGGAGGATACTACACTCTAAGGTAAGGAGTGAAATGTTCAAAACCAAAGGGTAAGAAACAAAAATATCAACAAAAGATTGAAACCACAGTAACTTGTTAAACTGGAGCTACCATTTGGTAACATAGGAAACGTGTCAGGTAAAGGCATCTCACAGTTCTCCCCGTTGAAATATATTCTTCTAGGAAATGCCCATCCGTTACTTAATGTGAAAGAATTTGTATCTTTTTCCAATAGTATTTCTGTTGTCACACCACCCACTCGATCTTTATCAGAATGCAATAGCTCATTGTTGTAAAAATCTATCCCCCAAAAAAGGTAAACTCCATCTGCCAGAAATTCATTTCTTAATTAGTATACTACACGATTTGATCAATGCTATAACATATTAAAGTCTACACATTTTCAACGATGGGTTATATTATGTTCTAAAGTCTATACAGACACTTAGAATAGGTAAATTTTAAGGACAATAAATCTAATGGTTCAAGTTTTGTGACTATTTTAACACTGCTTTTGATTAAATATTATTGTTAAATGAAGACATGAAGTGTATCATCCATTATAGAATTGTGATCTGCAATAAGAAAGTACCTTTGAGGCCAACGGCAGGAAGTATAGTGCTGTTGAAGCTATAAGTAGTTGCTTTTTGGGTGAAACCAGGATGTTGAGCCAGAACGTTCCAGTTTGAGTAGTTTCTGTTGTAGTTGTAGTTAGAAACTGTAAGCTTCACCCTCCATTGATTCATATAGTTGTTCATGAAATGCCAATGGATACGAATTGGGCACATGTGGTTGGTGCATTCAATTGTGCTGTCCTCACCTGACCGTGGTAAAGGATCACTTGGCCTGGTTAGGTAAGCACATAAAGGAATAAGGAGAGAGTGCAAACTGGACCTCAGAGAATATGGCAATAACAGATTGACAGATGAATACAGGTCTTAGGAACTTAAACACACCTTATGCAAGATGCTGTATTTATATTTGCTTCTCTGCATCCACAACTGCAATTACGGCACGGCGTGATGTTGGGATTGTAAAATGATGAGAGGGAAACACAGCACATTGGTGGTGTGTTTGCCAAGAAACTTGAGTATGCACATGTTGACTTCCAAGTTCCTGAAGTGCACAAATTTATGGTATTAAACAATTAGGACTACTAGAAGGGAATGCACCGTTTTCTTATTTTAGGCATTAAATAACATAGATAATTTCTTGACATGAATTCTGATTTATGTTTCATATGATTTATTCTTAGACTTACTGAGAACAGGTACTTGTCTTAGTCCCCCAAAGTCTGAGGATACAGTGGGATCAGTATCAAGAAGGGGGCTACAAGTGTAACCAGGTCCTGGGGCCATCAATGTAAGATTATTAGGTATTTGTCCAAGTGGGTTTTGCCTCAAGTTGCGAACGTCAAGTTCAAATGAAGAGAATGAACTGAAAGGATCGATAGCCCAGGCAGAGAGGAGGCCACCGTGACAGCAATGCTCTGACCTGTTTTGTGTGACATCCGGTGAGAGATCAACTATGAAGGGATCTTTCTTGCAGGAATGTGGCATCTGAGAGCCACTGTAAGATGAACAATTCCCTCTATCAGTTGCAAGGGCACCGTTCATTGACCAGATCACTTCATCGTTAGCCCATGTCCATCCTAGGCTCCACCCAGGTTTGTCTACATGGCGATATTGATAGTGGTTTTGAAGGGTCACCCTCGCCTGTACAAAACATTCAAACTAGATTCTAGTTGTGCTTAATAACTTTATATTGTATGCAAAATAATGGAACTTAATCAATTAGTTGGAGCAAAAGAATCAACTCCAACTGTCTTTATTCAATGAAAATTGTTGGAGTCAAGGATCATTGGCTAAGTTGATTGGAAATTTTGAAATTTCACTGCATAATTTATCAGTAATTCCTCAGGATTTTTGGTATACTTTGTTGATCATAACTGTGAAGCAGCTAAAGCAAAGTATGTGTTTCTAAAATCAGTTGTGATTGTACTGGGTACTGACCAGATATCCATTATCTGTACGTTGGTAAATGTCAAAAGTTACAGAAATGTTCCCATTTGGATCCAACGGGTCATAACAATCTGCAGAGAAGGTCGAGGGCTAAATCAGCAAAAGTGTAAGAAAAAGAAGTAAAAAAGGAAGTTAGCAAAGCATAGCATCTAGTGAAAACAACAGAAGCAGAATATATAGGAGAAGTGTATTGCCTGATAATGTGCATAGAGCAATTAATAATATCAACTTCAGTGAATAAGCATATATGCGATCAACAATAGGCACCATTTTTTCCCTTTGAAGATGGGAAGGTTTGGAGCTTGGAATGTCACAAAAATATGAGACAAAGAATTGCCTTTATTAATAAGTTGTGTATCAATCTAGTGAAACCCGTTATCTGTTGCTTCATATTATATTACTCGGATCAAACAAGGGATCATTGGAAATATCAGCTAGTTATGATTAGACAAATCCCGTGTTTAGCTACTATTATTTATAGGACCTTTCAAACTCTAGTGAGAATAAATTCTCTTGATCAAAACTTGCTAATGCACTCAGACTCGATCTGAGGATGGTTCATGTTTTCTTGACAGGTCGTTGCTCACGAGACTGGTTTATGAAATGTTTGTAGGATATGGTCCTTTAGTTACCACTGAAATTTATCAACGAAGAAAATGAACGTTGACATTCAGGAAATTTTAATTTTAATGATATAACCACAGACGAGAAGCTAGTCTTATTCTTCCATAACTAAGGAATTATATTGATTAAACAATAGATATAATATATATTACTTTTGACATTAGGATTTATAAAAGAATTAACTAGTCTTGAGGGGTTGATATCCAATGGTGTTGATAACTCTTTCTCCCTTTCTTGTTACCATATGAGAGGTTGGCTGCTGCACTTCAATACACTTGAGCGCCTTGTAGTGCTTACCCTTACAAGATGAGGCAATTCAATGTGTGACACTTAAAAAGGATTACAGATTTGTTCGTCCTTAGTAATTAGTATTGGTGATATCTTCTGGAGTACCGTTGCAGATTATTAGAAATGTTAGCAACATATCTTTTAATACATTTTTAATTATTAATTAAAAATTATCAAAATATGAAATAAATATTAAATTAAAAATAAAACATATAATTTTTAATAAATTTTAACTAATAATTAAACATGTTGCTGACATTCCTTATACAATGTGTCTTGAGTTCACAAAAAATTTATCTCAAAACATCGTCTAAATTAATTGTAAAGTATTTTTTTTCGGCTATTAGGTTCCATCATTTGATAAATCGTCATTTATTCTGTCAGCATTACGTATATGCCAAATAGGCTAAAACTTTGTAGTTTTTGTCATATAAAATTTTGCACTTTAAAATAAATATGAAAAAGAATATTGGGCTTCAATGACGTTAATGGTTGGGTGGGCATGTTTTTGTTCCTATGTTCTGAGGCTAATGGCTTGCCTTAGTTCACTAGTAGCGGCGACATAACAAAATAAAAATAAGTCAAATACTTTTGGCGAGCATTTTCAGAACATAGAAGATGAATATAAAATCTACCCAATTCTTTCTGTTGAATAAATATTGTATGAGGACAATAAGAACACCTCCTCATAGAGGACAGCTGGGTGCTCCTGTCAAGTCCTTTCTGTGGCACATAACGCATATACCTCAAATGTACCTACACAAACAACCCAAGTATAGGATTCCAAAAGACAAATATAATTTACATTAAAATGGAAAAAAAATTGCTCATTATAAAATAATTTCAAAAAAATAAAAATAATATTGATAATGAACCCTTTTTCAAATTGAATTTTCCACTGATTTCGTTATTATATGCAGGAACAGACATATTTTGTTACATAAAGCATATACCTGAAATGTTCCCTTAAGCTGCATATTTATGCTGAGACAGCGGTACACAAGTACAATACAGAGAAAGCATTGGGTTCCAAAGGATAAAGAGTAACTAAAAATATTAAAAGAATTTCAAAATTAAAAATATGATATATTTTTTCATTGGACGATGATGTAAATAAAGTTAAGTGTCTAGTGGTCTCATTAGCATACAAGGGTACATATTATGTTTCATTGAGGAGAACACATGTTGGTCACGAGTAATAATAACAAGAAGATATATGTTTCCTTGATTGGATCCAAAACTTATCCATGTCCAAGATCGCTCCCATGCCCCAGCAACTAACTTTGTAATGTTACATAATTAATGAGTTTAGTAGCTCATGTTAATTTATTTTCTTTAAAATCTATGACGGATACGTGTCGCATATGATGATATAAATAATGAGTTATCAGTTAAACATTTGTTATTCAAACAAGATAACTCACCTCTAACAGTTGATTATCCAGCAAATCAAAAGTGTCCTTTTATTACTTCTTGCCTTCATCTCACATATTGAGATTAGATTATTAATTTCAATAATTAGCGAGCACTTTAAAAGTTTTAAATAAGTTACTTTCATCAATTACATATTTTAAACATCTTATTTGAATCTTGCTGCCAGTGATATTAAAAACTGCCAGAGTGCATAATTTTGCACTATGCAGATTTTGAAATATGTAACCGTGTCACCCTTTTAAGAGTCGTTACACCAATGTTTTTTCCTCAAATTATCAACCTAGCTAGACCTTCTCATTTTTTTATGTTGACATCTCAAATTTTTAAGCGAACTTTTACCACTGATTAAATAGACTACACAGAGAGCTAATTCAAAAGAGAACCCAATTTGGCATTTAGCTCTTTAACGATAACTGCTTCTCCTCACTTCCATTGATGCCCAATTGCCTGAATTCTTCATAAATGAGGTGCTTTAATACATATTTTTGTCATTGTATTAAGTTAGCCTGTAGCCGGCATGGTGTCACATCCCAAATTTCTTCAACTTCTTTGTCACTCCATCTTGATTGCTATAATTGCATGCCAAAAACAACACAAGGTCCAAGAAAACATGGTGCATTTCTAAAAGAATCCATTTTACAACTTTTCCTTTGCTCTTATTCATTCAGCAATCGTCCAACTGCGAGTATATTATATTTTCAATGACACTGATTGAAAAAGGTATGCCATATTATTATACTACGTCATTCTCTTTTTATATTTCCATCAACGGCCTAATCTACATTACAAGTTTACAACTGAAGTGATCAACACGCCCAACAAGGGGTAATAATTGACAATATAATTTTTTTTTCCTTTCCGTGGCATTCTACAACTTCAGGTTCATAAATAATCCCGCAGCATAAAAATTGACTTTTCAAAATACAAATTATGCCAGTAACAATTTGCATGAATAATTTTTTTAATTGTACTTCGTTTTTTATTGTTCATAAACTTGAGACAGTCATGCAGTTTCACTAGAAGATGGCTGCAAAAGGGTAGAAGATGAGCCTAAAGGCTCATGCACAACTGAATTTGAAGAAACAGATATGGGATTGCCCTCTAACTGCAACATGATACTCCCTAGTATTTCAGTTATAATTTTCTTGAATTCGTCTTCTTTAACTGTCTTCCCATCATCTGCATTCACCGTCTTAAAGGCTTCACCAATAACCTTATCCATCTGTAAAATCAAAGTCGGCTTTTAATCTCCGATTCAGGAAGACGCATTAAACATAAATTGTATGACAGCATTGTATGTCATGCTATGCAGACATGACCCAGCGAACATAAACACTAGCCATAGCACTGACTCATGCCAACTAAGATTTTGAGCTTATATTGAGTATCGTGAAATAAATTGCTCTATGGTCAATTATAAATAATAGCATTAAATAAGAACAGTTAAATATAATATGTGACAATTTCGCTACAAATACTACCACTGACCCATGTCAACAGTAATTTTTAAGCTTTTTTTGAGTTAGCATAAAACAAATTGCTAAGAATACTTTAATCTCTACTGTATTTTCGGCCTAGTTTAGTTTTTTTTACCTCAAAATGCTATCCAGCAGCAAACAAAATTCAGTAGAGTTAAAAGTAATTGACAAATAGATGAATCCAAAATAAGTTGGAAAGTGGACTATCTGTATGCATTAGAACCGTACCTCTTCAATTGCTCCAACTGGAGGTAAACCAGCAGATGGAGACACCAGATCTAGTGCCAACCGCAGATGGTCCTTTGATATTTTTCCATTGTGATCTTTGAGCAGATTCTCCAAAGCTAAGTTCAATGTCTGCATCATGTGATAGATTGGTAAATTTCATATATGGATGTTTAAACAACGTAAATTCAAAACAAAATATTGCAATGAAGCACAAAAAAAATAATAAACCCTGTCTAATTCAAACTTGTTGGATAAAAGTCTCTTGACACCACGTCCATCAAAGGTGTTTTCACTGTGGGCAACGATGGCAGGTTTCTCTTTAAGACAATCAACCACACTCAATGCCACTCTCTTAAATTCTTCCAAAAATGTCTCTTGAGTAACAGGCTTGTCCAAAGCAGGGCCAGCTTGAGACAGTGCTGGATCCACAATGTTGTTGAAAACCTATTTTAATTATGTTTTGATCACACGAAATTCTATGTTAAAAAAAAACTACTTAAATGTGTACTAAAACATCATTCAAGGACAAAAATAGTTGCATTAATTGTTTACCCAAGAATCTGATGTAGGAGGAATTCCTTGATCAACAGTGAGTCTTCCAAAAGCTTCAATTACATGTTCACGAAGTGATCCACTGGGGGACTCAATCTGAGAGAAAATAGATGCCAGCTCTGCTTCATAACCTGGACCATTAACAAACTCAAGGAGATCTTCCCCATCCATGCGGAGTATAACTATAGGGTCTCGCTTCAGTCCAGCAGCCATGCCCAAAAGAATGTCTGAGAGAACCTCTTTGAATTCAGTCTTGCTCACCTTTTCTTGCTTGCCATGGGTGAATTCATTCAAGACCTAGAGTCAATAAAATTTTCTACCCTTGTTCCATTATTAGTGCAAATTAATCTTTGGAAATGTAGATAGAACATGATGAATTTATCAAAGGAACTTGAGGAATTTTATTGAAATTATAACGGCGAACCAAACTCTTGTCCAGAGAAATATAACGAATGCAGTTAGGGGTCTTGGTTTACCCAATAATGCTTTAAAAGTATAAATTGATCCTATGTACCAGAGTGGATGAACTGCTGGCAAAAATTACAGCCCACCAGGTAATTTCTGTTGTTCTAATATGTATTTCTTGCATGATAATAGTACTTCATAGCAAACAAACTAAAAGTAAAACAGCTAAAGGGAAAAGCCCTCCGGCAAATTCTCATTTGTCGTGAATGTTAACACATCATTAATTTCGAATCCATTGCTTCTTTAATTTTTCCTTCTTGGGCTAAGGTGTCATATACTCTAGTTTTTTAATAACTATTGCTTGCCCGTATTTATCATACAGGTAACAGATTTGCTTTTTTACAAAGCATGCCATTAAAAAACACCTTTTTTCTTGTCCACAGATGCAGCCAGCACAAGCAGTTTGGGTCCCATGAGTTCATCATTATCTATAATGGCAGATTAACTTTTTGTAACTCTAAACACTAAAATAAACTATAAATTTTCCACTTCTTCAATTGTAGGGTTTGGAATCAAGTATGGTTTAATGATTAAAACATCACGGTCCATCAACAATTTCACAAATATTAACAGTTAAAAAATGTCAGCTTCACATAGTCTCCAACATATATATGTCACCAGATTCTGCCTCCAGGGAGATAATAAAATGGCAACAAAAAGCAAATTAAAGCACGGCAAGTAATTGCAACCATAAAGCAGATTTCAACCGGACCGACCAAGGTATCATGGATTATGATATTTCTGGGGCCACCTATAGTTCAAAATTTTGAGAACTTATCCTGGAAAGCAGACAAGCATCGCATTAAAAATAATTAAAAAAAAATCGTAATGTCATTTAAGATTTTTTCCCCCTAGTTCAGATTGTCTCTTCATCAACATCTGAAGTATTAAACATGTATATAGTTTGCAAATGAGCCACACATACAAAAATAAAATTTTAAATATTACCCTGATGATAAGTTAACTATAATTTTCTTAGACACGACATTATCATGGACATAATTAAAATAATAAGCATTTGCAATACTGCCGCCACCTAAGCCAATGCAAAAGTCAAAAGCCTATGTAACACCTTACATCGATCTTGGGAGCAGGTCGGTTTTGAAAGTTTGTATCAGTCCTTTTTCTAATTGAGAATTACAAAGAAAACAGTAGGCAAAGAGTTCTGATTCGAATTCATCATTCAAATAAAGTAATGAGTATTTTCATGTTTAACCCCCAATTCAATAAGCATTGCTAAGATTACAAAGGAAGCCATTTTTTAGGAAAGAAAGAGAGAGAGAGAGAGACCTCAAAATAGATGTGATCAGAATCAGGACTAATGCCTTGAGCAGGCAAACCAAGAGCAGCACCGATGTCAGCAACAGCAGGTTCAAGCTCCTTCACTGAGAGCTTACCATCTCTGTCCTTATCCAACTGATGAAACTTATGGTCCACGAAGTTGCTGAATACTTGCTCGTTCCCAACCAACTCCATAATGTTGGAACCATCTAGAATCTCTCCGTTTCCACCACTTTTCCTCTTGCTGCTGCTCTCCATTCTTCACCCCTCTACTGTGCATCAAATTTGGCTTCTTTGGCCTCTATTTAATAAGTATCAACCTAACACATAGGAAGAGGAAGAGTCAGAAGAGGGACTGAAGCTCATTATTATATCAGTCAGCGACGGTGTGAACTGTGAACCCCACACGTGGCTCCCCAAAGAAAGTTTACACATGTAAATCTTAATCATATCTTTTGTAAAAAAGCGCAAACACAACATGTGCTCCTAAAACATTGGTCCTGTTTGTTTTAGCTGACCCAAAGTTACACAAAGCGCACTCCCTTTGTCGCTTTTCTCTCATTCTTAATTTTAATGCACTTTCGGTTCTTATTTCATTTTATTTTATATGTTTTCTTCTTTGGGTAATTCAGTATTTCATTTCCATTATTTTGGCAAGTTTCACAATAAAACTTATTAAAGTTATAAAAAATATATAAAAAGTAAACGGATCAAATAAGTTTCGAACAAATTATTTTAAATAATATATATTCATGTAAGACGTCTCAAAATAATTTTTTGGATTATAAAATAAAAAATAATCTATAATGGACTCATATTTTAAGGTAGAAGAGGGACAGAGTAGAAAGATGGTGCAGACCACTAATCCCAATTGTAGGAATTGGGCCAGATTTATTTTTACCCAAATTTTGGAGTGGCCCGTATCTGATGCTTTTAGGATGCGTGTCGAAGTCACACTACTATATTACTTACCATTTACGAATTGTGGGCCTCACTCGCATACCGTACTCCGTGGTGGCTTTCAGTTCCATAACAATTTAGCACTATTAAATTTGACATTGACACTATAGCTAATGGAATAAAGCCAAGTTCAATTATCTTTTAGTTTAGTAATTGTTTTCAGAAACATCATCCCAAACTTGGCTAACGTTGTAGACAGTGGAAAAGGATCACTGACAGGTTAGCCCAATGTAGTCCAAAATCAGCATGCCACATTGCCCCCCATTTGTTATTCAATTTTGCTTAACTAGTGGGCCGGGCTCATTGCAGAAAATATGGCACACTAATCTTTTTTTAAGAAAAAATCGTTGATTTTAAGCAATGTTGTGATCCTGTGAAGCTGGGATTACTTAAATTATCCGCAGTAAATGTGTTTGACCATGAAACAACTTGCATTATTCAGTCTTCACCCATGGGGCAAGCAAGTTTACACAGGAAGAGAGATAATTGTCATATTTCTTTTGCAAAAGAAGACATGGCAGAATCAGAAAAGTTAAGAGGTAAAGCGGTTGTTTGATGTGATTCATGTGAATCTAAATCAATAGGGATGGATCCATGTTATAATTGTTGGGGTAGTTGCCCCCATTAACAATTTGATTTTTCTTCATAGTATATATATATCATACTATAAAAATGTCTTCATAATTTTTTTAAAAAAAATTAATTGATCCCAATTCTAGTCTCAAGAATCTCGTCATGTGAAAATGCCCCTCCAACCTTCATATTTCAATTTTTTATTATTTATTCAAGTATATACATTATATTTTGATTTTAATTTTTATAATTTTTTAATCCCTATATTTTTCATAAGTATATTATCTTTGGTCTCTCTTACCATGTGTATGCAACTCCACGAAAAAGTGACTCGTGACATAAAAATTGATATATAACATTATTTGGATTAGTTACTTCATTGTTTAACAAAGATTGAAGATCAAAATTAATAATTCTTTAAAATGTGAATATTAAAAAAAAACTAGAATAAAAATACAATATATATTTTGAAACACGAATTTTTTTTTGTCTGATTTATTTAACTACTAAATATAAAACAACTAATTAAAAATTAATACCTTTCTAGCTTGTTGCAACTTTTTTTGATAAAAGATCTTTAGTATGTAATATTCCCGTTACCATTATTTTTTTTTCAACTCAACTGTACGTATTTTGATAAGTTTGAATTTTTATATTATAATTTTTTTCATTCACTCTTTGTTGTTTCTTACGTTTTCCAATATTGTGTATGTTGCACCTTCTGTACATTTTTTTTCTGTATATATTACCAATATAGTATATATCTATTATTTTGATTGGTTTCGAGTGCTTTAAATTAATATATAAAAGATTTATAATTTTTAATGATATATATTAAAATTAAAAAATAATTCAAAGTTTTCAAACCATGAAAACTCGTAAAGAATAGTTATAATGATATTTACACCTGAATTGCCAAGAAAAGAAGACTGCGAATGATGACCTCGACGCCACTGGAGGCCACGAGGAAGATGGTGGTGCAAAAATTATATACTTAGAGAATCTTTTTACTGAGAAAGTCGACGATTGAGGAGACCCAATTTGAGCCATCAACGAGTTTGCTCATTCGTTTCGAGCAGCTAAGTTAGCTGCAACTCAATAAAAACTAGCAGCAATGATACTAAAGAATGAAGACCATTTCTACCTGAAAACTGGATAAAAATATACAGCACTAATACACTATCAAGTATGTCCTAAAAGTATACACAACCTGCTTCACTAGAGTAGCGTCTCAGCTACTACCTTAATTGTCCATAGGCACCTGAGAAGTAAAATAGTTTAGAATACCAGTGAATCCGTTTTAGCCGTAAATTTCAGCCTTATGCCAAGCAAATCCATATATAGCCTTGACTTTGAGCTCTATATCAAGCTATAACTGATTTCCTTCTCATATTTCACCATATTAGGGCGGATGAAGGAGTGTTACTTAAAGCTGATCACCACCTTACTGAAGCCTTTATGCCTCACCAACATAGGAAAAAGTAATGAAATAACAGCTTAAACGAGCAATTCATGTACGGTGCATGTGTTAGATACATACTTGTGTTTTGGGATACATAGATACACAAAGAATGCCAACTTTGCTTCGCTGCAAAATGGTAGCCTTTTTAAACCTGAATAATATATGTGATTCACATATTTAAGCTAACAAAGTAACACACCCAGTAAGTAAGGATTCTGCAATTAAAGATTTATCTGTTACGTACAGAAGGAATTTTGAAACTAAGGACCCCATTTACTAGAAATTCCACACCCTGAAATCACGGGGAAATATTCGATAATTAGTGCAACGAAATTAAAAATAAAATGTAATGAGTATCCCACGTGTAAGGTCAATCGTCCTTTGCATTTGCATCAGAGGAAAAGTGGCCAAGAGACATAGATTATGGTGGGTAAGATAACTTGTAAGTTATTTAGTAGCAAATTTATACTTATAGAAGTGTTTATTAAATACAAAATGAAAAAAAAAAAATTTGATTAAATTTGTACTCTTTGTTAAAAATATAGTTTATTATTTATATAATTAAAACTTTGATACTTAATTTTATTTTGATTTTATTCTTTTTATTTTTACGGTAGTTTTTTTATTTTTTATTATTAATAATTAATAGTATATTTTGTTAAATAAAAATTAATTAATTAATTCTTTTAAAATAAAAATATAAATTATTTAAATTAATTCAAATAATTTTTATTAATATAATATATTAAACTTAATAATTTTAAAAATAAATTTAAGTTATTATTTAAACTAATAATATTATTTTTATCAATAAAATGTGTTAAAATAAATATTATCTAATTTTAATATTATTTTAATATTATTATAAATTTTTTAAGTCATTTAATATAAATTAATCACTTGTACAACTAATTCAGATAATTTCATATCATAAATTAATTATACATTATAAATTTTCAGCTATAAATCTATATTAATATAACTTTTAAAAGCTAAAATTTATAACTTTTAACTCACCAAACATAATTATAATGATGATATTTTCATTATTTTAATGTGAACGAATGTAAAAAAATATATCCAGATCCAATATGTGTTTAGAAAACGTTTTGCTAGTAAAAAAGCTGGAGGAAACATTAATATGAAATGACAAAAGGTATTCAAAACGGGAAAGATTTTTCAATAGTCAGTTAATAAAAATCAAACTGAAAAGTACAAGGCTTGGGTTTTGTCTCCTAAAAATTTTGTTATTTGATTAATCATTTGCAAATCTACTTTTATACCATAAATTTGGATTTATCCCTCTTAAATACGAGTAATCTTAAAAATCATTTTCTTTTTCATTAATTTATGTGATTTTTCATAAGCTGAGTATTCAACTTTTTTTGTATTTATAAATTTTTATTCCTTTCAAATATTATTACTCAAATTTAGAAAATTGATGCACTATATTTAATTCTAGATATTTTTTAATATAAATTAGATTTTAAGACTATTATAATTTTAGTAAATCCTAACTTGATTTTGATTTTTAAAATTTGAATTTTGACATACTGTATTAATATAGATCATGTGTTTTAATTTAAGTAATTTATTTTATGATTATCTATTTAATTCATTATTCTTTAATAATGTAAAATATCCATTATTAATATTAAACATATTATTTTTTATAATTATCTATTATTTAAAATTTTCAGTTAAATTTAAAATTTTTTTTATAATAAACAAAGAATAATTGTCATTTTGATATATTTTTAGTTGATTTTATTAGATATTAAGAGTTTTTTTTAAATAATTTTATTAATTATGAAGACCAACCTGCTATTAAATCAGGCAGGACTAAATGCAGTCCAATAATTGATGGACCCGTTTGTTTTGCAAGTCAACATGATTTGACCCATGGAATCACCGTCTATTGGGCTAGGCTTCTCACGACAATGCTAGTTTACTGCTTGAATTATTAGTACTAATTCATACTAAAAAATCATTAGTATTAATTGATATCAATTATAAAACATGTAAATTTTTTTAACGTTTGTATAAAGATATATAATATTTTTTTAATAAAAATTAATATGCATAAAAAATATTACATATTTTTAAATTATTAAGTAAATCCTAAAACATGCATTTTAATATACATATTTTTTATTTTTCCACATAAAATAATGGTGTGTTAATTAAATAGTGATGTGCAAGAAATATTGTTTTTGAAAAATGTAACATAAGGAAATGCAATACAACCCTAAATAATTGAGGAATTCGTGGATCCTGTTAAACATTCATGAGGCCACGCTAACGTCAACAACATGCTCACTCCGGAATATTAGAGAAGCAAACCGTTCTCAATCAAAAACGGTGGGTGGCCAAAGTATTAACTATG